AGTGGGCGTCCAAGCTCGCAACCAACGCGTAAGAAGATGCCTTGCGGTCAGTGCCGCAGACCTTTTGCTCGTATCCGACACCGTCTGCTCCGCATACACGAGCTGGTTTTCTCACCACACATTATCAGTCAATAGCGTACGCACTTACAGTTCCCAAACACACCAGGTCCGGCCCACTTGTATTCGGTGACAGAGTGACTGTGCACCCTCAGACTGTGTGTAGACATGTCGCAATAGCACTTTGTTTCGTTCGGTTAAATCGACCCAGAACCTGAGGCTGCGCGTGTCTCACCTGAGCATCAAGCAAGGGTTTTACGTTCCTTCCTGTTTCACATGCCAAGAAGGAAACACTGTCGTCTTATGGCCGTGTCGCAGCAAAGACAGCCCCAGATCCTAGATTTCGAAAATAGTCTTAATCTTTTGCCTGTCAGCCTGCGGACATTGAGTGTGCCCTGCATTGCACCGCGCTTATACTCTGACAGCTTGACTTTCAGCTCGTGGCGGCCCTCTCGCAATCACGGCCTATCATCATCCTTCGGACCCGCTCTAGCCTCCTTTCGACAAGCCGCGGCGCTGGGCTTTAATCAGCACTGGGACAGATTGTGGCTGCTGCACTCCGTTCATCAATCGCCATATTAATAACTTCGCCATCTGGCACTACCGGAAGCTGGCCTTCCTTTTTGTTCGCGAGTCCGCTGTCCTTTCGCGTTTGCAACCTCGCGCTGTCGCAGTACCGCCGCAGTCATTCCATCGCTTTCGCTCCGATCCTTCCGCCTCGTACGACCCGCCTTCGCCCCCAATTTGACCCGTCGAATGCTGCACCTGGTCCAGCATCACAGTTTCTAGTTCGCAACACCGTCCGAAGTTGACAGCACCGAAAAGACTCCCTAGCCAATATGGCTTCTCCGGCGACAGCGACCGCGCACATGGCTACAACAACGCTCAAGGTTGAAGGTATGACATGCGGCGCATGCACTTCTGCCATCGAGTCGGGTTTCCAGGGCGTCAAGGGAGTAGGGAATGTGTCGATAAGCTTAGTGATGGAGCGTGCTGTTATCCAGCACGATCCCGAGGTCATCACCGCGGAAGAAGTCAGGGAGATCATCGATGACAGGGGGTTCGATGCAGAAGTGCTCTCGTCGGATCTACCAATGTCGCATAGTGCAGATGATCATTTCCTGAGCGACTCCGAAGATGAAGAGGAGGAGGTGAATGGAAACATTTCCACCACCACTCTCTCGGTTGGGGGAATGACATGCGGAGCGTGTACATCCGCCGTGGAAGGCGCTTTCAAGGACGTAGCTGGACTCAAGTCTTTCAGCATATCACTTCTCTCCGAGCGCGCTGTCATCGAACACGACACTACAATTATAACCCCGGAGAAGCTGGCCGAAACGATAGAAGATGTTGGCTTTGACGCGCAGGTGCTGGGTACCGTGGCCGCGACACCAGCACCGAGGAAGAGCAAGGGTCGGAAACAGCACAAAACAATGACGACGACTGTCGCTGTTGAGGGCATGACATGTGGCGCATGCACATCAGCCATTGAGAGCGGGTTCAAGGACGTTGATGGTGTATACCAGTTCAACATTAGTTTGCTCGCCAATCGTGCCGTGATCGTCCATGATCCCTCCAAGCTCACCGAGGAGCAGTTGGTAGAGATCATCGAAGATCGAGGATTCGACGCCAATGTCTTGTCGTCCGTCGACAGTAGTATACAGCAGTCATCAGCAGCCAACGTACCCGTACAACTCAAGATCTATGGAATGCCCAACTCTAGCGCTGCTCAAGAACTCGAAGGATTGTTGCGAAAACGATCTGGAGTTACCTCCGCAACCATCAACTTCGGAACTTCAAGGGCCATTATTCAACGCGAGCCTCAAATCATTGGTCTGCGAGCCATCGTGGAGGCTGTAGAAGCAGCTGGATACAACGCGCTTGTCGCGGACTCTGAAGACAATGATGCCCAACTGGAGTCTCTGGCAAAGACAAAGGAAATCCAGGAATGGAGAAGGGCTGTGGTATTCTCTGCCTGGTTTGCAGTTCCCGTATTCTTGACAAGCATGTTCATCCCCATGTTCCTGCCATTCATCAACTACGGCGGTATACGTGTCATTCCCGGTTTATATCTTGGCGACGTAATATGCCTGGTCCTCACGATCCCAGTTCAGTTCGGCATCGGAAAGCGTTTCTACGTGTCTGCATACAAATCGCTAAGCCATGGTTCTCCCACGATGGACGTTCTTGTTGTGCTTGGTACCTCGTCCGCCTTCTTTTTCAGTATCTTTTCGATGCTGGTATCGCTCTTGATCTCCCCACACACCAAGCCGACAACACTCTTCGACACCAGTACCATGCTGATCACGTTTATTAGCCTGGGCCGTTACCTCGAGAACAAGGCGAAGGGTCAAACTTCCAAAGCGCTTTCTAACCTCATGTCCCTGGCCCCATCCATGACTACTATCTACGCGGATCCTATCGCTGCTGCGAAAGCCGCTGAGGACTGGGATGTCAAGGAAGAAAAGATGGAGCGCAAATCAACTGATGGCAATGCTGTTGAAGAGAGGATCATTGCTACCGAGCTCATCGAAGTTGGTGATGTGGTCATACTTCGCCCAGGAGACAAGCTTCCCGCTGATGGCACAGTAACACGTGGAGAATCGTACCTTGACGAGAGCATGGTTACAGGTGAAGCTATGCCCATCCTCAAGAAGAAGGGCGCATTGGTCATGGCCGGTACTGTGAACGGAAACGGACGCCTGGAATTCCTTGTTACTCGAGCCGGCCGTGACACTCAGCTCAGTCAGATTGTGCGCCTTGTCCAGGAAGCGCAGACAAGCCGCGCCCCGATCCAACGCCTTGCAGACACCGTTGCTGGTTACTTCGTCCCTATCATCATTACTCTCGGTCTCGCAACTTTCGTTGGATGGATGGTACTCAGCCACGTCCTACCCTATCCGCCTAAAGTCTTCCTCGATCACGCTAGTGGCGGAAAGTTTATGGTTTGCATCAAACTCTGCATCGCCGTCATCGTCTTCGCCTGTCCATGTGCCCTGGGTCTTGCGACACCTACCGCTGTCATGGTTGGTACTGGTGTTGGAGCTGAGCAAGGTATCCTCGTTAAGGGTGGTGCTGCTCTTGAGACTGCCACCAAAATCAACCATGTCATCTTTGACAAGACCGGCACGCTTACTGTGGGCAAGATGAGCGTATCTCAAGCCGATATACAAGGAGGCTGGGAAAGCACGGAAAAGAAGAACCTCTGGTGGACGCTCATTGGACTTGCGGAAATGGGCTCTGAGCATCCCATCGCCAAAGCCATCGTTCTCTCTGCGAAGGAGCATCTCCGTCTGGGACCCGACGGTAGCTTAGACGGCTCTGTTGGAGACTTCGAAGCTGTCGTCGGTAAAGGCATTACCGCGACGGTCGAAGCAGCCATGTCTCGCGAGCGCACCCGCTACACGGTTCTTATTGGTAACACAGCCTTCCTCACCTCCAAGGGTGTCAATATCCCGGACTTTGTTGAAGAACCTCTTACACCTGCTGCGAATGCCAATCCTCGAGGCGGGCCTCAGAACCGCTCTGCTGGCATCACCACGATTCATACCGCTATTGGTAACACCTACACTGGCACGTTGAGCTTGTCTGACACTATCAAGCCTTCGGCTCGCGCTGCAGTTCTTGCACTATCACGTCTGGGTATATCATCTTCCATTGTTACTGGTGATACGTCCGCTTCCGCCCTAGTTGTCGCAGCGGCGGTTGGCATTGACGCTTCAGACGTCCATGCTTCGTCCACACCCGCAGACAAGAAAGCTATCGTCGAAGACCTCCAGTCTCGCGGTAAAGTGATCGGCATGGTTGGGGACGGTATCAACGATTCTCCTGCGCTCGCTTCTGCCGACATTGGCATTGCCCTCTCTACTGGTACGGACGTCGCTATGGAAGCTGCGTCTATTGTTCTTATGACCAACACGGATCTTCTTGCCATTCCGGCTTCCCTGGTGCTCAGCCGTGATATCTTTCTCCGCATCAAGCTGAACCTGGCGTGGGCGTGCATGTACAACTTCATTGGTCTTCCCTTCGCAATGGGCTTCTTCCTGCCCTGGGGCCTTTCACTCCACCCAATGGCTGCTGGTGCGGCGATGGCATGCTCATCTGTCAGTGTCGTCCTCAGCTCTCTACATCTCAAGTTCTGGAGTAGACCTAGCTGGATGAAGGTCAGTGTACTCGATCCCACTGCGCCAATCGATGAAAAGGAAGCGGAAATGGAGAAGCAGAGTAGAATTGGCGTGTTCTCTACCCTCAAGGATTGGATCAGTGATGCGTGGGCTGCGAGGAAGAGGAACAAGGAGGAGACCAGCTACATGCCGTTGAGGGATATGGGAGATCACTAGTCATGGGGCTAGCAATCGGGTTATTCTGAGGAAAGTCAGTGGGGTGCATGTTATTGTTGTTGTTGTTGTTATTGTTGTTATCATCATTGGTGAAGCGTTTAGGATACCACCTCTTCTTGGTCTTTTCCTTAGTTATCAGTATCTTGTCGTCATCTTTCCCTGTTTCCCTTTTGGGAGTCTCTGTACATAGCTTCTGACACCTGATATTGTTATTTCAGACTTGTCTACGAATCCAATCTGATTCGCAATAACATACCATTACCATCATGTGAAGATGAAATATTTCACTCTAACGGGATTAATCGTCAAGACGACAGATCTACTAGAGGACCGCAATGTGATAGTCGAAGTCTTTGCCTGATGGAGTTAAATGAAGGATGGCTGCCGTGCGCGTGACGATGTCGCGAAGCGCGGCGGCCAGGGTCCACCAATTGGCGTCACAAAGATAAGCCAAGTTGAACAACACAACACCGCATCGATTCCCACTAGAAGCCTTATTTGCCCTACTAGCTACCAAAGACTGCCCGGAAGACACTTGCGACCGTGAATAGTGCCGAATAAACCTCCACATCCGCCCACAGAAACGCAAACAGGCCTGTTAATATGGGGAGGAATCGAGCCGTGTCGAATGCTTCGACGCGGAGCAGCGAGCCGCCGTTACAAGTAGGTATGGACATGATTTGAGCTTGAGGGAGCATTACTGAGCAGACACAGGAGCTGGGGAGCATGTATGATTACTTAGCAAAGGTTGTACTGCTGGGTCCCAGCGGAGCTGGCAAGTAAGTTCACGATAAGAGTAGCACCAACGATGAATGCCGAATAACCAAGCCTCATAGGTCTTGTCTCCTCCACCGCTTCGTGAAGTCTGAATGTACGCGACTTTCCCTCCCCCTCCTCCCCCTCCAGCCCCCACTAACAACCCCCAGGGCGCGTACTATCCAGCCAAACGATCGGGGTAGAATTCTCTTCTAAAATCGTCCATATCGCCGACCGCCGTCGCTCGCCCTCTTCTTCGGCCTCGCGAAAACGAATAAAACTTCAGCTCTGGGATACCGCCGGCACAGAACGCTTCCGCTCCGTCTCACGATCCTACTACCGCGGCGCTGCTGGCGCGATCCTAGTGTACGATGTGAGCAGCTGGCGGAGCTTCGAGCAATTGAAGACGTTTCTAGATGATGCGCGAGCGCTGGCCGGACCGGACATAACAATCATACTTGCCGGCAACAAGAACGACGTTGAAGATGGTGTGCCCATAGGCATGAGTGGGGGATATAGCAGTTATGGTAGTACACCTGGTTCAGAAAGCGGACTCCCACCACCCACACCATCATCACAATCGAGTCGGACACCGAGTCTGAATGCAAATCTACATGCGAGTTATACCGTTGCGCCCGATGGCCGCGAAGTTCCTGCTGAAGTCGCATCGAGATGGGCGGGGCAGAATGGCATACCGGTAGCAGTGGAAGTTTCCGCGCTGAATGGGGAGAATGTGGAGGAGCTATTCAACCGATTAGCGCGAATGATCTTGACTAAAATTGAGCTCGGCGAGATTGATCCTGATGATCCTGCGAGTGGTATACAGTATGGTGACTTGGGTTGGGATGATGGTGGTGGAAGTATCAAGAGTGGGTTTGGAGATGACGGCGTCAGGTATCGAAGACGAGGGAAGAAAACTGGTGGGTTGGGCGAATGGGAAGACGTGTTCAGGCTTGGTGGGGGCAGTAGGAGGAGAGGAGGATGTTGCTAGCATATTGGGAAGTGGGATGCAGGCCTTCCTGTAACATGGCATCACTTGGCTTCTGGTTTATACATGCAGCATACCCCAGGTGTTTATATGTGCGTTCATAGATCGATTGACGATGTAATTGGAATACAAGATGTTCACCTTTGTTATCCACATTAGATCCCGGTAAGTCTGTTGCAGGTTACACGTCTGCTTGCTCAGATCTACGAGCCACTTTGACATTATGCGATATGCTGGATCGCGCCCAGTTTACTATACCTCTTGATTGCACGCTACTCGGGAACTTGTCGATCACATGTAGCCCACGATGTCGGGACGCGGCGGCTTGAGGCTTAGCGCGATCTTGTAGCGATCGTGACGTTGGAAGTGTCGTCATTTTGGCGAGAGATTCATGCGTGCACGCCATCACCACTCTCACCATTGGAGCAACGCTGTTCGCATCGGGCAAAAAGCCAGCAGTACGACGAATTACAAGTTCGCAACACTCGGGACAAATCTTGAACGCCCGGAAATGCTTGGAGACGATAGAGAAAACTCTGTACCCGCCGGAACGCGTCCGAAACCTCGGCTTTCCACCTGCTTTGCCACAGCATGGATCTCACTGGCCAACTTCGGAGGTCGCGTGCTTCCGAGAATGTCCCTGGCAGTAGCGCTGCGTGTTAGCATGGGCATTTGCGTCACTGGCATGTCTTCCATGATCGATATATGCGCGAGTGTGGCCGCTTTCCGATCCAGTCTCCATTCCCATTCTGTTGCACACTTTCATAGCATTACTGCGGCATTTCATTCTGACCGTCCATTTATTCTGCATATCCACCATCGACCCATCATTTGTTGAGGTTTCCTCAATCACACTGTCGTTCTTACAGACTATTAGATCTCTTACACGCGGCCCGCCCTCGCGCCTCCCGACCGCGACAGCAAACCCGCTTACGACCGCCAATATGACCTGGCTTAATCGACTGAACCCAACACCGGCCTTCCCAGCGCATACGGGGCCATACAGAGTCGGTTCTGTAGATGTAGAAATACCCACAAGCGACCTAGAGAGCCCGAGTGCGAATGCGCCTCCTGGGGACTTGCCAACTATAGCTTTCCGCATCTTCTATCCGTGTAAGCAGGACAGCAATGAGAAGGCTGTGAGATGGATACCAAGTCCGCAGAGGGAATATATTAGTGCTTATGCGAGGTTTCTGGGTGCGAACAGCGCTTTTGCTGGAGTATTCTCGTAAGCAAATTGAGACAAGTCGCTAGCTGAACATGTCGCTGACAATTTTGTAGAGTACTACCCCAGTTGTTGTACTATATTTCCATGCCTGTACACCAAAACGCCGAACTCCTCGCACCCCCACCGAAATCCGAACGATGGCCTGTCATGATGTTCTCGCATGGTTTAGGTGGAACAAGGAATGCATACTCGCACATCTGCGGCTCGCTTGCAAGCCATGGAGTCGTAGTCGTTGCGGCAGACCATCGTGATGGCAGTTCACCTCTCGCAATCCATCATACCCCAGAAGGACAGGAGAAGAAGAAGCGCGTAGATTACAGGTCAATCGCCCACAAGCCGAGTACAGAAACATATGAGGCAAGAGATGAGCAGTTACGGATACGGCTATGGGAATTAGGCATGGTACACGATGCAGTATTGAAGATCGATGAGGGCCGTCAACTGAAGAACGTAGCACAAGACCTACCCAATGGTAAGAGCATGCTGAGCATGTTCTCGAACCTGCTAAACGTTCACGAGCCGGGTGCGATCAGTTTCTCAGGCCACTCTTTCGGTGCTTGCACAATGATTCAGTTTGTCAAATCAGTTTACCACCGTCCCCAGACACAGATTCCACGCTATAAGCCGCTATACACGCCATCCGAGGACTCGAGTCTAGTTCGCCAGATCACGCCACAAAACCCGGTTACTCTTCTAGATCTCTGGACCCTACCCATCCAAAGTCCTGATACTGCCTGGCTACGAAGCCAGACAATGCCATGCTATGACTCTCCCACCGGCGGCAATAATCTTCTTGCCATCGCGTCCGAGGGCTTCTTCAATTGGGCCTCGAACTTCAGAGAAACGAAGCGCATCGTCGCTAAGCCAGCTTCCTCACAATCGAGATTCCCCGAGCAGCGTGGTCCACATATCTTCTATCCAATTGCTTCTGCCCATCTCTCTCAAAGCGATTTCGGCGTCTTGTTCCCCTGGGTAACAACAAAAGTGTTCGGCGCCAAGGAGCCTGAAAGGGTGCTCAGACTCAATACCCGTGCCATCTTGCAAGTCATGCGTGAAAATGGCATACGTCTCGCAAACACAAGCGCGCGCGATCTAGAGCTCGACGAAACTATGGCCAAGAACAAGAGCCTAACACAAGACACCTCTATTCTCAGCCGAGCGAAAGACAGTGTTCGTGGATGGGTCAACCTAAGTGCGGACATGGAGAGAGATCTCGACCTTTCTGGCGCTGACAAGGTTGAGGGTAAGAGTCTGGTGGGTACACCAATGGAGAAGGTCGGTAGTGATGGTAAGGGACCAGGAGAGGTTATGGTTGAGGGCGAGGCACTAGGACAGGTCGTTGAGGGTAATGCAAAATAAGTGTTCTCTAGTGGATGCATTTCGGCGTGGCGTTTCGCATAGCGTTTTTTTCCTTCTTATTATGTTGATAGACATACCCAAGCATATAGAGATGAAATGGTAAGCGATATTGTTTAGTTCAAACAGCTCAAAATGTGGTTGACTGCTCCCAGTTCAGTTTTTACACAAATTATAGCATACCGTGCTTTTTTGTGGAATACCTCGATATGTTGAGTACACCAGTCCGTTTAATCTGCCGCTGTCCTCTTCGTGTCTTAGACAAAATCTAGATATCTTATCAGAAAGCATTACCTGCAACGTCTTCGAAGTGTATTGTCTGGTCGATATTACCTAGGCATTCTCCAGGCAGTTGTATGTGAGCTTGCTCAGGCGCTGTACGGTTCAACTGGTAAGGCTACACTTATTGGGATTGAAAGCCTTCCTTCCGTCTGCATGTTAGTAGGATATGAGCATTGCTACTATGTGTTACATGGCTGCCCTCCTAGGCTTCCATGTCTTGCTTTGGTTCTGTCCCAGCTCTGCTCTTTTCCTGCGCGGACTACGATAATACTGCCTGCACTGACGATCCATCGTACGTATCGGTTTTTGAGATCATTTAACACGCTATATGATGATTCCAACATGTATATAGTGCGCCCGATTTGACCACGGCACCACGACGACTACCACGGTACCTTGGTGACCGCAAATCCTGTGCTTTCAGCAGACCCAAAGGTGCAGCTCCATCCTTGTGGACTGCCCAATCAGTGATTTTAGCGTAAAACACGTCCTGGACCGGTAAGCCAATCACAATTCAGGGATACAAGGCTAGCGCAACACTTGTCATCGCGACTTGGGAACGATTGCGCTCAACAAATGTCCCACAAACTTCATTATTGCTTCGGCTTCAATCTAGTCAACAGCCATCCCGAACTCTTAAACACAATCTGAACTGTTGACAACAGCAGCTGTTTCAACCTTTCCTACCATAAATCCTAGGTTCGAGTTAGGTCTAGCAAAATCCCTAACATTACCTGCCCTTATGCAGTCGTAAGACAACCACGACCAAGGTCTATTACATTCTGTATCACCTATGAGAGGCTTCAGATATTTGCAATTGTTGCTCTTCTCATTTACCCCGCACTTCGCCATTAGCAGTCTATTACCAGCGCAAGCGGACTAAGTAACAAACGCACTTCGGCGCCTAACATTGTAAACAAACAGGACCACTACGACTCAAAAGACAACAACCACACTCAACATGCCACCCCAAGAAAGTCAGAATATAGCAGAACTACCAGTATGGCTGTCGGAGAAAGCTCAAAATGCCGAAAAGGCGTCCGGCGTAGGACCAGACGCGTGGACAAGGATCATACAAAAGACGAGAGCACATGCTGAAGCGAACAGCGAAGAGCATCAGAACAGCATGCGTTTGCTAGGCAAGAAGATGAACGAGCTTCGAGCGAAGTATGACTTGAATCCATTCAAGAATGTGGAGCAACAACGATCTACGTCAGATGATTTTGTGGTGCAGCCCAAAGCCATCATACCGGCACAGAATGGCATCAAGCGTAAAGCCCCAACCCAAGCCCATATACCAGAGGACCCTCGCGCTAAAAGGCCGAGGGTTCAGAAGACGCAGTCATCGCAAGAGGATATCTCTAAGAAAGCGAAGGCAGATGCAGAGAAGCAAGCGGAATGTCGAGACGCACAGCAGAAGAAAGACGATGCGTACAAAAAATCCATGCAAAACGTGGGGGAGCGAGCTGATAAGGTTGAGCAAATGAGAAGACTGAAGGATACTCTCAAAGGGAAGCCAGCCAGCACAGTGTTTGCCGAATCGTCGACTACAGGCACATCACCGGACCGGACGGCTGCACAAGCAACAACGGCTATAGTAGCAGCAAACAAGCCAGATACCACGAACACCATACCATCAAACGTCTTACCTGTTTCGGAAAGCAATACAGACAGATATGCCGTACGAGCACCGCTGCCGGAATGGTATATATCTATCTCCATAAAGGGTCATATGATGGAGGCGATGAGCAAGAAGCGACCCCCAGAGCTCACTTCACTGGAAGCCCTCAAAACTTGTATAAGACAATGCGAAGACACAAATTCCGCTATGCAGCTTGACAAGCTATATGATGCTCTTCGCGACCATGTACACAAGGCTGAAATACGACTTGAGGTCAATCGCTTCCTCGTCAGGAAGGCTAACATGCTGAGCCCTGACTACGGACTTCCTCGCATCTTCAGAGCAGGAACAAATTTTCCATGGGATCTGAAAGCAGATGCATATCAACTGTACAACCGCTGGTGGAAGAACGACCTGAACCAAGATATTCTCCGCGGTATCGTATCTAACAGAACTGGAAACCGCACGAGTGACCGCCTCGACGAAACCTACCGTAAACGATTCTCCATCGATGCGAAACATTACGGGAATGGCGACCTCGTCCTAGGGCAGTGGTGGCCAACTCAGCTCTGTACTGTCCGTGATGGGGCTCATGGCTCAGCCCAAGGCGGCATCTACGGTGAAAAGGAGCGCGGTGCCTACTCCATTGTCCTCTCAGGTGGCAATGGATATCAGGACGTCGACAACGGCGACGTCATCGATTACTCCGGCACACCAGGCAAAAATTCCACACCTACAGAGAACACTATCCATCTGCTCAAATCCGCTGACCTGGGTAATCAAATCAGAGTTATTCGCTCTGCGCAGCTCAACAAGAAGAACAAGTACCGGCCCGAGCTAGGCTTGAGGTATGATGGTCTGTATCGGGTGACGAGTTACACAAAGACTGATCAGGAAACGGCGATGTATGAGTTTCGGCTAGAGAGGTGTGAAGGGCAGGATCCAATCCGGTTCGAAGGTAAGGCAAAGCGACCGAGTTTCTACGAGGTCAAGGAGTATGAGAGACTGAAGGATAAGGTGTGATAGTGTGATAGGACTATCAGAGTAGATGGATAACATGTTTGCTTGTAAGAAGGTAAATCGGTCACAGAGAGGCCACGATTTGGCTTATCTCGAGTGGTATCCACCGTCTCACTGATGTCGTATTCTGCTCGAATTGGACCGGCAAGGTTGTAGGTTTGGTGGGTGTGGCAATCTCTTTTGTTTCCTTCTTGTGTTCGTTGGGCCGTTCCCTACTCAAAGTACCACTTATCCACTTTCTAAAAGCGAGAGGATGTTCTAGTCCATAGGACACATGTTTTGTTGCTGATCTACGAAGTAGCTCATTCATTCTCAATTGCGCTCTCTTACCAGAACTGAGACCCTAATAGTATACACAAACATCTTCGTCACCATCTCAACAAGAAGGTAACAACGTATACTCCTAGGACAGACTGTTCGTGATATATCTCTAGGTACACGTCATTAAGAGAAAACAAGTTTTTTCTTTGAGCACCTATAGATAGGAACATCAGCCACCTCGTAAGGAATCTGCTAAGATAGATCCTTTTACTCACATCATTTGGAACACCTTGCTTGCCGTCGCGTATGTCACATAATGACAAAAAAAAAAGAATTGTTTGGGGAAACCTCTGCGTTCTATTGCAGTCATGTTATCGCATATGGTGTATCTATACCGGCAAATTTGCGATACCCAACACCAAACATCCGATATAGTACTCGATTAAATAAACAAAACCATCTACTCGTTGTCACTCTCTTCCTCGTCGTCATCATCCATCTCCAGGTCTTCGTCGCTTAGACCGTCAAGATCAACCTCCTCTTCTTCCTCCTCTTCGTCATCATCCTCCGCGGCAAATACATCACCGTTACTCTTCTCGTGCTTTTCAGATTCCTTCCTCTTCCTGTCCTCCGTTTTCCTTGCTTCCTCGAGCAACTTTTGCTTCTGCTCTCTGCTCTTCCTTTGCCCTGCCACAAATGCACCTAGTGGGCTCTTGTCCCATTCTACATCCTTCAAAAAGCTTTCCACGCCTGCACGGTTGTTGGGCGCAAACTCGACCTTGTTGCGCTTCTCTTCAACCCATCGAGAGTTTGCTTCTAGCTTCTGGACAAGGAGTGCGATAAGCGAGGATACCTTGGTGTTCTTGTTTCCGCTGCTCTTCTTGGTGATCGCCTTCACCCATCGCTTGAGCATAACAATGACGGGGAGTGCGAGTTCAGGGAAAGCAATGTTCTTGGTCCAAAGGATGAAGAATTCGGCCAGAAGCTCGGCGACCTGCTCACCGATGCCGTCTTGGTAGATGCGCGTTCGGAGGAAGGCTTTTGATGCGCGGATACTGATGCTGAAGTCGAGAGCTTTCAGCGTGCTGGGCTTTGGGGGCTTCTTCATCTCTGCGGAGTTGAGGACTTCGACCAGGGCAGGCGCCAAGGGTATGTAGGTCGATGTCGCTTGGGCGATACGAAGGAGCGATCGGATGAGCTGGAAACGGAGAGGGAAGTATTGCGACGTCGGAATAAGGCGCATGGCACCTAACGTGACCTGAACAACAGGATATATGAGGGGTCGTAGAGGTGATGGCTTTCCAGCCTCTGCTTCCCTGAGCGATTCGCAATGCATTGAAATGACTCTTGACCAGAAGTCTAGCGAGTGAATGTACTGCCAGTTGTATACGGTCTTGTATGAGTCCTTTGTCTTGTTGGTGATGCTTGTGCGCAGATGTATCGCGAGTTGGCGGATGAAGCCAAAGCCGGTGGTGTAGCCGACGGTAGGATCGATGCCCCAAAGCTCAGCCGCGGTGTTCTTCATCAGGTTGATTCCCTGGATGTTGTGGATTGTGGTATTCCTTGCACTCTTGACAAGACCTTGGTAAACCTGCTTCAAGACAGCCTCGCGAATACTTGGGTCTGCGATGACGACGAGTCTTCGCAGTACCAAGAAAGCCGACACTCTTGTTCCGTCATTGTTGGCGCTGTCGGACCAGACCGACGCGACCGACCGAATAACCTCACGTACAACCTTCTTAAAGGATAGAATGTATGGGAGCATGTTGGAGAGCGAGTCTAGTGTCATCTGTAGGGTCTTGGAATCGGACAGGTTCTCAAGGAGGTGATGTATCGAGACGGTATGCGACTTGAGGAGGGGCGTGAGGGTGCGGAACTTCTTTGAGTCGGTAGGAACGCGACTGTGGTTGTTAGTGGCCATAGGGAAGGATTGCTGTGGGTTACTTACATCCTGCCGCCAGCGCTCTCCTTGACAGGCAAGTGATGTTGGAGTACCTTGGGTACTAAGTGAAGAGTTGTCACTTGCACTTGGTGGTAGACTGTGTGCTGTCAGTCTCGTGTCATGTATAGAAAGTGGGCTGCATACCATCTGGGTCGGTAATGGAGTACTTGTATGTTTTGGAGCTCTCCGAGTCGTTCATGTGTGATGCAGCGCGGAAGGCCAGAACCACCTCCTTCATGGCGCGCAGGGAATGTTTTGATTCCATGGAGGCTTTCCATTTTTGGACCGTCTTCAGGTTGAGCTCATTGCCCGAATCTTGGTCGTCGTCGTCGTCGTCGTCGTCGTCGTCGTCGTCGTCGTCGTCGTCGTCGTCGTCGTCGTCTTCAACAGCGGCTTTCTGCTTCTTTCTCGGAGTGGTCTCGTCTTCACTAGCGGACAGGGCGTCAATCTCTGCAAGATCGGCGTCTTCGGCAAAGTCCAAGAGTTCCGCGTCGTTCTCCTTGAGGTACTTGTAGAACTCGGGGTCCTTCTCTGCCAAACCAGCAAGCTGCTCCTTGTGTGTGTCGACATCGTCAGCCGAGTCGCTGTCGGAGCCAGACTCGTCTGAGGCTTGGTCGGCATCCTCGTCGACTGGTGTGCGTTTGCGCTTGCCCGTCTTTGGCTTGGTCGACTTCTTCTTCATCTCGGGGATCTGGAAGCCGCCCTGGAAGAATTGGTCCATGGACATGTCGCCCAGCTTGTCGTCTTTGGCGCCATTCGTCTTTGGCTTCTTCGCAGCTTCTTCGTCTAGGTCGGCGGCCTTTTCGTTGTCTCTGGCCTTGCGCTCCCTCTTCTTGGCGTCCATCTGCTTCCTCTGCTTGACTTTGGCGACATCCTTGCGGCGCTTGATGACGTCGCCGAGCTTGTCCTTTTGGAACTTCTTGGTCGCCTTGGACACGGGCATCTCGGCGGGCTCTGGCGTCTCGTGGTAGTCGGGCGAGTGGTGTTGACGGAGCGTGCAGCTGGTGGTTGAAAAACTTGGGCCTCGAAAAAGTTCCAGCGCTAAGGACCCTGCAATCACTAGCGCCTTCCCCACGCGGTGGATGGAGGCATGCTTGATTGAGCTGTCCAAAGATTGCCTTGGTCCAACCATCCAGAATGTCTTATGGCGGCAGGCAGCTGGCCTACGCGCCGACGCCCTACATGCCGCGCTCCAATCTCTCCGCGACCATCAACCTTGACGAGGTATGACGCGCCCAGCCCACGCCCGATGCGCATGCTCACCGTGGCTCTAGGAAGTCAAACTGTCTGCAACCAATGCAGAGCGCGACTTGAACGACTCGCTGGCCGAGATCTACAGCATCATCATCACGCTCGATGCCATAGAGAAGGCCTACCTGAAGGACTCCATCGCCGAAGCCGACTACACCGAGACATGCAACCGGTTGATGAAGCAGTACAAGTCCAATCTTGCCAATGAGACAGTCGCGCAAGCATTTGGCACTCTGGACCAGTTTGCGAAGGAGTGGCAGGTACGTAATGGCACGTCGAGCTGCTTCCCTCTGCACTATGCTGATACGGCTGCAGATGGAATGTCCCCGAGCCATCGAGCGACTACGCGTTGGCATACCCGCGACTATCGAACAAGGTCCATCGAGACCAACTCAGGGAGGCGACTTTGCTGATGCGACGCTCGTCGTCAACGCGACCGAGACTTTCATCACTCTGCTCGATGCCATCAAGATTGGGCTGGTAGAGAAGGACACACTGCATCCTCTGCTTGTCGAGATCATACAAGCTGTCAACAAGGTCACGGACGTCGATTTCGAGAGCAAAGGCAAGATTGTGCAGTGGTTGATTACCCTGAACCAGATGCGGGCGGCTGAGAAGTTGAGCGACGAGCAGGCGCGCGAGTTCCAATTTGACATGGACTCGGCCTACTATGGCTTCAAGACAACCCTGAAGAAGGCTTAGAGGATTGGCAACATGTCTCTTTGTATTCTCGTGTATGCGCTGCTCGTGGTGCCTTGACTTTAGCCCCGCCATGGCTAGCCCGGGCCCACGTTGGACCTTGGTGAGTACCGCCGCCCCGCCTACCAACAATTTTCCCGCGCCTTCGCCATAGTCGGTCCAACATGGCCATGCTAGACGGTATACACACGCGCCTTGCATCAATCTGTCTTGGTGCTAAATCCGCATGCAGTCCTCGACCTACCCCAGCTTTACACCAAGCCCTCCGCAGAGGCCCTCCTCGACACGCTCGCGCTCCTCACCACCGGTCCGCGGTCATGGGAATACACAAGCACGAGTGATGAAGCCGGTAATCGAGTGGATTCTGGTGAGCCTGTTGTCCACGTCAACCCAGAGGGCGTCACACGATATCTCACTACCATCATCAGTAGCGGTTTACAATGGATTCAAGACGATGAGGTCAAGGAGCGCATCTGGGATCAGGCCAGCGCCCGGCTGAGCGAGCGCTCCGGTCGATCTGCCATGAGCACCATGTCTCGCACATTCCAAATCCCTACCGCCTCTGAATCGTTCGAGCTCAAGATTCACGAGCCTGCTATGACAGGCGACGATCTAGGCCTGAAGACATGGGCTGCTTCATACATGCTTGCTAAGCGCCTCAAGAGCTTCAACCTCGTGCTGCCAGATACACATGAGAGGTTACAGGTCCTGGAGCTTGGGTCTGGTACCGGTTTAGTAGGATTAGCAATGGCCGGCCTTGGCGCAGACGTTGTTCTGACAGACCTACCCAGCATTTGCCCGAACCTGGCCTACAATGCGCAGCAGAATCGAGAAATTGTCAGTCTCAATGGTGGAGCAGTCCGCACAGCTGTGCTTGACTGGACACATCCCACTCACTGTGAACCTTTGCCAAACGTCAACGGTACTGGCGACAATCTAGTCATTCCTGCAAAATTCCCCTTAATCTTGGCCGCAGATTCACTATACTCTCCACATCACCCACGCATGTTAGTTGATACCATTGCCGCTTGGCTTTCTCCGGACAACGACGCTAGAGTAATCATCGAGTTTCCATACAGAGACTGTTACTTGCCCGAGATCAAGGACTTCCGTCGCCGGATGCTTGAGCTCGGCTTAGAGATATTGGAAGAGGGAGAGGAGAGGGGACGGGATGACTGGGGACCGTCAGAGACAAGCGAAGATCCAGATGATGAAGCGCTCGTGACTTGTTGGTGGTCATGTTGGAAAAGGCAAATTTCAAGGGCCAGCTGAGAGATGCTATCAACATTGCCGCACATTACCCTCCTAGAAGAACCGGCGAGGTTAAGCTAAGGCAAAATGGCAAGGTGCCCCCACGAACCGCATGACCCGCGATTTGGTTTGGTCATTCGCATAACCACGGCGCTCAATAGCGACCTCGGAGCAATGCCGAGATATCCACACGAACTTTCCAAGAACAGTGATGCAAGCGCCGGATAATTTTAACGGATAATTTCACTGCTTCCAGACTCCCGCCTTTCGGTGGAGGGGCACTCCTAACCAGGGCGGGATAGCTTGCCGCGAGCTACCAGGATCCACCATTTCCTTCGTCATTAGCATCTCACTTGCGCGCGGGTTTTGAGAATTGACTTTCACTTCTTTCTTCATATACAGTTGCCCGGAACATTGTTGCGAGTAAATCTATAATCTTTTCAATACCTCATGATGGCGACACAAACAGCGACCCAGAAGGTAAAGCCATAATGCCCCACCATCAACCCCTCCATACATGCTTTACCTTGAAAACATCACAACAAATGGTCTTGACGCGTCGATTATATACACCAGTAACTAACAAACTTTCAGAACCCTTCTTTCATCCTCCAAGCCAAGGACAAGCTCACCTACGAAGACCGACCAATTCCCGAACTCCCCTCTCCATACGATGTCATCATCAGACCACGATGGACCGGTATCTGCGGTTCGGATGTGCACTACTGGGTTGAAGGGCGCATCGGTCACTTTGTAGTTGAGAAGCCCATGGTTCTCGGCCACGAATCAGCTGGTGTCGTACACAAAGTTGGCGACAAGGTCAAGAGCCTAAAAGTTGGTGACGAGGTTGCTATGGAGCCCGGTGTGCCTTGCCGCCGTTGCGTACGATGCAAAGATGGAAAATACAATCTTTGCCCTGACATGGCCTTTGCTGCCACACCCCCATACGATGGCACACTCGCGCGGTATTACACACTGCCAGAGGACTTCTGCTACAAACTTCCCGAGAACATGAGCATGGAGGAGGGTGCGCTTATCGAGCCTACCGCTGTCGCTGTACACATCACAAGGCAAGCTGCGATCAAGCCCGGAGACTCGGTCGTAGTATTCGGTGCAGGTCCCGTCGGTTTGCTGTGCTGCGCTGTCGCAAAGGCATACGGCGCAAAGAAGATTGTGACTGTAGACATCAACGACGAACGCCTCAACTTTGCACTCAAGTATGCCGCAAACGCAAGCTTCAAGAGCCAAAGAGTGAGCGCACAAGGAAACGCCGAGAATTTGATCAAGGAATGTGATTTGGGTTCGGGCGCAGATGTCATTATCGATGCGTCGGGTGCTGAGCCCTGTATTCAAACCGCCATCCACGCGCTACGCATGGGCGGAACATATGTTCAGGTACGTTTCTGTCTGCTCGTCCATCTTCAATAAAACGATACTAATCAAAAACTAACAGGGTGGCATGGGCAAACCCGACATCAACTTTCCCATCATGGCCATGTGCACCAAGGAACTCAATGTCAAGGGCTCCTTCCGTTACGGCTCAGGCGACTATCAAACCGCTATTGACCTAGTGGCTAGCGGACGCATCTCAGTCAAGGAACTCATCACCGGTAAGGTCAAGTTCGACGAGGCGGAGAAGGCGTTTGCAGATGTCAAGGGTGGCAAGGGCATCAAGATATTGATCGAAGGCCCTGCTGAGCAGTAACCCCCTTCTCTTTTTGGATGCTTTAGTCGTAGTGGTTCAGGGGATTTTCTTTGAAGGTTTTTGTCAAAGGGTATCATACCCGGTGGTGTGCATTGGTGCTGGGGCACAGAGCAGGGAGGTTGTGTAGGAAATATCGTAGGACCGCTAGACGAATCTGAGGTCATGTCATCATCAAATCCACTTTAAGCCTCACGAAAAGTGCATGTAGTGTGATAGCGATGTCGCTTATTCTAGCTATTGAAATTATGGCTTCGCTGTTCCCGGGGTAAGACAAGAAGAGGGCTAGTAAGAACCCAGGCCCTGAGGCGCAAGCTGTTAGAGGGCTGTTAGAGGGCCGTTAGGCCAAGGCACGAAGACGGCTGAGCGAAGTAGCAGAAAGTGGGGATGGAGATGGGGATCAAACGAGGGGTTGCCTCAGGTCTCTTAGTAGCATAGCACGTAAAACTTCGACTCTAGAGAATGAATGCATGGGATGTTAGACGAACAGATTTCAAGCATAGTTGTCATAAATGTCTCTTTGGGTTGTTCTTGATTTGTTCATTTGATTTGGGTTTCGTTCGTTTGATATAGTTGGTTGATATCGTAAGGTGGTGATGTTGCTCTTCTTTGACGCTAGGAATGAGCGCCCTCCGCTCGTAGGCGGTTCGGGAAAAATACAATCGCTAAATCAGGGTCTGCCAGAGAGATGGTGCGTACGTCGTCTACGTGGACATGGTACATGGTAATGCGAGAAATGCGTTGGTGGGTATAGTTTGTGTGAAGCGAAGGGGTTCTTTGTTGCTACAGTGGCCGAACTATGCGGTCATCTTGCGTGCTGTGGAGCCGCGCTTGGGTAGAGTCCATGGCTCGGGACAAACAATCTGTTTTGACGTTAGCCAGAGAATTCATTGAACAGTTGAAAGGCAAATTTGCATACCTCGCCTTCGCTAAATGCCCAGAAGTACGCTCCCATGCCGATGATGTAGTAGAGTCCCGAGTTGGTGCCTTGGTAGATCAGAAGGGCACATAGTGCACTCAGTGGGTAGACAATCAGGCGGGCTTCAATTGAACGATGTAGTCCGGTGCCTGCGAGCAGCGGTAGTGGCCATTCCCAAGCGAGACCGATGAAGCCGAGGATGATGTTGATGATTTGTAGTACGGGCACAGGCTTGACAGCACCATCGAGGTTCTTGGTGAGGAAATCCCAGAAGATCTTGGGCCAGAAGAAGCATTCAAGTGCAGCTCCTATTTGATCTAGTTGTAGAATTAGTACTGTTGCTAAGATTATGACTTACACGCAGCAGCCGTGAGGATGACTAGGCGCGCCCAGTGGTTCTTGATTAACTTGCCCATTGTCGAAGATTAAAAAGAAAGGATACGAGCAATAAACCGAGCCCGCGGTCGTATAAGAAAGGGAAAATAAAATAGAAAAACGTGAAGAAAGAAAGTAAACGGAGAATGTCCCTTCGACTACCAGTAGCCTCAACGACAGATGAGCATCGACTTTGGTTGGGTGTGGCAGGGCGGGTTTTGTTATAGTAATGCCTTGTTCGCAGCGGCGGTTCGCAGGCGGTGCGAAAACGGCAAGGCTTCTTTGTGGTCAGGCACGGGCAGTACGAGTGGAGTTGATAGTGGACAGGTATTATGGATGGCTGAGGCGTAGGCGAGTATCAGGCGTGTTAGGTGTTCAGGCAGCGTGGTGTTGCCGTTGAGCTTCGCGACGTGAGGTGTGTCAGTACGTCGGGAGCGACAGCGGATGTCGACCGCAATTGTAGAGACAGTTTATGCGCCAGGGCTTGCATCTCAACCCTTGTAGCTCTCGCTCGGCGAGCGCTGGGGTCGAAGATGGTGCCCTCGCAGCCGCTTGACCCGCTTCGCCAATGATTGTGCGTGTGTAACGCTTGATTGGCTAGCTGCTGTGATGCTGCATGCGACGCCAGCCTCTCTGCAGCCATGGTGCCAGCATCCTGGATCGCGCCGCCATTTTAGTCTATCCTATGAACGGTTGATGCTCACCCGCTTGGCACAGGTAGTGTAGCGTGGGCGGAGCTAGGCGTGTGAATCTTTGCATTCACGTGGCTAATGGCGAAAGCAAGCTGCCATTGTTGAAGACTTGATGACTGTTCTACGGCTTGGACATTACTCGATGGTCATACCGCCATTTTCTCGATAGTGGTGATTAGGTCGTTGATGATTTGAAAAGCGCGCTCTGCGCAAACCGGTCTGCCATGTCTGTATCGCCGCGCAAACGTGTGCCGTGAATTCTGCTCCTCGAGTAGGTTGTTCTCCACAGCTATCGCCATGTGCGGCACGGCAGTACTCGAAGAATCCGTCCCGACGGATGCCTGAGTCCCGGTTTCTGTTATGTGCCTCAGGTTATCGAACCGCGAACCTGGCGCATGACGATCAGTCATCTGCATGGAAGATGGTATCGAAGGCCCCTCCTGGTTACTCAGGCACGCTCATCAAACAACATCATACGACAAAGTTTACTTCAGATGCACCTCGTGGCTTTCAATGCCGTCACGGTGGGGTTTGGCAGCCATGGCAGACGTTGAGACAAACAAAGTGGTACGATACTCGTTCGGTATCAGTTCGTCGTGCCAGTGAAGCTTTTCACAGGGCCCTGTCGGAGAATTGCTTGTGGTTAACGAGGCGTCGATCAGAGTCCATGTGCGATTGTGTGTAGAACAATGGCCTGATGTTGTTTTCTGCACGTGTACTTTGATCCATCGTCGAGCAAAAGGAATGTGCTGCTACCAGACGTGTTTACGCCGTTTCCCAATAGGGAGAACCACGATATTCCATCGCGGAGCCTTGGAATCATAGAAGCATACTTGCCTACAAATCAGCCAGTCTGGCCCTTCACCATCACTCAGCATCGCAGCCATTTGCTCTCTCATCACATCGCCCAGAACCACTTCTTCTCGGCTTTCTTCGCACTGCACACCGCTTCTCACATCACGGCCCTAAGGTGGGACTAATGAGAATTGATACTCAAAATCGGCCATCCACGAGGCCGGCAATTCGCATGTTGCCGTTCGTCCAGCCGTGTTCGATGGAGACGGTCCCAAAATAGAGGCGAGATCTTGTACACCTGCAGCCCAGCACAGCGCAGTAGCGGGCTCAAACTTTGTGGGGGTACTCGAGCGCTTCGAGACAGTCGTCCATTGGCTGCACGCGCCACGCCAATGTTCGCCCGTTAGATTTGGTGCTACCAACCACAAGCACAGAGTGCCTTCAACAGCAATGAATTCAAGCCTCGGCGCCTCTAACGCGAAAGCCACGGCAGGCTCATACCATGATTTTTCTCGCGTCTTCGGTGCCGTCTTCTGCGCAAGGGGCGGTAGTTTAGGAGCAAATCCGCCACCCAGACAAGTACCTGCAAACGACTGTCCTCGCCGACTGCCTACCACAGTCATATTACCAGCCTCTGCAGTCTAATCTAACGATATTTACGAAGCGAATTCCACTTTCAGCGATTCATTGAGATACCCGGCCTGAATTCTCTACTTCTCGGACACGGCTTCCAACGTACATCGTTTCAGCACGTCCCCGCCTACGCCTTGTACACCCCATCAGAACTTTTGAGCTCATCTGTCATCTGTACCCCTCAAAGAACACCGTCCGAAACCTTGCTACGACGGCTCAGGCTCATCTGTCAGATCGTATCCAAGTCTAAGGTTTGACAGTTGCAGATCGTACAAGTTGCAGCATTCTAGGGTTGTCTCCGTTTTTACCAGCAGCCTCACCAACACCAACCCCCAATAAACCCATTAGCGAAACGGTCTTCGCTTCGCCGCATACCGGCATAGACTGAACTGCGCATTGTCCAAGATCAATCGTCCATCTTGAGGCCCCGAACATACCACCGTCCTTGCAAGGAAAACATGGTTCTGTGCCTGGCGCTTCAAGTCTGAGACGCTCTTCACACACTAGCTGCTTGCGCATAGCCGCAAGCCCCTCTACCAACTTCAATACCCCAAATCCAGTCCTTAGGCTCATTCAGGTTTGGCGCCACTTGAATTCCTCTGCATCACTGCTCTTCCTGGTCATCTCTTCAGTCATCCATCTTAACGCACTTGGTATACGGCAGACTCGTGGGGCATCGGTTTGAGCCACTTCCGTACCGAACAGGGCCTGTCGGTTTCAGCACAGCGTGCCGCTCTACCCAGGTTTCCACGGCTTTTACCACCTGATCTGCGCACATTGACTCGGCTTGTTCCAAGGCTTGACATAATAATACCCTTGGTGCCCGGCGGCCTTGGATCGTCCTCCACATCCGCACGCTCTCTCCCTACATCACTCCCTTCGTCCCGGGACACCGACATTCTTTTCTTCACTTCGTATCTGGCTGGCCGGGTCGAACTTCGACTGGATCGTTTATTTCCTGGTTGAGGTTCGCTTATACCACGCGTATACTCTTTAATCCTTCTCATAATAACCGTTGAACGGCACACCCAACACAGACTTTGGACGAAACATAAACCGGTTACCGCAAAAGATACTCCATCATGGGAGCAGGCGGAGGCACATCGTTCGCTAGGCTCTTTACGCCACAAAAGATAGCCTTTCATTTCTTCTTCTGGGGATTTCATTGGGCCCTTTTCGGTATAGGATGGTAGGAAGGTTGTGCCTGTATTGTTGATCCTATTTACTGACTTAATGCAGGTGGAAACAACAGGGAGATGCACGTTTGGCGCCACTGAATGCCCTTCAGTACTCAGTATGGGTATCTCGGGGTGCAGGTCTTGTTCTGTCTGTTGACACAATGGTTATCGTCATGCCTATGTGCAGAAATATCCTCCGGTGGCTCCGCCCGAAAGTGCGCGTGCTGCCACTTGACGAGTCCCAATGGTTTCACCGCCAAGTCGCCTACGCTATGCTGTTCTTCACTATCCTCCACGTGGCGGCGCATTATGTCAAGTGAGTCGACAGTGACCTTATCGAAACTTTCGACATGTACTGACAAGCATAGCTTCTTCAATGTTGAACGTGTGCAGGTCCGCCCTCAGATCGCGCTACAAATCCACTACGCCGAGGCTGGTGGTATCACAGGGCACATTATGTTATTATGCATGCTTCTGATCTATACTACAGCGCACCACAGGATCCGACAGCAGTCATTCGAGACGTTCTGGTACACGCATCACTTGTTCATTCCGTTTCTACTCGGCATGTACACGCACGCAACCAGCTGTTTCGTCCGTGACACTGTCCCAGCTTTCTCTCCCTTCGATAGCGACAATTTCTGGACTCACTGCATTGGTTACGAGGGTTGGCGATGGGAGCTCGTTGGTGGCGGCCTCTACTTCTTCGACCGTTTGTACCGAGAGATTCGTTGCAGACGCCAGACACAGATCGTCAAAGTTGTGCGCCACCCATACGGTAAGCAAAACACCACAATCAGCAAACCCAAAAGAACGCAGCTAACAATGTTCAGATGCTGTCGAGATCCAATTCACGAAGCCCAGCATGAAGTACAAGCCAGGACAGTGGCTCTTCCTGAATTGTCCTGATGTCAGTTACCACCAGTGGCATCCATTCACCATCACTTCCTGCCCCAACGACCCGTATATTTCTGTTCACGTACGTCAAGTCGGTGACTTCACCCGCGCTCTCGCCGATGCCCTTGGTGCCGGTCAATCGCAATCAAAGCTCTACGACGAGCTCGACCCTATGGGCATGTACGAGATCGCTCTTCAGCACGGCCAAAAGATGCCTGCTCTACGTATCGATGGGCCTTACGGAGCTCCCGCAGAAGACGTCTTCGAGAACGAAGTCGCAGTTCTTATTGGCACCGGTATTGGTGTCACACCATGGGCCTCGATTCTCAAATCTATCTACCACCTCCGCCTCAGCCCGAACCCTCCTAAGCGTCTCCGTCGCGTCGAGTTCATCTGGGTCTGCAAAGACACGTCGTCATTCGAATGGTTCCAGACCTTGCTTTCATCGCTCGAAGCTCAATCTCTCGGTGGTGCGGATGGAGACCAATTCCTGCGGATCCACACATATCTCACACAGAAGATGGATGTTAACACTGCGCAAAATATCGTGCTTAACTCAGTGGGCACTGACAAGGACCCACTCACCGAACTCAAATCCCGCACCAACTTTGGACGTCCAGACTTCCAGCGCCTGTTCTGCGGTATGCGAGATGGTATTCTGGACCGCACATACATGAACGGATTAGAAAGCACTCTACGCACAGAGGTTGGTGTTTATTTCTGTGGTCCCAACGTTGCGGCTAGGGATATTAAGAAGGCATGCAAGCAGGCAGCATGCCAAGAGGTCAACTTCAAGTTCTGGAAGGAGCATTTCTAAGCGAACCAAGACATGTACTGATACGAAGAATTGGATAGGCGTATTGAGGTTGTGTGTTACGATTAGCCTTCAGAGTAGCCGTCTACGGATGCACTCATTTTTATGTGTCTCTATCCACAAATGCGGATTCAAACAAAGAATTATTTTCGAATCCTTTATTGTACTCGAATTGATGTTGATATGAAACTTGGTGTATATGTTGGGCTGACAACACCTAATGGATATCGTGATGCATGTTGAGACGGTATGGAGACGAATATTATTACGAATGTCTCAGCAGATTCCAATGAGAACCATCGAACCATTCTCAGTCCACTCTGATATCCTTCAATCAACCCTCTTGCACTCATGCACACCTCTATTCGCCTCGCCTCCCTACAGCCTCGCCTCGGTATCTGGTCCTTCCGACCCAGCGCATGATGAAACACGAAGCATGCACACATCCTCATCAAGTCAGCTTAATTATTGCGTCAATTCTCCACGTACCAAGTCCATATTGGCAAGCAAATGACGAATGCTCAGGCCCAAAAGGTCAGAAAATAGAGCGGTGCGACAATGGGTCGTTGGGATGAAGGACGAAGAATCGCAAAGGCGTAAGGCCGCCTGTCTCAAGCCGATTCGTGTAGGCGCGCGCGACCTCCGCTGTCTAAGGTCGATGCTTTACCACTAATTTTTCGAACATGTCCACGTTGACGTAGATTATGGGTTTTGTTCTGTATATAGCCATCGATAGCGCGATTCGCGTTCTAACATCGCCACAAATTGCGGCGCAGCCTTCCAGCACGAACACGTGTCGATGGGAACAGGGACGGCTCGTCTGATGTGCATACGGCGCAGTTAGCTCTATAGGCTGTGGTGGCTCTATGCGTCTTGCTGATCGATGGACAAGGTACGCCTTGAGATCAACGAAGATGAGATCTGTAGGTGACGTTCCGAGGTCTGCGCGACGCTGTGTTGCGCGTCCGATTTCTTCACGAGCGACACACGACTCGGCAAAAGCGAACAAGAATGTCGGACGATATGCTTGCGCAAACGTGACATATTAGTCCTTCCATCGCTCCTGCGTTGCAGTCCAACGGATGGATCTAGACCTCTCAATCGGTCAAATGCCGACCAGCTTCCACGTTCGTAGTCGGTCACGAGCCGAGACTCCGACAATTTCCAAGCCTAATCCACTCAACACCACGTCTCCAACATCGTGAAATCTGTCTTCGTGACCTAGGCTCAGGGTTCGGTGTAGGCTGCGCTACCGTATGCAGTATAGTTGCAGTTGGTACGCGCAGCCTGCAGCTGGACCCCTTCTACGCTTTCGCACGGAACTGCCTGACTCGGAAGCCGGTACTGCGCTTGCGTTGCGGACTTACACGCACTCCCATTCGTGGAAAGTTGTTTTCTGGAGGCGGTGTGTGGGGTTGGTCCTTTTCGGGGGTGACGTTTGAATGAATGGAGGTATTATTCACAAATGCCCCGCACCAATTGTGAAGGAGCGGAAGGGTAAAGTCTGGGTAGCAGCGGTAGCTAGATTGATAACTGCAGGCAGAAAAGAAGGGCCGCGGTAAAGAAGTTTAAGACCAGGTGATCTATTGACCTGGATGTCCCCCATTTGTTTACCTTTTGGTTTTCAATCGGACCTTCCTTCCTTCCCTGCTTTATAGTTCTCTTTCGTTCGTTCAATGGCATCTCTTCCCCTCTTCCACAGCTGGGCGTCGGAGATCAAAAACGCACTCAACATCGAAGAGAAACCTAAGATGAACGGCACAAGCACTGAGGCTGCGCCAGCAGCGGTAAACGGCGTCAGCAAGTCGAATGGCACTGATGTCAAGTTCTCAACCAAGGCGAACATTGGTGTTTACACGAACCCCGCGCACGATCTTTGGGTCGCGGAGGCGGAACCGAGTTTGGAGGAAGTGCAAAGAGGTGGAGACCTGAAGCCAGGAGAGGTTCTTCTCAATGTCAAGAGCACCGGTATCTGCGGTAGTGACATCCACTTCTGGCATGCTGTATGTTCTGATTTTTCTGCCTGGAAACAGGGCGCGGATAGAGCATTGGCATGTGCTAACAACATTCTCAGGGTTGCATTGGTCCTATGATAGTCGAGGACACTCACGTCCTGGGTCACGAATCCGCCGGCACAGTTATGGCCTGCCACCCCTCAGTAACAAACCTCAAGCCTGGCGACCGTGTAGCCATCGAACCCAACATCATCTGCGGTGAATGCGAGCCGTGCCTTACAGGTCGCTACAACGGCTGCGAGCGCGTACAGTTCCTCTCCACTCCTCCCGTCACCGGTCTTTTGCGTCGTTACCTCAAGCATCCAGCAATGTGGTGCCACAAGCTCCCCGACAGCATGACTTTCGAGGACGGCGCCATGCTTGAGCCTCTCTCCGTGGCCCTCGCAGGAATGGACCGTGCAAACGTCCGCCTTGGTGACCCAGTTATCGTTTGTGGCGCTGGTCCGATCGGTCTTGTAACTCTTCTCTGCTGCCAAGCAGCAGGCGCGACTCCCATTGTCATAACCGACATTGATCAAGGCCGTCTTGACTTTGCCAAATCGCTAGTCCCAGGCGTTCTTACCCACAAAGTGGAATTCAGCCACTCACCCACCGACTTCCAAGATGCCATCCTCAAACTCACAGATGGTGTTGAGCCCTCGCATGCCATGGAGTGCACTGGTGTTGAAAGTTCCATCAACGCTTGTATTCAGACTGTAAAGTTTGGCGGCAAGGTCTTCGTTATCGGTGTCGGCAAGAACGAGATGAAGATTCCTTTCATGAGATTGAGTACCCGGGAGGTAGATCTGCAGTTCCAGTACCGATACTGCAACACATGGCCCAAGGCCATCCGGTTATACAAGAGCGGTGTCATTGATCTGAGCAAGCTTGTCACTCATAGGTTCAAGTTGGAGGATGCGGTTGAGGCATTCAAGACCGCTGCGGATCCCAAGACTGGTTGCATCAAGGTGCAGATCCAGAGCTTGGATTAGATGTTTCTGGCGTTGTGTGACATAGATTCTTTATGATATTTATGACTAAGATGCGATGATGATGGGGCGGCAGGTCCGAGGGTGTTTTCAGCATTTAGATATATGGCGTTTTTGAGAGAGCTCTTATATGCTCAGCAATATCTCGCAAGATTGAGAACTTGAAGAGTGTCCGTGCCTTTTTGTATTTTGCTCATCTCTACTGCGACTCAGTCCAATGATGCCCAGCTACCCATTCGTGTAGTCATGTAAAGTCACCGGTTTACCTTGTACCATACAGACGATCTTACCTGAGACGCTCGCAACAACTCCGCCGCCCGGCCCTTTTTCTGTCTAAGAGGACCTGCTTATTCAGCCTGACTATTTCAACATGATATGAATCTGTAAATACACGCGTAAATCGTTCTAGACTTGGTGCGAGGAACATGGCAATGCCATCGAACTCTACAGTTGTGGTGGGTAGCGAGGAATCAGATGTGGCGTTCGGCGCCGAGGTGGTGGAGAGAATGCGGAGCATAGAGCCGGAGGTGTGGATCTGCAAGCACCAGTGTCAGTGTCGACGTAATGGATGAAGGGATGTTAAGAAGAAAAAAAGTACGTACTTCCTGGTATTGTACAACACCATGTCGCTTTGTTTCAAGGACCTACTTTCGGCGCCTGTATTCCTTTCCAATGCTCGTAGAATTGCCTGGAAGCTAGGTTACGGTTACGCAGTATGTATGTGAGCATCTGTGTAGGTCCTTTTCCTACCCGGTGCGTCATCGCTGTGGTGATGTCTTAAGCGTCTTGGGCATCTAGCCCCACGAGGCCATCAATCTGCCTCGTACATGTATGCTTTCATGACAGCATGTTACGGAAATATGGGCGCTGTAAGCGCAGCGTGGCCGACTTTGACGTTCGATGCCTGACATGTGTGCCTGCGCTTCCTGTTGGCATGGTTGCGACGGCTGTGTGGAAGTACAGTACCTAGATATGGTCGTGAATCTTGGTTTGTGTCGCTCGGCAGATTACATAACCGCCCATGGATGTCTACAACTCTGTTGCGATCTCTGCAATGGCTACATGTGGACGCCTGTAGTGTTAGACCAGGTTCCATAAGGCTGACGCGTGGTCGATCGAGTCGAAGGATACGCGACGCGACTGGGCTGGGAAACTATGACGACGTGAAGTCGCACATACACAGACTAACACTCCAACATGGCTCAGCCCCCACAACCGTTCGCTCCTCCTACCTGCCTTGTGTGTCCTGTATATCCACCTCCTTTCGCGAGCAAGAAGATGCATGGACACCGTTCACAACGTTTCTCCCCTCCAGCGCTCCATGTGCAAGGACAGGCGAGCCAGGGGCCCGGTCCGCCATAGTAGCAACGACCAATGAATTACAGCAAGCAATCTATTCCGTTCTTGCCATAATTGCGTGAGAAAACAGGGCCTACAGGTCGCTTGGAATTGACCCCTGGATCTTCATGTATGCGCATCCAATACTTTATGGCTAGGTTGGTTTTTGATAAGATTACTTGTCTGCTATTCCTCTCCAACATGTTCATCCTTCCTCACCTTCCAGCATCTGAAAATGCTGCTACTGACTGTCTTCGCCTTATGTTGTGCGATGATCGTGCAGGCTCGCTCACATCTTGGACGCACTGCCAAGGTCGTCGATGCGAGGCAGTTCACCAATGAGACGACCTATGATTTTGTCATCGTCGGCGGTGGTATTGCAGGGCTTACCATTGCAGATCGCTTGACGGAGAATCCAGATGGTAGATCACACCCAATCTCCAAGATGTTCAAGTTAACTTTTAGCGACAGTTACTGTACTAGTAATCGAATATGGCCCTTTCGACTTGAAAGAGGACGGCGTCATGATCCCTGGCGCATATTTCCCAGTACCGTACCTCTGGCTACCATTGATGAGTACACCACAAACCGCGCTTAATAATGCGTCGTTCGGTGTGCCATGTGGTAGAGTTGTGGGTGGTGGGTCTGTAGTCAATGCGATGTTCTTCCATCGATCGGATGCTGAGCTTTACAACGCTTGGGAGGAGCTGGGGGCCACTGGCTGGGGTTGGTTCGATCTGCTTCCATATTTCAAGAAGGTATATGGTCTCCTGGGCCTCGAAACATGACGCTAACCTGAATCAGAGTGAGACCTTTACAGCACCAGATGCAGAATATGCAGCAAGTCATAACATTACATGGAATCTCGCCATCCATGGCTCTGGTGGCCCTGTGCAAGCCAGTCATGCTCCGTACGACTACCCAGGAAGTGGTGAGCCAGCGTTGATCAGCTTTAGTTACTAAGATCTGACTGCCGGTATAGCCAATAAGTACAATGGAGCACTAAATTTGGGTATCCAGCCGAATTTGGATCCCAACGGTGGCCGCGCCCAAGGCGTATTCCGCCTTCTTCGCTCTATCGATCCTAAAATACAGACGCGTTCTTCAGCTCGCATCAACCGCTACGATAGGGATGCTGTAAGACCGAACTATCACATCCTTCCGAATACAGCAGTATCGCGTGTGGTTTTCGAAAATCTCACCGCTATAGGTGTTGACCATATTAGCACTTCCGATGATACGAAAGGTACTGTCCAAGCAAGCAAAGAAGTCATTATAGCTGCTGGAAGCGTACATACACCACAGATACTGCAACTCTCTGGGATTGGTGACCCAGCTCATCTCAAGAATCTCGGTATCAAGTCAATCTCCCAGCTTCCTGGCGTCGGTCGCAACCTGCAGGATCATCTAGTTCTGAAAGTGAATTACAATTGTACGTAGCCAATTACGAGTTTGAGAAGATAGAAGTACTGATCGATCCAGACACGTCCAACCACGTTCCAAACGGTGGATCCTTGCAGTCTAACGCTACATATGCCATGGAGCAACGCATTCTCTATAACACAGGGAAGCCGAGCGCATACGACCTTACTGGTACAACTGGCAATCTAATCATTCAACTGCCTCTTTCGAACTTCACAAACGCTTCTGTATCAATCATGTCTAAAGCGGCTTCAATATCTCCTGCCGATATACTAGGCAAAGATATCAACCCATCCATACTCGCTGGTTACGAGAAACAGCGTGCCATCATAACCAAGGGTATCAACACGGAGGCTGTGGGTGGCTTGTCATGGAACACTGGACCAGAGACAAGTATCTACATGACGCGTCCTTTTAGCCGTGGATCTATCAAGATAAAATCTACTAACGTTCTCGATGCCCCACTCATTGACTATGGCGCAATCACCGATTCAACCGATCTTGATATTCTGTATGCCATCTATATGAAAAATCGGGAACTTATGGCCACACCTGATCTTGCTGTCCTTGGTCCTATCGAGACAGCACCCGCGCCAGGCATTGAAAACGAAGGCGACATCAAAGAGAGTATCAAAGCAGCATTGGAGCCAAGTAACGCGCATCAATGTTGTACGGCCGCTATGATGGCAAGGAAAGACGGTGGTGTTGTCGACCCGCAAAACAGAGTCTATGGAACACGCAAGATTAGCGTAGTAGACGCGAGCACGTGGCCTCTTGTCGCTGGTGGTGGGCCACAGGCTAGTGTATATGCTGGGGCAGAGAAGGTAAGATACCGATAGGAGATTATATGACAGCCATCTTTGCTAACGGCATTTAGGCTGCAGATTTGATCAAAGAGCGTCACGGATTACTCTGATGTTCGTTTCTCGACCTTGATCATTGGTTTCGTAAGCCGACGCATGGACACTGGAGACGCCGTCGGATTTTGCGGTGTTATCGCACTTCACCATCTTACAAGCGTCAATCTCACTCCGAAGCTTAACTTCGTTGCCAAGTTATGTGCAACTTCATTTATAGTTTCCAAGTGGTTTATCATATGTAGAATTACCAATCAATAAACAGGGAGTGAGCTAAGAGCAATAGTACAAGAACATTCGCGTTGCGGTTACTCACTTCGCGAAGGACCGAGTGGTACACGAGCGCTGAAATGGATATTCTAAACTTGTTCCATGTTCAGGAGATGATTGCTGTTGTCACGGGCGGAGGTACAGGTATCGTATCTCCATATGATCTTGTTCTGATTCGAGTTCTCACTGCAGTCCTTAACAAACCACGATTCTAGTCGCACCGCTAATATTGCGCCCAGGTATTGGTCTTATGATAGCCCAAGCTCTCGCATCTGCAGGCGCTTCCAAAGTATACATTCTGGGTCGCCGCAAAGACAAACTCGAACTCGCAGCTGCACAGCATGAAAGCCTTATCCCACTGCAATGCGACATAACATCGAAAGAATCACTACAAGCCGCCGTTGATATCATCGCTAAAGATTTCGGATTCATCAATCTACTTGTCGCAAATTCTGGTATTCTAGGTCCAACATCAAGCTTCGTGCCAGGTCTCGGCGTCCAAGAATTGCGAAAGAACATATTCGAAGACACAGCCATGGAGGAATTTTCACAGACATTCCATGTCAACACAACTGCGACATACTTCAGCATGTTCGCTTTCCTTGAGTTATTGGATGCAGGGAACCAGAACGCACTGGCTGGTGGCTTTGGTAAGCCACTTAGAGAAGGCAGCAAGGTACCGAGTATACAGTCACAAATCATCATCATATCTAGCGTTGGCGCTTTTTTGCGTGAGTGGCAGTGCGCGCCGGCATACGCAGGGAGCAAAGCAGCCATCATACACATGGTCAAACACGCTAGCACGGGACTTGCACCGCACGGTATTCGGATTAACGCTTTGGCACCTGGATGCACGTCTTCCAAATCTCCCAACTCTATAGACTTGCCGCTGATTAGATATACTAGTCTTTCCCTCAGAAATGGCCAATACTATTATTGAGAGCAGAGATCCCAGTACGGAGAGCGTCGACGATCCGAACTTTATCCCCGCACGTCGGTTTGGGGGAGAAGAGGAAATGAGTGGAACAATATTGTATCTTGCGAGTCGGGCGGGCAGCTTTTGTAATGGACTGATACTTGCTAATGACGGAGGGAGGTTGGGTGTTACGATGAGCACTTACTGAACACAAGAGAAGAGACAAGTGTCTGTTTGGAGTAGGCTTATCGTACATATATGGATTGATAGCGTACGCGCCCTGGATGTGACGCCATATTCGCTATTTTTCTATCATTATACCGATCGTGACTGAGCGGTGTGGCCTTTTTTCCTGAATAAGAGATATCTGATGCTGAACGGGAAAGGAGCAGTGTATAGGACGAAGGAAGACAAGGCTGAGCGAAAGCCTTCACCCCCAACACCCTAGCGTCCGCTAGCGGCAAGTGATCTTAGTGGAGGAGCACGACCCACCCTTCAGGTGCTCGTTTGTCCTCCACAACCCGAAACCAGACCAACGTCACAGCCTTCGATACCACAAGCCATCTTCTAGCTTGCTGCTCATTACCTTTGTACACCAGCCCATCACCGGCATCTCTTCTCCATTCACATACAATCATGCCGCCCATGCCGCCCATCGGCCCCTTTCCTCATCCATTACCGCTCTCACACAGCGCACATGCGATTTATCCAACATGATCCCTGAGCGTGCGGTGTGCATGTGGAGCCCATACTACGCTCTTTCCTGCACATCTCGTGTGACACCTGCTGACCGGCATTGTGCTTCTGTGTGTGCAGACTTGTGTAACGTGGACAAGGTGGTACACCTGTATCTGCCCTGCAGCAGGGTCCAGATGCAGCGGAGACCCGTTTCTGAAACGCGTTTGTCTACTGCGTTTGGTGCAGAAGATGAGGGCGGTGTGTATTCTGGCGTGTACCGGGACGAGGCAGAGAGCGTATTGCTAAAGAAAACTTTGTGGTCTACTCTCCGTGAGGAGCTGTGTGTATCCTATCCGGGAGTCCTGCAGGGAGATCTCTGAAGTCGGTGACATGCAAACTAGGCTCGAGCAAATGTATCTGCCAGCAAGGTAGGGGTAGCCTGTCAAAATATGGTAATACAGCTGAGGCAGAAGCCTCAGAGAAGCGAGGATGCACATACTCTCTTCAAATGACATGAGAGGTGCTTAGCAACGCGTGTCAAGCTGTGGCAGCATCTTACCCACTTTGTAAGGTAGAGCCATAGGGTTAAATTTCGTTACGATTATCATTATTCGTCCTCGACTCCTCTTGTGCTAATCAGTACAAAGTATCCAGTACATGACCGGCTATGTTTTTGTGGTGTCGCATGCGCCGCAATCGTATACATACTGAGCTTCGATGTGTCTCCCTAAAGTGAGAGAATGTGAATCTGATAAGGATGCGGGATGTGCTTAAAGAGTGGCCCTGGCGTTTTGTCTTGGTCAAAAGACATGATACTGATGTTGGTATACAATAAAACACATTAACTGCCCGTGCGATAAAGTATTGTGTCGTAGCCCGGCGATGACACATAAAGTGATATGATATAGAACAGTGTGACAAACATATCGCGTTACAATGCAGTATCATATAAGCAGTACAGAAAGACGAGCCAAATTCAGCCGAGGAAGGCTTGCCGTTCGGCGAGAACAACATCGAAAGTCAAATGTGACTGGGCCAAGAAATATGCTCATGGAAGTTGCAAAGCGCTTGGTAATCCGAGTTCCGAGTCCAGGATGCGTGAAGGTGATGCGCGGGGGACTCAAACTCTCCTGGGAGAATGCGGTCCTTGTAAGATCTTGTACATTGACATATCGTCAAGCCGTTTTGAGTACGCCAGGTTGCTCATGAAAGGTATGTGTAACGCAGTAAAGACGGGATGAACGGGCTGACGGATGGAGATTAACCGGTCAGGCAACCAGGTACGAGTATCTCAGTAAGTGCTATTGAGGCTCCCCATGGAAGTGCGATGGAGCTGCACGTTCCGGCTTTGGTATGACTCGTGATGCAAGCTGCGATTTCCAGGTGAGCTCTGCAACTGAGAGTGGTTGAGAGGCGTATAGTGATGACCGCTCACGAGTGCGCAATCGCTCGCAGACTCACCACTTAATGAGTTTCGCTTTGATGGAGAACTGGGGCTATAGCTGTATAGATTCGTCTGGGAACTTGGTCGTGCCATCTGACGACTTTCGCGTACATAAGAGTAGTTTGTAGCTGGCGCTGGTGCACTCATCGCATCGAGGAGACCAGACGTGCTGAAGTTGAGCTCCAGATGGGATGCAGTGGTTGTTGTTATTGTGTCATCAGCAGTGGATGTTGTGTTCGGCAGATAGCCTATTCTACTCTCCGCATTGTCTGGCACGACTGGGGATATCGCTTGCGTAAAAGCATCTGCCGGTATGGCCGCGGATGAATTTGTGTGATTTTCAATGTCGTTGGCCCAGGGTAGTGAAGGTTTCGCGAATGAGGCCCTACTGTCCACAGCAGAGGTGCCGATTGCCTGAGCAGAGCGAAGACGAGCATCCTGCATCTGGTCTACAACATTACGATTGGTCTGTGCTGGGCTGGGCTGCGGCATCGGGAGTTGCCTCCGAGGTACACTGGATTCTAGAGGAAGGGATCGTTGCGTACGGGCCTTCTCGGGTAACGACAAATGCAGAGACGACAGCCCGGTATTGAGCGGGGATATATCCGAAGACGTAGCTAGTCGATGGTTTGTATGAGGGAAATGCAAGCCCTGGTCGAAGTATGTGCCGCCCTGTTGGATAGCCTTTGTCGTCGGCTGAGTCCAGCGAAATGAAGGTGAATATATGCTTGTGTTTGCTACTGCTGTAGACTGAGATATGTATGCCTGAGATTGCTCAAGACTGTAAGTGTCAACTGGCGACGTGTCATCGGAATAAGGTATGGTCCAATTAGACGAGCACATTGGCTTTGTGTCGAGCTGCTGGTATTGCTGAGCCGATATCGGGCGTTGATAAAGAGCGCTGTTGCTTCCTGTAGAGTAAACGGACATCATGTTGTGCGCACTAGCCATGCCACTGGCCATACCACTAAGGCTATAAGCCATGTTCCTGTCATCTATCACCTTATGAACAGCGTCGGATCCCACCTGACAGACTTAGCACATATACGCAATGTAATCGTCTGACGTACTCTGTGAAATTGGCAATGCGTTGGATCTACCCCGGCCTGTCGACAGTTTGCACAACCAGTGCCATTTCCAGGATCACCGCTGCATCGGATCTTTCTCTTGCGGCACCGTGCGCACTGGATCGAATGTCAGTAAAACTTTGACAAGAAGGGAGGTGATTGTGTCTCTCGGCCCTGCAGGAACGTATCGACTGAGCTCGAAGCACTCATTATCTTACCGCTACAGCAATGCGACGTCTCGCTGGCCCGGTTCCCATCAAAGAATCTTCCATGCTAGCTCGGCTGTGCATACCGCCTATAGGATAACCGCGCGGGTTTTCTCTCGTGCTGTGAGATAGCGCTAGGGGAGCATTACGTTCGTAGGTGTAGTTCGGGTATGATAGGCTGTGAGACAAACAGCGTCTTGAGGTGTCGTACTCCATGACTGACATATTGGCGAATCAATTGTATGTTAGTCTTATGAGATCGAATTGACTTGAGGGTTCGACTTGCATCACATCGAGAAGCAGAACGACGGTTGTTGACAAACTGCGCTTAGCGATGACTCGGATAGTGTTCACGAAATGCGATTTTCGAGTCAAGGATGTTTAATAGGCAATGACTGAACTGTGAGCATTGCTCCACGGAAAGGTGTAATCGACCGGTGAGCAGATCAAACGATGATCGGATGGCAGGACTACGTTTATAGCCCAAACGAGTCTCTTGCGTAGTGACACTAGCTTGAAAGATTCGCTCAATGATTGACGTGGCTGGGGCAATGCGGATGATTATCTTCGATCAGAGCATTTAACGCGGAACTGTTTGTACTTTCCACTGACAAGGCCACCCTGTTAGCTCCTCGGACACCTGCATGCATGCATGCGCGATACAGTCACCGCTAGGTGACAGGGGCCTTGAGCATGCGCTTCCAAGAGAGCGTTGTCCAAGCGCCGTGGAGAAGAAGATAGGTGAAACATGGTACCGCTTAGGTAGTGTTCTCAACCCGCTTCATAACAAACGCCAGAGCCGATTAAAGACCTACGGAGGCTCAAGATATGAGCGCTACTTTTCCCATAAGGGATCTTCATACGGCTGTGAGGCTTCAGCAAATAGGTCAGTCGGGCAAACGCTGATTTCTCTATTATTACAAAGAGGCCACGTTACCGACTAGGAGTGGCCTTTGGCAAACAGCCGCAAAATGTTTGTAATCTGCGTGGTACTACCGCGGATCCGGGATATGAGGTACGAATTTGATGCTGTAATTCAGCCTGCCCCGACCTATGACGAATAAGCAAGACTCGTAGGGGTATCGAGATCGTCAAATACGCTCGATTTTTGAAGCGCGAACTTCGTAGTGGCAGTGTAAGGCTGTCGTCTTGGAAAGGCTGCTATCTACGAGTGTTGATGCTCAATAGCGCACAAAATATGCATTGGCATGTTTGATCCCATGGACTATATTCTCTTAGTCCAGATAACCGCATTGAGTGCTAATGGTTTGCAATGAAACGTACCTGCAGGTGACAACCACTTTCGTAAGGAAGTTGCTGGTGGGCCTGAGTCCGAATCAAGTCCACTGCTCAAAACCGTAATCACGTCATTTGCCTGCAATCTGTCCAACTCTATAGGTTTGATCATTGAAAATCATGCAGGAAGTACACAACTTCACGGCTAGTTATTCAACGGCCCTGCACACCGGAAAACGTACGCTGCCGCTTGCGTGCCTCATAGCCTCATGGTGAACGGGTATACGGGGAAAGCTGGGGCAGAGTTCCGATGGGTAACATACCTATTCCAGACAAGGCTGACCGATACGGTACTTGTTGACGATGTTCCGGCTTCTAGATCGTTACATCCAAGCCCGATCTTGAGAGACATGCTACATAGTGCTTCTCAAAACGATGTTGCGCATTTAATGAGTCGGATTCCAGACTGCTTAAATTTTCGATCAGCGGGCTGTCGAGACAAGCACGCCCTGGAGTGCCGAGAGCTCTATGACGCCTAGGCTTTAGAAGCGAGATCCTTCTATGAGCGTACGATGAAAAGGCGCGATCCCTCTTCCGACAAGCCAATGAGCGCAGCATGAAATACGCCAAGGAGCAAGCAAACTTTGATGTACAGTCTCCACAGACGACCTATCATCATAAAGCAGTCTTTGCTGATCAAAGTTTTCAACCTCCAGTAGGCGAAGATTTGCACCAGTGGTTACTTGGTGTTGCACAGCTGTGGCAAGTTGAGTTATATCCATGACCTGTGGGAGGTCCGTGGGGCTGGGATGACAGGCCGCTTACAAGGTTCGTGGATCCATCGTCTTTGTGCGTCTAGAGACATAGTATGTGCAAGTATACACGAGCAAAATGTTAAAGAACCGTTTTGATAGTGACGGTGTTACCACACTTGTAATTATCAGCCATGCTGTGTCTCCTCGGTGGGATAGGAGAGCTCATGAGAGCTAATGCACAGCGATGACTGTGGAGTTGTTTTGCCGACAAGCCGACGATATAGCACATGAGTATAGAAACAATGGGTTCGCTCACGGATCCGAGCTGTCAGGCTTCGGGTGGTAACAGGTCGAAGCGAGAAGCAAGCGACGACGGGGAGATGGCTCGTGGGCTGAAGACGCCTGGCATGATGGGGCCGGGGATTTCGGATCGATGTGCAGCAGGCAGTGCAGCGGCTTCCCGAACATTGGACATGGATAGCTGTCAGACACCGGGTAACACTCAACGGCCCGCCTCTTGTAGGTACATGAAGCTCATTCCAGATGCCCTTGCTATTTCTGGACGAGGCTTGACAGACACGGAAGTCTGCGTCGCTTTTGCGCGTCTCTAATTCGATGTGTCGGAGCAGCAGTGTCTGGTCCAACCCCCACCCTTGTGTGCGGGTGGTGGGGAATGAGAAGTGATGTGGAGTGGAGTGCGAGATGACCTGAAGGCTGCTGGGACACGTTGCCCAGAGAGTATTGGTTCCGCAGCTTGCGAGACGTGAAGATGGAGAAAGGCGACCGTACCTGGAGCTAAGCCGGTTCGAGTGTTACGTCATGGTGACTAAGCAGCAAGGCTACGCGGTCTCGGGCGCTGTCGCGCGCGCGTTGACGAACATTTGCGACAAACACTTGTTTGCGGCACGACACCACCCAAACCATGTCTGTGCTGCTGGAAACATCACTTGGCGACATCACCATCGACCTGTTGGTCGACGATGCGCCCAAATGCTGTGAAAAGTAAGTCGGCCCAATCCCTCTGCGCGCCTTGGGTTTTGGCACCTGCATGCTGCATGCTCCATCCCGCTGTCTTCCCAAGCTGAGCATACAACAGACACTGACCATTCGTCGCCTTAGCTTCCTCAAGCTTTGCAAAGTCAAGTACTACAACTTTGCCCCCGTCCATAGCGTCCAACCAAACTTCTCCTTCCAGACTGGCGATCCCATCGGCCCCGGTTCCAAAGACAGTGACGGCGGCCGCTCAATATGGGGCTTGCTCGACCCTGCCCAGCCAGCGAACAAGACGTTCGTGCCCGAGTTCAGGCCGAACCTCAGGCATGCCGACATGGGGACCGTCAGCATGGCTACCGCGCCCAATCCCCAAGATCCAGACGAGCGCTTCGCTGGGAGCCAGTTCATCATCACCCTGGGACAAAACATCGACTACCTCGACGGCAAAGCTGCCATATTCGGCACAGTCGTAGAGGGGTTTGACACACTGGACAAGATTAACACAGCATATGTCGACGATCAGGGCCAGCCACTCAAAGACATTCGCATACTACACACCGTCGTCCTCGATGATCCATACGACGACCCCCCGGGCCTCGCCGAGCCACCAGAGAGCCCTGTGCCCTCGGCTGCGCAGCTCGCCACCGTCCGCGTCGCATACGATGAAAACCTCGACGAGGACAATGACCCAGAAGCCTTGGAAAAGTTTCGCAGAGAACGCGAGGCACGCGCACAAGCACTTACGCTTGAGATGGTTGGCGATCTGCCATTCGCCGAAGTAGCACCCCCTGAGAACGTGCTGTTCGTCTGCAAGCTCAACCCAGTGACGCAAGACGAAGATCTGGAGCTCATCTTTTCGCGATTTGGCAAGATCCTTAGCTGCGAGGTCATTAGAGACAAGCGTACAGGTGACAGCCTGCAGTACGCCTTCATCGAATACACCAACCAGAAGGACTGCGAGCAGGCCTATTTCAAGATGGATGGTGTTCTGATCGACGACCACCGCATACATGTTGACTTCTCCCAGTCCGTTTCAAAGATAGCCGACGATTGGCGGGATGTTACAAATAAGAAGAGGAGACGGGCTGCTGGCGGTTTTGGTGGTATCGACAATCTCGAGAAGAAGAAGCAGTATCGCGATGGCTCCGGGCGCCAGATCATGTCAGATTCTGTTGTAAACAATCTGGTCGTCGACCGAGATGTTGCACAAGATACCACACAAGGTCCAAAGGACAGCAGCAAGGATAGACGACGGGACGATACACGAAGGCGTGAGAGGAGGGAGGAATACCATGACGACCGCTTCAAGCGGAATCGTAGCCGGAGTCCCAAGCGCGAACGTCGCGATGGCGATGATGGACGGTACAACGACCGCAGGCGAGAGCGAAGTCGTAGCCCAAATCGCCACCGTGACAGCCGCCGGGACAGGAGTCGAGATCGCTATCGCCGCGATGACCGGGACCGTCGGCGTTGAATCTAGGAGAATCCGCGTAGATCAATGTATCACGAAGCGTAGGTGTTCCATTCACACATACATAATGCGGTTTTTGGTGTTTTGGATGAAAATTGGATCGTACTGGTAGGAATGCTCCACATCGAGCTGGCTATTCCTGATGGGTAAAGCAAGCCATCCTTATTCACCAATGCAGAACACAAGGCTCGGTGCGAAGGAGTGCAGCTCCAACTACGTCACATCACTAAGCATCTTGGGTTGTGAATGAGATCCTTTGATTCATTTTTGTTTTCTATGATTTCGCGTGGGAAAATGCAATGTACATGTATATGCTCGCTGACCACAAGTACAAACACAGAACAACTGCAGTCATTCAAGAAGAAGAACCCGAAATGACCCTCTGTACTAGCTCTGAGGCTTTTGTGTTATCGTTGTCGATGCTGCTAGCTAGCAAGTGCATGTAAGAATGCGCCAATAGTTTAGTTAGAGTATGTATTACGTTGATTAAGCACTGATGATAGAGCCGAACGTCATCTTCTACAGTAAGGTGATGCTAAGACAAGGAGTTTTCGTTTCCGAGAACAGCTGCGATCTTTATCAATAGTTGATGTGTGATGATTGAGAGGCGTCATCAGTCTTTTCATCCTCGTAAAGATTAAGAAGCTCATCACAACATGACCACCAAGTGGTCTGCATCTCGAGCTCGACGTCTAGCGCCTCAAGTAGACCTTCGGGAGGCAGCTCTGGTTCGAATATCTTTGCGAAGTGTGTCTCGAGCATGCGAATTGCTGAATGCCAACCACCCATGCCCAGACCTTTTAAGAAGTCACCGGCATCGACGCGACAATGGGGAATTTCGTGGAGTAATTTCGGTATGAAGTCGTAGTCGTTCACACCTTCGGTGCATGTAGCGATAGCGGCTTGATAGAGGGCAGATTTAGTTGTGTATTTGGCATCCTCGATGTTGCCGGCCTCAACCAAAGCCGCTGCATAGATCTCACGGTAGTGATGGTAGTTCCATGCCATATATGGTGAGACCTCCAGGCTGGATTCCCACTCTGGGAACCAATCGTTGCGCAGGAACTTTGGAACGGCTGAAGCACCGACGCAGCGTGGTGCAGACATGGCATTGTCCCAATCGATGATGCCGGTTACATTGCCTTCTTCATCGACAAGAATGTTTTGCAGATCAAGGTCGTTATGATGGATAGTAAAAGTTTCGCCGACCTGTCCATGGAAAGCAGGTTGAGCAAAGACCAGGTTGAGGATGGTTCGAATACCAAGGTTTTTAAGGAGGCCATCCAAATCACCGAGCTCGTGCTGCTCATCCAAATGTTTCACCTTGGATTTCATGCGAGCCTGGAGATACTCCTGAGTAGTCGCCGCTGGTTGACGTGTGAATGAAACATCGGACGCGCCCTTAAAATGACATGTAGGGCCAGTGCCAGTAAGTTTCCCATCGTTATCAAAGGCAGGCACTCCAATGCCATCAAACTCAAGGCTTTGAATACGTGTCATCACCTTCGCTAACGAGCGTAGAAATGCAACACGCCTTTTCTCGATGTAGGGAGGGGGGACGTCCGCAACACGGAAGACATCGTCGTCCCCTACAAAAGGGTATCCTTCCGGAAACCAGAGCGTGTAAGCAGGCTTACCGGGCAGCATCGTCATCACAATGTGAGGGAATCCAAGCGCATTTTCATGGCCAGTAGCATAGTCGATAACATGTGCGACGGGCGCGGTAGTGTTCTTGCGAATGTACTCAATGAGTTGGACCTCGCACTTTAACACGTATGCATCTTCATCTGTCCAGTGTTCAAGTGTTCCGTGACCAGGCACGCGGACCACGAATTTATGGATTTTTCCACCGTCGAGAACATCGACGAAAGTTGCCGCATTGTATGCACCTTTCTCGCGACGCACTACAGCTACGCAATCCGCGGAAGAGAACAGGTTGCATGCCTTGAAGAGCTCATGGTACTTCTTATCAGGGATGGCTTCAATAGTCTGGAAGTCACAACGTGGGTGGGAGCCATCACCTTCTTTTTCTTTCTCTTCTTCTTTTTCTTCTTCTTCTTCGTCGTCGTCGTCTGAATCAGTATCCACGGTTTCGCACTGGTCAACTGGCTCATTGACTTTAGGTGGCGCATCTTCATCAACGTCGGAGCCATATCTACTGGAATCGCGACCAAAACGGAGCAATCGCGGGAGGATTAAATTCTTGTAAGTAGCCTTGAGATGGCGACACAGACGATCTTTCATCCCTTTCTTGACACAGAGCTGCTCTGGCTCCGCAGGAATTTCCTCTTCAGGTTGGTCCAAAGATTTGGTGTTATTTCAAGACGTGGCAGATTTCATTGAGGATACTGAAAGATCGTTTGGTTCCTGAATAGGTGCTCGTCCTGTATCCGGGTGGTACCTAGAAGGAGAGATGCCAGGCACGTGGAATGTCTCGCCACAATCGAGAACCAGGAGAGAACTTTCAGTTAGTAACGTAGATCTTGAAGAATTTTGACATAACGAATTCGCGTCACAGTTGTCTAAGTTCTGGTTGGATGTTGTGGCAGTCGATGCGTTGCTTGATGGGCGATTTGCTGAGGTGGACCGATTTATCGGCGAAGTCTGTCGACAAGGTTTGCGGGTCAGGGTGACAGGAAGGTTGTGGCAGAGATTCTTGCCGGCAGTAACTACCTTTTCGAATGAGTTGCGTTGAATAGTACGGGTCGACGCGGAAGGCTTGGGTTCGGAAGAGAAGCCAGTAGTTGCGGCATTTAGGCGCTTCTTGTTCTTGAGATCAAACATCATTGTGCGACTCAAAGTTTGATTGTTGTTGTCTCCAAAGTCGAGTTCTCAGCGTCAGACAAAGAGTGGAAGAAGATAAAGGCGCAGTGTGGAAGAATCTTATAGCAAGAAAGGCACAGGCATACTAAGTGAATATAATATTCCAGGACCGCTCTTCCTGTGAGGTCAGTGCTCAAAAGATGAGTTGAACCACACGTAATGCAAACCCTATGAGTGAAGAAGAACTGATACTCTAAGTCTGAGCAACTACATGGGCTTCTACGGTCGTTATCGGAGCTTTTTCACAGAGACAGCACTCAATATAATCTCCTCAGCATGAAGTGAAACAATATTGTGTAGCTTCTAGGTTATGCTTACGGTAAGTTCCCGTTTGGTTTATCGTTCACGTCCACCGTGTAGTCCCACGTCCTGCGAGGCGGAGCAGAGAATCGACATGATATCAAGCAACAGTCTCAATGAGGTCTTTCATATGTCATGAAATCCACAGCCTAGATATGGAAACAGAGACAGGCGTGAAAAAAACTCTTACATGCAATGGTTTTTCACACATAGCCAAGTATGAATATGTCGGTATTAGTATGAGGCTTTCCGTCTCTTGCGGTCCTTGTGAATCACGTACAGTGCTCTCGAAACTTACACGAACCTTACCATGAATGACTGTCACGGCTCTTTTCGAGCTGCTGTAATTCACCCCTTGCGCCTCACAGTATATCAAAGACCCTCAGCGCTCTACCAGACGGAACCGGCAGAGACCTCGCTCCATTGGCTTCTCGACCTCTCCACCGAGAATCACAACCAACTTTCTGACAACGTACACATACTTAGAGTCTTTATATCTGCAACCCATCGACGCCCTCACCTGACCTTCCAATTTCCGACACTCCGAGTTACATCAGTCATAAGGACAGATACTGGCCTATCCTGCTCTCAACTACAACACATAGCCACTCATCGTACTATTCAAAGCAAAGCTTAGCTACTAGACGGCACAGAGACAGCCTAAGATGCCTAGCTTCAACAGAACCAAAAGCAAGTTGATCTCAGGAGATCACAAGGGTGACAAGAAGGCAAAGTCGACTCCTCTTCGACTCACCTTCATGGAGCAATCGCAACCAGACGACTATGTAATCCGCAGTTTAGACGACCTCTACTCCAAGACCGTCCGTGTCTGGAAGGGCAGTGACTGGAATGACAATGTGATGAACGGTGCCACAGGCGTTTCTTTCGAATCGTCCCACCACGTGCCAGAGGGAGGTGCCAAAAGTCGGAAGGCTTTCCGGGACGGTATATTTGGATTTTGCCTGGAGTGGGTATACGTGAATCATGAGGGGAAATCGCATCGTGTCCGCTGTATGAATTCTTTTTCTGTAAAGTCGCCACAGTGTACCGACCATCCAAAGGCGATTTTCAAAGACGGTCCGAACAGAGTTTACGATCTTATGAATTGGGGTAAAACGGTCACCTGGGATATGATCAAAGATGCCAACGCCGAAAAAGTTCCGTTGACAGACACTCAACTCAAGACAAGAGCCTTGGATGAACTGAAAAATATCGAAGCCAGAATCAGTGAGACCTCCCAGAGCGGCAGTAATGTCAAAGAACTGGTGAGTAGGTATTCTGCCTTACAGAAAGCGATCAGTAACAGAGAGTACTTACTTGGAGACCGGTCAAACGCGAGCGATGCCATTTCTCCAATCCCTGTGTCCGGCGCTATCTACAGCTCTCGGAAGACTGCCAGCAATTCAGCGCCAGGTAATGCAGCCCTCGACGACAAAGCTAAGCGCAATCCGAATGATAAGAAGAACAAGGGGAAGACGAGATACACCAGAGGCCTTACCCAAAACCTTGAAGGAATCGAGGAATAGACGCGATACCTAATCTTCCTTGGTTTCTCTTCCTGTCTTACATTGAACGATAGTATGGCAGGTACATGATTCAAGGGTCTTTCGCAGAGTTGTTGTTTTGGATGATAATATATGAGAATATTTCACTATGTCTTCCTGGATCGTGATGCGTGACGGTGTCGCACAAAGTGACGAACAGTGACAAGCATGAGCTGCTGGACGTGACATGATAGAGCGCGATCTGGCGTGTGCAAGTGAACGAGGCTGAAGTTCAAGGAGTGGCGGAGGTGTTCGAGAGGAGGTGCGCACATCTAACAGATCGCCGCCGCTGTATTCCTCGCGCTCTTAAACATGTGCGTACCGTCATACAATGATCTGGACAAGTAAGAGAAGAGCATAGGATGCGCTGCGGGGATGCAACCGGCAACAGCTTGACGCGCGCCAATGGCTGCCGCAAAGGTCAGCTTCATCTCGTTAAGTCACTGGAGACGAGCCCGCTTGCGCATTTGCGTAGTAAATTTGTAAATGATGTGCAGCAACCAGAAGTCTTGAAAGGCTTTTGGGCAGCGCAACAAGGCGCGACGGGACTGAGGCCGCATCATAAATGCTTCCGTGTGGAAACATACACACGATGCAACAAAACTCTATCAGTTTGTTTTCTTGACATCTAAGTATTCGACGAGCGCTTTGTTGCAAGTGACTGACGTTGCGCTCAAGCGTCTGAGTTAACAAGGGCATATATTACAGACTATGTGCGATGGGTAAAAACTGGAAAAGACACCAAAGCGTTGAAAGTTAGGGTCAGACAGAACAGGTTCAAGACATTGTTGGTGGTAGATTCCTTTGCAAAAGTGTTCCTCAAGTTTTCCTAAATTGACATCAGTAGTAAATGGGTTGCTTATGTCTCGAAAGAACAAGCGCGTTCCACACAATCTGTCAGACGTGTCGTTGAAAACGTTACCTGTTTCCTGTAAACCCAGCCACACGAAATCATGGGCTTGGAAGATGGAGTAAGCTCAGGAACATTATTATACGAATGGCACAATTAAAACGAAGTCCATTAAATACCGAATTGTACGTCGATATTATATTACGTTGTGCCATTAGAACTCCCATCCACTTTCGTGTACGCCGTGAAGTAGAAGCAAAACGCCACATACCCGCATCCTACGTCGATATATCCCCCTAAGAAAAGGCAGTCTTGATCTTTGAGATCGGGTATCAAAATGTGAAAGTATGCGTTCGTGCGTCTAAATATGCGGGAGACAGATGCTTGCGCAACGTCGTAGTGAAAAACAGGTATTTGAAAGGGATTATTGAGACTTGGAACCGAGACCATGAAGGATCACACAAAAGGGAAAACAAGAGAAAACCTGTCCGTTCTAGAGAATACACTAGCCCATACCGAACAGGTACTTGAGCTCATTCAAGTTGAGACGAGTCAGACTTTTTGATGCCTTCTCGTCAAGAGCGGCATTGATCTCATCACGCTTCCTGTCTTGGATGGCGACGATACGGTCCTCAACGGTCTCAGGCACGATGATGCGATGTACATGGACCTCGCGCTTCTGAGGCATGCGGTGAGCACGATCAACAGCCTGCTCTTCAATGAATGGGTTCCAGAAAGGATCCAGTATGATCACTCGCGATGCCTTCCAGAGATTGAGGCCAGCGTTGCCAGCTTTCAGGGAAACCAACATGACATTCTCGTTTGGATCGTCCATGAAAGCGTTGACAGCATCGGCACGTTCATCCATCTTCATGCTGCCATCGTAGCGTCGATATGTGATTTTCTCACGGTACAAAGGAACTTCGACAAGGTCCAGCAAGGACGTGAACTGAGAGAAGACCAGCGTCTTTTCGGTCGCATCGTTCTTCTTGATTTCCTTGATCAGTTCAACAGTCCTGCTGATCTTCGCAGACGTGATGTAGGTCTTCTCCAGACGACGCAGGTAGCGTTTCTTGGCGCTCTTGTTGCGGAGCGACTCCTTCTTGAGTTGAGCAAGAGTCTGCTTGGGCTTGGCGCGTGCCTTACCCTTACCCTTGCTGCGTTTGTTCGACTTCTTACCCTCGGACTTCACCTTGATCTCGGGTGCGGAGCCAACATTATCGTCATCCACCTCGTCGGCTGCGTATTCATCTTCATCATCATCGACAATGAAGCCAGCTAGGTTACCCTTCTTGTCAATATCTGGCGCGCCATCCTCGTCCTCGTCCTCAGAGTCAGAGTCTTCGTCCTCGACCACGGCCTCCTCTTCTTCAGATAGGTCGGCCGACCCAAGACGGTCAGGACAGTGGACTTTGCAGAAATGCTTGTAGTCCGTTATGAGCTTAGCCTTTAGCTCGCCACGACAGTGCGGACACCTGGGCGTGCTGGTCTCATCGTTGCCATCCTGTGCAGCACTGCGTGCTGGATCGATGAGTTTCTGGACACACTCACCACAAACCGTATGCCCACACGGAATGATTATGGTCGGATTTGGATCAGCTTCTAGACAAATTGGGCACTCGAACGTATCGTTTGCCTTCAGCCGCACGATGACATCATCATTCAACTCTTCAGCACGGATCAAGAGGTCGTCTTCGGCAATACCCTCAGTCGCTGGCTGGCTGAGGTCCTTGATCAGATGAGGATGGCAACACGCTTGGCGGAGACGAAGCAGTAGAACCAAAACATTGGCGTAATTGGCTGTGACAGTACCTTTCTGCAGGTATTTGTTCATCTGAAGCTGCGACTTGGTTTCGAGAGCCTTATACAGAGCATATTCTTCGTCTTCAAACTCCACATTATCAATAACGGAGTGCTTAGGTGGGATCTTGGAGATGGGCTCCCCATCGACAACGGTGGTTTTCTGACGTCGGAGCATGATGGCCTTGATCAAGATTTGGATGCGATCAAGCGCGCGCTTCTTGGTGTGCTCGTTGGTGGTCTTCATGGGCTACTATTCGTCAGCGAAGTACGATACTATAGATCGTCCTACTCTACACTTACTTTGGCAATCTCGAGACTGAATTTGTTCCACGTACAATACGGCTCCGCCTTCAAGAACCGGAGGAGCGGGTAAAGCTCATCAACGCTATTCATCATAGGCGTACCTGTCATGCACAGGCGGTGTTTAGCCATGAGATCAGCGCAAGCTTTGGAGGACTTGGAGTTCCGGTTTTTGATGTTGTGAGACTCATCAATGATGATACGATACCACATGCACTCTGGTCCCATTAGCGCAAGCCTGTCTTTGGCTTTGCGACGCATGCTAGGATTACGCAGCTCTTGGTCGTTGAGAATGGCCTCCTTTGAAGACTCCCTCTGCTTGTACTCTGAGGTGAGAGATCCGAACGTGGTCAAGACAACATCGTATTGACGGAGCCGAGCGAAATCGGCGTTTTTACCGCTGCCATGGTACAGGTGAACACTAAGCCTATGACGAGGATGGACATGGCGTTCAATTTCTTTCTCCCACTGTCGCATAAGAGCAACAGGTGCAATAATGAGTGTTGTCTTGCAAGCCAGGTCGGTGGATGGGTTCGCACAGATAAGAGCCAGAGCTTGTATTGTCTTGCCCAAACCCATCTCGTCTGCTAAGATGCCGCCTTTGGTCGAGCCTCGCTCTTTCTTGAGCAGCCATGTGAGACCGATACGCTGATACTCCTTCAGGACGCAAGTCATATTCTTCGGTGTGGGCTCTCGATCTTTGATGTTCTCACCATCATCCTTAATATTCTCGAAAAGCTTTTCTATCGCAGCCGCCTCGTCAACATTGAGAGGGAAACTGCCATAGTTGTCCTCGTCACTATCTCTCCCTCGCAAAGAAGGATAAGGGTAGCCTGCTCCGGCACGTTGTTGATGATAATGATGATGAGTGACTGGTTGCTGAAATCCGTAACCGCTGCCTGGTGCACTCGGAGCAATCAGAAACTCAGCAAGTTCTTCTGGAGCCATGAATTCCTGGTTGAATGCATCAGCAGGTGACATGACGCCACGATCATGCCCTCCTTGATAAGCGTCCAACTCTGGGAATGGTTCATAGAACTGATACTGAATGGGATCGGACTGCGCATACGCACGAGCAGGGAGCTCAAATCCTTCAGGCGAAGGTGGGTCAGATTCAGTCAGGTCAACAAAGGGTACAGGCTCGGACTGATGATGAGAAAAGGACTGCCGGCTCGGAAGCGACTGTGACCAAGGGCCGACGGGTGAAGTTGGAGTTATCGGACTTGGCTGCCCACTGACACGTTTAGCCTCAGGAAAGTCAGATAACCCAAGGCTTCGTTTCCGGCTCTGTTTTAGAGAAGGCAGAGGCGTCGAAGGTACCTGCAAGCCGTATGAAGCACCACTACTGTATGACGGGCCGCTGTGGTAGTTTGTGGGGTCGTGTTGTTGGCCCTGTTCCCAGACACCGTTATCGCTGTTGCCGTTGTTGGACTGGAAAGCTCTGGCCATGGCTTCAGCATCGGCTTCGCTCTGCCGCTGCTCATCTGATAGCCTCTGGTACAGCTCCATCAGCATGTTCTCGTAGACTGGCTTGTCATTGGCGTCCACGTTGGGAAGAACGGTGTTGATGAGCTCGATGTGTTCTTGGATATTCATGGCCTCCTGCGACGCCATCTTGATCCAGGAAGGAACTGCCGTGATGAAGTACCCAAGCAATAGGGGTGGTTGTAGCGAAGGGCGTTGGTGGTGGGGGTTGTGTAGCAATGAGTGCGGTGCAGGCGGTTTTACGGCGGAAGGGCGTGGGGAGTGCTGCGGTGAGGTGAAAGTGAATAGTGAGCGTGAGGCCCAGATATCAGGCTGCCGTGCCGGTCCAGGTGGGAGGGAAAGAGCTGTCGAGGCAGTTACGGTGGCGGGCGCGACGCGTTGCGCGGGCCTTCTACTAGATTTACGATGAAGCGGGAAGCGACGAAGGTGGTGAAATCGAACAACAGGTTGGACAAAGAGGTGAATAAACGTGAAGTGAAGAGAAGCGAACAAGGCGCTCCCGTCCTACCGTACCGGGGCCATGATAGCCTCACGCAGTGGGGGGTGGGTTGCAAGTCGACTACGACTGGAGATAATGCGACAGGCACTGCGCAGCGCAGTCCGACTTGTCGCGTCCCCCATGATTACCGAGAGGGCTGTCTTTGCTAGGCCAAACGTGATGTCATCAGATACAATCAAATCCAATGGAGCCATGCATCAGGCGAAAACGTGCAAACCAACGGTACACAGGGCGCGCAAAAAAGCCTCCTGCGCAGCTGCTGAGTTGGCAACGAGGCTGAAAGCTGAAGGACATTTGTTCTGCTTCGCTCCGGTGAAGCAGACATGTCTACAGGCAGCTTGGCGTGCATCCATGTACGGCGACGTCAACCGAGGCGCGCGAGAGACGCGAAAATAATCCTCCTCTAGCTGCATGCAGCGGACTCTTGAACTACCCTAGTCAAGTATGATAAAACAAAGCATATTCATTGCGATCAGTAATTGCTCACGCCGTGCCCCCAAACTAACTTTTGTAGGCGATAACATCGAGTCTTACACCCGCGCCGCGTAAAAAGTAAGTATAGCATCGCGACATTCTAGATTCCTGCAACGAGCGCAATTCAGGTATATATCACAACAGCCATATAACCCGTACAAGTAAGCCTACTCTGGTTACTCAGGCAGTCGCAAAATCACAAGACTTGCAAAGAGGACAGCGAGTGACCCAAAATGCATGCATCCCTCTCAAGGCGTGCGGCTGAATCCCGCTTGGCCCCGCCATGGCCCTCACTCATCAGCGAATCTAATCCTTCCTATTACAGCGGCAAGTTTTCTTCGGAATTGCAAGAGCGACTTGAGCACCGCCAAAATAGATTCAGTCCTTGGTAAAACGAAGGTAATCCAATACACACAAAAATGCACGCCAATCAGACCGCCCTTAAAACCCAAAGGAACAAAACGCCCAAGATATGCAAAAGAGGTTTGCGTCAAAGCATGCAATAACAAGAGTGGTGGGGAAGAGGTGATACTCCAGACCAGAACAACAACAAGGACAAGTAAAACGCCAATACTCGCTATCCAATCCGACCGTGCCCAGTCCCCGTCCTTCCGCCTAAGAGCCATCGCTTCGATTGGAGATTGTGGATATTCGGTAATGATTCGACAGCCGGCTAAAACAGTTCCTTCGGTATGTCGACGACGAGGACGACGATGATTGGTGGCCAGGCTTCTAATCAAGCCTTCTCCTCTTCCTTGAAAGGTCACAAACTCAGCTACTATGACTCCGCAGCAAAAGCTACAACACACACATATTAGGGTCAATTTACTCACAAACTAGCGGACAAGGAACGTACTCTCTCGACACTGCCATTATCCGTCTGATCCACCGCCAGAAGATTTGGGCTCTGTGCCCCACCACCTCGTTCTGTGAAGCCTCGTGTATCGAGCTGTGGGCGCTTCTTGCCGGGACTGGGCAGTCCCCCAGATGATGATGACGCGCCTCCATTATCGTTACCCTTTGCGGGAAGAGCAATGTTGGGTAGGTGGGATGACGCTGTGTAGCGTGGCTCGCTGGAATGGTCGTACATTGTACTGCCGACTGTCGCGCACCGGAGGATTGTTTGGATGAGTTGGTTTTGGCGTAGAGGTTTGGAAAGGTAGTCCTGAGAGCTAATTTAGTAGTGGAAAAACGTAATGGAATGGGAGTAACGTACGTCCATCTGTGCAGCGAGACACTTCTCGCGATCGCCAACCATGGCGTGCGCCGTCAGTGCAATGACTGGTGTTGAAGGAATGCCGTTGTCACGTTCCCATTCGCGGATCTTTGCCGTAGCTTCAAAACCACCCTAAAATGTTGTTAGCTGCGAACCTCGAGTTGGCGAGAGCCTAGCTTACCATGACCGGCATTTGCACATCCATAAGTACGCAATCATAACGCTTCTTTTGAATGTGTTCAAAGGCCTCAAGACCGTTGTTAGCCACAGTGACTCTGTGATGATACTTCTCCAGAATCCTGACGGCAAGCTTCTGATTGACAGCATTGTCTTCGGCCAGAAGAATCTGGAACGATTTGGAATGGTCTGAGACCAGAGGTGCGGCACGGCCATCAAGTGCCGGAATGAGCGCATTGCCCAAGTCGATTGGTAGACAGGGCGTCGTCATATAGCTCGAGATACCGTTTTCGAGCGCAGACCTGAGGCTGATGCATACGTGTGGCGTGAGCATGACGAGAGGAATGTACTTGAAGCGTTCCGCAATCCTGAGCTCCCGTGCCGTCTTGTCATTGTCGACAATGACGCAGTCGTACGGCATGTCAGTCCTCTTCGTCGTCTCGGGTACCTCCTCAACCGAGTGAACCACCATAGGCACAAGATCGAGTGTCTTAAGGTGCTCGATAATTTGATCCGAGAACCCAGTGTTGCCTTGGTCGACAAAAAGAACCGTGTGCTGCTTGTATGCCACGAGCTGAGGCTGAATGGCTTGAATGGCCGGCTTGCCCAGACGCACTTTGCATGTAAAGTAGAACACACTGCCCTTGCCAACGTCTGATTCGACCCACATGCGACCACCCATGAGAGTGACGAGACGTTTGGAGATAGATAGACCGAGTCCAGTGCCTCCAAACTTTCTGGTTGTCGAGCCGTCCGCCTGCTGGAAGGTGTCAAAAATAAGATTGAGCTTATCGCCACGGATACCTATTCCGGTGTCGGAAACGGCGAATTGGAATACATAGTGATCTGGGTCGCATTCTTGTTCTTGCGCCATGGAAATGGCCACCTTGACTTCTCCGAGCTCAGTAAACTTGATAGCGTTACCAACCAGGTTGAGAATGATTTGCCTCAACCTGAAGGAATCACCAACAACGTAGTCGGGCACCTTGTAAGAGACGTCGTAAGCAAGGTTCAACTTCCGCTCGTTGGCTCTTGATGCTAATGACTTGAGTGCGTTGAATATAGTGCCGCGCATTGAGAATGGAATCTCTTCCATCACCATGCGGTTCGCTTCGATCTTGGAGATATCAAGGATATCGTCGATGATTGTCAGTAATTGACCAGCCAGATTATGAACAATGGTCAACATCTCTCGTTGCGCATGCGTAAGGTCGGTGTCGAGCGTAAGTTGGGTCATTCCAATAATACCGTTCATGGGCGTTCGGATCTCGTGAGACATGTTGGCGAGGAACTCGGATTTTGTTTTGTTGGCCAACTCGGCTGCTTCCCTCGCAGCCGTGTTTCTTTGAATACTCTCTCGCAAACTGGACACCATCTGGTTGATCTTCCTCTTCAGTTCATCCATCTCACCAGAAGCCTCGACGGTGATTTGAGTGAACTTGCCCTCCATTGCAGCGTTGGTGATGTCACCGAAAGCACGCACTTGTGACGTAAGGTTCTGGGCCATGGTGTTGACGTCTGTGGTGATTTCTTTCCATCGGCCGTCGATATCTCGCACGTCTGCTTGACCGCCCATCTTTCCGTCTACGCCTACATCGCGAGCTACACGCTTCACAGCTAGAGACCATTCGTCGAGTCTCATAACCATGTCGTTGACGGTGTCTTTGAGTAATCGGATCTCTCCCTCGGCGTCCACGTGAACTCTGCGGCTCATGTCTCCCTTGGCGATGGCCTGGGTGACCTCGGAAATACTTCGTACTTGCAGCGTGAGATTCTGGGCCATGGTGTTGACATTGTTGGTCAGATCCTTCCACTTGCCCTCAACGTTGTCGACCTGTGCTTGGCCGCCCAGGATACCGTCGGTTCCGACCTCACGGGCGACCTTGCTAACCTCTTGTGCAAACGTGTTCAAGCGGTCCACCATGGTGTTAATGGTAATCTTAAGTGACAAAATCTCACCCTGAACTTCTGCCTTGACCTTCCTGCTGAGATCTCCTCTTGCGACGGCTGTAGTGACTTCGGCGATTTCTCGCACTTGTGTTGTGAGGTTCATGGCCATACCATTCACATTCTCAGTGAGATCTTTCCAGGTACCCTCAACGCCATGCACTGTAGCCTGTCCACCAAGTCGACCCTCAGATCCGACCTCTCGCGCAATCTTGGTGACTTCGTGAGCAAACTGCTGCAGCTGGTCCACCATGCGATTGATGGTGTTCTTGAGTTCCAAGATTTCACCCTTGCATTCGGCTTCGACCTTCCGTGTGAGGTTACCCTGTGCGACGGCCGTTGTGACCTGGGCGATGTCTCGCACCTGGGTGGTGAGGTTTTGAGCCATGGCGTTCACATTCACTGTCAATTCGTTCCACATGCCCTTAACGCCAGCAATCTCAGCCTGACCACCAAGCTTGCCTTCAGTTCCGACATCTCTAGCCACTTTAGTGACCTGGGTAGCAAATGATTGCAGTTGATCCACCATGCTGTTGATCGTCTGTTGCAGCTGCAGGATTTCTCCTCGGGCCGGACGCTCAATCTTACGACTGAGATCGCCCATAGCGACAGCGGTTGTGACTACGGCGATCTCTCGCACCTGGTCGGTAAGATTCTTGGCCATCCCATTAACTGCAGGACACGTTAGCATCGGCCCGATAGTGGAACCCTAATCACAACGTACCACTGTCAGTCAGCTCAGCCCAAATACCAGCAACTCCTGGTAGATTGGCTTGACCGCCCAATCTGCCTTCGGTACCGACCTCTCGAGCGAGGAAAGTGACTTGACTGGCAAACTCCTGGAGCTGGTCCACCATGGTGTTGATCGTGCGCTTGAACAGGGTGATTTCAGGGTCCATCTCCTTAGCATGAATCAAGACCTTCTTGCTCAAGTCACCCATAGCGACGGCAGTGACGATGGCGCCGATTTCCCGCAGTGCCTTTTGGAAAGCCAGGTTGGCTGTGAAATGTCAGCCACAACGTTGCCTTTTCAAGACTATAGAGCATACCCTGTTGATGCTTGCCGAGTTCCCTTTTCAGTGCGCCGATGTCCTCAATGCCATGTTCGAATACCATGCTCTGTGTCGTTAGTTGCTTATTCACTTCCTGGCTAAGGTTGTCTGTTGTCTGTCAGCCTGGGCGCATGCAGAGGTCATCTGTGGGCTCCCACCAATGTGCTCGCGCTGATTTCTAATCTGGTCGGCTTGCTGGTTCAAGTGCACTCGCAGGTAGTTGAGCTGCTCTTCGGTAAGGGCTGCCGCGGGTTGTTCTGGGTCGCCATTCGACTCCTTGGCGGCGAGCCAGTTGGAGACCCAGATGGCGCGCTCCTTGTTGGATCCACGACGTCCTTGGGCGGGTGGGCCGCTATTGCCGCGGAAGACTCCTGCTGGAGTATATAACGCGCCCTCCTCGGGCGGCTCTTGTGCGGGTGTCAGAGGGAACTGGCCCTGTTGGTTTGGAGCATGGCTGCTCTTGTGCTCGAGAAAGTCTATTCTTGAGCATAGCGCCGACAGCTCCTGCTCTAGTTGCGTCTTCTCCTCGCTCTCCGGGCCTGGCAGCGCGATGGCATTTGCAGCCGTCTTGGCTCCGTTGGCAGAAACTTGTGCGCTGAAGCTGGGGTCTCGCGTAGGGTCGTGTTGGCGGGCGAGGTTGCGGATGATGGCTGAGACGCTCGAGTACGTCTCTGCGGCCATTGTGGCGGCGGGTAGAAGGGTGAAAGGCTCGAAGGGCTGCTATGTGCGCATCTGGAACGGGCAAGACGGACAGGAATGCGACAGAGCGGGTATCGATGGGGGAGAGGGCGGAAAGGAACAAAGGAGGGACTGAAGAGCCTTTCGGGGCAGACGACTGCGAGGATACTGATGGATCGCGAGATGAACTTGGGAGGTATCGAAGAAGCGCAAGCAGGGGACGCCCCGCTAGGATGGATATCCAGTATCGCTCAATCAAGGTTAGCGTCCAAGTTAGCAGCTAGGCAGCGTGAAGAATAACCGCAAGCCACAAAGCGCACGAGTCCGCGGGGACAGACAGAAACTGCGTGAAGAGGGAAAGAGCAAAGACAGCCCGACCAAGCGTGCTACGGTATGCTGCCTCACTCTCCCAAAGGATTGCCCGAATTGCTGCCGGGTTGGGAAAGCAGACTGGAGGCAGAATGACAGATGTAACGCTAGGCCGAGAGCACTCTAGTCAGCCCTGGTGGAGTGGATCCGTGCACGTTGGACCTTGGAAAACGGACATCTCGGACCACAGCAACCAACGGCCGCTTGCTGAACCTCCCACCGCGGAACCAGCGCTCTCAGCACAGCGAGACTTGACACCGCACACCGCCGACGTCATTCTCCCTGCCCAGCCCTTCGCCGACACCGCGAAATGAAGTGCGACCATGCATCCAGCATCCGCGTGCCATCTCTTAGCACGTACGGGTATACGAACAGAGCGACGAATGGCAGTGCGACCGAAGCCACCCAGCACCCACCAGTGTGGCAAATTACCCCTATTCGCTGGGAACGGCGGGCGGAACAGGCATCGCCTAGCACAGCAGCGCACTCGGGATACGTTGGACTTCAACGCCCTCGCTGAAGTGTGAAATGCGCCTCTAATCTAACCACGGCTTGACTGCGCTGCTCTCCTGTTTGATCTGCATGCCACAGCGCATGTCGTACTCCTGCCGTGGTTTCAGTGCCATCGATCGCAATATGAGACGACGTGGCGGTACATCTCAGATCTTATCGTGCCATGCTGACAGCTGACAGAGGGGCTCTTTGATGGTGGGCACGGTGGGGTACACTTGTTCGCAAAAGAGTCGCTTCGCTCAGGGTCCCTCCCGGCCGTCCGGCTGATAGTGGTAAGCGTGTTTGGGCGGAAGCCGGCACATGCTTGGTAACACGCGAGGACGTGTTTTCTAGACGGCTTCCTGGCTTTTCTGGCTTTGACTCGCCGTTGCATGAATTCTGTCAAGATTGGGGAACCCGGTCGGCACATCCGAACATTCCCCGGCTAGTAGACTCGGGAAGGAAATTCATCCTCACATCGGACTACTAGGTCCGCAAAACTGCACAAAGGCGAGAGCAGATTGATCGAATCGAGAGTCAGGTACTGGCAGGATCCGCAGAACTTGTTCGCTTTCTCCATCAATGCGGAATCTAAAACACTCTTGTGGCTTTAACACGATTAGTGAAATCACCGAACTAGTATACGACTATATCAGCATCCGTCCATCCAAGGTTCTCTCGTCGTCTCAGGAATGTATGCCACGATGGGACCAAAGAGTTTGCGCTAACACGTGCCTTGTGGGTATTTTCATTCCCTTGTTTAAACACGGTAACAAGGTACAAGACAGTATGTCTTTGGCTGTAGTATTCTATATAGTTTTCCCAAACTGAGCATTCATGTACAACTCTCTCACGTCTCTAGTAGTCCAAGGGCGCCTCAGGCGTCGACGGCTGAAAATTACTCCCCATTCCTGTCCCCAATCCCAACGAACCCATGCGCCACTGAGAATATGTATCGAATCCCTCATGCATCCTTGGTAGACCTGGTATATTCCTTTCGCTGGCTCGCCTGCCAAACATGTTCCTCCTTGGGTGGTTGCTGTTCATCTTGGTTTTTACCGGAGGAGCGAAGAGCTGTGCACGGCACATGGGACATGTTGATGATCCTGATTCAATCCATTCCGTCATGCAGGGTGTATGAAAGATGTGACCACATTGAATGACCTGGGAAGCAGGATCCTCGTGTGTGTAGTGCTCGAGACATATGGAACAGCTGGCTTCGGTGTTGTTGAGCGCACATGTCGCAAGCGGGCTTAGACCGCTTGTAAGGAAGGATGATTTCGAAGTGTAAGATGCGTTTGATGACGGAGCTACGCCTGTAGCTGCGGGTGTGGGAAATGGCATGGCCATCTTCCTGGTGAAGGCAAAGATTTGTGGTTTCGAGAACTTGGAGTATTGAAAATTCAGGGTCTTGAGACTTCGCAATCGGATTTTTTGTGGTAGCAGGAGTCTTGTTGTGGTAAGAGCTTTGCGGTAAGAGTCTTGCGGTGATGAAACTCTTCTGTTAGCCCGTGGAGTTTTGTGGTGATGCGATTCCGAGTTAAGAGTGTTGTGAGGGAAGTCTGGGAGAGAGAAAGAGAGAGGAAAAATGGCTCTCTTTTCATCGACGAGGATTTGTGTTGGACCCTGATAGCAATATTTTGGGATAATTCCGTGGACCAAGGAACGATGATCAGGCGAACCACAGGTGATATAAGACAAATAGTTCACGAAATCTGGGCTTCCCGGAGAGCGATGGTATTGCAGAACGGATAAGCAGTGTGACAAGAGATACGACTTGCTACCTAAGCTTCTTAGCATGGGCAACCAGGCTCTCAATAACTTGCTCAAAAGCATCCTTGTCTCCCAGTGCGCTCTCCAGTCTCTTCTGCCAGTACTCAAATACCTCCTTTGCTCTTTCTTGCAGTCCCTTTAAGTGGTCAATGTGCATCTTCAGCTCATCGTCCGTCAGCCCTTGCAGCGCTGCATCTGTTGTCGCGCATAGTTGCATGGTGCTGCTAATGTCCAGTTCTGGAGGCGGCGGTGGACCTTTACGTTTTCGCTCCGGTTTTGAACTTGACGAGTCGATAGACGTAGATGATTCGTTCTCGCGCTTGACTCGTCCCAATGGCCCGCCATTGTTCCGACCGTCGGACGAGGGGCGGGGCGACCGATCCCCGGGTATATGTATTGAAGGGAGGATGAGCTTTTTCTGTTTCGAGGCGGGGAGGATTTCGTCCAGATCCACAGGTACACCTAATGAGACCAAGAACAGTCGCCGAATACGCGAACGAACCCAGTCAGGAGGCTGTAATGGTGGCGGCGCAACCAGTTGCGTCCATAACGAGTGGCTGCGTTCCGAAAGAAATATGGAACGGGTCTCGTCGGGATTGGCCGATATTGTGGGTATGTCATTCTGTACAGGGTACATGTCATCTAGGTAGGGCTGTGTTGCTGTGACGATTTCTTCAAGTGATGTGAGTTGATCAAAGTCTAAGACGGGCTGTGTAATGAAGGGTTAGTCAGACTATCACCATAGCAGGCGGGCAAGGCAGTAGTATATGTGGACTAGAATTGCTGCGACTTACAGGACCTGGCGAGGGGACAGGTACAGGAGGCTGTTCTGGGGGCTTATCAAATGATGTCTCTGCATCGTCCCCGCCTTGCTGAAGCCCATCGTCAAAGTCCCCAAAATCATCGTCGCCTTCTTCGCCTTGTTCAAAGTCGTCGAAATCGCCAAAACCATCGTCGTCACCGTCCTCATTGCCGAAGCCGTCATCATCTTGCTCAGCGGAGGCATCGGCTTCGGGCACGGAGTCGGCTGCGCCGTCACTGGGGCTTATTGGAGACCTGTCATGCGAGGTTGGTGACCCTTCTTCCGTCAATGGTACGCAGGAGGCACCAAGGAAATGCCCTACGTACCTGGGTTGCTGGGCTGGGTAGGCTCTGGTGCTCTGACAATGACATCAGGCGCAGCATCGGCAAGACGCTGCTGGTGGGCAAGTGTACCGGGAACATCGCCGTAGCTGGGCTGGTCGGGATCGATCTTCTCGACAATCGTCTTTGGCACTGGCGTTCCTCCTGGCGTAAGAGGCCTGTCGCTAACGCTAACGCGAGATGCACTGCGACTTCGCGTGCCTTCGGGTACAATCTCCACCTCGTCGGGTACTGCGTCTTGGGTGCGCATGTTGTATGCGTCTGTGCCGGGCACCTCGCCGTGGGCCGGCTCGTCGTCTACTCGCTCAACTCGCGTGATGGGAATGGGCGAGGTCATCTCAGACCGTCCAGGCTGGCCTTCCGAGGCATCGGAGAAGTGTTCGTCGCTCGACTCGGCTGCACTGCATTAGAATTGCTACGGCCGGGCGGAAAGAACGACGTACCCAGCTCTTTCGCACCGGGGTCCTCGAGCTCTATGCTCTTGCGGGGCGGTGCTAGCTCGTCCGGCATGTCGAGGATGCTGAATGTTTCTTCACTTGACACGTAGATTTGGTATACACAAGGAGGGAAGTAAGCTGCAAAACGACAAGTACAAGTGCAAGTGCAAGTGCAAGTGCTGCGCCCCGTTGCTTGAGCGTATCGTCTTGTCTCAGGCACGCTCGATTAGCGGGGAACGAGCGGTCTGGACGCTGCAGCACCGGGAAGGTGGGAACAACAATTCACCGGAGCTAAAGCTTGACCCATGCACTGTTTGTCTAACTTTTGGGTTGCGACGACATATTGATGCGCGTGAGAAGAAGAACCGTTTACGCGCATCCCTTGCAACTCGTCAATTGACGGCCCGACACTCCCATCTACGGGCGCGACACGACTAGACATTCGCGCGTTCCCAGTCATCTCGCCGGCATTAACAGCTCCTTCACCGTCAACACAAACACCAGAGCTCTCCTCCACAGCCGCCATCATGAGCTTCACATTCGGCCAGCAAGGCAGCAACAACAACGGCAGCAGCAGCAGCACACCAAACAAATCGCTGTTTGGTGCCGCGCCTTCCACGGGCAGCGCGACGCCATCCCTCTTCGGAACCGCAAACAGCAACACCTCAAGCACGCCGGCCAGCGGTGGCCTCTTTGGCTCTGCTGGCGCCAACACAGGCGGCTCAGGTGGTCTTTTCGGCGGCGCATCGAGCACGCCTGCGTCCAAGCCTGGCGGTTTGTTCGGCGGAGGCGGAGCCACACCTGCCGCGTCCTCAACACCAGCTTTTGGCGGAGGCTTTGGTTTCGGCAAGAAGGAGGGCGATGCGCCAAAACCAGCTGGAGGCCTGTTTGGAGGAGCGTCCACTGGCGCACCAACAACGTCTTCTGCGCCCTCATTTGGATTTGGTAACGCGGGTGGTTAGTTCCCACACACATCTCGCACCTCCAACGCGTCTGCTAACACCGCGCTTAGGTTCGACATCAACAGCTACGCCTGCAACGAACAAGACGTCGCTCCTTCCTTCCACTACCCCAGCTGGTGCCCCTCCGGGTGGAAGCCTGTTTGGACAGAACACCCAGGCCAGCGGAGGCACATCCTCTTTGTTCGGCGGCGCAAAGCCAGCAGCTCCAGCAGCAACCACATCGTCCTCCACACCTAGCCTGTTCGGCGCTACACCCGCTGCAAAGCCTTCCGGCGGCTTCAGCTTAGGAGGTAACACCGGCACCTCGACCGACGCGAACAAGTCCGCGGCTCCTGCCAGTAACCTTTTTGGAGGCGGAAATCAGTCCATCCCTACTTCTCAAGACACACAGGCTTCTAAGCCTGCGGGTGGCCTCTTTGGTGGACTGGGCAGCACAACTCCCTCCTCGACACCCGCGAAACCTCTGGGAGGGTTCAGTGTGGGTGCCACACCTGCACAGCCAGCTTCCTCGCAGCCTTCCTCTACTCCAGCCTCGGGCTTAAGCCTAGGCGGAAACAACACTGCGTCGTCTGCTTCTGCAACACCTAGTCTGTTCTCGCCTGCAGGAGCTTCCACACCAGCATCTACGGGCGGTGGCTTCAGCTTTGCTAAGCCTGCTGCTCCTGCCAGCACGGCTGCAACTACCGGGGCTACAACCACTGCCACAAGCGGTGCACCCACCACAACCGCATCATCGAGCTCGTCCTTGTTCCCCAGCATCGGAGGTGGGCTGGGAGGCGGGAGTGCTTCGTCCGCTGCTCCCGCGACTGCCGCCACCACCACTTCTGGCACCACACCCAGTTTATTCAACAAGCCCGCAGCAAGTGAAGCACCAGCAGCATCGTCTAACACTGCTTCGCAACCAACTCCTTCCCTCGGGGCCACGACCGGAAACAATGCTGCCCAAAGCGGGCTTGCTGCGTCAACTGCCGGGCCTGCACCGTCGGCTCAATCACGACTGAAGAACAAGTCTATGGACGAGATCATCACACGCTGGGCAGCTGACCTCTCCAAGTACCAGAAAGAATTTCAATCACAGGCTGAGACAGTCGCCTCATGGGATAGGGCCTTGGTTGAGAATTCCGATAAAGTCCGACAATTGTACTCGAAGACTTTCCAAGCTGAGCGTGACGCTGCTGAAGTCGAGAGGCAGTTGACGATGATGGAGGAGAATCAGCAGGAGCTCGATTCGTACCTAGATCGGTACGAGAAGGAAATTGACAATCTTATGAAGATGCACGGCGTCAGTGGCAAGAACGAAACCCTACGCGGCCCCGACCAGGAGCGCGAGAGGACGTAAGTGAAAACCTGAGAGCTGTCTGCAGCTACGAGATAACTAACGAACCCATAGTTACAAGCTTGCCGAGAAGCTTCAAGACCGCCTCAACGAGCTCAACAAGGATCTCACAGAGATGATTGAGGAGATCAACAATACCTCGCAGACGCTCAGCAAGACAGGCAAGCCAGACGATCCTCTTACCAAGGTCGTTCGTGTTCTCAACACCCAGCTTGCACAGCTTCAACTCATCGATTCCGGTGCTTCGCAGCTTCAGGAGAAGATTACCAAGGCGCAGCGGGACACACAACGTGTTGGTGCCAACGGCTGGAACGGACTTGGCTCGGATCCTTCAGCCGATTTCATGAACAGCATGCGTGGGGCGAGGGCCTCGCAAAGATTTTAATACAATGGATGAGCAGGATGATGGTATAGGATAGGCACGGTCTTGTGCTTTGGATGATAGGGTATGGTCGCATGCATTGGCGTTATCCAGGCGTTTCTTTTTCTGCACGGAGAGCCGTGCGTACTCTCGAATTCATAACGTCTCATTGAGAAACAGACCATATAACCAGTAGCACAACATTGTGTAAAGCATCTATGCTTTCTCTCCCTCCCCTCTCTCAAATGTCCCTTCATCCCCGCCCTTTCCCATAATAGCGTTGTGCACAACCCCCCCTTCTAACATTCTCCTGCTCTCAGTCCTTGCCTGCATCCATGCCAATGCCGCCGTCCACGCTGCCATGGCAATGCTGACGGCAATCATAGCCCACATACCTCTAGTAAAGTACGGTGCGAAATTTGCACCGTAGAAGACAATGCTCCACCAGGCGTTGATGGCGTTGCTTCCCATGTTCATGCTTGCTATGACCACAGCACGCAGACTGTCTTCTTCGTAGCGTAATACGTCGTTTGCCCAGGCGAAGAAGGTGGCTTGACAGGCATAAACGCTGCCCGCCCAATAATACATTGCGAAGTGAATCGTGGTGTTTTGTGGATAGGCGAGAATGAGGGCTGAGGTTACGATACCAGTTATGCCAATCCAGTAGCCGACAAGATAACGTTTCCCGCCCATAAAGTCCGTTAGTGTGGCCCAAAACAAAGTCGAAACAATCCCGACAGCAGGTACTCCCGTAGGATAGTTGTTATTCTGAGCCACGGTATAAGTGTTTGTAGGATGTGAGCGCATGTAAAGTTGCAACAAAGCGTTTGTGCTAAAAGATTCGGTCTCTCCCGCTAGAATCCAGAGGATGACGAAAAAGTACCAATACCACGTTGAGAAGCAATGCTTCAAAAAGGACAAGGATATTGGAGTGCGCTCCGAGACTTCAGGAACGCGGGAGATTGCTAGCGCTTTCTCGGAGGCACTGAGGTACGGCGCTCGTGTGTTTCTTGGCGTGTCGGGGAAGAGGGCAAAACCGTAGATGGCTACAGGAAGTGTGATGAGTCCGTCAATGACTGAAGAGACTTGGCGTTAGTGCGTTAATTGTAGATGTTGTCAAAACAACTTACTGAAGAGCCATCGCCAACCACTCATCCCCCGGAGGCCGTCCATGCTACTGTGTATACCCGTTTGGATGAAACCGCCAATCATGGTGCCAGCAAGGCCTGATGCGGTGAATATCCCGGAGCGTTTTCCTAGCTCTTTTTCGGTGTACCAAGAACCAAGAATGTAATGAGTTCCTACGAACGTCGATGATTCGAACAGCGCTTGGAAGAAGCGGATTGCCATGATGTCCTGAGGTTTCTGAGCGGCTGCAGTAACCATTGTCAAGCCTGCCCATGCTACCTAGGTTGAATAAGTTACAAAACTCAAGGCGCTTTGGGTTAGAGACGCACCATGCAGGCAGGGAAGAAATAACGAGGCTTGATGTAGTACAGCAGGATGTTACATGGCACTTGCCCTATAGTATACCTATGTATGTCGAATTAGTATGAGACTATTCATGGTCTTCTTTCGTTTATGCGTACTTACCCTACAGTGAAGACGGTGTTGATCTGATTGAGTTGGTTGCCTTTGAAGTCCAGCTCTTCCCTCATGCCAGAAACGTACGCATTGTTAAGATTGGTGCGATCAAGATAATTGAGGAAATACATGAGACAGCAGAAAGTAAGGATGAAAAAATCAAGCTTCTGCACCAGCTTGCGCTCGCCTGGCGCATTCTGGTCGCCTCGAAGATAGGCGATGAAGCTGTTGGCCATCTTGGAACGGATTATTGCACGATTGAGGGCAAAAGTGTTGCGCCCTGTCGCTAGAGATGTGCTGTTAAGCAATGGAAGATGGCTTTGCCTGTTTTCGAACAGCTGTCGCTATCAGTTATGTTTGTAGTATTGGTTGTTCTCCGGGTGATATCGTCCGCCCCATGCATCATAGGACCGATAGACGCTGGGGGCAAGATATGGTTGATACTACGCCACTTATGACTGACTCGAGATAGGCATATTCAGTAAGCGTTTTTGCCGATCATATCTCTGTGGTGAAGCGGCTGAATGCCGGTATCGGTTACTTGGGTGTTCGTATCTGAATCTCAACAGGGCAGGTATAACCTCTTGACCAGCGGTAGTCTATCTCGGCCGAAGCGACGGGATGTCTGGTAGCAGTTAGTCTGGGTTGGGTGCGTCCAAAGGTGCGGGGAATGATATCGTCGACGCCTCCAATGGCTTCGGTTGGGGACCACCACAATGACAGATGGCCGCGGCGCAGACGACCCGAGAGTGGGGAGAATACATTGCGGTAGGGCCATGAGTACTCACTGAAACGCTCGAAGTAACCGTCTTTCAACCTTGTAAACTTATTCACTATTGTTCTACGATATTGTAGTAGCTTGGCGTTGCGAAAGCCTTAAAGTATGATATCTGAAGCGAATTGGGAGAAAGTTGCTGCGGGGAAGCGCGCAGCTCTCGCGGAATCCATTCCGACCGAACATCGCATACCGCAAGACAAGATACCACCAGAGTCTCAACTCGACGTAACAACATGGCCTAGGGAGTCTGGGTGGTTTACAGCAAACGAACTTGAGATCACTGAGAGCAGCGCAATCCACATTCTGAACCAGATCGCGTCGAAAACATGGAGCGCCGAAGATGTCACGGTCGCGTTCTGCAAACGCGCAGCAGCAGCGCAGCAATTGGTATGGCAGAACCTCCAGGACACATGTGAATCATTTTAACGCGTGTGTAGACCAATTGCCTTAGCGATGTGTTCTTCGATGAAGCAGTGCAGCGAGCCAAATCCCTCGACAACCATCTCCGGCGAACTGGCAAGACTGTTGGGCCACTCCATGGCCTGCCAATCTCTCTCAAGGACAACTTCAATATAAAGGGAAAAGACAGCACTGTAGGCTTCACCTCATTAGTCAATCAGCCGGCGGAGTACAATGCTACGTTGGTGGATATACTCGAACGGCTGGGCGCAGTGCGGTATTGCAAGACAAATGTGCCGACAGCCATGATGATCGTATGTATGCGCGCAGGCATATGTTGGGCTGGGAGTTGACAGGATACAGGCAGAGTCTGTTAATAACACATTCGGACGTACCGTTAATCCGCTTAATCGCAAAGTCACGTCTGGCGGCTCTTCAGGCGGAGAATCAGCCCTCATTGCGTTTGGAGGTAGTCCTTTAGGCGTCGGGACCGACATAGTGAGTTCTATATCGTGACGTGTAATCCTCATATCTAACAAGATCAGGGCGGCAGCTTGCGAATCCCGGCAGCATGCACCGGCATCTTCACTCTTCGACCATCTTTCGGTCGCTTTACAACACAGCGATGTAGATCTGGTCTCGCTGGCCAGGAAGCGGTACAGAGCGTCAATGGACCCATGGGAAAGTCGCTTCAGGATATTACCATGTACTCGAAGGCGATTGTCGATGCGGAGCCATGGAAACTAGACCCAAAGATGCTGCCTATCCCGTGGCGGTCAGTTGATGTTCCGCGGAGACTCAAGATAGCGGTCCTTTGGAACGATGGTGTCTGCTTGCCCACACCCCCAGTGACGCGCGCTCTCAAGGAAACGACAGAGAAGATGAAGAAGGCTGGACATGAAGTTCTGGATTGGAATCCAAGACTACACGGAACTGCGCTGGCACTTCTGGTGAGCTACTTTTGGAGCTACACCAGCCCCCAAGCTGACAAGTATAGGGACGAATGTTCGTCGCCGATGGCGGCAAAAGCGTCGAATCATTACTCGGGGCGACAGGCGAGCCATTTCGACCCGAGATGGTTCAGTACAAAGATGCCGAAGAATTGGGCGTATATGACATGTGGAAGCTACATTCAGAGAGATCCGAGCTACAACGGCAGTACCTGGAACAGTGGATGGCGATCGAAGGGCTCGACGCCATCTTAGGTAAGTCGAGCATTTATGTTTGCTGCAAAGCAGTGTTTAACCTTTCTTAGCACCCACGACCCCGTACTCAAGTGTGGCGCATGGCGATTTCAAGTACGTCGGGTATACTGGTGTATATAATGTTGTTGACTACGCCGCCGTATCTTTCCCATGCGGGGTCTCTGTCGACAAAGCAGTCGACAAACACGCGAGTGACTACAAGCCCCAGAGCGACTACTGTCAGGATGCTTATAACAGCTGTAAGCTATACACTGTGCTACCGATGGTTGTGTTCGACAATTGATGAACAACAGATCAACCTGAGCTATTACATGGTCTCCCAGTCAGTCTACAGTAAGTGTTGAATCGTTGTTGCTGAAAAGAGCAATACTGACTCATGCAGACTGGTCGCGCAACGGCTAGAAGAGGAAAAGGTGCTGGCTATGACAGAGTCAGTACTCCAGGCGATATACTCTTAGTGACATGAAATGCGTGGAATAAGCCCTGCCATCTAAATGTACTTGACAACTCTCTGTTGTGATACGGTCGCTGGACATCGCAACTTCCTCGTAATTTCAGCAGGGTGCTGGCCGCAGAGTGTGCAGCAAGAGCTATTAAGACGTTAGATAAGTAAACAAAAGACGGGCAATAATAACCTCCGTGTTGCTGAGTTCCAAACAACATCACCTCTACCTTCCACTTCGTCCATCCTTTTTGGCTCAGCTCTACAACGACCAGCTTCTTCTACACCCTCTGCCTCTGCCGCCCTGCTTGCGTCTATCTGCAAGTAGTCGAAGCTGGTCGTCTCATATCCTTCATATTCTTCGCCCTTTCGACCGACTTCTCACTTCACTCTTTGAGCAGTTTGGCCGTTAAGCATCACAGCAGCGTACGTTAACCGTCTTCGAAACCCGTACGCATTCGCCGTTCCAGCCCGAACCAAGCTGGATTTCACTCCCTGGTATGACTCAGTCTAAAGATAATGCTTCGAAGGTATCGAGCGCACACCTGAAGATGACTACAGCCCCAGAGCGCAAGAAGCTTGCACCACGTACCACGTCGGAAAGACTCCCTTGGCTGACTCACAAATCTGCTCGGATCGTGACTGCAGCCTTGACAGATGGTCAAAACAGTACAGCCGTGGAGAGCTCATGCAGCTCGCCCATAGATGGTCATCAAAGCCCTGCTCAATCACCGTCAACCACTCGTCCTTCTGACCGCAAAGTATTTGTTACAGGTGCTCCGACACCTGCTATCACGAGCAAACCGATGGCGCGACACAATCGATTGGTGCAAGCAGCTGAGCGCCGACTGTCGTCAGCGGTCCCGAGCAGCCCATCTCCAGTAACAAGGCACCGACTATCCCAGGCGCGTCGTGCCTCACTGGCAATCGACGCAGTGAATCCATTGAGAGCAGCACGAGCGTCTATATCGCAGTCACAAGAATCACAGAAGAGACGTTCTATCGTACATGCCAAGAAAGACGATGAAGAGCCAGAACACAGTCATCTTCATGAACCTCGCCCTCGAATTGACAGCCTGGCGCCCGTTCCCAATCATCTCCAGCAGTCAAGCACTTCAGATTCAAGCAGCACGCCTCCTGCGACCGTATCGGGAGTAAACATATTCCCCAATCAACCGGCACCAATACCTGGTACATTCGTGGGAATCATGAATAGGAGTATCAACAACATGGTCGAAGGTCTAGAGGCTATGGTTCAAGAAGCGGTCGAGGTTGCTGAGGTCGCTGATGATCGAAGTCAGGTGGAAGAACTGTGCACAATCATTGAGGGAGCGAAGGGCGCTGTACATGATGCTTCCCCCGAACCTGGATATCTCATGACAACCGCGCTTCCTCTTAAGGTGTCTGAGTCTTCAAACTCATCTAGTCGCCATCAGAATCTACAGCCGTCTGCCATCGTTCAGCGAGGTGGCTTAGATGATGTCGCTCCCAATGTTCGGCTGCCACAAGATGTACCAAGAGCCTCAGTGTCCTACGATTGGGCATACGCGAATCCATGCGTTCGAAAGCAAGATTGTTCGTCTACTTCGTTATGCTCGTCCAGTAATCATGAAAGCGAGCGAAACCATGTCGATTTCGACACACGAAGCGATCTGCTCCTGCCAAAGCTGGCTCAAACAGCCCCAAGAGAACACGTCGATTTCGTTCTTCGTCCTGTAGGTAGGGACAAATCTCGCGGTCGCTCTCGCCAACGCATCACTGATAATGTTGCGGTGCGTCGAAATCGCCGCTGTCGAAGCCATGAGCATACATCGAGACCGAAAACTCGGCTTGAGCCAAGAGATGACTCAGGCTTCGGTGAGGGAGATACCTCTTTGGATGAGGACGACAGGCTGTCGAAGCCATATGGCACCGAACTTACGGTACGAGGACAGTCCCACCATCACACGTTTGGTCTTCGACGACATCACCACAGACAGCCGATTGCACGAAATTGGTCTGCGGGTAAAAAGCGTCTTACTGCGAGTATTGCGTGTATCAACACAGCTCTGCTTGGTGTCATCGTTGGCATCTATGCGGGTGAAGTGCCTCGCATACAGTATTCCCTGGCGGACGAACGCCACGTCACGATCATAGGTAATACAGTATTGTACGCTGGGCTTGCTTTCTCGACCTTTTTTGCCTGGACACTACCCCTCCTACATGGACGCAAACCCTATGTCCTCGCTGCTCTCGCAATCGCCTTGCCACTCCAATTTCCTCAAGCAATTGTCGTCAGCGGCTTCCGCAACAAGGAGGCGAACTATCGTGTCGGCCTTTTACTTTCTCGTGGCTTATCTGGGGTCGTTCTCGGATTTGCGAATGTCAATTACATCACTGTGTTGCTTGACCTCTTTGGGGCTTCTTTACAGTCCAAAAACCCTCATCAAGAGTTCGTTGTTGCAAACGATGTCCGTCGCCACGGTGGAGGTATGGGCATGTGGCTGGGGCTTTGGTCATGGTGCTGGATCGGGTCTCTGGCCGTCGGCTTCCAAATTGGGGCTGCGATCATCGAAAAGCTGACACCGGACTGGGGGTTCTATATTGTCGTGGTGATCCTTGCTCTTGCCTTGATCTTAAACATCATGACTTCAGAAACGCGACGCGCACCATTCCGGAAGTCGGTGACTGAGGTATATGACAGAGACGAGAACTACATTACAAGGCGTGTGAGCAGGGGTGAAGTGAAATTGCACATCGAAACCGAAGGACCGAAGTATTGGTTCGAGGAGGTATGGGCGGGTGTACAGCTTATGGCAATGATGCTGTGTCAACCTGGCTTTCTCGTCCTGGCATTGTACCTGGGATGGATATATGCACAGGTCGTCCTCGTGATTATTCTGCTAGGTGCTCTCCTGTCGCGAGACTACAGATGGAAGCCGACAAAGGTGGGCGCGGGTGTTATATCCATAGCTATCGGCGCCTTGCTTGCGATCCCCCTAACGAAAGCGGGCATCTTCTCTCGGGAGCGAAAAAGCGCATTTCGCACCGACTCCATGACATTCCAGAAACAAGTCACCTGGTCAAGCCATCTTGTCCGCCGTGCAATCTTCACACTGACACTTCCTCTCATGGGCATGGCGTACACTGTCTCTTCGGCTAGGCGCCCTCGACCATGGCTTGTGCCGATTGTTTTCGCTGGCGCCGTGGGTTTCCTCAGTGTTCTCGCCATAGCTGAATGCCACGGCCTGATGATGGAAACGTTCGATACATGTGACCTACAACCTGGAGTCAACACACGACATCGGCTGCAAAGCATGGCTGTACAAGACCGTAGAAGAAGAACGAATTACACGTCCTTCCCCCGTGTCACTGCTGGTATTTTCGCCAGTCAAATCATCGCGTTCATTCTCGCTGCAGTTGCGACGATAGTCGGCGGAAGCATGACGCGCAATCTTGGCGCACAAAAGTCCACAGGGACAACGGCAGGCATCCTCTTTGCTCTCACTGTTCTGCTTATCCTGGTCCTCTGTCGCTTCAAATCGGTGCAAGTCATACCGAACCATACGTTTGGAACAAGACGCGACACAGCAGCCTGGCAAGAGTTCAAAGACCTGGAGAAGGTTGGGCGTGGCAGCGACTGGAAGGCTGTGGTCATTGGAAATCCGAGTGGCAAGATGAGGAGAATGAGTGTGCTTGAGTTGGGAGCACTGAGTCGCTGGACAGAGATCCGGAAGCTGAAATTTCTAATCAAGGGAGTCATGTTGGGACAGGCAAAGGAGAAGAAGGACATGGGAGATGGTTGGTAAAGGTGTTCAGACATGTTTGAGTATTGCTGGAGAGGTGTTGATTGGGTATTAGAGAGCAATGACCTAAGAGTGTACTAAAACAACGAAAGCGCATTACCCAAGGCACTACGATTGTAGAGAAGATAGGAAGCGGCGAGTGAAAGGTGACCTCATATGTGTGACTAGCATAGGATTGTTGAGGTGGTAATGCCAACATCGTTAATCCCCTGAGCCATCCGGGCAAGGGCGTCCGTGCGCGGCTGAAAAACCAAGCGTCACTGCCGAGCTCCATCCACCCTCACGAGCAGACGACCGGCGACACCCCATCTCCCCTTCGTCAATTCACATCAAGATGTCTCTCGCTGCATCACGTGCCGTATTACGGCAATCGACGTTCGCCGTCCGCCGCGCTGGCATCCGCAATGCCTCGACGACCGCCGAAGCCACCAACACCGTAAAGGAAACCGCGTCAAAGGCACAGTCCAAGGCATCAGAGGGTCTCACCAAGGTCACAAGCTCCGCGAGCTCTGCGGCGTCGGGTGCCGGTCAAGCCGTCAACAATGCGACACAGCAAGCCACTGGACGGGTAGGAAGGATGGTCAACTTCGTGCAAGGTCAGTCACCCCATCTCAAAGGCGGGGGAGTGTGCCAATTGGCCATGGGAGCGTTGCGTCTAGTACCAAGAGCCGGGATATCAGAACCTGAAGCGCATTGGTTTGTCCGTGCAGCTTCACACTGCTTATCAACCGCAGCCATGTTTGTAGAGTTGGACCGTGGTAGACGTTGGGCAGGAATTCTGATGCAGCATGATACTCCATCCGGAATCACAGACTGACATTATCATAGGACTGGTTCCCAAGGCTACCTACTACGGAAGGGTCGGACTTGAGCTCGGCAAGCTCATTGCCCACCAACGAAGCATGCAACCACCGTAGGCCTCCCACAAGCCGGGCTTGGCATGCTGGAATGTCGGAATAATTACTGACTGCTCACAGATCCATCCAGACTATGCAGAACTACATTCAGCCCGCATTGAACGCTCTCCGCAACCCCAGCTCCCTCTTCAACCGCGTAGCCAGCGAGGCCAACAGCGCTGCCCAGCAACCCGCCAACGTCCTTGCGCAAGTTCGGAACATGCCCCGCGAACAGTGGTACTCTATGGGTGTTGTTTTCGCCGAGGTCATCGGTTTCTTCTCCGTTGGCGAGATCATTGGCCGATTCAAGCTTGTTGGCTACCGGCAGAAGAAGGACGAGCACCATTGAGTGCGGTGAGCTTGAGGGATGAGCTTAGGAAAGCTACGACACGACATTTCAGCATGCACTAGGTTCGAGAGGTAGTGGGGAGGGCTACGAGGGGTTGGTGAGGAAAGAAACACTGTACGATTTCGCGGGCAGGGAAGCTGAGCAAGTGTGTTTGCGGTGCGTTCGGGGTGGTAGGAATCCGATACTGTATACTGCACATACCTCTGATTTAGATTCCATTTTCTACATGTGCAATTATTGGCAATGCATCTACTACAGTACCACGATAATAGTAGCATAGCAGTAGTAGATTACACGTGAATGCTTGGATGATCGGCGCTAGTTGCGCCGAATCGCCGCGGCCCAATTATTTTTCTGAGCGCGCAATCGAACTTTTGCAGTCCGCGCAGCAGCAACGCAAGACGGGATGATGCCAAGGACATGATCACTCTTGCTGAACATCTTCCAGCCCACCGCCACTATGAACGTGTTTAAACTCCTCTCGCGATCCTCGAAAGCGGCGCAGACGTCGCCCGCGCAAAAGCTTCCTTCCTCCGGCGCCGTCGCAAACCCGCAGCTGTTCGGCCACGACGAGCCAGCACACCCCTCGGACACGTCGAATACTAGTCGCAAGAGAAAAAGGGGGCAGAATCTGGCAGACGCATCTTCGAGCGCAACTCAACTTCCCGCCGATCTCGACTTCTTTGGCGGCGGTGCAAGCAAAGATTCAGAGTCAAGTGGAAGCACTCTTTCCAAGAAGCAGAGGAAGAAGCAGAAGCAGCAAGAGCGCAAAGAGGAAGCTATCCTTCAGGAAGGCGCAGGCGAGATAGAGGAGGAGTCATACAATGCGGACGAGTGCAAGAGGGTACTGCGCTCGCATAAGCTAAAAGTTGCAATACTCGACGATTTTGCGACACAAGTAGAAGAGCCAAGTAAAGAAAAGAAGTCGAAGAAGAGAATGAAGGAGAAAGAGACCAAGGAAAAGAAGAAGAATGCGAACAGACCCCTCTATCCACAACCCCTTGTCGAGTTTGCCCAACTACGGACACGTTACGGTATATCGAGACGTTTGGCGGAGAATATAGCAGAGCAAGGGTACAAGCTACCTACTGAAGTTCAGCTTGGCGCTTTACCGTTGCTACTGGGCAGCAAGGGCCGCAAGGTTACTGGCGATGTCGAAGGCTTGTCTGGTGCTGAGTTCAATGGAGACATTGATCTTCTGACAGTAGCACCTACGGGCAGTGGAAAGACAATGGCGTTCCTGATACCCATCATCGACTCACTACTCGCGGAGAGCAGCACTACAGACACTAGGGAGGGTCCACGCGCCATTATCCTCGCCCCTACTAGAGAGCTTGCGGCGCAGATTGTCAACGAGGCGAGGAAATTGGCAAAAGGCACAGCAATCAAGGCTACACTTATGAGGAAAGGCATGCAGGTCGTGCAAGAACGAGAAAAGGAGATACTTGAGGTTACAGTGGATGCGGTTGACGCGTCCGAAAATGACGAGAGTGATTCTCAAACCGACGACGAAGGGGCGGCAGCACCAAAGAAGAAGCAGGCTGGTCGAAGGGCAGAATTTGTGAAAGCCGCCATCCTAGTCGCGACGCCACTTGCTCTGCTCAACGCACTGAAGCGCAGGAACAGCACTGTTGCGAACATTCCTAGCGCATCTCAGCTCGTGCTTGATGAAGCAGACGTCCTCCTCGACCCCCTCTTCCGCGAACAAACGCTCGCGATATGGAATGCTTGCACAAATCCCAGGCTTCGAATTGGTCTATGGTCAGCGACCATGGGCTCCAATATCGATAGTCTGACGACATCTACTCTGAACAACCGCTGGACTGCCCTCTCCGCTTCACAGTCCGACCTTCCTCGGCGACCACCGCTCATCCGGCTCGTTGTTGGACTCAAAGACTCCGCTATACCCAATATTTCACATCAATTAACTTATGCCGCTACCGAGCAAGGCAAGCTTCTTGGTCTGCGTCAGTTACTCCATCCAACTTCCGTCTTCACCAACTCGAATCAGCCCACGCTCCGCCCACCGTTCCTAGTCTTCACACAAACGATACCCCGAGCCATTGCACTTCACTCAGAGCTCCTCTACGATATACCCCCAGAAGCAGGCGGTAGCTCGCGCATCGCTGTCCTACACGCCGATCTATCCTCGTCTGCCCGCGATAGCATAATGACGCGCTTCCGAAAGGGCGAAATCTGGGTTCTCATAACCACAGACCTTCTAGCTCGCGGCGTAGACTTCCGCGGTCTAAACGGCGTCGTAAATTACGACGTACCCACCTCCGCAGCTGGCTACGTCCACCGCGTAGGCCGCACTGGACGTGCTGGTCGTCAAGGTGGTGTCGCAGTCACATTCTACACACAAGACGATATCCCCTATGTCAAGCTCATTGCCAACGTTATCCGCGCTTCTGAGAAGTTAAGGGGACTTGGTGATGAAGAAGGGAGTGTCAAACAGTGGATGCTCGATGCACTGCCCACGCCGAGCAAGAGGGATAGGCAGCTCCTCAAGAAGAGGGGTGTTGAGGCTAGACGTACGGCAAAGGGGAAGGATGTGAAGCCTGAGAGCAGAATTAGTAGTAAGAGTGGGTATGATAGGAAAATTGAGAATAGGAAGAGAGAGGCTAGGGAGGCGGCAAAGAAGAGAGGAAGTACAGTCGTAGGGCGTGGTAGCGATGCGGAGAGTGCTCTTGAGGGGTTTGACTAGATTGGACTGGGTCATCCATTGCCATGAATGAGATATGTGTCTGAACAGTACATATGTTGTCTGTGACACTATCCGCATCGCTATGCATGACACTGGCTTTCCAGATGTTGAACTTCTTCCATGCCTTGGTCCTCGACAGCAGATAATTACACGTTTTTATGATCTTATCTCCAACCAATATATACATGCTACCAGAATTCGACGTACCATTATGACCCGCACTTTAGTGCACTGCTCTGGAGGTTGTTACAAGTCAATCAAAGTGATGACGGAAATCTCGGACTTCACATCTTTTTTGTATCTCTCGCTCTAGAATTCTTGGTAGGCGATAATTTTTTTTTACAATCTTTGTTGCAGATCTCAAGGTATGTTGTGATTCTAGAAAGGCTTCCGAAAGCTTGGATCCCCGAAGGTGTAAGGTTTCCTTTTTGTTAGCGTTCCCAAGCGCTCACACCTACGGGTGTGTCCGCCATTTTGTTTTCGACCCGCGGTTAGATCGATACTAAGTGGTTTTTGTCCACAATGGGAAAGACACGTCTTCCATGCTGGAGTATAACGGGTATATCAGGGTCTTTTCGCTTGTATCGATTAGGAGGCGACTAGCCATGTGGAAAGATCAATGCAATTCGTTTCTCTCACAAATCCGGGGCAATCGATCTGAATTAGATAAATCGAACCGAATGTATGCAACTAGCGCTCTTGTCAGTTTCTGCACATGTGGAACTAGTTTTTTTTTGAAAATCGCAGTAAAGTAGGGAGCGACTTTGACGTGTCGGTGATCTTCAAGGCTCAAATTGCAGTGTTGTCTTTTCCGCCGGCATGATCCATGAAGCTGCTGCAGCATCGAAAGGGTTTCAGAAAAAAGCAAGTACTGTCTCGCGCATGCCATGGGAAAAAGCATATCCAGATCCACTTCCCGTCCGCGGTCTGGTGCATCTGACTACTGTATCCTTCGCTTAGATGGCACCCTGAGGTCTGTCGAGAGTCAACCTCGGCCCACTCTGGTGGCTTTCGGTCCATATGACCTGCCTTTCTGGTGCATGCCATTGGCCACCCATTCCGACATCTGTTCACCAACATTGGAAATGAGAGTGGTAGTTGATGCGGCCTGGCGTGGGCCTTTCACGGCACCCATTCTGTTGATCAAGGGTGTGAGGGCATGCGAGCTTTGTGTGACGGCGGTCTTCAACTCCATATCCACTCAAATCCCTCGGATTTTACTTCTCGATCGGTGGAGTTGCGGAACCGCGCTATGAGGCCATTTCCGGCCGGCGTCCTGCTCCGAACTCCAATCCCAAGATTCTCGGTATTAGCAACGTGACCACCATGCTTACGCAGCTTGTGAAGACTTCTGCTGAGTGGCCAACGAGCTGATGAATCGGAGGAAACAGGCAAAGTACTGCTGTGAACCCACGTGGTGCAACAAAGAAATGTGCTGAGGTTGGTGGTCGAGCGGGCGAGAACTGTGTTCACTTATCCATCTGCGAGTTGGTTCATAGATCAAAACGCTTCTGAGCACGCAATCGGCTTCTGGCTTATGCAAACCTCTAATGGTGCTTCGTTCGGCTCGTGTTTCCTTACTGATAAGTAGGCCGTGTGGAGGGCGCTCACACCACCCCGCATCCCACAGCCTAATCGCGAGCTGTCCAAACGTGACCAAAAGTGTGATGTTGCCGAAGTATGCATCTTTTCTGTGCATATGCGGCGATGTCGTTCGATGAGTCAGATTTTTAAATTCGAAGGATTCGGGGTCTGTTCATGGAACGCTTCCAGACCGATAAATGGCAAGCTCGTCTATCGCGTCTATCCTGTCAGTTGCCTGAGACGCCAAAAGGCGTTTTGAGGCGTACGGATACGGGTAGCAGCAGGATCGTAAAGTTACCGCTGTCGTGTTCAGACCAGGAAGCCAAGAAACGTGGGACTTTGCCGGTACATTCGTGCAACCGTGTCGCAGTCCAGTAGTTCACCATACCTGTCTGTGATGACGCGGACTAAATTCTGCTCTTGACCGGCTGGCTCTTTTGTGTGCTTCTTTCGATAGCGTAACATAGCAAGTTGATTCGATGACATGTTCCAGTACTGGTGTGATGATATGGAGTCTCGTGCCACATACCTATCTAGCTCGGCATCGACCTACTTACCAATCTTTGGCCTTTAGAAGGTATATGCTTGTCCTTTAGGTAGGCCTAAATTTTGTAGGCGAACCAGGGTAAACGAAATGCAGGCCAAGCAAGGGCTTATGATGGCGTGCATACGGCAAGGGCGCAGGCCCAGGGTCGGCTGCGGTTCGAAGTTGGTGTATGCTAAAAATCTCAACAAAATGTTATGAGCTATTGGAACGTACTGAAGACTTCCTATTAATTTTGTGCCGAGCAGAAAACTGTAGAATAACGAGAACCGTGCGACGGGGTTCTTCGAGGAGCTTTGTCGAAGAGGTTGATGTCCACGCAACTAGCTAGTTGTGAGAGCTTTCTGTTGACAATTCATTCATTTAGCATCTAACGTAACCTTGAAAGACGGTATCCATGGAGAAGGATCATTGGGCTGATTCAAGATTGTCTAAACCCAATCGGTTCGCGTCAATAGCTGACATGATATACATGTTTGCCAACGCTTAATATATGGCCGAAACCAGAAATATCCTACCCGGTGTGGTTGTCCTCGCAGCATGCTCAGCGCCACGGGCGGGTACCGCCTATATAAGCTTGCGATGGGGGTTTTGCTGTTTCAGTGATACTTGTGGTTGGATCAGTCAGCTTGAAGGAAAAAGCTTATGTCCTGATAGACATCCCAAGCACGTGCTGCCTGGAGCAGCCACTCCGATGTATCATGGTATATGCACGACATCAGAGATCGACCGACGTCGTATTAGTCGGCCACCCGCATCGCTTGGCAGTCTTGTATCATGGGACTAGATCGAGATGTGTGCTGAAGCTGCTAGCAACCGTTCTGCTCATCAGGGCATGCGACATTATTGCCAATCCGGAATGTACGAAGTGTGTGCCTCTTTGGGATGTCAGCAAAAGTCAGTATAGACACCAAAGACTAGGGACTGAAGACGTCTGTTCTTAGTTTCTTCGAAAGGATCAGCATATGCAGCTAAGTGTTCTTCACACCGTTCGCAAAGGGTAAGCAGGGCCGTGGTTATGCAATAGCATATAAGCTCTGCGGGCGGTTTTGGGGTCAGGGATATGCAGCCGCATACAGAATATGGATAAGGACATTCGCTATAGTCTCCGACCCTGGTCAGCTTACAGTGGCCTCCAATTTCCGGCGGTGCGGGAGATGTCCAGTCCAATATGACGCGGCCAACATGCGCCTCAGCTGGAATGCTGCACACGGTAATTGGAGGTGTACGAGCCATTTTTGGCCGCACTGAGGTGTCGCGCGACCCCCTAGGCTGATTCGCCGCCGTGGTGGTATTCTGGTCCAAAGGCGAGATAAATAGTGACGTGTGAGGGCCTGCATCCATGGCTCGGTTAGAAGGTGGTGTGAGTGTGTGGGGAACAAAGTCAAGAGCGCTTTAGGACTGGCGATCAACACCACTGATTAGCGCACCGCTAGCGTCGTCCAGGGATTCTCCATGACCCTGGCCCCCGCGCGGACAGCCAGACATCGTACGAGAGACAGTAGCGGGATTAGATACATTGTTATGTTTAGCATACATCTCTACGCTTGACTGAACGCGTCGCTGAGTGCATGAGGGTGTGGATCGTTTGTTGGCGAGTACGATAGGGCACCTAGGTGCGCAGGTGCACACTGATCGGCGCTAGTCCTCCAGTCGATCCCAAGCTGTTGTAGCTCACCAGGCCAGCAACCACCACCACTTGACCCGTCGTCATCCGTAACCAACCCACTTCTTTCGCCTTACAGTCTTGCCAAATCGCACCATTACGTGTTTCTTCCTAGGCGAGCCTCAAAGCACACAGAAACAAGCACTATTGTGCCTCCTTTCCGGACAGTTTCCTTGTCTTTGGAGTTCCACTCTCGGTACTCGGAGGCAATAGTACTACCCCCCCAAAAAAAAATACTTGAAATGCCTGAGGATACACGACGTTTTATCCATCGACTGAATGCTGCAAGTGTTGCCGCTCATAGATGTACTATAGGAATGACCGGAGTGAATCCCAAGGGACCTGCGGCAAAGCCCCCGGCCAGCAACAGCGCCGTTGGAAACCGATGATCGTATTAACTCCATGATATCACGAAGAGTTGGAAACACCGAGATCTCCCTCAGGGTCATCCCCGTTTACAGAGCTCACATGGCAAGCTGGACAAGAGCCAAATCGGTGTACCATAAGGTCATTTGGACACCTTGCGTTGAGACCATACGGCTTCTGTGCTGAGGGTTTGCAACGATACAAAAGATTTAGAGTGCCACTATTCAGGTCATCTGGCACATCTCTGGGCGAGAAGGTTGCACGCCCTAGCTATTGTCCCAAGCTCCCGAGTAGTGCGAAGCATCAAAACCATCCTCAGCCTTGCTCAGCTTCCGGTTACTTACAGAACGCTCTTCCGGAAAGTGACATGATCGATTCGGAATTATGCGGAGGGAAATCGCGGTAAGTCTTTCTTGTCAAGGCAGACTCGCGGTGTCATACGATTTTAGACCTTATGAGGACTATTGTTGAAGGAAAATGCGCCAGTTCGCGTTTGGAACATCAACGTCCCCCACCCATTTTTCATCTGAAAGGTAGACTTGGTAAATAGTATCCTTTACTTTGTCTGGTCATAGTCAACCGTCCTTTGATGCATTGGAGCAGACACGTGTGGCGGCTTGATGGAGCGATTGAATGTGTAAAGATCTCCTTGAAAATATCAGGAATGTATAATTGGAGTTGGACAGCTTCCCTTCAGAAGTTGAGCGCCCTCTATTCGGTCAATTAATCGAACCAAGGATAGGATATACTTGGATCAGTCTATGCATATGCCTATTGTTCTTCTTGTTGACAGCATCATTTATTGGGCGTTATGTGATTGATTTCTAGAAGTCGAGCATTCCATCTCGGACTCACTCATCGTGAGAAGACCCCCTGGATGCCAAGAAATGCCGACAACAATAGTACAAATAGCAGTACACGACTGTGATTGAGCCTCCACAGCGCCAGACCCTGTCTCGTCTGTGGCGCAGGCGCGTAAAAGTGTTAACATTCGTGTACGGCTCTGGCTTTCGCGAGGAAGCGGCAAGCGATCCGCACTATGCGGAGGATCAGCTTTGCCCGAGCCTGTGGTTGATGACGCAATATCCGCAAGTGTCCTGACAGCTGTCATTTTGTACCCATGAGAATTGGTGTTTGCCATACTTGAGGTTCGGGCATGATCACCGGTCGAGATTACGACTTTGTCCCACCTTGATGACAGCTAGCCTAGTGTGTGGGTTGGACAAGGTGATATATTACCATACAGCATCGCTGATCCAAGATAGATATTCCACATCTGCTCTGTTGGAAGCCGGATGTAGACATTGACAAGACCGAAAGGTAAGGCTTCATGCAGGGAAGCGCCAGCAGCCATGACCCATCTTTCGCTCGATCACGCCCACCCACCTTTGTAAATTACATGCAGCATGCACAAGCAAGCCTTTTACATGGTTGACAACAAGGTAATTGGATGCGCGTATGTCTTCCCGCGGCCCGACGTTTGGATCTGCATGAGCATGGTATAAACCCCGTCTCTGCAGCGTTCTACACAACCTTGGAGTTTGAGGCAGGCGTACCCGGACCTTGTATCTCTTCATCCGGTGCAGGTACCTTTCCAATACTGTGGTCGAGCGGGACTGAGACGATAATTACAGTCAAGCTGAGGCAACGTAGCAGTAAGGTCCAGGCGACTGGCTGCTGTATAGGGTAATGTCTCCGACGAGAAGGCCATCGGTCAACGTACAACCAATACAGGCTACTAGTGCTTGGACGAACGGAGCACGCCTACAATGCGGACCGGCGAAGCACATGGTAACATAATTCTCGCAGCGGCTGACCGTAGCAAGCCGGCGCTGTGGCAGGTGGCTCGGTTGCAGCAAACGGGCAATCGTGTTAATCAATCGAGCAGCCCCGGAATTTTTCCCGTTGGCCAGCGGCAGCGAAACAACAACGAAGGCTGCTGTAGCAGAGAGATTGTGGATGAGTGGTAATAACTAATTAGCCGTGCCGGAAGCATGTACGAACGGAGGATGAAGACGCCAGCCCTGCCGCCAAAAGGTAAGGAAGCGCCTATCGTCGCTATTGCGCCACGCTTGGTAAAATCCGCTTGCAGCGGCTAGTGCATGGGACTCTGAGAGCAGAGAGTGGGCAATTCAGGCCTAGAGCCATTGCCCTCAGGATGGTCTGGCGCCAAGCGGGGTCACATAGTGACCAGGACCCATCGATCATCAGCCGCATCGTTCGTAGCCCGCGCGTCGGCTCCGTATCGCAGCGCTGGCGGCGTCAGGAGGACCAGTGGGCGATGGCACAGCCATGTCAAGATTAGTGGTGGTGGATGGCGCGATGAGGTGAGAGCAGTGGGGAGGCGTGCTGTCTCGTGCCCCAACGGCAACAAGACCGGAGCGACCGCGGGGCGGTTACAGTGAGGGCCCTTGTCAGCAATGCACCACGATGCAAGTCGATCCTTGAAGCGCTGCACCTAAGGTGTCTAGGGTTATGCGAGCGATTCAACGGCTGGCGGGATCCAAGCATGACGCTCGAGCTCAGTGGGCGCATTCGCTATTCCCGACTCGTACACACCCTGGTCGCTACTGGAATTTCGCAACTACCTCATGCTCCAGCCATGTTCACACTACCCCAAAGTCTGCTAAGGGAATCTCATGCAGCTTAAACAGCGCCGGGAAGCGAAACATGTCCTCGCCGCCCTAGCCCGCTCGCAAGCATCTGTTTAAATACCTGTCACTTCCGCTGCTTCCCCGATGCAAGCGGCTTTTCACTCCCACCATTCGATGTGATCTTCGTTTACCGTCCACCGTCGTAGTTCACGTTTCGCACTACCACACTCGTTGGCCGTTACCATGTTCTCCTTTCCATTAGGCTTGTTCCCCAATTGGAGTTGGTTCTGTATCTTTTTGGCGCTCTTGTATGTCAACCACGGCTGCCATGAATGGCCTTCCCCGCACTTTGGACGACACTGACTCGCTACCACAGTTTGTTTCGATATGTCAGACTATGGGTTAACCTGGCGAGCAACTGGACCTACACGCCCATCCAGCCAGTCGATGACCCGACCATCACATCCAAGGACATGACTGTCATCATCCCGACAGTTGCCGAAAACCTCCAGCAGTTGAAAGAGACGGTCCAAAGCGCATACCGTCTCGAGCCATTGGAACTTCTCCTCGTCACACCCGACTCGCGAGTGAAGCGTGTGTATCAGATGGTGGAAGAGCTGGGCAGCCCCAAGATCATCCAAGTCCTATCAGTCAGTCAGGCCAACAAGCGTCGACAGCTATGCCGAGCCATCCCCGAAGTCGAGACCAAGATTACCCTCCTCCTTGACGACGACGTGTGGTTACCCGAGAAGTTTACCAAATGGATTCTTGCCCCCTTTGAGGATCCACGTGTTGGAGGTGTTGGTACCAACCAGCAGATCCGCCGCTTCAACCGCTCCAACATCTGGGAGTTCTTGGGTGCCATCTACCTGGTCAGGAGGAACTTTGACTGTACAGCTTGCAACTGGATAGACGGTGGCCTACCATGCTTGTCTGGACGCGCGGTTGCCTATCGTTCCGAGATCCTACAAGACCCCAATTTTACCTACGGCTTCACGCATGAGACATGGGGCAGCGATCATTTCTTGAATGCCGATGACGACAATTTCATCACGCGCTGGTTGTTCTCACACAACTGGAAGATACAGATGCAAAATCACCGCGAGTGCGAGGTCGAGACAACACTCGAGGACGACTCAAAGTATTTGCGTCAATGTCTGCGTTGGGTCCGCTCCAATTGGAGGAGCAACCTTACTAGCTTGACAGAGGGTTACATGTGGATGGTGAGTGCCGCTAGTTCCAATATTTGCACAGATTTCGCGTTGTTGGACGCCAAGCCAGCCCCTCTTTTGCCTGCGCCGATTCGTACTACCTTTGCTAATCCTTGCGCCGTAGAACTACCCATGGTCCCTCTACGCCGTCTTCCAGACAACGCTTACGCAATGGGCCTTCCTCCTTGATTGCGCCCTATTCGTCTCAGTCTACCTGGCGCTGCTGGAGGCAGGATACTACGCAGCAGAAGATGATAAGCAAGCTCACGCGGACAAGTGGCAGCGCTCGCTTTTCTGGGCCCTGTTCATTGCGCACTGGGTCTTCGCGAAGACGATCAAGCTAATTCCCCATTTGTTAAGAAACCCGGGCGACGTCCGCTTCGTCCCGGTCTCGATTCTTTTCGGTTATTTCCACAATCTCATCAAGCTCTACGGATGCATCACTGTGACAGAGGTATGTAGTGATTCACGCACCATCGCGTTCCCTTCCACATAGCTAACAGCTGGCCAACAGACCACATGGGGTACTCGCGAGGGTGCAGACGCCGACGACAACATCAGAATGTTGCCTATCCCACCCATGGCCACCATTACCCCTCCCCTGACGCCGCCGCCAGGTGGACGCGTGCTTCGCGAGCGAGGCGCCGGTTTTCCGATGATGAACTAGACGACGATTTCCATTTTTAGTCGGCATTCCAGGCCTCGGCTGCAGTTTTTGATGCAGTAATGTTAGACGCATCTGAGTTTGAAGCATTGTGACTACCAGTACACGGAAGGTAGAGCAACGCTATGTTGTTTCATACTATTGAGCGTGGCAGCTCTCGGATACCAAAATGGGCCCGGCCGGATGCAAGGTGTTCAAGGAGTTTTACGGATATGGACGAGTTTGAAGCGTCTTCCCATACGCGATGTTGGTGAATACCCAACCATGTAGTTTATGCAAAAGTCACAGCAAATGGCAATGATGATGACCGTTGAACCAGTGCCTTCTCTACACGCTCGCGTCGCACGCGACTGCTTTGGGAACACGTTTGACATTTGTGCAACCGCGGCACAAAAACTCTATCCCAACATCACATCCTGTTTCCCGAGCAACACACGACCCCCCTGGTCAGTCGTCTTAGGCGTCCTACCCGCGCTGCACGGTCTCCAAGTAGCGCGAACCATCACCCGCATCGAGGACATCGCCTGCTTCATCGTTTAGGGTAAAGATGTGGGAGTCTGGGCCGCGTCGAGACAAATAGCGGCACGTTATCTGAGACAGACGCACTACGAAGAATACAGGCAGGCAATACTCCCGACGAACCACTCCAAGACGGCAGGTGCGAAGAGCATGTACCTGGGTACCCCTCGGTTTACGGGATAAGGAATTGATGAGCCCACTCCCCAAGTCTCGGAACAACCTCGTATCTCCGCTTTCGGCCATGGCCCGCAGAATCGTTTAATCCATGGCTTTTGGGCAATGTCACTCTCGCAGCTGGCGCTTTCTCACACCAGTCGCTCCTTTCTTCTACTGCGGCCGTGTACTCCGTTCAACATCGGCTGCAGTAAGCTTTCGAGGGTTAACGACGCTCTCGGACATTCCACTCTCCTATCATGACCCGATGGCGCTGAAAAGTCGATGGCGTCCAAAGGTCTTCCCACCAACGAAGACGCCCACTCAAGCGGGCCTGCATGCTGCACGTCCTAGCTGAAGCTTCAAGGGAAACCATGCCGGCGCCGAACTTCTAATGCACACTTGCATCGCTGGCCCTCATCAAACATCATCGTGCGTCGCGGCAATTTTCCTCGCTGCCCACGACAAAAATTCTACGTCTTGTAAACAGGGACGATGACGGACGACAGATGCATGAGCCCTGGTCTTCTAGCGAGCCAGCAAGTTGTACGGAAGAGACCCTTTGCTCAAACCTTATGCTGGTCATCCCGCTCCCGCAGGCCTGTGTGTCCAGAGCCAAGCACCTGCGCTAGGCTGGCGCTGTCCGCGGCGCGACGCCTGACCCATTTCTCCACCTCTCGTCATAGCTGCCCACCACTGCGCACGCAGCATTCACAGCAGATGGGACAGCAAGCATCGAACAGCACACATGTACATTGAGACTCCATAGCCAAGCTGCTACAAGTCCCTGTGCCGCATCCCCGATGCAACACGCTGTAGACCAGTTAGGCACGGACTTGCAGTTCGACACTCGCGTGCCGTGCCCCAGAGCATTTACTAGTACCGGGTGGAACATTGTTATTGGTGCCTGGCTGATCAAAAGTACTTCAAATGCTCAGGTGCAGGCTGGGCGAGCGCCACACACTAGCCGAGCTGGTGATGACCATCTCCAATCGAGATGACATGACTGCTTAATATACACAATTGCAAGATGGCGTAACATATTTGCATCTCCATGTAATACAACATGGGTCGGGATACCTAAAGACTGCAGCGCAATCACCTTGCATGTCCGGACAATTGTCTTTCGCTCGATCTTGCTTGTCAGCATCCGAGACGTTGTCCAAGCAGCTGGGTCGAAGGCGAAAACTCTGCACATCTCGCTTCACGCGCGAGACACGCTGTCGGGACAAACATAAGCATGCAAAAACATTCACATGCCTTTCACATTTATCCAGTTATCTTGCTCCAGGGACCTTATGCGCGAAGCTCCAAATTACTCGTACACGTTCAAGAAAGAGGGCATGGGCCGTCATGCAATGCTTACAATACCCACTTCACTCTTGCCAGGGCGGATTGCGCTAATTTCATGTTGGCTAATCCTGCGACAGCAAAGACTGTGTACTTGCGGAGTCTCATCGACTTCCTTAGCCCCTACAGATGCTGACCCTCTGACGACATCGGACATCTAGCCTAAGTTCCAAAAGGCCCAGATCTGCTTCGTAGGTTATATGAAGCTACTGATCATGCAAGCTTTGGATCTGCTCATGATCGTGTCATGTTTGTCTGACACAAAGGCTGGAGCCGTCAAGGGCAAAGCTCGACAGTCCCGCGACTTCGCAACTGACAGCAACTTTCAAGTTCAACATACGCATGCAGCTCACTCGACATCAGCAATCCCTTCTGCTATTACACCTGGACTGCTTGATTGAAGTATCTTAATTGCCACCTTTCAACCACAACCTGTCCCTAAGGGATAAGCCCTGAAGTTAGGCGCATCCGAGGTAGCGTCGCGCCGTGCCGGTCGTGAACCGAGATCCAGCGGCAAGCACGAGCTGCAAATCATTCCGAGTCAGGTCTCTTTGCATTGGTGGTGCAGTTATGCCCGTATGTTGTTCGTCACGGTACAGCCTCGGATTTATCTACTAGGAAGGCCTTCGTCTCGGTGCAGGAATCACGTGCTCAGATACGATCTGACCAGTCAGTCACGAAATCTCTAAGTATCCAGGAACGTTGCAACGTCGAATTGTGGGGAAGATGCCATATATGTTATCGTCATCGTTTTGACGTACGGCCATGAACTCCACTGGCTTGCGCGTCGATTAATACCGCAGGTATAGGTGGCCTTTTGGGAACCCTTACTAGCCATTCTTAGGCTCGGCGCGACTCTTGTAGAATAGATCCGATCAAGCCTTGCCCACTACGGACCCCGGAGCAAGCGTTACTTTTTCCATGGTTCGTCGATCTTAGATGACGACGTCGTACAATGTCCTCACATGATCACTGTCATCAGCCTACACTAGGAGGCAAGATTTTCTGTCATGGCAAGACCCTGCAGCTTCAAGTCAGCCTCGCACAACCAAAGCCATATTCCACTCAAAGGTGTATCTCGATATTGTCAGCCACGAAAGCAAATCGTCAATTGCTCGCTCACTAATGGTCGGTCATTTGAACCGAGCGAGCCGCAACACGTACCTCTACTCCACGGCTACAAATGCGCTAAAATGACGTGCATCCCAACTGAGCCATCGCTGACTCGGCGGAAAAATACATCAAGGGTCTTGCCTGTCTTCTCCACATTCGCGGCTACTTTCGCTGCATCCAGACTTTTCACCCCACCCTCTTCTCGCACTCAAGATCAAAACAGCCGGACGACCTCTCGGTCCTTGATCATGATTTTAGGCGTTCGGCGCTGCGCGAGTCAGCTGGTAGCATCTAACGTCATACATCGCGGGACGATGCCGCCAGACATTCCCATCGTATTTTGAAAAGACTACTCCGATACTAGGCCCACTCGCTGATAGATACTGGCGGATGATGGGCAAACGGGTGTGGGTACAATAACAACTAGTGCCCAGCAGAATTGTGCCATAATGCACTGAAGTGGTAAGCGCTGAGGTGATGTTAGAGACCCAACAGCAATGGTCCATCCGGAGACCCTCTCTTTTGCAAATACAGAGAGGGTCCTGCTGACATTGGTGGAGTTCACTAAAAGCTGAGATCAATCGGACTGGAGACGCTCAGCCACCACACTGTCACAGTTTGACAGTTCGGCCATACATCTAATTCGCGCATGATGCGAGCTGCCGATACAAGAGCTTCGGCAGATGCAGAAAACAGGATCCCCAGTCACATGTCAAGCTCCATCAAAATACAGGGACATTGCAGAGCCTCACATATGCACGACTTCTGAAAATTGTTTGTTGAGCTGCGCGCTGTACTATCGGTGCTTCTCCGGCCCTCTTTGCTCCGCTTACCCCTCCTTCGCTTCCAAGCAATCACGGGAATTACTCTGCTTTCCACGCAGTCAAGGGCAAAGCACCAGGGTCAATGCCGCCCGCTCTCGCCTTTCAAGCGAAAGTATATCCGTACCCTCTGTCTAACTACTACCCCACATTTGCCGTCGGCTTCATAGGCATTGAGTTTGACACCTGTCTTTGTGGCTGGGAAGCGCGGGACGACTAAGCGCCTATCACTGCGCAATCGAAACGAGCTGCCTTTCGGAATCACCTCAGAGTCGGCATCCTGCGTGCAGGGGACGCCTAATTGCAGTACATTACCTCCGTGGAGCGCGTTGGTGAGAGTATGTGGGTTCTGTCCTATGTAGTAGGTACTGCGCTCCTACTGTGATGCCAAGCTGCACAACTCGCATGTGTCTAGAACAAGAGGTCATGGACTTAAAGTGTCCTTGTGCATGACGTGCAGCCACCTGTGTGTCTCGGGTTCAACTAGCCGAGGCCTGTCATCGACGATACATTGTACATGGCCTCGACTACCACTGGCTACACCGTGGTAGAGGATAGCCAAGCCGGAATGTTACTTCGGTCCATCCGGATTCACTCTATAGTTTCTCATGCTCGAAACTCATGTTGTCTCTATGTAGCTCTAATATCGTTAGGTTACATGAAAGCACATTGCTCATCTACATCTTGAGTCCATCACTGATATTGCCCTGGGGCCAACATGCCAACACTATCCTGTTGAGTCAAAAACAAGTCACCGTTTTTTTACTAGCGATAATTCTCCACAGATAGCAAGAAATTGACTGTGAATCAATTATGCTCTGCACGATACAAAAGTGAATACAATAATATATGGAATTCGGAGTCTCTTACCCCGCCAACCGAAGTATCGACATCCCCGCATCAAGCCGACCAACAAACATAGTTCTCATGCTCTAGGCCTGACAAACCACGAAAGGGTCTTCATACCAAGCAGTTATCCATTTCTCAAGTTTGCCATATCACCAACAACCCCAACGATCCCGCGCCCCACGGCCCGCACATCCAGCCAATAATCCGCGATGTCATCCTCAGGGGTCTTAGACACACACATCCACCTCTGGCCTTCAACAGCCACCTCGTCTTCAAACCATGGCTGGATGTCACCAGGCCACCACCTCGCTAAGAGACACGGCATATCTGACTACCTCACCATCACGTCCCCCCAACCTTCCGGTTTCATCTACGTAGAAACCGATCGGTATCTTCCTTCCGCGGAACCTCCAAGCATTAACGAATCAGACAACGACGAAGATGTAAAAGCCAAGCTGCTGACATGGGCGAAGGAGCCCTTGGAGGAGCTCCGTTTTCTGGCACGAATCGTGGAGGGAAAGCCAGAGGAGGGCGATGGGTTTGTAGAGAGTGAGGCAAAGAAGATGAAGGGATGTGTGATCTATGCTCCATTTCATTGCACTCCGCGCGTCTTCAATGCTTATCTTGATGTTGCGAGGGAAGTGGCCGGACCGCAGCTGTGGCAGTATGTTAAGGGCTTTAGGTACTTGTTGCAGGGGAAAGGAGACGGTGTCGTTGCGAAGATGTTACAAGAGAGCGAGGAGAGTTGGATCCAGAACCTTTGCGCGTTGAAAAAATTAAAAGGAAGTGGTGAGGCGTGGTGCTTTGATGTGGGTGTTGATACACATAGGGATGGTGAGGAACCGATGAAGGCGGTTGGTAAGTTGATTGCAGGACTAAGGCAGTACGAGGAGAAGGAGGGGCACCAGAATCGCGTGAAGTTCGTGCTGAGTAAGTTCATATGCCCCCCTTGCACTTTTGACTACTCTGACATCGTTATTCGTGAACTGCCTTGTTATATGATGTGGTTTAGCTAACTTAGACACCAACCCAGATCATCTCGCCAAACCCCCTTTGTCACCCGACCCTACACCCCCGTCCGATGTCTGGCTCCAAACCATGACATCTCTCTCCTCGGATAAGGCCATCTTCATGAAACTGTCCGGCGCTTTCAATGAGTTCACTGTTTCGCCGACGCCGTCAAATGTACCAACGCTCTTGACTGCCCTTACGCCTTTCCTAAATCACATCTTCCAGTGTTTCCCAGGAAGAGTCATGTTCGGAAGCGACTGGCCGGTGTGCAATGTGGGTGGGCCAGCAGGCGAGCAGGGAAGTTGGAAGCTCTGGAGAGAGGTAGTGAAGACGTGGATGGATAGGAAGGGATACGTAGAAGAGGAGAAGCAGAAGGTCTGGAGGGAGGCTGGGGAAGAAGCATATGGGGTAGCATTGTGAAGAAGCCTATGTAAGCGGCTCCTAAATAAATTCTAGTGACGATAACATGAATGCATGAAATCCTTGTGCACATGTATCGATCGAATCGATCAAGATAAAGTCATCCTCAGCATCAAGCTACATGTTTTGATCTGCAGAAAAGACTCGAAGGATGATCCATACGTAGTCGGATTAGACACTTGTATTCTAACGATATCACAGCACAAAGTATTTATAAGCAACGGAACTATATTTTCCGAACGATCATGCATAGTCCCCTTCTGCGCTAGGTCCTAACAGCACAATAAAGGTTGCTTTCCCTTGAGCAGCTCCTCCATCGCCTCGTTTGATATGTCCCAAATATGCACTCAGCTCTCCATCGTCTGTAACTTCAACCGCAACTTCGCGATCCGCCCGATCACCTCGGTATGGAATCAGTCCCTCAAGTTTATGTACCGTAGTACCCGGGTGCTCGTGCATTGCTAGATTCCGTAGTTCAACGACCGAGGGCGTCTGGATGATGGAAAGCCAGACTGATTTGTTAGGGAAGGGAGTCGAGGAGTGTGGATGCAAGCGAAAATACACTGGTAGTGGTATAGACGTCCTCGAGGCGGCTGGGTAGTATTCTTCCGGGTAGTGGTTGTGTGAACTATGCTGCTGATGCTGGGTGACTGGTTGGTACTGACCAGGCTGGTAGTGGTACTGAGGCGTGTGATCAGAAACAGGAAGTACAGCGGCGTCACTCGCGGCTAATAAGAGAGATGGATCAATCTGTAGGTCTGAAGTAGTTGGTAGAGAGGACACGGCAGTATATGAGGCACGCGTTGCTTCCTTCCGACCAACACTACTGTGTTGTGTCCCCTTACTGCCTAGTATTGTCGGGTGTGGAGCGACGACAGGCGGTGCTGGTCCAGGCCCTGGTCCTTGGTGTACCTGTTTCTTCTTGCTGGGGTCTTTGGCTGTCTTCTCCTGTTGTTGTCGCTTCATTACGTCTCGAGCGAGCACCTCGAGAGCGCGTAGCTTCCGCGCATAGTCAAGATCGTCTTCTCCTTGTGCGAGTGCTGTTGTAAGCTTCTCAGACTCATTGACCCAAGCTTGCTTCAACTCTGTCCAACGTTCCTCGCCAGCTTCGTGCTTGTTTGTAAAGTGAGCCGATTTCAACCTGTTGGCAAACATGTTGCGCGCGTGCCTTGTCTGTTGAGGATTGAGACCAAGGAGGTTCTTCGCGTCGGCGAGAGTCATGCGTGCGTCCATTGTTCGTAAGCGTTTTGTGACGTCCATGCAGATGACATCAAGTGACAGCGCTCTCTGACCTTTCGGACGGAAGAGCGCATCGTCATTTTGTAGCACTTCTGGCTCTTGTTGGAACACCTTGGCCAAGTGTTTATCACTTTGAATGAGGTGCTGTACAAGCTGCGACCACTTCTCCGGACCAGCGATTGTCTTCTTGGTAACGTCTTGCTCTTTGCACATTTGAAGGAAGCACTCTCTGACTTGGCGGTATTTGTCGTTGTCCAAACCGAGGTAGGCTTTGGCTTCGTCGATGGTAGTTTCAGAAGGAAATCGCGGAGGTTCGCCGGGAGCGTCGGCTGGCAATCCAGCCCAACCTCGTGTTCGACGTCTTCGCTTCCGTGTACGCCATTTCTCGTCGCTTTCGGCTTGAAGCTGTTGTTGGCGCATCTGCTTTCGGACCACCTCTTCAGCGCTCAAACCTGTGAGGTCGGGCTCAGGAAGTACAGGCCGAGACTCGTCCACATATGCCCCACCCTCTTCTTCTTCATCTCTTTGTTGAGCAGCCCCGGACCCGTCATCGCTTCCGTCATCGCTCGTCGAGACCTCGGCCAAGATTGCATTCCCAAGCTGGTTGATTAGACCATTGCCTGGCACAGGCTTGGCAGGTTTCTTCTTCGGCTTCTTCTGTATCCTTCCTCCAGCAGTCTTTTGCTTGTTTGGTCTGGCGACACTTTCTCGGAGTAGGAGCTTGAGCCTTAGTCGCAAGCGCAGCAGTTCGCGATCGTTGATCTGATAACCTTCAGTCTGTAGCGTATCGACCATATCCTTCTGTGTGTAGTTCTGCTCCCATAGTTGCTGGAGGCGCGCAACGAGGGCGGGATTTTTGTATGCCGGGTTCTGTTTCGAGGGGAAGTCCCATCGCTGTGAGAGTGTCAGCGGAGGCCTTGTAGTGGGTGATGAAAAGGGTGTGATGGTGACTTGCCTTGAACTGTGTCTGAAAGGCGCGCTTGCTAGGGCGACACAGTAAGTATCATGCGTTCTGGACATGTTTCCACGCTAGGATTGAGAGATGACGGCGAAGGCGTACGGCAGCCTGTACATGCTGCCGCGCGCAATACTTGCATACCTTGGAGTAAATCCCCGGATTTCCCAATACGACATGACCTCTTCTAAGCTCCTCCGCTCCTCAACATAGAGCTGGTAGCATAATGCTTCTTTATCGTCCCAAGAGTAGACCATTCTTGACGTGGCGTCGAATCGCAACAGTAGACTGCGCCCTGCGTGAATTGCGCAACTGGTTCAACTGGAACGCGACACGACCGCCAAGATCATCGGCCTCGGCTGGGAATGCACCGAGCACGTGGCCCGAAGACGGCAAGCGTCTCACGTATACATCGCACCTACCGAACCAGATTGCGCATAGCGGCATGTATATCATGGCTTCTCCCTGGGCGGACAGTGGTCTTGGGCAATTTATCTCCCCTTGTCCGAACAACGCCCATGAAGCTCTGATTAGACCACCCTGAGCCCCTCGTACTGCGCTGTATACCGTCTACCGTACCCCACGCCCCGCACTCGATAGCTACAAAGACCATGTCTCACCAACGCAAAAACAGTCTGTGGACGCCGCCGGCCGTGCAAACCCCTCAGCTGCTGTCCGGAAAGTCCATGATCATCACTGGCGGTGTCACCGGAATTGGCCGCGCAATAGTTCTGGGATATCTCCAGCATGGCGCAAACGTGGCAGTGAACCACTTTGGCGACGACAAGTCGGCAACACAGTACCAGACCCTCGTCGACGAGGCAGCTGAGAACTTACAAGTTAGCAAAGAAGATGTAGAGAAGAGACTGTTACAAGTGCCCGGCGATGTAGGAAATCCAGAGACAGGCAAGAAGTTGGTAGAGGCTGTGGTGCAAAGATGGGGACGATTGGATGTGGTGATAAGCAATGCGGGTGTTTGCGAGTTCAAGGAGTTCTTAGAGTAAGTACCTCACTCAGCATCCGCATGGTCATGGTAGACATGTAAGAAATTAACACCAATCTGTAGAATCACACCAGATCTCTGGAATTCAACCCTCACAACAAACCTCACCGGCGCATTTCACACCATCCAAGCCGGCGCGAAGCAAATGTCTACCCAATCATCCCCAGGTGGCTCCATCATTGGTATCTCCTCCATCAGCGCGCTTGTTGGCGGCGCATACCAGGGCCACTACACACCTACAAAGGCTGGTGTGCTCTCCCTGATTCAATCTTCCGCATGCGCACTTGGGAAACACAACATCAGATGCAACGCGCTGCTACCGGGTACAATAAGGACACAGCTGAACGAGAAGGATCTCGAGGACGAAGAGAAGCGGAAGTATATGGAAGGCAGGATACCGTTGGGCAGGACTGGCATACCGAGTGATCTTGCTGGGCCAGCAATCTTCCTAGGAAGTGATTTGAGCAGCTATGTCAATGGTGCACAATTGCTGGTTGACGGAGGGCTATTCGTAAATCTTCAATGATCAACTAGAATGGTTAATCTTGGAATACACAGTCGAATAATCAAAACTTGTCTTATGCCCTCCTAGTGCGGCTATCATCACCTATCCTCTAATCCTATATATTCATTCTTTTTCCACCATCGTCAACGATATCAAATCCCGTCTCTATTCCGTTACCCCTGAAGCGTTCCAAATCACTGCTGACGCCGCCCCATCACCCCTCGTACATGCCATCGATATCCACTGCCTTTCCGCAGTAATTCCAGCCGTGTGGCTGTGTAGTCCAATCTTGGCTCAATGTTTTCAGCTAATGACCAAGGTAGAGCTCTTGTAATCCCCACCCAATCACATTTTGTTCATTTGATACAAGACTAGGACGGGGGCTGTGACCATTACCACAGCAACGACGTTGTTTCCTTCTTTGTCTTGAGGTGATACACATCGCGGGTCACGGGCTCATGAGTGATAAAAACATGACTGTAGCTAGTGCTGTGGCTTAGCAAGGTATGAAGATGCCCTTTTTTTTTTCTGTGTTATACACGAATACTGAAGCACACTCTGGAGACATTACCTAGAAAACACGAGCTCATTTGCCAAACACTGCTGTGTCGGTGTTGGTAGTGACAGGTGTTTTGAGATGATACATGCAATCGTTTTGGAAACATTATACCCGATCCTTGAAGTGGAAACTGGGTATTGGTAGGTGTGGTGCTAACTCCGTCGCTATGACGCCCATTACAACTCCTATAATGCGTGAAATCTACGTCGCGCTACTCATTACAATGAATGAAATTTGCAAGAGTGGATAGTGGGATCAAGAAACCTGTCAAATGTTAGAACCTGTCCGGCTCATTGTTCGAAGGGAACCCTATTGAGGAGGGTGTGTCTACTCGTGGAGAGCATCAATGGGGGTTGGAGAGCAGTTACCTCAGCAATATTCTGGCGCTCGATATAACTCTCCTGCCTCACGTCTCTACCAACGCGCCAATACGAGTCTGTGTAATCGGCACAGTTCATCTCGCGCAGGAACTGCTCGTCGTGGGTAATGACTAGTAGCTGGAAATTTGCCTGCTTCCTGCGGCTCTGGATGATCTGGGATAAGGATTCGGCGAGGCCCTTGATATTCTGCTGATCTAGGTTTGTAGTGGGTTCGTCGAGCGCGATGAGACCGCAATTTGTGCCGAAACACTCTGCAAGCGAGAGACGAATCACGATAGAAGCAAGAACCTTCTGGCCAGCGGAACATCGGCCTCGCATGTCCATCTCAGTGTCCTGCTTCACCATCACAACGCGATAGTTGTATGTCCGGTTACCTTTACCATCGCCGTCAGACGCGATGCGAATCGTGTCCACATCAGTGCCTTGATACGCGTTGCGCCACAGTTCAGCTAGGATGCGGTTGATCTCCTCCATCTTGAGTGTATGATACTTCATGATAGCTTTGTCGAGAGCGCCAGCGTAGCGTCCCAAGTCTTCGATAGCAGCCTTAGTCGTCTCAACCCTGATATGCGCCTCGCGATATTGCTCAGCAGAGTTCTTGTAGAGATCTTGCCACTCTTTCATGAGGTCTTGCAGATGGTCGTCTTTGTTCTTCATGTCGCGCTCTACGCCTGTCTTGGCAATACTCAGTTGTCTATATTCGTTGTCCCAGTATCGAGCTTGGTTTTCGAAGTGTTCCTTGTCACGCTCAGCTCCTAGCTCTTCAAGTTTCCTGATTTCAACTTCCAAGCTGTCAAGTGAGCGCTTGGCTTTTCGGTAGCGCAAGTTGTCGCTAATCGAGCGCTTGTTCGCCTCGGTGTCTCGCAAAGCGTCTTCAAGCTTTTTGATTTTACGAGTCGCATCAGACATGTCGGTCTCGATGCGTGCGATCTCGCCCTGTAGATTCTCAATTTCTCGGTGAGTGCGCACAAGCTGTTGTGGCCCGCCACGATTGACGTACGAATCGATTTCTTCGTTTGCCTGGTTAAGTTGACGCACACTGTCAGACAATCTAGAGGCTTCGTCATGGGCACGCTGAACGCGATCGTTACCCCTACGACTGATGTCGTCGTACTTATACTGCGCTTGCTCAATTTCAGGATCAATGCTGCTGATCTGCTCGTCAAAGCTGCGTATGGCCTCTCGCTGCTTGTTGTTCTCCTTCTTGAAATCCTCCACTCGATCAGCAAGAGCCCTCTTCTCTTTTAGTTTTGATTGTGCGCTGTTCAAGTCGGCGTTGACGTCACGCACGCTCAGCTCTAGAGTTGTAATGAGGTTGCGCGATTTATCTCTAGCAGCAATGAGTTGCTCGAGCGTTGTCCTAGCGTTCCGGCAGTCTTCAGACACTCGCTTCAGATCGGCCTGAATAGCATCGATGCCTCGCGAAAGTCCGGCAGTCTTCTGCTTCTGTGCCAACTCTTTGATCTCCGCCTCGAGTTCCTGCGCCCTGCTATAGTACCCCACAATGGTCTGCACTTCTTTTGATAAAGATTCGACTTCCTGCTTCGCAACTTCTAGATCATAGATGACAGCATCTTGATCCTCAAGCTGCTTGTTGAGAACGTCGCGTTCAGCAGTCAGCTTGGTAAGGCTAGAATGAATTGCAGGAAGTTCCGTGTCTCGTAGACGAGTTGCAAGTTCGTAGCTGGGTTTAGCATTACGAACTGCCTCAAGTTCAGCGAAGATTTCTTCCGCGTTGTCTGCTTGCATGTTCTTCTTCGCCTTTGCGACGATATCCTTGAGTCCGCTTATGAAACCCGCAGTCGTGAAGTCTTCTTCCTCGTCGTCATGAAGGCTTCTTTTACAGAGACGGCAAACGTTGTGCTGCTCAGCGTACTGCAGGCATTTGCTCATGTAGTCGATCTGCGCCTCAAATTTGGCTTTGTCTGAAGAGCTCGCCTCGTATTCCTCCTCCAGCTGTGCCAAGGTTTCGTCGAAATCAGATACGTCATCCTTCTGTATAGACTGCTTGACGGTCGCTTCGTACTTCTGGAGCTCAGCACGCTTCTGCTTTAACTGCGACTCCAGACTTGACATCTGAAAGTTGACCTTGTCCAGTTTGGTCTGCGCAATATCGCGGCGAGACCCAGCCTCCTTAACCTCGCCCGACTTCTCAGCCAGTACCTGCTGAAATGTTGTCTCTAGAGTAGCGGGATCCCAATTGGAGTCAATTAGCTGCGAAAGGCGCTGGTTGTGCACCTTGTTCATGGTTGCTAAGCTGTGTTGCTGATTCTGCAGCTCATCTCGTTTGACATCAACTGATGCAGACTCACGAGCCTGCTTTGAAGCGTCACCAAACTCAGCCGTCAGCCTCTCTTTCTGATCTTCGAGTGTTCGTACGTCGTTGGATGCTTCGAAGATACGTTGATCGAAGCGCCCAGAATTCGCTGTGGCAATGGCAATCTGAAGCTGCTTTTCGACATCACGCTTTTTGTCTTGGAGAATGGCCTCACTACCCTCATCGGCCTTGATTTGATTCATGTCTTTCTGAAGTTCGGAAATGCGCTTGTCGTTGTTTGTGATCTGGCTCCGCGCAGACTCCTTGCTCTGGCTGAAACCCGACTTGCGTGTGTTTAGCTGATTGAGGTTGTCTTGAGCCTCGCGTAGGTCGCGCTGCGTCTCCTCACGAGTTCGATCAAGAACCTTGTTCTGGTCGCGAGACATTTTGTTCAGGATTTGTTGGAATTCTACCACCTGCTTCTCCGTCACATCATAGTCAAACCCTCGGACAGCATGTCGCTTAGCAGCTTCTTTGATGGAGTTTTCGCGCTGCTGGATCTGACGCTCATACTGCTCCTTTTGCGCCTCGTATTTACCAATCTCGCTTTGCTTCGCTCCAAGAGCGTCTCTGTCATCTTCAAGTTCGTTCTTGAGCTCGAGATATTGGCCCCGAAACTCTTTGGCTTGGGTAGAGTATGTGGCGACGCGCTCTTCATACTGATCTAGCATGTCCTGGAGTTCGTCATCAGACTCGGCCAGCTCCTTTATGCTGTCTTGAAGCTCGGTGACATTTTGCTTATGGATGCCCAGCGTGCTGCGCTTGGCTTTCAGCTCTTCAACCAGCTGCACGAAGCGCGCAGCGTGGTCGTAAGCGTCCGAAGCTTCCTGTTTCGCCGCGGTGCATTTCGCATCTAGGTCTTCGTAGGAAACTCGCAGCTCCTCGATTTCATCATACAACCCAGCCTGCTTTTCTTCGCTCGTCTTGGCGCGCGACTTGTCCTCTTTGGCATTGGCTTCGATAATTTTGAGCTGGCCCAAGTCAATGTTTTTGTCTTTCCGAATCTTCTTGATGTTGTCGATAGCTTTGGTGTATTTCATGGCTTCGAAGATTTCGTCAAACTTCTTTTTGAGGGTAGATGCGTCGCTCAGGGGCCACAAGCTGTCTTCTTGGTGGCAGAAGATGACGTTCTCTAGGATAGCTTTGGACACGCCAAGATACTGAGGGATGATCTGGTCAAGCTCGGCGACACGGGTTGAGATGGAATGCTTCTCGCCATCTTTGATCATGAGGAGTGAGCCTTCTAGGGTCTTCTGGCTCCTCGCGTTCTTCTTGACAGTGACTTGCATGTTGCGAGTGGCGACCATGCGCACTCCAGAAGTAGAGCGGAAAGACAGTTTGACCTGCGCCATGAGCTCCTTCTCATTGCGCAGGCTGGGGTCGTGGAGGAAGGCGCCTCCAGTCTTGCTGCTTGACGGCAACTCGCCGGTAGTCGCATACTTGAGGGACTCGATAATGGTCGTCTTTCCAGAGCCGTTCCAGCCGACAATGAGGGTGAGCGGCGCGGTGAACTGAATGGTCTCGCCCTTCTCAGGTCCGAAGGAGCGGATGCCCTGTATCATCATGCGGTCGATTTTGGACATGATGACGGTACGCGCTGCTGGCGCTGGCACTGCCTCTCTGTGGGTGTGGGTAGGGGTTTGTGAGAAGATGCGGCTTGCATGCCCGCGGTCGAGCTGGTAAGAGAGCGTGTGGGCTGCTGCGTGCGCAGGCAGTCGTCGGCAGCCTGGCACGCGTTGTGCCTGTGGCGCGGTGTCACGTGTCGGGGAAACCGCAAAAAGGCCGTGCACATTGGGCTCGCAAGCGCAACGGTGTTGTCGTCATGCCAAAGTTGCGCATGGGCATGCACACAACATAGAAATCCCATCTTACTTTCGGGGAAGCCGTCCGCGCCTATCACCCGCGGTTTCACTACACGACTCCACTCCATATGCAAAATCAAACGGTCGTGCATTTGCAAAGCCATGGCGCAATACCAAAATGGCGGTGCTGAGGTACGATGACTAGCCCTGCGTCCCCGGCAAATCTGAACGACAGTCTCATGTGTGTAGATGATGGCCGGACTCCCCATGCACGCCCAGGGCCAGGAGTTTAATGGGCTGCCCATGGACGATGGCATGCAGTCAATGGATCTGGATATGGGGTCTCTGGACGGAGCCGAGGGCGGCCAGAACGGCGGCTTCTCCTTCGCGGATCCACAGATGCAGGCGGCCAGTGTACCAGCCAGCAGCACCATGGGCGACATGCAAATGACAGGCGCAGGCGCTGGGCCTCTACCGACCGGCTTCGGCGCCCCCAACATGAACCCCTCTGGCAGCACACTGACCGAGTTCACCAAGCGGCGGAACTGGTCGCAGCGCGTGCTCGAGGAGCTGCGCGACCTGCTGCACATACTGACTCCCGACGGCAGGATCCTCTACGTCTCGCCCTCGTGCAAGGCCCTCACGGGCTGGGAGCCCCCGCACGTCATGGGCCGCTTCATCAACGAGTTCATCCACCCCGACGACATTGGCATCTTCGTCAAGGAGTTCAACGAGTCCATCGCCTCGGGCAACCCGCTGCGCTTCTTCTATCGCTTCCGCAAGACGGATGACTCGTGGGCCATCTTCGAGTCCCACGGCCATCCGCACCTCAGCAGCGACCAGAACACGTTCGCGCCGCCCAACTCCATCAACTGCCGCGGCTTCTTCATGATGGCCCGCCCCTACCCGACCAAGAACGCCGCCCTCCTCGACTCCTTCCTCGAGCACAAGATCGAGAACGAGCGCCTGATGAAGCGCATTGCCGAGCTTAAGCGAGAGGAGCAGGACGAGCAGGACGACTGGGCCAAGAAGATCGAGGGCACCGCTACCTCTGTCACACCTTCAGAATCACACGTCACGCAGAACATGAGCCAGGCCGATGCCGCTTCCTATGCCCAAATGCCTCCGCCAGCCAAGCCCGTCATCTCAAACACCGCCCTGACCCGCCAGAACCTCGACGAAGCCCTCGCCGCAAGCAAACCGGACAGTATCAACGACAAGATGATGCGGTACGAGGGCGCAAACCATCTCGAGACAATTGAAATGTTGACCGGTCTTCGGTACAGGGACGGCGAGCGCTCGCAGGGTATCAGCACCGGCGATGCAAGCCCGAACCTTATCCGCGGCGACGCTGGCATACAGATATCGCTGGACCGCGATGGCAGAAATTCTTCTGACAAGAAAAAGAAACTCAAGATTGCTGATGAATATGTATGCACAGACTGCGGCACCTTGGACTCGCCTGAATGGCGCAAGGGTCCAAATGGGCCCAAGACGCTATGCAATGCGTGCGGACGTGAGTCGCCAAATTCTGGTCCAGAAACATGTGACATACTGACTGTGATAGTGCGCTGGGCAAAGAAAGAAAAGAAAAAACAACAAGGTCCTACCAGCATGCCGAGTGGAAGTGGCATGATGCATACACCATCAATGCCAATGCATAGCAGTACGGGCAGTAGCTAGACCTACTTGTATGCTGCAGGCGACCTTGATGCTTGTTTTTATTAGCACGACTTCGATTTGATACGCGTTCCGTGGAGTCTCTTGCGGATTTTTTTCTTCACTATTTTTACCGGACTCATAGGCGTCGGGCATATCAACGGCGTTGCATTTGTGGCTCTCCACGAGATATGGGGCTGATGTTCTTCAGGATTGGCATATGATTCCCAGGACCATGGATAGATTCAGGCTTAGCAACGATACCACCTCTCTGTAACGACAATTGCAAACTGCGATAGCGAATGATTCGTATATCACCAATCCACAGCGAGCCCTAAGCGAAGACGCTGGAAAGCAGTCTGTGACATTGCCAAGAGATGTGCAACAAGCATAGTATACGCGGAATGCTGATCCTCCACCATTACGCTGAGCTATCAGCATATGAGGCTTCCAAAACTAGTGGAACTTCCCGAGAGATCTGCCATCAGATTTTGGGGCTCATGCGTCCTCGTTTCCCTGATTTGCTCGTACATTTCGTTCGTTCAGTTGGGTATCAGAGTGTACGAGCCAGCCAATCAGACGGAAAGCATCAGTTGCCAAATGTGGTAAGACTGATCCTAGGACACATAGCCGCTTGAACAGCCTTGGACTCCATGATCCTGGTAAACGTTTTTTGAGATATGCGAGCTGCGATGTCACCTCATCGTGTGCAGTATGAGTGTTAATGCGACGTCTTCGAGGTCTAAAACAAGGACTTTGACTTCAACCTGTGTTACTGCAACCAAGATCAGATCAATCCATCGTTACCCAGACTCGAAAAGCATGCTTGAAACCTAATGGATCTGCTTAACTGTCCAACAAAGACTGCGCAATCTCCACAGGGCGTAAAGAGCCGTTGGACACCAAGACACGATATGCAGATCCCAACTGAAGTCGACGTCAGCTCGGATCAAAGAGCGTGATCGCTGATGGAGGGCAGTGCATGTGTTGGAACTTTCTACTATTCATAATTTATAGTATAAGAGAGAGTGGTGATATCTCTCTAATGCTCATTATCCCTTCTCCAACGCCAACAAGGAGCTACAGACTGTCTTCGTCCTCTTGCCTCTTACTTTCGATCATACTCCGCTAGTGCCGAAGATGATTAGTTCTAGAACTATTGCAGTCTCTTTGCTCGTCCCTACCGTACTCTCACTATGTCCACCGCCAGGGGCAATCCTTCCACCACCGTCACTCGAGCCCAATACTTCCGATTTCAGCATACCAGAAGTCCTTTTTACAAACTCGACTTCAGTCCAAGTACAAAACACTTCCTTCGCAATCCAGGCTTCTATTGGAGACACCATAGTCTTCCAGTATGAGCATTCGGCTCCTGGTCGAGAAGTCAACCAGTCGCTTTTCGACACGAAGATCCGCATCGCTAGTGCTACCAAGCTGATCACAGCGCTTGCTTTGGAGTTGAGTAAAGACAAGATTGACTTAGATGATCCGATTACTAAGTTTATCCCTGAGCTCAACGAGGAGTGGTACGGCGATGTGACTATTAGTTCATTGACTGATCATACTTCGGGTCTTGGTCGATTTGTCAGTTCCCCTATACCTCTCGCAAAACCTCTCGCACATGGAAAGCTAACGCATCACAATAGGGTTACACAACCGATCTTGGATTCAGCCCAGCTACAGCTGCCCTCCTGGGCCTGCCGAAGATCAATAACACACTTCCCGGCTGCGACCCCATTCCCGGCGGACGAATTTGCACAGATCAAGAAGTAAAGAATGAATTCAACGACGCAGCATACGTGCCCCATTCACCTGGATCGCGCGCAATGTACAGTAACATCGGCTACATACTCCTCGGCAAAGCTCTCGAAGCAGTGTATAACCAGAGCTACGAAGAAGTTCTACAAACGTTAATCCTAGATCCTGTGGGTATGTCAAAGTCGACTTTCATCGTTCCCGAAGATGATGGAAGCGCAATCTTACCCAGACGTCCCGAGGACAAAAGCTGGTTCGTGGCCGACTTTGCGAATCTGAACCCTACAGGTGGCCTGTGGTCAACACCGGCGGATATGCTCAAGATGCTCCATGCTCTCAAGAACGGCAAACTGCTTGGTAAAGTCGGATTGAGGAATTGGATGCAGCCAACGACTTTCTTACGCTCAATGCACCAGTACGTTGGTGTGGCATGGGAAATCTTCCGGATCACGGACCTTCCGCTCGATTTTCCACGACCGATTGACATTTATACAAAAGCTGGTGGTGTGCCAGGATACGGCTCTTATCTGGTGTTGATTCCAGAGTACGATATCAGTATTACCATCAATGCTGCTGGAGGCGAGACGTCCTATACTTCCATTGACCTTCTCGACACTATCACTACAGCATTGATTCCCTACGCTGATCAACTAGCGCGATCACAAGCCTCTTCAAAATACGCTGGCACATACATGCTCCCAACGCCAACTGGAAACGATACACTCATATTGTCTTCCACCTCTGGCCCAGGACTTACCATTGAATCATTGACTATCAACAACGTCTCTATTGTCGACGCCTTGGCTAAGCGACAAAACGTTCCATCTAAAAACTTTAGTGCACGCTTATACCCAACTGATCCAGACTCGCTAGGCACTGACAGTGAAAACTGGAGGATGCTACCGGATCAGACAGTTCCTGCGAAGAAACTGTGGGCGGAGCTTGAGTGTATGAGTTGGAACCTGGGGGACTTTGCTCGTTACGTAAGTGAACCACTTGACACGTTTGTTTTTCACATGGACGCGGATTGCGAAAAGGTTGAGAGCGTAGAGTTGCTGGGTTGGAGAACAAATCTAGTAAAGATGGAATGAGTGGCTTTCGCCGCTGTAACATGAATTCGCAAGTACGTAATGGTTTAGTAATCCGGAAAATCAGCGTCAACAGTACTTCTCCAGGCTTCCAGACCTCCTTTGATATCCCCAATATATCTCTTGCCTCCTGCGTCGAGCCCTAGCTGCTTCATCTTCTTGACAGTGACCTGTGAATCATTGCCCAGTCGACACACCACAAATATAGGCTTTTCTGACTGCCGTAACATTTTGGTCCAGATCGCTTCTTCAATAGCGAAATCAGGTCCCCTCGTAGCTGAAATTGTGGAGAAGGGTACGTTTATACTACCATCGATATTGCACAACTCGAATTGCACTTTCTCGCGTACGTCGACAAGGAAGTGACTGTCTTTCTTCGATACCGTACCCGTAAAAGGGTTGACACCCGATCGTATTTGCGCGTAGTTCTTTGCAGATATGCGTTCTTCTGGGGCCAAAGGACTGTTGTTCGCAACTAGACTGCCACAGAATTGAACGTAGTCCAAACTTCCAGACTCTAATGCTTCTTTAGTAATCGTTGAAAGTGATGAGCAAGCAGTGCATTTGGCTTTTCGACTCCTAAGACGTATGGAGCGGTACATAGGATGTGAATAGGCTGAAAATAGGAGCAGGCTTGGTGGATCTACAGGCGTCGTAGTAGGTCTCTGGGTCAGAACCTTGATCGCTTCCAGTGCTTGTAAAACCCCCATCACGCCGACGACGGGTCCTAGAATACCACCATCGCCACATGATACGACAGACTCAGGTGGAGGAGGTTTTGGAAAGACGCAGCGATAACATGGGCCTCCATTCGGGTCGCCAGGCGGCAGTGGTGGGTTATTCAACACCATCATCTGACCGTCGATGCGGAGCGCTGATGCAGAAACAAGAGTCTTGCCTAATAGAACACATGTATCGGATATCAGATAGCGCGACGCGGGTGTGTCTGTGCAATCCAGGACCAAATCGTATTTCTTGAAGGTTGAGATGGCAGTCTCTGGACTGAGTCGAGACACATGAGGAACCAATGTGACGTTGGGATTGAGCCTATCTTAATGAATTAGTTGGACCCCTAGTGTATAACGTTCACGGGTAGACGCACGATTTCAGAGCCACCATCGCACTCTCAACCTTGGTCATTCCGATTCTCGCAGTTGAGTGTAGGATCTGACGGTGCAAATTCGATTCTTCAACCACGTCACCATCAACTAGTCCTACAATACCGACGCCTGCCCCAACTAGATATGCAGCAGCAGGGCAGCCGAGACCACCCACGCCTACGATGAGTACACGAGCATCTCTTAAGCGAAGCTGACCTGGGCAGCTCGGTTCAGCAAACTCCTAGGGACATGTGAAAGACTTGACTTACCTTTCAGTCCAATCTCTGGCATGATCAGCTGCCTGCCATATCTCTTGTATTCATTCTTCTGAAGTGGCCATCTTGACCTTTCCTCAGATACCTCAGACACGCTATGTTGCGGCGCCTTTTGCTCTTGGTCTAGGATTGCGAAAACCTCTTCACGGAATTGATCAGGTACTCCAAAGTTCATATCATGATCCAGGGGGTTGGTTGGGTCAGTAGCTAGCGGTCTTTTCTGGGGCACAACTTTAGCTGTTTCGCGTTGGTTGTGCTCAGCTTCCGCCAGCTGTTGACGTAGATCCTGTAGTGTGACTTCGCATGACGCAATTTGCTTGCGCAAAGAGCTGATTACCGAAGTCATGTTGGTGTTGCCGGAAGATATGCCCACGTCGTGACTCTTTGGGATACGTGTGGCGGTTCGGTGTGGGGTCAAATCGTCGCTACCGCCCGTGGGGCCATAGCTAGTCTCAATCTAGACAGTAGATGCACGTGCGCTAAGTCCTTCACTCAAACACGATGCGCCGTCCCATAGTCACGAGGAGAGACATATGCAGCTTACTGGTGCCAAGCGATCAATGGCAAAAGATCTGTGTTTCACCGATCTATGAGCGTTGCATCTCCTGAACAGTCATCTCTAGGCTTAGAAGGCGGAGTGACTGACGATGACATGTATGATATGCGTAGCGAAGGATGTGGTTGGCACGCTATACGACGCTACAATATGGCACATGAGTACATAATACTCAGCCCCAAGGAGACGTCAGAGCCTCTTCGTGCTTTCGGCTTCGGCTTGAGCATATGGCAATGGTCGAAACCTTGGGGCTAGTTCGCAACATCAAGATCTCTATCAATGCATACTGTTGGCTCGGATCCTAACACCGCAGTACGAGTGACGAAGCAAGAAGACGGGACTTTACGTTGCAGGCAGCGGCAGCAATCCATGGATGCATTTGCAGATCCAACACAGGGGAGATAATGCGCCAGACCCTGTACCCTGACCACCCTTTCGAAACCTGTATAATGACACGCAACAGGTATTGTGAATGGATAAGCTCAATCAGGGCTCGAATTGCTAGTGCATGAGCACTTGCGTGGGTGTGGTTCTACCAGTCTCTTGAGCAGATATGCGCTCGGATCCTGGAGACCGATTGACGAGTCTGACATGCTGATGGTAGACCGGTGTAGAGAGTGCACGTGTGGGAAAAAAAGAGCGCCGGATCTGGAGATACGAATGCAAGTGATAAATTTTCCGTACAGACGATTGGCTCCTCGAGGTGGCTTGTAAGGCGGCTAGCAAGGCGTTGTCCACCTGCGATCGCCCTGCTGCTTGGGTGTCTAAAAGCAGGCTGGAGGGCTCCGATGTGTAGCAACACGGCTCTCCGCCGATCTTGTCGAGCGCAAGTGTGAGTGAACAGCTATGGCTGGCATCAGGTGAGGATTTAGACGCCACTTTGATCAGATATAGCTTTGGACCGAGCGATCATCAGCTTGTGTTTCATGATGGATTCTCCTAGTAGGGCTAGCAGCTCGAAAAAAAGCATCGAGTTTGCGGATAGCTGAACAGCTTAGGTTGACCCGGATATGCGGGCGCGGGGGTCGTATTGACGGGAGCTGCTCCGAATGTGCGGCACCAGGGCATGTTGCGATCCACTCCCTACCCAGGCAGCAAGGTTGAGGGGCGCAAGACGAACGTCAGCGCGAACCAGTCTAGACTGCGGTAGCATACGTGGTGTCGAGTGATGTGTACAATGAGCCACCCGAAGCGAGGGGCAATTTGAGACGGGGGTATGTCGCAGAATACTTATCTGCCTGCCTCCCTGCAAATGATAGTTGCAGCCTCGGTGCTATGCAACGATAGATGCTTGTGCTTGGGAAGCTGGGCGCGTCTCCACAAGAGCGGGAGGTTCAGATCATTAGCGGCACCTCCACTTTTTGGGCTGGTTCAGAGCTGACCTTCCACCTTAGGCCGTCGAATGGTCTGGAAGCTGTACGCGAATGTCAGCTGCTAATACAGTACTGGCTTCGGTGTCTTGTAATTTGACTAGTATAGTTTGTTCAAGGGGTTTCCGACTGACGTACACTGTGTCCATCATCCCCTACCATTGCCCTTCCGCCCCGCGGAACCAACGGGAACGCGACTTCTTACACCCCGCACCTCCGTCATATCCATCACCAAATTCATTTCACTCCACGACGCCATGGTATCTGTTTGCGCGACATGTAAAGGTCTCCAGAAACACCTTCATGGGGAAAGTGCGCAAGAGAATGGATCAGAATCGCTTGTTTGGGTCGACACAACGCTGCCAAAACTGAGGTCGAGATCGACTGCCTGTCGCGCGTGCGCTCTCCTTCTCAATGGCGTCCTACTACACCACGACCGCTTCGCAAACATAAACGAGGACAACGTCAGGATCACGGCCGAGTCTTTCAAGCCAAAAACAGGGAAAACACCCCAAGAACATCTTTCAGTTGAGCTTCGCTGGAAGGACAACGACGACCAGGACGACTCCCACGAAGACGACCATGAACACGCAACAGGCCACGCAGATCTCAAGCTTGAATTCTTCACTGATGGAGGTATGCGCCAAGTCTCCTTCTATGTATTTTGGTTGATTTTAATCATGGTCGCGGTGGTGGAACGGTCGCCTACTGCTAGCTCGCTTCCTCTGCAGGAACGCGTGGACTGACAATACTGCAGACGGCCAGTCTCCTTTCTCTGCCATTGGGCGAGGAAGGCATATGACAGATAACCCACTGCAGAGTACTGGTCTAGCAACAGCGCGAGGCTTGATAAAGACTTGCGTAGAAAACCATGCTACGTGCAGTCGCCGAGGTAAACCCACGACGCTACCGAAGCGTGTGCTGGACTTATTATCTGGCGACGACTCCAAAAGCATGCGTTTACACGAGAGTGAATACATACAGGATGAGAGAAGATACGAACATGGCGAGTACATTGCCTTGAGTCATGTTTGGGGATTAGCCAAGGGAATCCCGAAGACAACTCTGGCAACACTGCAGTCGCACAAGAAGAGCATACCTTGGTCGACACTGCCAAGAGCGTACCAAGAGGCCGTCTTCCTCACGCGAGCACTTGGTTTCCGCTGGCTATTCATCGATAGTCTCTGTCTAATACAAGATGACGTTCAGGAGAAGCTTGAGGACTCGCTCAAGATGGACGAGATCTTCGGCAACGCTTTCCTAACAATAGCGGCAACGTCCGCATCCGACAGTAGTACCCAACCCCTCTTTCCGCCCAAGACGCAGCCATTCAAAATACAAGCAACAGATAATAAAGGCTCTTTGCACAAGATAAACGTGAGGGAACAACCGAGCCACTACAGTTTCAAAGCACCTTTTGACGGAAATGCACATATGAACGAGTGGGAGTTGCCTTTCAATATGTCCGAAGAGGCGAACCTACACACACCGCTCTTGATCCGCGCATGGCCATACGCTGAACGCTTACTTTCGCCAAGGGTGCTACACTTTACCAAAAGCGAGATGATATTGGAATGTCGAGAAGGATATCAATGTGAATGCGGGCGCATCGATGACAGTACCTACGACTCACGGCCAAACGACCAGGTCAAGCAAGAATTTGGTAGAGTTATAGCCGAAACACTCAACAAACCACAACAAGCCAACAGCAATGGCCACACGGCCCACACGCGGACGGATAGCATGACGAACCAACTGGCCTCCACACATCTCACAAACGGCGCTCAACAGGACTTGTTACGCAGGCGTGAAGAGACACTCCAACTGTGGTCATACATCATAACTGAATACACTGCGCGGCACCTCACGTATGACAATGACCGCCTGATAGCAATAGCAAGCATCGCAAGAGCCCTTTCGCCAACTCTACAGTCAGGCTACATAGCGGGCCAATGGACATTTAGCACTCTTGGGCTTCTCTGGTACCCCAACGACAGTTCACGATGCCGCCGTCCGAAACTCGCACAAGGCCAAAATGTACCAAGCTGGTCATGGGCCTCAGTCGAAGGCTCACCTATCTTCTTCGACAACACGAGCGCGATGGATCTCGCGTGTAGAGCTTCTTTTGGTCCAAAGGGGAAGCGGGCAAGTGCTTGGTCACCTATCATGGGTGAGCCTCTCGAGCTCTCAGGAGCCATGGCTGCCGAGGTTGTCGTACACACCACGGCATCACCGGAACAACAGCCTTCGTACATCCTAGCCAAAAACGGCATGACCGTGGACTTTACACCAGACGTCGTACCACTCCCAGCCGAAGACGCGTTGCAAGACGGCGAAACCCTTGTTTGCGTACTCGTCAGCATGACGTTTCGTTCCTCCATCGTTGGCATCGTCCTCAAGCCATCATCCGGAAACAATACATATCGCCGCGTCGGTCGCCTAGAATGCTACGAATGCACACCTGAAGGCATCGAACAAGAGATGAGCGAAGACGCCGAAGCGTTGTTTGAGCATTGGTTCCCTGAGATCCAGGACATGACGCAGTTGGACAATTACCCCCAGCGTACCTTTACCGTTATCTGAGAGTATGCCGAAATGGTACTCTTGTCTTGATAAATTTATTGAGAAAAGGGTAATTGCGGCGAAGCAATGCGAATGACTCGCTTTCTTTCGCTTTTTATATTCGATACCCCTTGGCTACCAGTGGTTTGAGGTAGACTTTCATTGCTGTGTTTGGGTGTGTACAAGTTGCGTGCTGTTGTTAGAGTTACATATATCAGGTATTATACATCAATTTGAGTCACATCTTGATTCTTGATACAAGAACTGTTGTTGACCATACCCTGCACATGCAAGATTGTATGAATTTGGTTCAGGGGGCGTCTAGCTAAGCTCTTTGTGAGTGCGCCGTCGTCCTCTCGAATATGGTACTCTTGATCCCCGCTGCTCGGGCGGCCGGCTTAGTGTGCGCGCCATCGGAATTTCCTCCGTCTTGGACTCACACTTGGCACATGCACAAGGACTTTGCATGGCAGTCACAGTGTCGGGACATGCCGGTATTGATGATAACATCGATGATGCGTAGCGTACATGCCTCCTGAGTTCTTTGTAGGTCATCATCTGAAGATGCGAGAGGCCGATAGAAACATATGAGTCGAACAAAGGCACGGGACGAACTGTGACCTTTGGACAAGACGACAGCACCAAACCTACACATTCACAACGAATCTCTTTCCACTGCCTTCAGCATTCGATAATAAGTTTTCCAACGCCCCGTCAATACCTGCCAGCCCAGCTTGCACTCTGTCAATAGGTTGTGCAACAATCCATCCCTTCTGCATCCCAAAGGGGAGATACTCCTCGATAACCCACTCAAGTAGACGCTCGTTCTCTTGCTCATACAGCGGTTCTGACCATGCTTTGAACACCCTTTGTACACCATCTGGTAGGTCCTCAGGCGCGAAAGATGGCTGCGTAGCGTAAAGTGTACCACCACCCTGCGCTTTCAAAACCTGGCTTGTGATGAGAATGGTTTGTGGAGTGGATATCATATCGACAACAACTCGGTACGGCCCTCTCGCCTTCAGCTCCTGAATAACTTGTTGAGAAGGTAGTGTATGATCCACTGCATCATCCACGCCTAGTTCACACACACGGTTCACATGCCGCGGTGAAGAAGTCGTAATAACCGCATACCCAGCGCGGCGAAGATATCGCACAGAGAGCTGGCCAAAGCTCGAGCTGCCTCCATATATCAGAATTTTCTTTTCCTCTTCTGTTCCCACAGCTGGGACCTCTTCAGCAGGTCTCCGCAGCCTAAGCTGCCCAGAGAATAGTCCAGGAACACAACTCGCATTCATAACTAGACTGGCTAGAACCGCCTCATCACTTCCTTCAGGGATCCGAATAACCATCTTCTCCTCAGCTGCAACAAGGACATAGCTCTGGTAGGCACTATGTTGATTTCCTGTTGTACCAAATCGGTTGCTCACCAACACGCGTGCACCGATGCAGTAATTCGTGATTGCAGAACCAAGCGCTTCAACCGTGCCAGTGTAAGAGGAGCCCAAGATAGCAGGATAAGCGACGGGGATGGCGCCTAGCTTTGCGATCTTGGCTTCTATGGCATTGAGGCCTATTGTGGAGACTTTGATGAGCAGTTCTTTTGATGCTGGCGCGGGAATGGGGAGAGATTGGACAGAGAGGGAGGCTTTGGGGGAGGGGAGGACTACGGCAAGGTTCATGATGGGGACGAAAGCGAGCGTAAGAAAAAGGCAGATATTGGGCTATCGGCCTTGACATGAATTCGTAGTTGCTGATATCAAATGTCACTCACAAGTCTTGCAGAGAACAAGTGGTGGGTAGAGTCGTCGATGATTAAGCGGTAGTAATCCTTCGGAACGTTTCCGCGATGCATTACACAGCACAACGCTGTCTGTAGTCCTTTCGCCCCAAGCATGTTCATGGGATGCTAGGTGATTTGGGCACTCAGAACGAGGTTGACCGTGTTCCAGCATTGACCTGGAGGGCTGATGTTATACAGTCTGACTTGGTTGCTGCGCGAACTCGGGCTTGGTTTCCATGTTACTCTGTACATGGCTCTTGAGTGCTGCCCAGCGATCTTGTACTGCATCAGCGCCCGGTGTCGCGTTGCCAGTGCCACGCACTAGCTGTGCCAGGTTCGCGTTGAATCTCTCCTTCTCCAGTTTGTCGAGCTTTTCCTTCCTCTTCTTCGCGCCCTTTGTCCTTTTCATGCTCTCCAGCTTGACCTTGGGCTGAAGTATGCGCGCCTGACTCGTTTCGAGCTCGCCGGCTGTTGCAGCATCTGGGAGCGCGTCGGCGAGCGACTCGAGGTTTGCGACCAGCTTGTTGTTGGGTCGTCTTCGCTTTTGAGTCTTGGCGGATGATTTTTCTATCTTGGAGACGAAGGAAGAGTGCTTGATCTTCTGCTTATCGCGCTTGGAAGAGGGGAGCGAGGAGATGCCATCAGGCTTTGGAAGAGCCGCAGTCGAGGGACGGGCTGCGCGAGCCGACTTTGCGCGCGCGGTTGTGCGCTTCTTTATGGGCGCCTCGAGAGTTGTGTGAGTATTACCTTACTATACGGGTATAACCTAAAAAAAAAAAACTTACCATGACGGTGTTGCGACAGAGCAAAGTTGAGAGAGCACAGTCGCATTGGACTTGAATTCTTGGCTGGGGAAAAGTTCTTATCGATACCGGTAGTGGTGCAAGGTTCCGACGTCAGCCCCATTTCATGGGTACCTAGCAGACACTCACGTGAATCGAGCCACATGCCTCACTTCCAACAGTCGCTGCTGATGGTTCCATGTCAACCTGGGATCTCAAAGCAACGCGTTGGATCCAGCCCACAGCACCAAGTCCGTGGGAGCTGCCATGCGAGCCTTTGCGAACAGGGTACTCAACTCCGTGCCAAGCGAGGACCTCTGCCACAATTGTATCATCTGATCATGCCTCATCACTCGGCTTCGCCAATTACATCGCAGCCGCCCTGACAAGATTAGAGCATATCGGACTTCGCTAGCTGCGGCCCGTTCCCCATCACCAATCTGGTGGCTACCGATTGCATCAACAGTACACCCGTTATCGTCTATGTTGCATCGTGCGACCGCATCCCGATGTTTCGTTTCTCACATGGTTCAATCAGATTCATCATGTCATAGATATGTTTTCCACGGGCATGTCATGGTATTAAGCCGGATATTGCTTTTTCACCACATCAAACCCGTGCTGAAACGCTGTCATTTAACTTCAGCTACCACTATACACGGAAAGATAGCCCGCCGGCATGTACAACATCCTCGTATCACTGTGGCGGCATCCTTCATCCCAACACTACGGACCTGGGCTCAGCTCGACGGCAACTGCCTAGCCTAGATGCAGGCACGCGTGCGACCGATCTGCAACATGTCCCTCCCGTTCCAGTCATCGTCTTCTGCCATTCGCTGCTGCCCGCAATCCAACTCCCTTCCGCTTCTATTTCCAGTCTTCTAGACGAAACTACATGCACTCCTCACCCTCGTTGCCGCGACAAAAGGCAATCATTCGCATGAACATGCAAAGACGCGTAGCCCTGGTGACTCGGACTTTAAGGGAGCCTTACAGACCGTGTAAGCAGCACTTGTCCGAAGTTCGACAACATCTGGCCTCATCTATTCTCTTGTAGCCGTCAGCATGCTATTTCGATAAAGATTGACCAAAGCTCATTTCAATGCAATCTCCGAACGGCACAAGTCACTATGTGCAACCAACAAGCCCAGCAGGAGAACGCGCTCATTTCTGCTCAGAACCATGGCACTATTCTGGTAATGGTCGCTTGGTTCCTTACTTGCCTATTGGTACGAGGCACCTTTTCTTATCCACTCTAATACCGACTCATCATTATAGGCGATATGTACCATAGCAAGAATTATCGCTCGATACAGGTCTAAACACCTTCGCCATCTTACTTCGACAGATGATATCATCATTATCGCCGCATCCATCTTTGCTCTTGGAAGCACCGTAATAATATCCACGGCTCTCGACTCGGGTTTGGGAAAGAAGAATTGTCTTCTGGATGACGGAGACTTGGAGCAAATCCAACTCAAGCTTTTCGCCACGACGATATGCTTCGTTCTGACAATTAGCTTAGCGAAAAGCTCGGTCCTACTTTTTCTGTATCATCTAGCAGACGATACCTTTCGGAGGGCGGGCGTCTTAGCTGTTAGTGTACTGGTACTGCTATGGACTATCGCAGTTCTAGGCGGTACGGTCTTCCAATGCGAATTACCTACGCCATGGATGGTATGGACGGGCAAATGTATCCCATTGGTAGGCCAGATTGTCACGTAACAACTATGACCGTACCTGACTGCAACATAGGTACCGTTCTGGATGATTGCAACGATTTTTGACGTCGTCCTAGAAACAGCTATCATCGCGCTCTGCACGCATCGCGTATGGACTCTTCGTGAGTCGTGTCGTCAGAAAACTTTAGCCACACTACTCTTGTCGATGCGTTTCATGTAAGTGGAAAGCCTGCTCCCGTCCATGTAGCCATCATTTCTGATGACTTCTCGAAGCTTGGTGGCAGCGTCCGTCATTCGCCTAGTCTACCTCCAGCAAGCTTATGATCGCAATGGGGACCCTGCTTTTGACTCGATACCTTACGCCGTTGCTACACAAAGCCAAACCACCCTCGCTGTCCTGATCGTCTGTAGCCTCTGCCTCAAGCCTTATGCTCGCTTTGAAGCATCTCGATCGCAAGCACCCAAACACAATCTCAGACACTCAAAACACTGGTCTGGCAGCATTACCATCGGTGGCACACCATACGAGTCTTACAATTCTTTTCCACCACCGATCATAAGAGAGCCTCTCCTGTCTATACAAGCGAGTATGTCCCAACCAAACTCCCCTGCAGTATCCAGGCACTCATTAAACAACGATATACTGCTGCCTGACATACCGGTGCCGACACGATCTACTAAAAGGCCACTTAGACCTCCGCCACCCAGCGAGGAACAACGACCGGATCTTAGTATGTTCACTAGAAACATCACCATACGGCAGCCGCCGGTGGTAACACGACTGGGGGCTTTACAAGAGAAACAGAGTGATAATGGTCTGAGGGTGAGGAATCTCACTTGACGCAGCGTAATAGTGATGTTTATCCGGAGGTAGATGCAAGAAAGGCCGTTTGATATTTGTGATAGACGTCTAGAATGGATAACATAGACATAAAGAAATACTCCAATTCTTCCTGTATTCGGCCGATTTGCACTTTGTTATAAGTTACTGACGTACACAGTATGCGATGTCGTGGGTCACCTAAGAGACAAAGCGACTACCTGCATGTCTTGTGGAGCACAGCACAGGCGTATCACGCATCATCAATGCCCCATTCCCCGCGGGGGACGGTCGGACTCTCACATCTCGTCCCATCAACTACAACAGCACGTTGTCAATGAGGCAGGAAGCAAATTATGATGTAGAATGAAACATTATTAAGGACTATAGTTGTAAAGCCTTGTCCTATCGCCGTAAGCTGGCACCCAAGGAGAACTAAGTAAAGATAGAGAATGTTTCGCCGTCGATGACTTTCGGGAAGGATAAATCCCGATTTTAGTGAACACTTCGACACCTACATGGCCAGTCCCATGTCGATGGCTGATCTCCAACAGGTTGTAGTACTTTTTGTGAACCGTCCAACACGGTACTTGGCATGTGAACACTAATGTCATTAAAGCTGCACTGACTCCTCCTTTCTATATAGACTCAATTCAAATCATGGTTATTCAATTGTCTTACTCTTGAGATCCCGAGATTCCTTTTGCCTCATTGCTCTACTCAATCTCTCTTTCTAGACATGGCCGTTTTCGATCCAACCAATGTCGATCTTACGACAGCAGACCAGGCAAAAGTCATCTGCTACTTCGCTCTTGGCGAAAATGAGTACAACGGTCAACTCGGCGCGCGGATATCATCCATCTTCGTTATCGGCTTTGTCTCAACGATCGCCACATACTTCCCTGTCATCGCCCGCAAGAAACCATCTTGGAAGATTCCCCTCGGTCTGTACACCTTCGCACGCTTCTTTGGTTCCGGTGTTATCGTCGCTACAGCCTTCATCCATCTACTAGATCCAGCATACGAAGCCATCGGTCCAGGCAGTTGCATAGGGAAAAGTGGAGGCTGGGCGGAGTATCCTTGGTGCGCTGCCATTGTACTGACATCCATCATGGCTGTCTTTTGCGTAGACCTGGGTGCAGAAGTATACGTCGAACATAAATTCGGTGTCGCAAAGGAGGAAGCTGGCGGTTCGAATAGCGTATTCATACGTTCCGATAGAAACACCGATCCAGCTGTGTTATTTATAGACCCCGAATCTCATGCCTCAACGCAACACCGGCATCACCAGCATCGGAAAGACACGGCCAGTCTCCACAGCAAAAGCTCCACCTCTTCGAATATGACGTCGTCAACAGCAGATCGTCTGTCCTTCGCCCAGCAAATAGTCGCTTTCCTCGTTCTGGAGTTCGGAATCATATTTCACTCGGTCATCATCGGTCTGAACCTCGGCGTTGTAGGCGATGAGTTCTCGACCCTCTTCCGTAAGTGTCCCTGTACGAGCTGCATGTGAAACATACACTGATTTCTTACACCGATATTTAGCAGTCCTTGTGTTTCACCAATCCTTCGAAGGCCTTGGTATTGGTGCCCGGTTATCTAATATTTCTTTCCCACGAAGCAAGAGCTGGATGCCGTGGGCTCTCTGCGCTTTGTACGGTCTTACTACCCCCACTTCTATTGCCATCGGGTTAGGCGTTCGCACAACCTATTCACCTGAGAGCAAGGTCAGCTTGATAGTCCAGGGTGTGCTGAACAGCGTTAGTGCTGGCTTTCTGATTTACAGTGGGTTGGTGGAGCTGCTAGCTAAGGACTTCCTGTTTGACAGGCAAAGGACAAAAAACCTTGGGAACTTAGGACTGATGGTGATTTACGTCTTTGTAGGAGCTGCGACTATGGCGCTGATCGGTTATTGGGCATAGCTTGGTTTGTATCACTTCACTATTCATTGAAGGCAGGAATATAAAAGCGAGGAAATCGTCAGGAGATTCTCAGACCACTTTGTATTGTTGATTCATCCTAATAGGGTATTGGAAACCCCCCCCCCCCACGTGCCCATGTGCTGCACTCAAAGACTCACTTCTCGATATTCCTGGAGGAGTACAAGGCCTTCAAATCCCGGAGGTCTGCAATAACCTGGTCGATCTGACTGACATCCTCTAGAGAGACTACTTGCTCGTAAATATCTGCTATCCGGAAATCCCAGTCCGAGGTCCCGTTCAGAGAACTATCTGACGATCCCCGGTACGACTCTAGCATGGAGAAATCATCTGAAGCCCCTGTGTCCCCTGCAGCGGAGTGCAGGGCAGGGAATTCTAAGGCGAGGGGTGGCGAACCTAGAGTAGAGCTCGGTGAGCGGGGAGACAGTGGCAAAGGACGATCAGGGGCTACAACTGATTAGTCACCAATTTTCTCGATATCTGTACAATATTGTAACTTACTATCGGGTGGATAATCCATCGAACTACCAGGAGAGCCGAGCGATATAGACCTCTGTGCAGTCTCACCAATCACTTGCTCCCTCTGTCCGCGAAACGATGGCGGCAAATTATCATCTCGCGGGAGGATAGGTAGAGAACACGAGCGCGTCTGCGTCAAGCACAAAAGCATCGCTTCTTCAATAGAGGCTTGTTGCTTGAGCACGGTGGTACGACACTTCCTAGAATACCCTAATGTTAGTTTCCGTAATCTCAGCGCAGCATGAACGTCCGAAAAGATCCAAATTCATCATTGCTGCTAATAGGTTGAGGAAGTGTGATGAGAAGGAGGCCCTCGCATGTTGAACATTCTGTTACACCAGGTATTGCCTGGGTGACGCAAGTTCTCGATGCGGTAGCTTCTTCTTAGATGGGCTGTAGTAGGTGGCCTAGCGTACGTTGGGCGGACGTCGAAGACGTCTCGGCAAAGCTCTTCTAAGCAGCTGTTGTTGAGGCGAGACAGGTTGTAGCCCTGAGACTGATATTAGTTTCAAAGCTCTAGCTCAGCGTAAACTAAGAACTCAGAAGACCCACACGGTCGACTCCTAGCTCTCGAAGGTGCTTCTTCGCTTCTTTGAAGTTCTCATCACTCTCTTTGATCCAGTATCCGAATAAGGAAAGGTGGACATCTGCGATGGTCATGTTGCGAATTTCGCTAGCGAACCTCTCAACATCATCGGGTGTAAGATTTACGTGGAGAGATTCGTGGTGCTGATCGTATTTACGGTTGCCTAGTAGAGCGCGAGCAGAATCATGGACGACATGCGTATCTTTGCATTCTTGAGGTTCTTCCCTGACATCCTGATCGTCGACGGTATCGTTGCACTCATATCGGTAACAGTCGTCAGGTTTGACAGTGAGTATGGTAGTGTCATCTTCTCCAGGTTCTTGGAGTTGCGCGAATTTTCGGTCTACTATTGTGTCAGTTCCCATTTTTCGAGTCGATTAAATCCACTCACGACGCTCGCGAATCTTTTCTAGCTTCATTGGCCCTATGGGGCTAATGGTCTCGATGGAGCTGGCAGTAGTGGTTGGTTGAACGCTGCACACAGTCTCAACGCTTTCCTCGTCGTCCACACACTCTGAGTTCACAACTGTCGCCAACGGACTACTGCTAGCGATGCTACTGCGGAGACCACCGTCGCGGCTGAAGAGGCTTCCGAACTTTCTGATGCTGCTTTTACGGAAGGTTTTGCGCTGATCTTGATCGCTACCAGCATCACTCTTACTCTCTTCGCTTTTGCGTGGCACTTGGACCAAATTCCCTTTGCGATAAGAGTTGCTTCGAGATTTTTCGGGTCGAACATAAAGCGACGGTACTTCGGCCAGTGAAAAATTTGTCGCAGCAAGAGTAGCCCGCATTGCTGCATGTGGGAAATCCATGCTTTCAGTTCGTCGTGGCGTATGTTTGCGTTGCTCAAAGCAAAGTAATGAGAGAATGAAGTCAAAATAATCTAGCAGATGAGGACGTGTTGCGCAACAAACGACGTGAGGACGAAAATGAAAACACAAACGTGACCAAGCGTGCAGCTTGCGCGCCAATACTAAAAAGTGAAGGTGAACGTGAAGTGGAGACCACAACGTTGCGTGGGTATGTCAGACGAGTGAATCGCATGGCCGAGACTAGACAATGGAGAGGGATGAAGGGCAAAAGGAAACGATTTTAGCAACAGCCGGATGCGAGATCCCATCTAGAGTACGAATACGTGATGGACATTAGATCGATATCGAGGACCAAGACAGGGAAAGGCCGAAGATAAGTTTGAGCCAACGACTGAATCTTGCACCGAACCTACCCCAATCTGTCAGCATCCAAAGCCCTTGCATAGAGAAAAAGGTTTGGTACAGAGTTTCGGATGTACCTCTTTGCATAGATAGGTACTGACGTTGGTCAGCAACACTTTCTTAACACAATATGCATCTCAAAACAACTGATGCGATCGGGTTCAATAGAATACAGCCAAAGTCATGAGTGTTTGTCTTTTCGATCAATACTGCTACTTCTCAAGAACTCACTATGTCAAGCTTGATCACCAGTATACGTCTATGATGGATAGCTTAGGGACAAAGTAGTGGTCGCAAGGGCAACTGACGACAACGCCATCCCCAAGTCGTAGAGACTAGTCGAAGGCGGTGCTTGAGGCAGATATTAACGCCAAATAAGTGTAGAATGTTTGGTCTTGGAGTATCAGAGCGTGGTGACATCGTCGTTCTCACATGGCAGGCTAGATCATAGATAGCTTAATCGCATGAGCCAGCAAAGAGCTTGAGATTAGCCCTCTCTTCTCGACGCTAGGGAGCGAGCAAATTCAAAGAGATTATGTGGGCAACAGATGTGGTATAGGTTGGAAAACAAGATAGGGTGAGCCAGCTAATGGTGAGCCGGGAGACAAATTCTTATCAATAGACTTTGGTCAAGATCGAGGAAGGAAGAAGCTGTACAACATTTCGCCTGAGTCATGAACTAGATGGGTAAGCGAGTATGAGGAACTTGAGACTCCGTATTACTAGCCATGCTCACGTCCATGCAATCTCATACTAACAAGCTCGAGTGTGTTTGAAGAATGAGGGCCTTGGCACTGGGGGAAAAGAATTGCGACGATCGATCCAAAAGAATTAAAGACGATATGGTGAAGTTTTGCGACACGAACGATGTGAGACAATCGCAGTGCTGGGAGTGTCCGACGAATTCGGTCTTTAGTTGCGATCCAGCCAACGAAATGTGCGAAGGTAAATCGAAAGTATTTAGTGATCAGATGAGGTTTTTGAGAGGCAAATGTGCAAGGCGAAGGCATGACGACGGCTTGTGCTGGTGGACTGCTCCCGCGCGGCAGAGACTGCCTTGGCGATATCTTGGACCTGCACCTTCCTCCTCTTCGCCGAAAGGGCCGATACAACAACACGTAGGATCAACTTCTCTCGGTGTATAGCCGTTGTCAGTCAAGCTTCACCTGCATGCAGTTTCATCTTGGACCTCGTCTCGGCGATCCTGATCCTTCTGACGGCCCGAGCTCCTTGGCCGCGGGCTGCAAGATTTCCTATCAACTACCCGAACGGCTTAAAAGTAATCTGCACAACTCATCGCTTACAACGGCCCCTCACCCAGGCGCATCGGATTAATCTAAAAAGACTCTTTCATGCACCCATTGCGTCTACAACTGGTATGGCATTTGTACGCTCGTGCCAGTAGCCTGCATGGATCAGCTCGCACGGCGCTTATACACGTTACACAACACACTGCACGACGGTGTCTGCCGCGAGCAAGATCAGCCATATCCACTTTTCAAGGCGACCTCGATATTGCGGCGCAGTCGTCGACCTGACACCAATTGCACTGCCCTAACTCCTATGTCGTGATAGAGACACAATGTGGGAAGACGTTCGGCCACTCAGGTCATAGGGGCCAACTCTGATCAGCGAACTGATGATCCTAGCTCTGAGCGGCTGAGCGCCTTGGGAACGAGAACAGGAGCCTGACGGCGACGAACCATACACGAGAAAGCCTCCTTCTTCTGGTCTGACCATGAGATCGGAACATCTGCCTACGTCTCAAAGCAGGTAGCGATCATGCTTAGCTGAAGGGGCTCGCAGGCTGAAAAGATGCTTCGCGGAGCTGATTCGCCAGACCATGCAACAACGTCGAGCGAATGGGGGCTGTGAGCCGCTGTCCTTCGACACCAAACCACGGCAGCAGATCCCAGCAGTTCAGGACAGCGCCCGATGTTGGTTCACACCCTGGTTCCACATTGTTGGAACTGTCTATTTCGCAGGCGCTGCTCTATATGAAATTGCGGCGTGGTTGATGCAACTTGTCCGCTGTCAACCAATGACGGCCCAACATTAGCGCCTCCGCGAGTTGGGTCGCCAATCATTCCCTACTTAGCCGCATATCCAACGTCCTTCACCCTCTAGGAGGTTTCCGTACCATGTCGCAACGGCGGGGTTAGTACAGGCAGGCGGCTCTCGACGTCTTGACAACGCGTATACTCTAACGGCGTAGCTCCACCGTTGCCACCTCAGTAGCATGACATGCGCAGATAGATCTGTCAGCGCTGCAATCGGTGTGGTACGCACCGTCGCGGCGCGGATGACGCGTGTGGTGTGCTTTCATATAAACAAAAGTGTAGCCTGCAGGCCTCAGGTGGTACCGCTTTCAGCCCTCTGTTATCGTCTTGTTCGGTTTCGGGGCGCAGCTCTTGGTCTCCTCTTCCGTTTGATTTACCCAGTTGACCGGTCTCGTTGCTACGCCGCAATAACCTTCTTTCGGTATTTGCATCTGTCTACGGGTGCCGCCTTCTTTTACATCCTTCGCCGCCGCCATTCCCGTGCTTCTTTTCGTATTGTGCGTCTCGTTCGCACCACTGCATCACGCCTCTGCGATTTAAAATTATTACCTCTATTCGAAAGCTTGTCTCAAACTTGGCACTGTCACACCCTGACAGACATGGCTACACTCTCTGTGCCGTCGCCTAACCTGGGCTCAGCTTCATTGTGTGACAGCATCCACAGGCCACTCTCCACCCATGGCCTGCCAAAGCAGCCGCGTACAATGTCACCCGAACGACCACATCGGTTTTCAGCAAAGAGTTACCCTCCTCCAGCTCTTGTTCACACTCCCATGACACCACAGTCGTTGGGACCAATGTCTCCCCCACCCATGTCAGCAAAGTCCTTTGGGACGTTCATCGACTCAGAGCCATCGACACCAGCCTACTCACCAAGAATGGATCACGAGTGGGGCGACTCATCGGTGGTCTTAGTCCGACCTATGTCTTCGTCCTCAGAGCCATCCAGCCCTACGGAGCCTGTATGGCGCATGCTGCAACCACTGCCGGTAAAGGCTCCGCCCAAGCCTAAGGCTGTCGTTGCAAGTCCTCAATCTATAGAAACAGCCACTACCGCCAAGGAGATCTCAACGAACACTTCGCTTTCATCACATCCTACTAAACAGGCGAGGCACATCAGTCGCCCACAAGAGATCAAGCTGGCAAATCTATCGCAGCAAGACTACACCCCAAAGAGTGAAGATATTGCAAAGGACGATGAGAAAAGGCTACAAGAACAGACTGCCAGCACTCCCACCGCGGCGACCTTTGGCAAGCTGGCGACAAAGATGAAGTTAATGTTACGAAGGAAGAACACAAACGCAAAGAAGAAAGAGAAGAAGAAGAGGCAGTACGAAGAAGTCGACCGTATCGAGGACGTCCACTGGACAGAGATGTGATATGCATCTGTGAAAAAACAGAGCGGACGCATTGTTATGTCGAAGTCTGCCAGTACTGTGCTTATGACAGAGGGCGGACGTGTCAGAAGGGACGAAAATAGAGAGTGTATCGCTCGGAAGCAGGTCACATCTGGATGGCTAATAGGAATACTGAAGCTGTTGTCTGGAAGGGGCGGGTACATCATCGCACACGGAGATTGCTACCAATACTTATCAAGTCAGGTTAATGAGCTGCTGTTCACCACCGTCACTCTCATCGGCGTATATGTGGCATTTTTTATGTCTACGGGAGGATATGGGAGGCGTTTTGGATTCTTTTGCTTTCTATGAGTTACACAAGCAAGTAATGACGATACCCAATCCTTACAATAGTCTATTAGTAGCAACCATATCTTTTCAGTCCCTAGACTTGTTATGCTTGGTGCCAGTGTCGACACGGCAAATCAGGTTTTCTATTATCGCTCATCGGCATCGTTCTTGATTAATTCAATGAGCTATGTACGCAAATTTTGATGATCATTGGAAGCGTCAAATCGTTGCCAAGCGCTGCTCGATTGTTCCATGTGAAAGAGCGATCAAGTTAGCGCATGCACAGACCCCGATTCGAAACTCCACAACGCGCAACAACCCTAACACATTTCGTCCAACTTGCAGTATCACACAGCTTTTACAGGCAAAATGATCCCAAGACGGTTGGGAAACGCTGTGCGGCTCAAGTGCGCAGTCAAGGCGCAGCCTCAAGCCCGGCTGCAGAGGCCACTTGCAGCGGCGACCCGCACTTTGCGAGTACACACAGAGGGACGCATTTATACAAGTATAGCATCACGTGCCACTGAGCAAACGCGACAATTGCACCCACGCTCTGGATGCTCCGGAATCCGTGGCAAAGACACTCTCCGCGACAATGCGAGATGGAAACAGCCAACTAGGGACCCCAAAACTATCCTCCTGGAGTCCGGCTTCCCAACCAAGACCGTACTTGTTCTTCTCGTGCTCGGCGGTCTAGCATACTACTTCGTCGACATCGTAGAAACGGACTGGACAGATAGCGTCTATGCGGCTTTTTCATCTGGCGATGATGCCTCCGCCCTTGCGACACCACTCCATTTCTACAACTCCCGTGAGGAGATCCAACACGTGCTTGACTTTCACATCCCGGACCCCAGCGCGCCGCTCAAGGACCCCAATGTCGCCAAGTTTTTTTCGGAGCAGTTCGACAAGTTGTGTTTTGGGTGGATGATGACAGAAGACGATGCGAGGAAGGGTGTTGAAGGCATGGAAGGCGTACAAATGCCCATCACACACGGATGTCGCTTCCGTAGCAACGAGCCTTGCGAAGACTATTTCGCACTGGGGACATCACCAGGCCCAGGGGATAAGCTGTGGAATTACTGGACGGTGCTAGATGGACACGCAGGACGCCACACAGCATTCTATTTACAATGGACATTGATCCCCATGGTCAGCTCCGCCCTAACCAGTCTGTCACAATTCGCCTCAAGCCCAGAAGTCGAATCCACAATAAAGCGTGCATTCCTCAACATCGACAAGACGATCATGGACCGAGCAAAGACTGCCGCAAACTGGTTTCCCGCCGCGAATGGCGCCGCAATCGCTGCTCTGACCCCAGCCTTCTCAGGTTCCTGTGCTCTCCTAGCAGCCTTTGATCCTCAGACCTCAAGATTACGTGTGGCATGCACGGGCGACTCTCGCGCTGTGCTTGGCCGCTGGGACCCGACAACAGATTCATATACCGCAGTTCCATTATCAGAAGACCAAACCGGATTCAACGCCAAAGAGGTCGCGAGACTGAGCCAAGAACACCCGGACGAGTCCGTCATCGACCCCAAAACAGGTCGTATGCTCGGCATAGCAGTGACACGGGCTTTCGGTGACCATCGCTGGAAATGGGACAATGAGTTCATCAAAGCTGTCCAACACAAGTTCTGGGGTACTGCGCCGAGACCTGGTAGTAAAAGCCCTCCATACATGACTGCTGAACCTGAGATTACGGAAACAGAAGTTGTGAGACGAGAACCTGGCGACGGGAAAGGCAAGAGCGACTTTATGATTTTGGCTTCTGATGGTCTTTGGGATCGTATCTCTTCTGAACATGCTGTGGAATGTGTTTCTAGGTACTTGGCCGCTCGAGAGCGAGGTCGGGGATCCGTCAAGCAGGATCCGGAGTTGCTGGCCAATCCACCTGTCTTCCCTACCACATTTTCCTCCCTCGACCCTGGTGTTACCGTCGACCCTGAACAAGGCCAAGAAGTAGATTGGAAAGCAACGCCAGAGTACTTTGCTATTGAGGATGAGAACGCAGCTGTTTGTCTAGCGAGGAATGCCATGGGTGGAACTAGGAGGGGTTTGTTTTTGGGTATCCTAGCGGGTCCTGAGCCATTAAGTCGGAATGCTGTGGATGATACTACAATCATGGTAGTTTTCTTCGATAAGCTGGGCAATGGCAAGGGAGAAGGAGCGGGAGCGGCGAAGAAGAAGATGGAGAAGAAAGAGAAGAAGTGGTGGTGGCCGTTCTGAAAAGGAAGGCAACGTACTTAAGAGAGACGCAAGATTCGGAGAAGGCATAATCATTCCATCGTCTGATTCCAGACTACTGTATGGTCTGAAGGATTTATGGAAACTCAACTCCATGAGACAGTGTGTACAAACAAGCAGAGAAGTGATATCCTCGGTCCCAATTATCAACGCCCACTGCCAACCGAAGCCATACAAATGCCACAGAACCATGTCTTCCCCACTGAGAAGCAACAACGCAGCATGTGAAGCCGATTAAACCTCAGAAAGGCGTAACAACCTCGCCCGCCTCCTCAATTTGAACATTTCCTCATCTTCATCATCACCTTGCACTGATGCTCGGTCTGCAGCTGATACGAGCGTTCCGAGAGTGAGCCTGGGAAAAGCATGTTGCATCCCATGCCCCATCCAATTACGTGTGAAATGCAAGTCCAAGCCTACCCAAGCTCCCTTGCCCATCTTCCAATACATACATCTTGTAGCCCGTTTGGTACTTGCATATACGACACCAAGTCTTTCTCTGCAAGCTATGACAGCTTTTCAAGCCTTGTTGAGGGCAAGAATAGATGGCGAAGCATTGTAATATTATTGTAAGAAGTCTCTTTGAACATTGATGAAAGCACCGGGACCGCCGTCGTCGGCGAGTTCGTTGACTAAGGCTTCAGTCTGCTGAATTAGGCGTTCGAGAGCGGCGGAAGAGGATTTGCCTAGAGAGACTGCGACTTGTTAGCCTAGGTTTTCAGTGCAAACGACACCCAAGAGAGGTTATTCGGAGATGTTTGTCGTCTGTGGATCATGAACGTACCTAATATGGCACTGTTTAGCTCCTCAGCGACTGGCGCACGACCAGATATCTCTAGCAATGGCGCTAACGAGCTTTCCCGTGCATCTGCATAGGCAATGAGCGCGAAAGTGTCTTCGAGCGCCCGCTTGACTTCCCGTCTCGGATCGTTCGCAAATTCGGATTTTAGCTCCATGCCATAAGCTATTGTCTCACTCGTCGCCCGTTCGCTCTTTACTATCTTGTCTTCCATGTCATCCTCTTCTCCATCTTCCAACTCGTCGTCTTGATCCTTGTTGTCCCAACTTGGTGGTGGGTTATGTACACCTAGTTGCTCATCAAGCTCCATCTCGAAATCGTACTCGTCGGTAGCAGTTGAGTTACGCTTGTTGGCTGCCGAGGCAGTCGATCGTTTGGAGGATGACGCTGGCGCAGATTGACATTGTGCGTTTAACTCTCCGCATCGCCGGATCATCTCGATGAATTTCCGACAGCGGAGTTTGAAGTAGATGTTCTCGTTGTCACGGAGGACCGAAGGGTAGTATGCACTCGTATGCTTGAGCGCTTTGTCAATATCGCCCTCGAGGATCGCTGTACGTATTTCTGGATCCTGTTAGTTTTGTTGTCCATAGACTCTCGAATGTACGTACTTTGTCGATTGAGCGCATCCAGATCTTCTACTGCCGTGCGGTAGGGAATGTCTGCCTCTTGATCGTTCGCAAGCGCTCTCGCTTCATCTACAATTTCATCTGAGAAAGCTCGTGCTGTTTCTACGTAACCATCGTGCGCCAAATACTGCCCCACCAGCCGGTGTATCAGCGCGTCCTCGCCTCCCAGTACGCTCGCTTCGGTCTTGGTTCGAGTGATTTCGGTTTGTATGGCTGCCTTCTCATCCTGTACCATCTTGTCGATATCGAAAGCGAAGGGTTCTTGACCGAAATTGACGCGGACCGTCTCGCCGGGCTTCTTCATGCCTACCGTGGGATAGTATGGCACGTTGAGTTTCAAGTCTCGAAAGGCCGTCCCTGGACTTGTTAGTGCTATCCAAGTCTCCATGTCTAGAGTGCTTACCCAGCATGTGCCCATTCTTGGTGAAGAAGGCGGTATTTGTCCGGAAGTTGATGCCACAGCCGATGACGTCCAGCGTGCCGAATTTGGGTCCATATGACTTCCCAGAGGTGGTGTTACTGAAGATCTGCCCATCATCGCCATGGTATGCGTACGAGTCGGGCTCCCAACCCGGTATCCTACTGAGAGCAACCTTTTGTCCAGAGAAGCCAATTCCGATCATTCTACTGTATCGTGAATCAGCACATGTCTTGCCCACATGGAAGACATACATACCCATCTTTGCCTTTGGAGATAACAGTCATCTCGTAGTAGTAAATCCCACACTGCCTTGGCATAGGAAAGTCTGCCCGTACCGATGCCGCTTCATCGTGAGTCTTCTGGGTGCCTGAGAACTTGGCTTGCCTTCCACTATCCTCAAGCTCTAGTTGAGGGAATCTGTCTGCGTCGTTCCATCGTGTTGGCCATGGCGCCGCCGGCTCATCCACAACAGGCGCGCGCTCCACTACTTCATGCGTGAGACCTCGGTGTGATGGCGCCATCTTGTGCAGATTGGCGCTGCTCGAACTCGTAGACAGCGAGCCCGCATTTGACGAGTGTGTTGACTTGTAATCCCTCTGGGCTGCTAGCTTCGCTTTGTGCACCTCTTGCAACTTCTCGGCGTGCTTGGACCCGCGCAGGTAGGAAGGCACGAAGAATGGAGGTATATCATGAGTCGTCCCTCCCAAGCCATGCCAATATCCAGCTTGGCTGGAGTATGAGGGCAGTAGCCCGCCGGACCTGCCGAAACTCGTAGACATGTGGCCGTCGGCGTCAATGGAGCGAGAGAGGCGGTTCGGGTGCGATGTCGAGGCGCTGTTGGCGAGATGCGCAAAGGCACCGGATCGGGTGGGTTGCTGGAATGAACTGTTACTGCCTGCTGATCCGGCAGCAGCGACCCTGGCGTAGCTGTCCCGACGAGCGTTCATGGTGAGCGATAGTGGCGCTAAACAGCTACCAGTATGTCCGTGGTGACGCCTTGGAGCGATGACAGCAGGATGTCGCGCAAATTACGCGAATAGCAATGGTCGGGCTGGCCGTGGTAGTGGCGGGCGAAGGTTGGAGAGGTCCAACCGTGTGCGAACGCGTGGGCTAGCTGTGGATGGTGCCGAGTGAATGCAGTACTCTGTGTTGGAAGTTGCCAACGGTTCTCAGGCAAGAATCAAGGGCATCCGGGCTTCTGTGAAGCTATCGTCACAGATACATGCATCATTTGATGGATAGGGAGCTTTGCTGTAGGTAAAGCTAGCAATGAGGTGCAGTGCAGGTAGTACGTCAATGAAGGTCCATGGCCGGAGGTTTGGATCCAGCCGAGCTATCGGTGGAGATCCCCGCAGTCACCACGGGGATGATAACGCCATCCAGGTCACGCTCACATTGATCCCGACATGAACGCTAGACACATGGATCAAGTACTTGTAGTCAGCTGTTGATATTCGATATTCTCAGAATGTGCTATGCAAAGCCCCTTTTTCCTCGCCATTCGGAAACCAGGTCCATCTCTAGTACATGTAGCTGTCCAGCGACGTGCTTGTGCGCCATACACCATGCTGCCTATGGCAAGCCGTGGAAAGTCCCAAATTACGCCTTATACATAGTTATGCAATGCGCTCCGTGAACGCCGAACAAGACAAAGAAAGCAAGTTGATGTAAAAAGACATGTCGCAAGAAATAAAGTGATGTGAGGCCGCAACAGGCGCAAGCCGCATGACAAGTCCGTTAAGGAGGACAAGATCAATAATGCGCAAGGCTCAAGCGGGTATAGGGGCGGGAGAGCTTGCCATACCGTTCATCGCTGTCGGCACTGGTGTACTGTCACCGTTGAGTCCGCTCTTGTCGCTGATTGCGCTGCTCTCGTCCTTCAGCTTGGAGTCGCTAGTGCCAGTGCTGTCGCTCTTGACGTCGTCGGGAAAGGCGCCTTTGCGGCCTGGCTGATAGGTAGGCACTTGCCACATGACGCCGGTGAAGCTGCGGACCTGGAATCCCTTCTTCTCCCATCGACGGCACTTGGCCCCTGACCTGTCGAGGGCGCGCAGGCGCTCGTTGATGGCTCCCAGGTTTGCCTTGGGACCTGCCTTGTTGATGGCTGCGGGTGTTGGGAAGGGCCCCTTGGAGTTGGGGTCGTTGATCATGTCGCCCATCTTCTTCCTCTTTGGCCCTGGCTTGGCCTTGGGTTGCTTGGGCGGTGTCGCGGCGCTCGAACCAGCCTCCATTTGCGCGGCGTTCCGCTTGCTACCGAGCTTTGGGCCCTTCCTCTTGGTGGCGGGAGGAGCAAGCGACGAGGGCGTGCTTCCGTCCATGTTGGGGGTTGAGTCGGCGGGTGTGGCAGCAGGCGTGGGTTCGTTGATTTGCGGCGCAGGCGTTGGCGGAGATGGCTTGGCCTCTTCCTTGGGTGGTGTAGGCTGGCGTGAGAATTTGTTCAGGTGGTCTGGTGACAGCTTGAGTGTGACGACGAGGGTCTTTGGTGATTTCGTGGTCATGTTCGCGTGCAGGCCGACGCGGTGGTGGTGTGTGTAGATGGCTGCAGCGGATGGTGGCAGAGCTGGTGTTGGGGGGTTTGGCCTGCAGCGGTGAGGGCAAAAGACAGTGGCTCTGCCTGTCAGCGCGTTGGCGTCTCGGTGGCTAGGGGGAGCAAGCCTGGTGAGCCGTGCTTCACGTAAAGTCGAGAAGGTATCGTCGGGCAGATGAAGCGCGCCGATGCAAACAGTTGGGGGGATGGAGACGAGGATGGGAAGGGAGAGTGGGTGGTGAAGAAGGTTGCCGCAAAGGCAAAGAAAGGGCTTCTTCGGCCCAGCTGGGGTCGTCGGTGTCCCAGATCATATTGGTCGCTAACGTCTTCCTCTTCGCTGCCGACACTCACAAGAGGTGCCCGCAGGTGAGGACGCACGGGCCAGACACGCTAACCCCCTTTAGATGTCTGGATATCCCAGGACAAGCTGTGTATGTCTTTGATGGCATCGAATTATCACTTGCGCATTCCCTTTTGCTGTCCGTCTGCTTGCTTGCTGCGCCCATTCTGTTTTCCGCGTTCTGCTGAGAGGTCCGTGTGGCATTGAAGCTAAATTGCGCGTCCCAATCCAACGGCGGTAGAGAAGCATCGCGCATCGCCCACCTCACTACCTAGCCCAAACATTCTTTCGTCCGAGACAATCAGATCCCTCCGTAAAAGACGCGTCTGTACTTGGCCTTTCCTTGCGTTTTTGCTCCTGCCTGCACCGCGCCGCGCCTTGCATCCTTGTCTACCTTCGCACCATGGGAGTCTCAGCTCGCACATTTACCGCTGACTCTCCTGCATCGCCCCTTGGCCTGACCACGATCCGCAACCAAGAAAACCCGTCGACAACCGATGCCGAATGACGTTCATGAATACGCCGCGGACCCTACTGTAGCTTACATAGCAGCTCCCGACAACTACTTGCTGTTGCCGTTGGTCGAGGTCCTTGTCCAGATGGGTTCCGTATTGCCATTATCAAATAATGCGGGTTTCTGTTTCATTACTGTCTGCGCATTGTGAGGCGACGCAACGCTAGCCGAAGTCAACCCGTGTCAGTATTTGCAGCTTGAACGGTTGACCCAGTCACGACCATGGAAAGGGAGTTTCTTGGTTATCAGAACACCAGTAGGATTTCATCATTATGCGAAGAGAAAAAATGGTAAGGATGTCATACAAGTTCCACGGCGTCAGAATCTGGTGTGTTGTCAGTCTCCTTCAACTGTAGATACTTAGGTAAAGTTCTTGTGATTTATGATACAACTTGTGCAATTGGCGCGTACAGAGACTCTTCTAGTCCTTACTTAACGTCCCTTCGACCCGCTATGTGATTAGTTTTGTGTTCAGATGGTACAATGTACATAATTGGAATTCAGGGCTGGTTTTTCTACTGAAAACCATCGATTTCCTGTATACAATTTCAAGCAACTTTTCCAGCATTCTGAATCCCACTGTCATGCTCACTACTCAATGACATTTACATTCGTGGAGGGAATAAATTCAGGCTTAGAATTGTCTCATAAATTATTGGCCCCATAAGACAGATTTATGTAGTACATACCGTGTGTTTCCATTAAGATGTTTCCAAAAAAACAAGATATCAATTGTTCTTGCACGACAGGGTCTTCGATAACGTAATAAACGTACGATCAGGTCCTAGTATGACGTGTCGTGGGAAGGCGACCATTTAGGTCGTTTCCAGGGTTTTCTTCCACAAGGAGCAGTTTCGGGACAATGAAGTGATTCTCTGTCACAAACACTCAAAGGACAGGTTTAACATAGCCTGGGCAGCGGGTTTTCAGCTTGTGATTCCTTTGGGTTCAGTTTCCATGTGGTCGGCTAAGAGCATCGTAATACATTTGCCCTAACGGTAGTACCATATTTTGTGTGTTGGCTGGATGAATAATAAAAGAATGGAGCGCAACAATCAAGGTAGCGGCGACAAAAAAAAACTAAATATTTGAAATTCAGATAAGAAAATCAGGATCAAGGTCTCGTCTGAACACCTAACTGAGCTCCTTGACAGCTGCATGTGAAAAACATGATCATTACCTCAATGTGTTTATGTCTCCGTAAAAAACAAGCAAAATTGTGAGCTGACATGACTTTGTGTCAATACTGCATTTGCTATGGCGCCTTCTTGTCCCCTCATGCAGTAGACTATGGCTCAGATCAACGCTCATGTTACAAAAGTTATTAGTGTAGCGCCCCTTGACAAGACGCGAGACATGCCAAACGCTTTGTCTCGTACAACTTTGCAGCGAAGTAGTCGGAAATTGTTTCCTGTTATCATCATCCGGCTCGCCGTCTTTTAGTACCATTCACTGTGGTACCGTTAGCTCTTCGTGCCTCATCACCACTAACTGCCACCTCATCGTCGTTCATCCATTCTCTACCAGCACCAGGACTGCGCCGCCTGAACTGACCAGCGCCGATTGCCACGACTTCGTCCTCACTATCACTAGCCTCTATATCCAACAACACAGGCATCCTGAATTCTGCGTCTCCTATAGCCGGTCCGAATTCTGTAGCCGAGGTCTTAACTGGATCTACGGTGAGGACATCGACTTCTTCGTCTTCGGCGTTTAGACGTCGCTTGTGTAGCTCCTCTAGAGGCTGTATGTCGAACTCATCTTCGCGCTCGATGTATTCTACGTTCTCTTCTACTTCGACGAAATCCGGTGCGAGGGCAGACCAACGTTGGGGCTGGAGAATGGACCAGAGCCAGACGCGACCAGAATCCACTCCGACAGCAGCGACAAAAGGTCGGAATGGGTGCCATTCGACCACAGACAGCTCCTCCTTGGTGCCTTCCAGGATCTTGACCAAACTACCTTGTCCACGTTCCCACACGTAAATGTGATGATTCATCCAGGTAGAGGCCGTGACGTATTCGCCTGAAGGACTGAATGATACATGGTTCCACGAAAGCCTCTGTACCAGATCCTGGAACTTGTGTTCAACTTCGAGCTGAAGTGTGTCGAAGTCCAACTTTGGGTCGCTCAAGTCAGGTAGATGAAGTGTCCTGACGATGCGATCGCTGGAGTTGAGCACAACGTCTCTACCCGAGGGCGTCAAGCGAATGTAAACGATGATGTTGTTGGTGACCCTGAAAGAGTAGCGTACTCGGTGCGTCTCGGTCTCTATAATGTTCAGCCACCCCTTGTTTGTGCCTGCTATGATGTGTTGGCCAGTGGGTGAAAAGAGCGTCATAGTGGTCGTCTGCTTGGCATCCTGGGCCGTCTGCTTCTCGGAAGCGTTCTCACGTTCTATGTCGGTTCGGTGGGGCGCGGACGATAGGGAGTGCTTGACGGGGACTTCCTCGGACATGTCGACGATGACAGGCTGGTCTTCGAAGAGGGCAGCCACAAAGACCATACTAGACTGAATTTAGCGGACTGCCTGCAGGCACCATGTACGCACTTACTGGTTCTTTGGGTGCAGCTCTGCTATGAAGATGGCTGCCTCAAAGCGGACAGTGCGCACCCGCGAGCCATCCTTCAGGTCCCATAGCACACACTTCCAGTCCTGCCCAGCGCTGAGAAGGTAGCGATCATTCGTGGACCAGCTGAGCGACTGGACCTGGCGTGTGTGGCCGCGAAGCTTGCGCGCGACGCCGTTTGTCTCGATGTCGAATATGACGACTATGCCGTCGTGCTGGAATCCAATCAGCGGAAATCACATGTAAGGGCGTGACATTCGCGTACCCGTCCGGACGCAAGCAGGTCGCCGCGGTGGCTGAAGCGAATTGAGGTTGAATGGCCGCTGCCTACGCGTTGTGAGTCACTGCAGTGTATAGTCAAGTCGACATAGTAAACTCACGTAGGCGGCCGGTGATGACATCGGGGCAGTCCTGCGCAAGGACAAAGGGATCAACCAGCGAGAGATTCATGGTCGTGCACTGCAGACAGCGGGGTGTGCAGAAGAGGAAGCTCAATTAGCAGCATCTTCGCAGACGCGACGGCTGTTGTCCATGAAGTGAGAGTCTGGCGCGCAAAGTGAGAGTTTGGTGGTGGCAGTCCACCCGCTCTGGTCAGCCCTGGCGAGCGCGGTCGGCACGTGAGGGCCGACTAGTGTCAATGCGGCAGGAACTGTCTCTTTGTCGCCTTCTTGCTTCTACCAGAGCCACGCCCTCACCACCACCCCACCCGCCATCACCAACGGCCGCTCCTTCATATTTAGAGCGCGTCTTCTACCTCGCCGACCCCAATAGTGCTCACCGGAGCGCTTTTAATACGCGCGCAAGACTCCCGTCTTGAGGCGCGCCCCAGCGAGCCCCCGACCCCCGTACAGCCCTTTTCCACGGGCGCCACTCTCCGACCGCATCTCTTCTCGCGCGCGGCGCGCATTACTCCATTTAACATCAGGAGCAGCCGTCGACATAGCTACCACGGCAGCCCAATTTACTACTTAATACGCGGAGGAACCGCCCGGCGTGGCCACCGCGACCGTCGACCGCTAGACAGGTCTCCAGGCTTTCTCTCACCCGCGAAACCCTTTCACTGCCGCCAGCATGCCTCCGGGCGCGCCCCAGGTGTCAAAATGTCCGCTCCGGACCATCAAGGAGATCCAGTTCGGGCTACTCTCTCCCGAGGAGATCAAGGCCATGAGTGTCGTCCACATCATCTACCCGGAGACCATGGACGAGCAGAAGCAGAAACCGCGTGAGCAAGGTCTCAACGACCCCAAGCTCGGCACTATCGACCGCATGTACTCGTGTGCCACGTGCAAGGAAGATATCCAGACCTGCCCTGGCCACTTTGGTCACATCGAGCTGCACACACCCGTCTTTCACGTCGGTTTCGTTGTGAAGATCAAGAAGCTCCTCGAGACTGTGTGCCACACGTGTGGTCTCATCAAGGCTGACTTCGTAAGTCTTCCCGCGTGAAGACAGAGACTTCAAACTCTTGGATTTTGTGCTAACTGCAAGATCAGAACCATCCTGACTGGGCCGCTGCCGCCAAGACCAAGGATGCGAAAAAGCGTTTTGACAAGATCTGGCGCATGTCCAAGGGCAAGACCGTGTGCATGCAGGACGTAGACGATGGAAGTGACAAAAACAAGATCCCCAAGATTCCTCACGGCGGCTGTGGCAGCAAGCAACCTGACTCCATCCGCAAGGAAGGCTTGAAGCTCACAGGCACCTGGAAACAGAGCAAGAAGGACGACGATGACGGCCAAGGTGACCGCAAAGAAGTCATTACACCAAAGCAGGCACAGACCATCTTCAAGCTCATGTCCGACAACACACTTGCTCTGCTCGGCTTGAACGCCGACTACGCACGTCCCGAGTGGATGATCCTCGATGTTCTGCCAGTGCCTCCGCCTCCGGTTCGCCCCAGTATCTCCGTCGATGGTACCGGCCAGGGTATGCGTGGAGAGGACGATTTGACATACAAGCTGGGAGACATCATCCGTGCCAACGGTCGTGTTGCAGAATGTCAGCAGGAGGGTTCACCTGCTCACGTAACAGCCGAATTTGAGGCACTGGTCCAATACCACGTTGCTACCTACATGGACAATGACGCCAATGGCGTTCCACAGGCCATGCAGAAATCCGGCCGTCCGCTCAAGACTATTCGTGGTCGATTAAAGGGCAAGGAGGGCCGTCTTCGTGGTAACTTGATGGGAAAGCGTGTCGATTTCTCCGCACGTACCGTCATCACTGGTGACCCTAACCTGTCTCTGGACCAAGTCGGTGTGCCCCGATCCATTGCACGCACTCTGACCTACCCGGAGGTTGTCACCAAGTTCAATATCAGTAAGCTGACAAACTTGGTACGCAATGGTCCTAACCAGCACCCTGGTGCCAACTACGTCATTAAAGCCGACGGTGTTCGTCTTGATCTCAAGCACAACAAGAACCTTGACGACCTGCGGCTACAATACGGCTGGAAGGTCGAACGTCATATTGACGACGACGATGTCATCATCTTCAATCGTCAGCCCTCTCTGCACAAAGAGTCTATGATGGGACATCGTGTCAAAGTCATGCCTTACTCCACCTTCCGTCTTAACTTGTCGGTCACATCACCCTACAACGCCGATTTCGATGGTGACGAGATGAACCTCCACGTTCCTCAGAGTGATGAGACTCGCGCTGAGGTCCAAAACCTGTGCATGGTTCCCAAGCAGATTGTATCGCCGCAGAAGAACCAGCCCTTGATGGGTATCGTGCAGGACACGCTTCTCGGTGTTTACAAGATGAGTCGTCGTGACAACTTCATTCCTATTGAACAGGTCATGCCTATTCTCATGTGGGTACCTGACTGGGATGGCATCGTTCCAGAGCCAGCCATTCTGAAGCCTCGACCACTCTGGACTGGTAAGCAGATTATCAGTATGGCCTTCCCGCGCGAGGTCAACATTGAGAAGAAGGAGGCCGACTCTAAGCCCAGTGCGTACAATGATCTCGTCGACAAGTCATTCTGTATCAAGGGTGGGCAACTCCTTTTCGGTCAGGTCACAAAGAAGATTGTCGGTGCTTCTGCAGGCGGTGTTATCCACATCATTTTCAATGAGCTTGGACCGGATGCAGCAGTCAAATTCTTCAACGCCTGCCAGCGCATCTGCAACTGGTGGCTCCTTCATTATGGTTTCAGTTTCGGTGTGGGTGACACCATCCCGGATCCGGCTACCTCAGACAAGATTGCCAACGAGATTGCAAAGTCTAAGGCTAAGGTCGAAGAGATTATCGAAACAGCTACCAAGGATGCGCTTGAGCCTATGCCTGGTATGACGATTCGCGGTACGTTCGAATCCAAGGTACAGAAGTTCCTCAACGAAGGTCGTGAGGGCGGAGGTACTGCAGCTCAAACGAGTTTGAAGGATTTCAACAACGTCGTGCAGACTGTCGTCTCAGGTTCCAAGGGTTCCACTGTCAACATCTCTCAGATGGTTGCCCTCGTCGGTCAACAAGCTGTGGAAGGACAGCGTATTCCCTATGGCTTCAAGTACAGGACACTGCCGCATTTTTCAAAGGACGACTACTCGCCAGAGTCCCGTGGTTTCGTCGAAAACTCCTACCTTCGCGGTCTCACCCCTTCGGAATTCTTCTTCCACGCTATGGCTGGTCGTGAAGGTTTGATTGATACAGCAGTCAAGACAGCCGAGACTGGTTACATCCAACGTCGTCTCGTCAAGGCGCTCGAAGATGTCATGGTCAAGTACGACGGAACCGTACGTAACTCCATGGGTGACATTGTTGAGTTCATCTATGGTGAAGATGGTCTGGATGGCGCCCACATTGAGAGTCAGTCTATGGATATCATCATGGCATCGGAAGCCGACTTCGAGGCTGGATACAAGCTCGATGTTCTTGGAACCGATTACCCAGAGATCCCAGTTACTAAGCTTGAGGGTGCTACCATGTTTCAGGGTGATGTGGAGGTTCAGCGAGCTCTGGACGAAGAGTTTGAGCAGATCAAGATCGATCGTGAATACCTCCGTGCCACTGCAAGCGACGAGGACCTCGAGTCCTTCCAGTTACCTCTCAACATTCAGCGCATGATCCGGTCAGCTCAGGCGCGGTTCGGCATCAACCCAGAGAAGGCTGTTAGCAACCTTAATCCTATCGAGACCATCAGACAAGTCAAGGAAACTCTCGAGCGACTGGTTGTCATTCGTGGTACCGACGAGCTTTCAAGAGAAGCTCAAGACAGCGCAACGTATCTGTTCAAATCCCATCTTCGCGCACGTCTTGCATTCAAGAAGCTCGTCGTTCAGCACCGCCTAAGCAAGGAGGCTCTGAACTACGTTCTCGGAGAACTCGAAGACCGTTTCCTCAAGGCCGCTGTTGCCCCTGGTGAGATGGTAGGTGTTCTGGCTGCGCAGTCCATTGGTGAACCCGCCACACAGATGACGCTCAACACTTTCCATTTTGCCGGTGTGTCCTCTAAGAACGTCACGCTCGGTGTGCCTCGATTAAAGGAAATTTTGAACATTGCAGCCAACATCAAAACCCCATCCATGTTGGTTCGCCAGACAGATACAAAGGCCACCCAACAGGATGCCAAGCGCCTGCGAAGCACAATCGAGCTCACGACTCTCCGTTCGTTGACGCAAGCGGTCGAACTCTACTACGACCCTGACATCCAGTCAACGCTTGTTGAAGAAGATCAGGACATGGTTGAGTCATACTTCATTCTGCCTGAAGAAGACGAGGTCATCGAGTCACAGTCCAAGTGGTTGCTCCGTATCATTCTTGATCGCAAGAAGCTATTAGATAAGAGTATCACTATCGGCGAAGTTGCTGGCAAGATCAAGGAAGAGTTCAAACCCAATCTGGCAGTTATCTTTAGTGACGAAAACGCCGATGAGCAGGTCATGCGTGTTCGTTTCATCTGGGATCAGAACCTCCAGAAGGATGATGAGGATGAAGATGAGCGTGACGAGCGATGGATGCGCAAACTTGAGAAGCATCTGCTTGATGATGTTACGCTACGTGGTGTACGTGGTATTGAGCGTGCTTTCATCCGAGACCACATCGTCACAGTTGAGTTGCCAGACAGGTCTTTGGTACACTCGAAGAGCAAGGACGAATGCAAAGAGTGGGTGCTTGACACCACTGGTACTGCTTTGGCCGAGGTACTGGCTATTGAGGGTGTGGATGCGACCAAAACCTACTCCAACTCTTTCATTGAGATTCTTGGTGTGCTTGGAATCGAAGCTGCACGTGCCGGTCTACTTAAGGAGCTGGGTATGGTCTTGTCCTTTGACGGTTCTTACGTCAACCATCGTCACATGGCACTGCTCGTCGACATCATGTGCCAGCGTGGTCTTCTCATGGCCATCACCCGTCATGGTATCAACCGTAACGACACTGGTGCCCTCATGCGTTGTTCTTTCGAAGAGACTGTTGAGATTCTTCTCGAAGCGGCCGGCTTTGGTGAGCTCGACGACTGCCGTGGTGTATCTGAGAACATCATGCTCGGTCAGCTGGCGCCTATGGGTACCGGAGAGTTTGATGTCGTCATGGACAATGCCATGCTTCTCACCATGGTGGAGGACAACTCCAAGATAATGGGTGGTGCTGCTGGCGCTGGCAACTACCTCGACAATGGTGCTGCCACGCCGTACGACCTAGGATCTCCTACATACGAGGGTGGCATGGGCGTGGGCTCATATGATCAGGTCTCGTTCTCTCCTATAGCTGCGGCTGGTGGAGGTGATGATTCAGGCGGCTTCACTGCCTACGGAGGCAGCTACGGAGGTGGTGGCTTCAGCCCGTACGATGGAGGGAGAAGTCCAGGAGGCTCGGGCTTTACTGGCATGTCCCCCGGTTTCACCAGTCCGGTGTCTCCGGGTTTCTCGCCAACTTCGCCAGGTTACTCGCCCACCTCACCAGGAACTGCCAGCCCTCGCTTCGCCGCAACATCACCCGGATACATGGCTTCGCCTACGTCCCCGCACTACTCTCCAACCTCGCCTCGATACGGATCTCCTACATCACCGTCGTACTCACCCACATCTCCGGCTGGCTACTCCCCGACGTCGCCTCAGTACTCTCCTACGTCGCCCAACTACAGCCCGACGTCCCCGACGTTCATGGGTGGCGCGACTTCTCCAGCGTACAGTCCGACATCACCACAATACAGCCCGACGTCGCCGCAGTACAGTCCTACAAGTCCTCAGTACCAGGCCACCAGCGACAGGCGTTCTCCGACTTCACCGACGTCACCGCAATACAGCCCGACGTCGCCACGCTACTCGCCAACGAGTCCGGCAGGGTCCTTTTCCCCAACCTCTCCGCGCTACAGCCCGACTTCTCCGGGCCCAGCCTACTCTCCTACGTAAGTTTTCTTGGTCATAGTTGTAGACACTATCCCCATACAACACATGCTAACTGGGCTCCAGATCTCCAAAGCAATAGCTGGCTTGATGATGTAGGCAGACTTGTTTCATCTTTTCTTAGTTGTGTATGAAAATGTTTCCTCTTCCATGGAAATGATCCGGGTGAACTCTTTGGTGAAGTCGAGCAAGCCGTCAACTCTGCCTGTTTCCCTTCGTCAAGAGTTCATTCTGACTCGATCCTCTCTACCCCATCACGGCTGGTCTCGTACGGCATGTCATGTCTGCAATGTGGTCGTTCCTTTGACTAGGCCCACGTCCGCCTCGCTTCTAGCGCATGATGTTGCTCAACGACTGATGGGCTTCTTTTTTCTCATTGTACAACACCACTATTACCGAAGCTGCACTCTTTGGCGGCACCAAAAACCTGTTTTCTCTTCTTGTCACGCGGCTCAAGATTGCATACACACCCTCAAGTTCAGTGGGGTAGTCTGGCGTTTAATCATTTGCTTTCATTCCTGCTTTGATTTACACAACATATCTGCAACAAGCACAAAACTGCGAGGCGTTTGGGTGTGTGCCTTTTCATCATAATCGGAGGGTTTCAAGAGATGGACCATTTGCAAGTGTCACGTTTAGACAAATCTTTTCCTTTTGCTAGCCTGCAACAAATTGCGCAAAGGGGCTTTTCGCAGTTCTTTTTGGTCGAGGAAACGAGACGAGGTCGCGATCTTGATGAGTGGCAGTCTTTAGGAAGGAGATTCAGGTACGAGTCGCACAAGCATTGGTCGACTGACTAGATAATAAGAAATTTGACGATATATTGTCATGTATGGCTGTGTTGTATAGGCAAAAGCAGTGGTGTGCTATGTGAAATGTGTCCAAGCCTAATGCATGTTGGTCAAATTGGTGTTGGTGTTGGTGATGGTATTCGTATTGATAGTGAAGACGTTTGACATCAAAGAGGCGACGATAAGGGCAAAATGATAATGATAAAGATGTGATGACAAACCCAGAGAGAGACAAACGCCGCAGCCCTAAAACACGACAAAGCAATCCTCAGTATCTGGTGGTACTGACGCTGACAGCCTCTATACGTCAGGCTCAAAACCAAGGCTTGGCTCGAGCTCATCAAGCCTAAGATCAAATGCATACACGTCTGCAAGTCTCTCCAGATTACGCCAAACGCCCGACATGTACCTCTTCTCATTCTTGATGGTTAAATTATTACCAGAGCTGCCCTACAGCACGACTTTGATTGCATCTCGCGGATGACTTTCGTTTGGGCAGTATGGACACTTGAAGCGCGATCCTTTGCTGAGCTTCTCAAGTGATTCCTGTGCAATGACATGGCCACAAGGCATCATCATGGGCGGGTTTGCATCAGTGCTCTGCTCTTTGGATACTGGGCACACAAAGATGCTGTGGAAGTGGTATTGGCTCGGTAGTGGTATCTCAACGGGTAGTTCGTCTTGGGTCGTCCATTCGGTGCGCTTCTCCTTCATGATGGACTGCATCTTGAGGAGGTAAGGGAGTGCTATTGCGCCAGCCGTCGCGGCAATAAAGAGGGGTGAGTCGGCGCTCAGACCGAGCAAGGAGCAGAACTCGCGGTTGAATGAGTGTGCTACTTCTTCCCAGGCACTGTCGTTGTAGAAGAGGCGGCGGTATGGCGAGTCTTCAACGTTCTGCCAGAAGGCCATTGCACCTAGCAGTTGTTGAATTTCTCTCTGGTACCGTCTCTGGAAGGGAGCAAACTCGCGACGTGCGTATGCCCAGGCATGCAGGGGACCGCTGGGACTATCGTAGTCGTCCATTGCTTCGTCTTGGCTGCCACGCGAGTCGAACAGACAGACAAACTGCAAGCGACACAGCTCAAATTCAAGGTTGCTGCCACGCGCTTCTAGGACATGGCTCCGCTCTCGCGCCCACTGTATTGCCGGCTGCAGATTCCGCTCATTGCGCAGTTGGTGCAGTATGTGGTACATGTCGGCGAACTGTTGTTGCAGCTTCTCCGAGTTGAAGGTTCCCTCTGCGAGATCCTTCTCCCATGCTTCTCGAATGTAGGGGTTCGGTGTGTTGAGAGTGGGCTCGGGATGTGGCGGCTGGCGGCTGGCTTCTTGTACAAAGGTGGATGCTACGTCGAACTGGCCTTCGCGGAGGAGGTGCATAGCAATAGCGCGGTTGATGAGCGAGGGGTGCGATGATAGCGCATCGTTGTCGGCGGAGGGTAAGGGCTTGTCCTTGAATTTCTGGTACATTGTTAGGGCTCTATCTTGAGGGTTGCGCGAACAGGGAAGCGCACCTTGTCGAGTGCCTTGCCGTACTTGTTGAGACCGGCGTAGACTGGCTTGAGGTCCTTCTGCACCGTGTCCAAAGACTTCTTGAAGGGATCTTGGAGTTTGGCGAGGGTCAAGGGCGCCGTCTTGGGATCTGGTCGCGCACTGGTTAGCAAGCTGTATGGCCATGTCTAGAGGAGAATTCCTACCTGCTGCGATCTTGGCGCGAGCCGCAGTGAGCATGTCAATCGCCCTCTGCACATGGTCGATGCTGGTGGAGAGGTTTGCGCTGCTCTCCAGCAGCTCCACTTGCTCGCGGAGGTCGTCCATGGTGGTGGTGATGGTGAATAGTATGCCCGTGAGCGATGGTTACGATGGCACGTGAAGCTTAGGGCTGGCAGAGCAAGGTTCAGCTGGCAGTGAATAGCTGTTGTCTGGCCAGCAGAGCGCTTTCCCACTGTCCATGGCCGTCGTGGATTTGTCCAGCTCGCCATGGCTGTTGCCGCGGGCATGACGTGTGGGGAAACAGCGCCGCCGACCGATGCTCCGCGCCCATGACAAGCTCCGACCTGTGCACAACAACTCTGGTCGGTGCTGACGCCTTTGAGCTTTTCAGATGCAGCAACACGCAGCTGGCGACTGCTCGAAACATGCATAGAGTGCCGCTCGATTCGCCATCTGCCATCTTGTCGCCTTCTGCCCGTTGGCTCGCGCTCGGGCACCGGCGAGACTCTGCGCCTACCTCTCTACCATGAAGAGCTTGCCTTCACTCTCCCTATGCTAGCATGGCGCATCAACTACCAATGTCGCCGTCGCGGACACACTCGGAGAAGGAGCTACGCCACCAGATGCCGCCCCTGCAGACGACGTCAACCCATCGCAAGACCACGGCGCAATCTCGTCCACAGCCAGCTTCCAAAGCTCCCACCTCCGATATCATACCAGACGAGGCGAGAATAAAGTCCCCCACGTCGCCCGCCGGCCATCAGCGCTTCGTCCTGACCGACGTGGTAGCTGCGCGATACATCGAGGAGGACCCGACCACCTCATGCCACGTCCTCGCCCGTCGCCACGAGATTCAAGGCTACGAGATATACCTAGTCGAGCAGTGGGCATGCTCCCGCACCCACCCCACCTTCCTCATTACAACCTATACCGGGAACCCGGAAGATACTGTGCTGGCCACAATCATAAGCGTACCCAAGAATGAGGAGGAATGGTCACCGCAGATGCGTCTGTATTTCCGCTCCCTGACCGAGTACCATGCGCGGAGAAAGGACACGCCCTATGGCGCTCTGATGGTGACAAACCTCAGTGGCTTTCCCTCTTCCCTCACCGTGATTCCAATCCCTGGCGGCGACTTGAAAAAGTACCGCGAGCCCTTCTTTGTCAACGAAAACCTTAAGAGATTGGGCTGCTCAGGTCGCCTGGGCATAAAGCTCACGCCACCAAGCAGTGCCACGCAGGCCAAGTTCCAGCAACTGTACCGAACGAGCGAGAAAATCCCCTTCAACGCATCTGTAATTGAGCTTGTGAAGCTCTGTCAAGTTGCACTTGTCTTGTTTGGGAAACTAGAGCCCGAATATGCAGATGGCCTGCTGTGCGATGTGACAGAGAAAGCTATCAATGATTGGTGGATAGACTTCGGATCGGAATACTACACAGTAGAGCCTCATGATGGCATTCTCGGTCCTACCACAGTCGCTGCATTGCTAGGCATGCTAATGGGTGCACGAAATAGATTGAGTGCATGCAGCGCCGCCGTCGCAAAGGATGTCTTTGACATAGAAGCCACCAAGCGCGGCATCGCACATTTTCAGAAGTCGCAACACCTACCCAGAACCCGACGTCTCGATCGACACACGCTTGACAAATTGCGAAGAGCTTCTGCAAAGGCAGCCAGTAAAGAGGGCTGGGCCGTTCCTCGAGCTTTCAAATCTACAGTGGCTGAGCTAGGAGGCAAGGGAGGTGAGATGGTCATGGGCATTGTTGGGGCTGGACAAAAGGACGGCATTGCTGAAGTAGAGACGGTTGACATCGACCAATTTGTGGAGCTTGTGAGAGGTGAACATGCAAAGTGGTTATGGCATGGAAAGCCTAGGAAGACAGTATCGGGAGACAGCATGTTCGATCGACTTCCTGGTGGAGAAGGACGCTCAACATCGCCAGAAAAACACGATCCCACAACGAAACTGGTCCACAGGGAGACAACGCTCGATCATCAACATATTGCGAAGCGCGACACAGGGTCTTTGGAGATGAAGAAAGTAGACACATCTACCCCGGATGGCCAGGAAAAAGAGAGCTTCAAGGATCCATCTTCAAAGCGCGCCGTCATCAAAGCAAAGCTGGAATCGGGTAGTGGCTTCCATCACATAAAGAATGCTGTCAGTCTGCGTACTCATGCGAGCAAAGTATCGCGAGAAGAACATGGACGACATGGGTTACATCGAACCAAGAGCGGAACAGCACAACACACAGACTCACGAACCTCGATGGATTATTATGAAAGCCAGTCCGACGAACCCTATTCCCTTACGTCACCCCAGAGCACTGCCGGCGAAGAGCCAGCCTTTACCAAACAGCTCACCGAAACTCCGGGTGATTCTGTCGTCTCTTTGAGCGACAACAAGCTAGTCGGTGGCCGCCACGCATCAAATTTGCGGAGTTCTATTGTCGAAAGCGAAGTCTCAGATCAGCCCGATGAACTACCGACCGTAGCAAGCTCTCTTGCAGGGTCTGTATATCACGGAGTTGATCTCAACGAAAACCTCCCCGTTGATCAAGCAAACGAAATCCCGCCTCTCCTACGCCGTACCCAGTCCGGCGACCAATTTGGTTTCCGCCAGCCATCCCGCAACGACGACTGGTGGCCCCGTCACCTATCCTTCAGCACCGCCGAAGAAAGCGTCCTCCGTTGGACGACCATCAACGCCCAAGACAGCGACAAAGAAGCTGTAACTGAGGATGGCAAGGCTGCCACCATGAACACTATCACCACCCACAATGCAATCCAAAATCTTTACTCGACACAGCTCAAACGCCTACACAGCCAGCTTCACAGTCTCTCTACCAAAGACCAAGCTTGGGTTCAAAATGCAGTCTCGTCTATCCTTGCCCTCTCAGACTCCGCAGACACAGATATTCAAACCCTTGAATCCATCTACTATCCTCGTCTCGATACATACCACAGTCTTCGTGAAGACACACACGCTACTGTGACGAATAATCGCGGGCAGCTTACGGCGAGTCTCAGAGAATTGGGTAATGTTGGCGATAAGCTAGAATACGAGATTAGTGCGCTAAGAGGCAAGGTCGAGGACATTGAGGATGTAGTGGGTGAGTTTGAGAGACAAGTTGAGTTTGTTGAAGGGAGGGTCGACGATCTGGATAGAGTTTTGGGCGAAAGGGAGGGCTGGTGGCGTTGGGGTGTCAGGGTGCTGACGGGTGTTGGCACAGCACCTGGGTAAGTTGGGTCAAAGTACAGAGAACGGAATTTTGTCTTCTTTTCTGGGTGTTTGGGAGAGACGGCGTAGGGAATATACCCGTGTAATTGTTACCATCATTTAATTTGTAAATCCACATCAACTGTCATCATATAGATTTAGAGCCCCGAAAGCATACATGTCAATAGGAACAAGAAGAGAACAAACACGTTCATTGTGCTCACCAGGGTATCACTGAAACCTTTGCAGAAAGCCACCTTCACCCACTCCTCACGCAATCTACCTCCCGGCACCGGCGCTACTACCTCCTCCATTTGCGTCCCTCCCGTTGGCCACCCTTTGCCTATGTTCTTCTTCGAGTATACTCTGTTTTCGAACATACTCCATGACGATATCCTCCTCCGTCTTCTGCTTCTCCAGCTTCTGCATACGCTCGTTTTCCGCTTTCTCGCTCTCTTCCATCACTCTTTTGAGCTCCGCGTCATCATCCTCATGGTCAATATCTCGCATCTCTATCCTATGACTCCTATCTTCATAGTCGTCATCATCCGCAGCACCAATAGCCTGGCTCATGGCCTCCATAACCCCACGCTCCTGCTGTGCGCCTTGAGCTGAATTGGCGTACTCGCCCGGGTGGTTCGCGCGGACATGAGCGAGTTGCTTAGACTCGGCGATGATACGTTTGTAATCTTCATCGTCTTCCGTATCGGCATCAGAGTCCCATTCATTATCGCTGTCGACCTGTCTTTTCTTGCTCGTCTCGAGTAAGCTCCTCCTCAATGTTTCTTCGAGCGCCTTTTGTTCCTCTTCAGTCACGTTGAGTTTGCCAGCTTCTTCCATGCTGGCAGTCATGGCGCGGTGTAGTGCCTCCTCTTCATCCTGCTGCGACGGGTTGCTACCGGCTGGAGCACGTTCGAGTTCAGCGATTGATGCACGAATGGCAGAGGCGATTAGTCGGTCTTCCTCAGGGTCTCCTCGAGAGGACTCTGCAACTGATGCGGCAATAGCTCGCTCTAGTTCACGCTGATCTTCTTCTTCTTCCACCCTGAGCTGTGCCTCAAGATCAGCCTGCGATTGCTGGGATGGTGCGACCGATGGGGAACCCGAAGTGGTAGTGTCCTGTCGCCTCAAAGCACGTGTTCGTTCGGCTTCTTGTTGACGCCAACTAGGAACTGTTGACCGAATCTCTGGCTCGACACCACGCCTTCTTGGTGGATCAGGGTATGGACCTGCTATGCTGCCTTGCAGAATAGAGTTTGCGTGTGCCGATTGCTGAACTCCAGGACCACCAGTCTGCGAACTGAGCCTGGCAGAGCGCTCATTCTTCTTGTCTCTTTTCTGCTGGACCAGTGAATGAAGCGAGTCCATTTGCTCAGCTCCGACGTTCCGCTTCTTCTTGATGCCCCACTTCATGTGGCCCCAAGTCTTGACGATCTCGTCACGTTCTTCTTGCGTCACCTCGGATGCTTCATCGTATCCCTGTGCAATGCGCGCTGCGATGATGTAGTTCTGTACACTCTTTCCCTTGCTCTTGACCATTTCCTGGTAAAGTCCCTTCATAGCATAGCCGGGCACAGACCAAGCACCACCCATGACCCGGAATGGAACGCTCATAATACCGCGTCCAACTCCCTTGACAAAACCAATGCCACCTTCCTTTTTGGCGCCTTTATAAGGATCCGTAACGATGCCGGTTATACCATCATATAGACCGTAGCCGAATTCCTGTAACGTTCTTAGTACACATGGCACGCGACATTCCACTTAACGTACCTTGGCAGCTGTCCGCATGCCGCTCTGAAAGTCAGTAACTTTGTCGACCTGTCGTACTTCAGCTCCGTAGAGCTTCGGTACGTTGTGAAATCCCTTGGCAACGTTGAGAGAGAAGTCCATTGGAGACTTGAAGCCAGCACCAATGATCCTAGCTAAACCCTTTCCAGTGTCTACCGCAGAATCAACGTTCTCTGCCATGGACGGTTTGGGCGCTGTGTTAGAGGGAGCCGTCGAAGTAGCCGCAGATCTAGAACGACTTCTAGATCGTGATCTCGAGCCTTGTGTAGATTCAGCAAGTGCTTGGGACATGAATGTAGATCTGTGTGAAGGCGTACCAGGAGAGCCGGGGCTAGTGACTGCTGGATTGTCGGCCTGCATCCGGGCTATGTCAGCAGCAGCATCGGCAGCCGTTGGCGTCGAGGCACCACTTCTGCCTGAGCGCTCGGAGGCACCAGTTCCACTTCGTGTTGTCACCGGACGCCCGCTGCTACTTCCTTCAGCTATCGAAGATGTTCCAGTGCCCGTTCTCTTCTCTTTTCCTTTTTTAGATCTAGCATCAGGGTGAATGTTGAGCAACTTGAGGGTCTGAATAGGCATGTCAGCAACACCCATCATGACCGAAGTTGCGGTGCCCATCAGAGCACCAGCTGCACCAGAGACTGGATCCCAGGGGCCTTCATCCGGAACATACTCGCGAGGGCGGTAACTATACTTGTAAGTAGATGGAACAGTAAACTTGTGTGATTGCTTACAGTTTCATTTCGGAAAAATTCACTTCGCCTTGTTGAGCCAGCACTGTAGCCGCTTTGGCGCTCAATTTAACATCAGTACGTTTGAGCCTCCAGACCGCAGGTTTGTTCGGCATGATAGCGCATCGCAATTCGTCGTAGTTCAGCATCTGATGGAAGGACTGGGCACCCTTCTGCGTCCCGTTCTCTTGCTTGATCTTGTCGCAAAGTTCTTGGGCCCGGTCAAGTGATTCCGGCTTAAGCGCTTCACTAATAGCTCCAGCGAGCTTCTCTGCAGTGAGATCTTTGTAGGGGATGGGATCAGGCCCAGCGCCTGCCCTTGATACCATGGCCCCCCAGAAAGCTTGGTCTCCAAAGAATGGCACAACAACGGTAGGCTTTCCGGTTGCGATACCGGCTGCTGTAGTCCCGGCACCACCATGATGTACGACAGCAGAAACGCGCTTGAATAGCCAGTCGTGTGGGCAGTTCCCAAGCATGAAGACACCATCAGGCTTTCCAAGGTCATCCGCTCCTAACCCACCCCAGCCTTTAGATACCAATGCTCGCTTTCCAGTGATCTTCACAGCATCGAAGATCATCTTAGTCATGGCGTTTGGATCGTCCACGACGATTGAACCAAATCCGATGTAAACGGGTGGCTCGCCTCCATCGAGAAAAGCTGCAAGGTCTGGATCTGGTGTGTAGTTTGAAGCGAGGTTGAGGAAGTAGAAGCCTGCAACAGAGATGTGGTGGTTCCAATCCTTGGGTTTTGGAATGAGTGCTGGAGACCTGAGCAGTATGAGCTAAATCATCCACGACCGTCTAGATGAACTTACCAGCAATATGTGAAAGGGACCTTCAGTCGCGCGAGCATAGCAGGTGCCCAAACTGCGCTGATGGGGTCCAGGCGAAGACTGTCCTTGCGGAACCTATTGATGACATCTCCTAGGCCTTGCCATGTCAGCACATCGACCATGATATAGGACATGTAGTTTGTAATCGTTGGGTCTGCGTTTGTAGATTGGATGTTGGCAAGCGGATGCGGGAATTGCTGCGTAGGCGACCATGGCATACTGTCCGAATTAGTATATAGATGCCGCTGAGGGGGAATGGACGCACGTGAACATCATATGTATAGGTATGCCCAGCTTCTCGGCGCAATGTATGTGTCCGAAGCTGGGAGGGTTTGCGATGATTGCATCGGCGACGAATGGCTTCCGCAGTTGTTCTGGCAGTTGTTCCTCGATGCCCATCCACTCTTCGACCGTTTGCTGGAGAGGATCTACGCCTAGACCGTTTCCTGTCTCTATGCAGGACCTCCATGTGCCGCTCAGAATCTCTGCAATACCCCTTCTCCTCTTGCCAATATCACCACTGCGCAATGTGTCGAAGCCGGGCATCAAGCCCGGGTTCTTCACCATGAACGCCATAAGTTCAGCTGGATCACCGCCGATGCTGAAAAACTCCAATCCATTTTCAATGACGAAATCCTTGAAGGTCGGGTGTGTCGCCAAACGCACCCTGTGGCCGTATGTTTCCTTGAGCACCTTGCCTAGTGCGACAAATGGCTGCACATCACCACGAGAGCCCACGACTTGTATGACGACGTTTAACGGGGGTGGAGGCTGCTGGCCGGGTGCACCACCGAGGAACTCTGGGACGTAAGGTGGAGGCGGCTCGGGGTCTTCTTGTGCATGGGTGAGCTGACGCTGGATCTGTGGGAGGATGAGCTGCGAAAGGGCACGGCTCTTTTGGTCTATTCGGATGTTGACACGACCATCATCGGCCACGACTGCATTTGTGCCCAGCTCTTCATTATCGACCTGTCCTGGCAACTCCGTGTACGCGGGTGGTGGGTTCTCGAGACTCGGTGCGTCGTGGGCGGGAACACGGTTGATGTTTGAACTATCTTGAGAACTCGAGGGTGCGCTATCATATAGTCAGCCCAACGTCGCCATGGAACGTCTATCTGAGCAGGTGGACTGACTTGGTGTGCGTTTGCGCATGTTGCTGTGTTAGTGGGGCATCGTCGCGGGTCGCGTCATTGCCCTGCCCAGGACTATTCGAGCTCGCCATGGTGGTTGCAAGAAGAATGATCAGAAAGAGCGCATTGTACAAGTAGAACTACTAGAAACAACGTCGGTAAAGGTCTCCAGAACTAAGAAAGGGTTGTAGCACTTGCAAGCCTGTATTACACGCATGGGGATGCACATGCGCTATGACATCGCGGAGTTTATTGGCCTGTGATTGGCCGCGGATACCCCCATAAGCCACTGCTTGGAGCTTCGTCATCGCTCAGCCCCATAGGCCTTGCTACCTAGGCATGCCATTTGCATCTCGCAACATTTTTCCGTCATGATTCCATGCTGTGTTCCCTGGTCTTGATACGTGTCTGGCCGTGCGTTTTACTCCAGCGTCCTTTCACTTGTTCGGCCGGTAAGAATTAGCGGGCTGGAATTCACAGAGCATACGTCCGTGATCAAGGACGACAAGATGATTAGATTATCATATGTAACCATGTCATAGCACTGTTTCGGAATATGACAATCCCAAGACCACCTCAAGTCTGCCTTGCTGGCCGGCCGCGTACATCGCAACCTCATTAGTGCGACCTTACGCGTATTCGCGCGTATCTAGGCGCGTAATTCGTGTTGCCATGAGAGCCCACATAGGGTACTCTGGTCCACATAGCAACTCAGAGAGCCCATGTGCACTGCGCTCAACCACGTCCACAAAGAGCCTCTGGGTGGTAGAGTAGCACCTGTAACCAACAAGGATCTCTCCGTCTGATACACGAAGCCATGGGTACTACCGGCCGACTTCTACCTTTTCATACAAAGATTTAAGCCATCATTCGGGAATTTGGGAGCGTCATTGTACTTACCACATAGATGGCCACACGGAAACGCCTTCCTGCAATGGTTTGGCCTTCGCCTCAGAAGCGGCTGCCTCCTGTCCATCTCCGCCCTTTTCTCTTCGCTTGTGAGATATAGAATCATCACTGCGATTGGTGTCTTGGTTAAATGCTGCTGATGTCTCAAGGGTATGCTTGGCGAGCCAGATCAATTGCTCCGTACGCGTCGTCGCCCTATCGTTGGCGAGACGTGTACATATCTTGTTGACAATGCGGCCGGTAGTTGTCGTACCCTGTGCAGCCTGTAGCTCATTAATGGCGCGATTAACGCACATGGTGCGGTCGGACGCTGAGCTGGAATTTTGTCTGAGGTGGCGCTTGGAGGAAAGTGATCTAGGTCTGGCAATACTGCGCACGGTCTGAAGAGGGAGTTTGAACATGGTAGCTTGTCTCTGTGAGGTTTGGAAAGCTTTTCGACAATGCTATCTTGTAGGGAGTTGAGACGCGTTTTAGGTGCGTGATGACTGCCGATGAGATACGAGCGAGTGAAGAATTAGAAAAGGGTGAGTAGGTCGAGATCAAGAGACAGCGACAAAGCCGCGGAGAAGGAAGTGAAGGTCATTTCTGTTTGAGAAGGAGCTCATGGCTATGGATGCGCAAACAACCTTCACTCGAGCGTAACGGCAGGAAGTCGCAACCGTGAAGGCTCCCGTCTGGTACTGCTTTCACACGCTTTATACCCCATCAAACATGATGTCCATGGATGGCAGAGTATGAGCTGACCTAGCTCGATGCCAGGTGGTGTCATGTGCTATATACATCAGGGAATAATTCAGAAGTTAGAGGCACAGCCTGCTGTGATGCGATTGTGCACGGGTGGGGAAGTGGGGTAGTCGTGATACGCTTTCCCGTGTTAGCTCTAGCCTGATCGCCCTGCAGCAATCTCCCCACGTGAGCCTGGCGCGTCATCATGGTGCATCACGCGTCAGTGAACTGGAGTTTGTCAATGTTGTCTTTGCACATGTACTCGAGGTTTGAGATCCCATCCACAGATCTCGGTGTGTTTTGATCCGGCCTTCCCATACAACGCGAACTGGAATCTAGACTTTCGGCTGTAGTGTTCAGCTCGCATCCACCCAGCCACAACTCTAACACTTATAAACATCAGCTGCTCCTGCACCTTCGGACCCACACGTCTCCAGCATTCTGCTCAACGCGCAAACTCACTGACTGTCCTTATGATGCTGCGTGGAAGTGCATTGGTAGGAGCTGTATTCATAGCGACAACTGCAGCATGGAACGTAGACGGTACGACATTTACCCTCTTCGCATGGAAAATACTAAGTCGATGTAGTTCATAACCAGATCGCCTTCATGGCAGAGACCTTCTTCACACCCGAAACGACGTCCGTCCTGGCAAAGATCCTCGAACCCAAGTACAACGGCTCAGTCGGGCGCTCCGCAGCATGGGCAGACGCGTATGCGCACACGAGCGAAGGTTATTTCTCCTATCAGTGGCACTGGATCGACACGCACGACCGCCAGCCTGAATCTTGCAGTCTAGACTATACACGGGATTGCGCCGAGGGCGGGTGTGTTGTCAGTGCTATTGCAAATCAGACCAAGATACTACAGGAATGTGTACAACAGGTGTATGCTGATGATTTGATCCGAAGCCAAAACCTGACATGCTCTTATGCACTCAAGTGGGTAGCTCATTTCTTGGGCGACGTCCACCAGCCCTTGCATACGAGTGGTCGCGCTGTAGGAGGCAATATGTTCAGGGTGGTGTTCGGCGGAGTATCGACGCAGCTCCATGCCGTAAGTGTCTTTTCTTGATGACGAGATGAGACGCTAACAAGCAAGGTCTGGGACGGCTATCTACCATATTTCGCGGCCAATGTCCAGCAGCCTTTCTCAAACCAGTCGATCGACCCATTCTTCTCAGGACTCGTTACTCGTATTCGTAAAGACCAGTTCTACTCGGCGCCGTACATGTGGCTGGCTTGCACCAACCCGTCAACACCCGAGGAGTGCGCTACGAGTTGGGCAAAAGAGAGCAACAGGTGGGATTGCGATTATGTGTATAGTCGCGTGGTGAACGGCACCGATCTTGGTACCAGCGGATATGCAACAGGCGCTGTACCCATCGTAGAGCTGCAGATCAGCAAAGCCGCGCTCAGACTGGGTACCTGGCTGAACAAGCTTGTAGAAGAGGCCAAGAGTGCTGTGGAAGAATCCGAAGTGATGGAGCTTTAACATGACGACTGAACAACTCGGATTGGCATCTCGGGAATATTATTACACCCGTATCATACTCACGTTGCGTCATCTTGATTCTCTCCACATGACAGCTCAGCCACTACTGACCGAGAATGCGAACCAGTGGCGCTGATGGATTGCCTTCAGCCCTACGAACATGCCGGGACCCCACATCGGCATGAGTTCCATGTCCTACCCCACATCCGTTATATACGCTTCCATCCGGCTGTGATAGCAACAAGGAACTGATTTGCTTTTTGCGCTTTTTGCACTGTGAATACATTCAATAAACCAAACTTCAAGCTCTATGCGATATGGCTTTTGACGAGTTCAACGACAAAGTCACACCTGCAGTATGTACATGCATCGGCCCCACATTCGCCTTTGTGATTGCTCTCTAGCATTTTAAGAACATCAGATTGCCCATAAAAATACACCTTTTTACTGCGCGAAGAACCGGATTATCAGGACTTTACTGACGACTGTCTCAGAACCCTAGCCGGGAAACTTCACCAAACCGCGGTTCTTCCGTCCACCAATCAGTTGCCATACCCAAGCCTTGCAAACCACTCCGACAATGGCAGCAAGAACAAAATATCGACGGCGAAGCGCAGATAAAACTCACCAAACTTGTGCATATGCGTTACCAACATCCCAATCTCGATGAAATAACCACTTTCCTGCGTGACTTTGGTATGAGTGTAGCCCACAAAACACAAGGCAAGAAATGGTTCAAAGGATACGGCGAAGACCAATACGTATACTACGTTGAACAGGGAGAGAAGAGGTTCTTAGGCGGGTGTTTTGAAGTGGAAAGCTACGCAGAGCTAGAAAAGGCTTCCAGAGTCTCAGGGGCAGGATCCATTGAGGAATTGATCGATGCGCCAGGAGGTGGCCATATGATCACATTACATGACCCAGAAGGCTTTCCCATCAACCTCATCCACGGCCAAAATAAAAAACAACCCGGTCCCTTTCCGGAAGTTCTGACAACGAATTACGAAAATGAGAAGCCACGAGTCGCACGGTTCCAGCGCTTCAAACCGGGGCCGGCCGCAGTGCACAAACTAGGCCACTATGGTCTTTGTGTACAAAACTTCCAAGCGGAAATGCAATGGTATACACGCACTTTCAACATTGTACCTACAGATTTCCTATATATCAATACCCCCGAAGGCCAACAGAAAGACGTAGCAATTTTCGCCCACATCGACATCGGTCCTTCCTACACAGACCATCACACAATCTTTCTCAGCACAAATCCTAAATCTCACGTGCATCACTGCAGCTTCGAAGTCCACGACTTTGATACGCAGAATCTGGGGCACGAGTGGTTGGCGCAAAAAGGGTACACGAGCGTGTGGGGTGTGGGACGACATATACTGGGTAGTCAATTGTTTGACTATTGGTGGGATACGACGGGGAATATGATTGAGCATTACGCTGATGGTGATTTGGTGAACGAAGAGACGCCAGTAGGATGGGGTGAAGCGGGAGACGAATCGCTAGCCGTGTGGGGGCCTGAGGTCCCGAAGTGGTTCTTGGATTAATGGAAGATGAAGAATAGTAAATGTGGAAGTATTTTGCTTATTCTGATGCTCCGTATTCCCAGAAAACCTGAGGTTCACGTCTTTCCCTTCCCACGATCCTACCACTCCCTCGCCTTTCCCCATCCCCGATCCGTGACCCCATCGTTCCCAAAATACCGACCACTAACTCGCTCTGTCTCCTCCCCCAACCCACCATCTGAATCCCCTTTATGACCCAACTGTCCTATACCTAACCGTACCGGTATCCTTGCACCCTCCTCCAAAGTTTTAGGTGGCCTTCCAATCTGATTGCCCATATTACTATCCACCCATCCTGGGCAGCAGCAATTAATGGCCACACCCTCGTTTTCCTTGGCGAGAACCACCGTAAGAGCATTCATAAGCGCTTTGCTGACTTGGTAAGATTTTGGTGGTGCGCCGAAGCCAGCAGATTCCTGATTCTGGAATTGAACAGATTTGATGTATTCTTGTGCAAGTGTATCGATATCTGGGATGGAAGTTACGGAATGAAAGCGAGACTGTGTTGCTGGCGGGTAGTTTGACAGGACAGAGGCCGTGCTGGACACGTTCACGATGCGCGCACCTGGTGTGCTCTTCATCTTGCCTTGTTCGAGGAATAGCTGGCACACTTGCTTGGTACCATGGTAGTTGACGTTGACTGTTTGCTCTGCAGATTCTGATGTCTCGTTGCTGTTGTTGTTTATCCCGGCATTGTTAATCAAGACATCGATTTTGCCGTTGTTGTGAAGCGCTAATTTGAGAAAGGACGTTATGGATGATTTGTCTGAGACGTCCAATTTTGCATATTTGATTTCGTTTGGAGGTTGAACTTGGGCTTTCAGATCTACGCCACCACGAGAAGTGGCGTAGATGTGTAGGGGCTGTGGGTGCTGTGTGCTGGCGAGGAGATGGACGATGCCTTGTCCGATCCCACGATTTGAGCCGGTGACCACTATCGTTAAAGGCGACGACATGGCTTTCGAGATCAAGTATGAATTTATTGGAAAGTAGTGACACTTTCACACTGTCATAACTACTTCCAGGACTTTAAGTACATGTGTAGTTACGGGAGTCGTGATGTCACCTAGGTGGTCGAATCCATGACGTATCAATCATCGCGTGACCGCGTAAAGAACACAATGGTCTCGTTGACCTACTCGACATATTACTCCCACAAGAATTCTTTCCACTGGGATCCGTCTACTTTCCATATCGTTGTTCAACGAATCGCAAGGCCACATTGGTTTTAAATACTCTTGGAAGGTAGCGCATTCAGTCATCATATCTCAAATTCGTTAAGACACCCGTTTTGAGAGGACTTCCGTGACACAAGCGGTATTTCCCATGGCACCAGCGTATATCTGACGATAGAATTTCACCTTGTATACGGGTTCTTCGGCTACAAAGTTGTTGTGTAGCATGCGTCAAAACAGCCTACTCCAACTCGGCTACATGCCTAGGTAGCAAGCTCCGACCCGGCTTGTTCTAAATCGGCTAGCTCCAACTCAACTTACCCCAAAACTCCAACCTACCTAATCAATCCAACTAGCTCCTGCTCGGCTCTTCTCTCGTTTGCCATTCTAATCGACGCATGCCCTTTTGCAATATTGTGCATCTGGCTGTTGGCACAATCAAAAACGTCTGAGCCAACATTTAACAATTCAGAACGTAGGCCAGGTTTGATTAACAAGCAACAAAAAGATTTTTTTTCTTCACAATGGCTTAGTAAGTTGGAATTCTGCTACCAAAATATTCGTCATGACGGTGTCCACAACATCTGCTATGACTGAAAACTTTTCTTATGATCCATTTTCCTATTCTTCATCGAATTTACTACTCTCTTCCCTTGTCGACATCCTGTCCACGATTTCTTTCAGGCACTCCATTTCTCAAGCTCCGAGTCTATCATGGTTCACTCAAAACTATTTGCGCCTATCCGGATAGGACGCGTCGACCTACAACACAGGGTCGCCATGGCGCCATTGACGCGTCTACGCGCGGACAAAGATCACATCCAGCTCCCTATGGCTGTGGAGTATTATACCCAGCGAGCCGCTGTACCTGGGACCCTTATCATCGCTGAAGCGACCCAAATCTCTCCGGCGCATGGTGGAGTACCACACGGCCCTGCACTTTGGAATGAAGCTCACATCACAGGATGGAGAGACATCACCAACGCAGTTCATGAGCGTGGCTGTAGTATTGTATGCCAATTGGTTGCTCCAGGCCGAGCAGCGGACGCCGAGCAGCTCAGAGCAGGCGGGTATGAGTTGTTGAGCTCAAGTGCCATACCGATGCCTGGGGAGGGGTTCGCACCTAAAGGTGGTTCAACTACAGTACCGCGCGCAATGACTGAAGATGAAATTTGGGGTTGTGTTGCGGACTTTGCGCAAGCAGCAAAGAACGCTATCGCTGCTGGATTTGATGGCATAGAGATACACGGCGCGAACGGATATCTAGTCGATCAGTTTTTGCAAGACACATGCAACCAGCGGCACGATACTTGGGGCGGAAGCGTAGAGAATCGCAGTAAATTCGGCATCGAGGTTGCAAAGGCTGTCGCAGCCGCTATTGGATCAGATCGCGTGGGATTCCGCTTGAGTCCATGGAGTTCTTTCCAAGGCATGCTCATGTCCGACCCTATTCCGACATTTTCCCACCTTGCCGCGCAACTCAAGGAACTACAAATCGGCTATCTACATATAATCGAGTCCCGGGTGGACAATAACGTCGATTGCGAGTCCACTCAGAGCATCGACTTCCTGCTTAATGTCTGGGATAATGTAACACCTGTTTTGATAGCTGGTGGCTATGCTCCAGATAACGTGTTTGAAGCCGCTGATGAGAAGTATGGTGCATCAGACGTCGTCTTCGTCTTCGGACGGCACTTTGTGTCCAATCCAGACTTACCATATAGACTAAGGAATGGTCTGGAATTGAACAAATATGATCGAAGTACATTCTACACACCAGAGAGCCTTCAAGGATATATTGACTATCCCTTCAGCAAGGGATTTCAACCTGGTGTAAGACTGTAAGATCTAGAGATGCTTAGTTTTCAGACTGCATGATAATAAACTGTACAATTAAGGGATCGGCTCCTTCGTTTCGTGCTATCGAAATCTGCTTGTGTACTCGCGTACTAGAACGATGGCCGTTAAGCGCTCTCCTCTTTTTCGTATCGGTAATCTGACTGAGAAGTAAATTGATGAGAGATTAGACAAAAAGACATGAGAAAGGTACGAGATGAAGCCAGCGGAACCTGTACCCACACAAGGCGGTAAATCACGACGAATACATCAAGGGTCCATGAGGTCAGAATGACATTCGCGAATCAGCGTAGGATATGCTAACTCGTTTAGGCTGCTCATGTAGGTACTGCAGCACAGTCATCTTGGTACTCCAAGCCCACAAAGCAACGCTAAGCGCCACTTCAGACCCCGCGAAGAAGACGTCATATCTAGTACCGTCTTCCATACCCTTCCTCACCGTATCCTCCAGAGCCACCATAGCCGCCAGAGCCATATTCTTGTCTCCTCTGGCCATATTCATCTTCGTCATCACGGCGACGACCGTAGCCTTGAGACTCTTCGCCAAAGCCTCCAGGGACACCAGAGGCGCCATAAGCCTGATCGGATCGTTCACCACCGTATTCCTGACCTTCTGAACGACCATATCCACCGGAGCTGTAAGGGTCAGCACCGTAACGAGATGATTCCTGGCGGCCATACTCTTGGCGGCCGTAACTCGACTCTTCCTGGCGGCGGCCATATCCAGACTCCTCTTGACGGCCGTATCCGCCAGTACTGTATGAGTCAGCACCATACTGCGGCTGCTGACGGCCGTACCCTCCAGTTTCACCGCCGTATTCTTGACGTTCGTAGCTGGATGGTTGTTCATGGCCATAGCTGGGTTCCTCCTGACGACGACGGTAGCTCGACTCCTGGCCGTAGCTCTGCTCCTGGCCATAGCCTCCCGAGTGGCCTCCAGAATGACGCTTGGGTGAGCGGCTGCTGCTCTTCTTGCGACGGTGCTCTTGCTCGCGGGAGCGGGAGCGACGTCTGTATTCACCCGATCCTGAACGGCGTTTGTCAGCATCCGAGTCTTCGTCACCGCTGCCGTGCTTCCGGTATTTATTGCGCTTTTTCTCCTCCTTTTCACGCTTCTTGCGTTCCTTCTTCATTCGTTTCTCATACGAATCTTCGCCGCCCGAATCGTTCGAATCGTCGTCGTCGGAGTGTTTCTTGGACTTACCACGTCGTCTGAACATTTGTTAGCCTATAATCATGATAGCGCAAGTGAGTGACTTACTCTTTCTCCTCAGAGTAGTACTCCCCTGAGCGGTCGAAGCCTTCGCGCGTCTCCTCGGAGCGCCATTCACTGCCGTGCTGTACACGACGCTCCTCCCGACGCTCATAACCACTGGAACCACTGTAGCCGGTAGTCTCAACGCTCTGCTCGTAGCTGTAGGACCCGCCACGCTCATCACGCTCCTGACGGGAGTACTCTTCGCGACGTCCACCGCTTGGGTATTGTGTCTGCTCATACTCAGCGCGACCGTAGCGATCGCTATCACCATACGAAGATGCCTGGTGATGACCAGTTTCGGAGTATGATTGAGTGTAGGAACCATCTTGGCCGTAATGCTCTTCCTTGCGACCCTTCTTTTCGTTCCCTCCAAAAGCGTCACCAAGCAGAGAGCCACCAATGCCGCCAACTAGACCACCGACAAGACCGCCCAGGGCGCCGCCACCTACAGCTTCACCAGCAAGCTTGCCAACATGATCAGTGGCTTGCTGAATCTGTGGGTTAACACCACCCTGTCCGCCGGAAGAACCGAAGTTATTCGCCATACCCAGAGGTTTGCCGCAGCCATGGCCCTTGTCGTGTACGTTCTCCTTGTGGTTGCGAAGGTTTTGTACACCGTCGCGACTGAGTTGGTCACGGAACTCACGCTTGGCTCTGCTGTCCTTGGAATCCCACCATTTTCCGACAGTGTCGAGCATGATTTGATGGCATTGTGTAGCTCCGCGATCCCTTCCTCCGCCATGTCTCTTCTCTGCCATAGCAACGGCAGGATGGTGGAAGACACCCTTGATGATGCGATCAATGGTTTCCTCGGGATCAGCCTCACCGTCCCAGCACTGAACGACTTGGGGAACAGCCCAGCTCAGTACGGCAGACGCTACTCGACCGGCAGGCTCGTTGAGCACGTTGGAAAAGTGGTCCTTGGAGAGCATGCTGTGAGTTGGATCGGTTGAGTAGTCGTCGTTAAAGACAATGTGCTGCTTCTCGCGGGAGCTTGCAATAACCTCGCTGGATCCAGTCTCGAGCTCAGCCTTGACCTGGCTAAGAATAGGCAAGATATAAGGCGCAAGGAGACTGAAAACGAAGACGGTAACTTGGCTTTGAATCTCCTCGATTAGGTCTGGTAGGATCGGAATCTTCTCGATAAACTCAGCGATGGATTGCATGATTTCATCGTGGAACTCCATAATGGGGTAAATTTGCTTGACCAGCTCGCCAATCTGTTCTGTAAAGGCTTCAGGTTCCTTGGGAGTGATCTGGATGTTTCCCATGGCAGCAGCGTTGGCGTTGTCGGCGAGCTCGTCAGCCTTGCCAGATTCGTCTTTGCCGCCAAAGATGCCGTCTGGAAGCTTGGCGAGAAGCTCCTGGATTTTGCTCTTGTTCTCGCTCCTTTCAGCATTGGCAATTGCGCCTTCGAGTTCCTGCAGCTCGGATTGTGTGGCCTTGTCGGTAATCTCTCCGCATACTGAGTGCAAAAAATCGACACCACCGAATGTACCTGTTATTATGGGGTATACCTGCTTTCCGGCGGCGCGGACATCAAACAGGGCGTTTCTGCCCACGTGAGGGAATATGTCCTGATTCTCTTCGTCGATTTCAATCAAAGCAAGCTCGACGTAGTTTGAATGGGCAGAGTAGTCCTCCATACAATGGGTTGCAGTGCCGAGCAGTCTCAAGGCTTCGTAGAAGTCGGGACCACGTCCTCCTGAGCGTCGACCGAGATCAATGCAACGCCTGAGCAGGTCGCGGACCATGCCCGCCGATGTTGTGATGCCCAAGTCTTCTGAAGCGATGTAGTTTTTCAGACCGGTCCGCTCGTCGACACTAAGCTCGCGTCTCTCGTCAACGGGGCCTCGTAGGCGTCGGTCGTAGTCGCGGGCGTCGAGGTTGTCGGCATAGTCCTGGACAGTCAGTCTCTAGTCATGAGTGGGCAGGCCATGTGCTCACCTTGGGGTTGTCAATATGCCTAAAGGCAGGTGTACCAAGTCAGTGTTTGCTTCACGTGCAGTCTGTGCAGGGACATTTCTTACTCTTCTGGACGGTAGCATCCAAGGCGGTCGCGCGTAACCTCAAACTCCTTGGTTCCGTAGCCGAAGCTCATGAAGCCGAGCACCCAGAGGAGGATACGGATGGCCTCTGCAGAGACCATCTTGACGGTGCCGACATCGACAGCCTGCGAGTAGTCGCGAAGCCAGTTGCCAAAGTAGACGCGCTTGACATCCATCTTGCTGAACTTCTTGCCAGTCTGGCCGCTAATGAGCAGGGTGAGTAGCGTGTCCTCGATATCTCCATGGCGCCAGTTCTGTCCCTCAATGGCGCTCAAGCTCGCAATGTTGCCGGCACCGAAAGCTGCCGTAGGCCTGGCCCAAAACACAACGAGAATGAGGCATGGGAGCCAGATGGCGCTGATCTGCGGCATCGTGCGTGTGCTGTCGTGAGCTCTTGTGAATAATCAGGGAAGAGTTTATGGGGGTATAGAGAGAGAGAGAGTGTGTGTGTGTGCAGGCGTCGAGCGACACGGCGGGGTGAGCTGTGTATGTGACTGCTAGCGCACGTTTCAGCCCCACCAAAGGCTGACGTCGAAGGGTCCACATGTCCTACTGATCGCCAGGGAGCAAAGTGTCCGACCCAGCTTTCTCTTGCACCCCTCAAACACGTTTATGCAGATATGACAGAAGAAGAAGAGCGTATGACTTAAGACTATTTTTTTTTTCAAGTGCTTCAACTTGGACGAAACGGGCTCTTTCGTACTGGTGCATATCCTCAGCTGCTACACGAACATGCACACGAACATACACATGAACATACCTACACAGCGAGACGAACCCCATACTGACACCATGTGCTCAGACAGGCTTGACAGATGTGTGCACCTTATATTCTAGACAATGATAAGCTGGCACGAGATTATGAAGGCGCGACAATATCAGCTGGCAGATGGGCGACGACTGCACGCGGCACACTGAGCCGTCGCCGAATAGACTGAGAATGTCGCTGATACACACGCATGCCAAACATCTTAGATCGACCGTGTAGTATGAAATACAGACTTCTCAATGGTGCTGCCACATCTAGCGTACATGAGCGCAAGCCGCATCGGGATCGCTGGGCAGAGCACTCCTGTATCGAGATACGTGAGAGGCACTTTCATTGGAAGATCAAGGCCGATTGGAGTCTGTTTCTGCCACCTCCGGCTCTGAATGGCTGAAAAAGGCAGTGTGGTGACGATGAGAGACTGGTGGCTTGGTGGCCAGATGCCCAGTCATGGTTGTGCCCGGCTGTTTTTTCAGCTGAAAAGGAGCCAGCCATCAGGCGACCCGAGTTTGCCGTAACAAGAGCGCATCGCAGCTGCCAGCAGCTCACAACGTGCAACACCGCACATTCCTATGTACACCAAATCCATCACAGAGTCCATCTTATCTCGGTGCGACACCGAAAATATCGTATCCATTCAATGCGACGCTTTTGCCGAAATAGTCAGGCCAAAGGCAGTCGCGGGCATGGGATGTGGCCGTGAGTACAAGACATGTCATTTTGGTAACGAGTGATTACAAATTAACCTATAAAAAAGGTCGTACAAATCTAAAGCCAACGCCAATGAGGGGATATCATCCTCCATAATGCGATGATCCGCCTCTCTATGTATCCCGAACCATGGTGCCAACTGGCTTCCAATTCCCAATACCGCGGCAGCTTAAACAAACAAAAGAAAATCCATCCAGTCGTGACCTGAACTCAGTAGTTGAAGACCGTCAGCGACGGGTTCAGTACAATGGGCAACAGGCAGTGCATGATAACGGTCACAGCCCAACTAGGTACGGTCAGCGAAATGTCAATGATACTGGAGTAAAAGGCAGTACTTACGGCAAGACAGCGGTCAAACCAGTAATCTCCCATCCATGAGGAGCGAAGTTTCCAAGGTAGATCATGCCACCAATCATGGCAATCATGATCATGTACATCCACTTGAAGCGCTTCCAGATCTTGGGCAACTCTGCGAAGAAGTTGGAGTTGTCCTTCTCCTTGGCTGTGGCACCCCAACTCATGTTGATGGAGAACATGTGCGAGCAAATGGCGAGCAGGATGTGGAATGAGACACCACCGAAGAAGATCATGAAGAAGGGCATCCACTTGAGGTTCTCGAAGAAAGCACCCAACAAACTGGCCTCACCGATACGGTAGCGCATAATGGCAAAGCAGACGTTCGACATTCCGTTGAAGACGATGAGCAAGACGATGAAGATCTTCCAAGATTCGACATAGTACTTGTCGAGGTCGCCGTTCAGCCATCCGACAAGGAAGTAGTTGAGGGCACCAAGGGGGACAGCCGAACCGAGAGCGTAGTAGGAGAAAATGTAACCGCAGATAGAGATCTTGGAAGACAGCTGGATGTTGGAGAAGATGAAGGTGCGGAAAAGCTTGGTGAATGGCGACTTCCACAACCAGGTGTGGATGGGGTTGAAAACCAATTCGTTGCAACCGTACGCGTACTTCTCCCATCGGTCCAACTCATCGAAAATAGATAGCGAGACACCTTCTTTGAAACCACGGCCGTGGTAGCTAGCAAGGCGAACAACGTTACCCTTGATCTGGAGGCGGAGCGCGATATCGAAATCCTCAGAAACGTGGCTTTCCGACCAAAAGCAGACGTAACCATCATCTTCCGGGGGGTTGCCGACGGACTGGACAGCTTGCCAGCGTAAGAAAGCATTGTGACCGACAAAGGGGGCAACTTCACCACTACCGACCGAGAAACGAATAGCAGTGTAGACAAGGTTAGTGAAGTAAGTAATACCGTTCTCAAAGTAATCCCATGAGACTTGCATAACACCAGTTGCATGTTGAACGATAGCAACTTCAGGCGACAAGAACATCTCCGCGGCTCCGTACATAAGGCAATCTTCGGGAACGATGGTATCAGAGTCGACGATAAGAATGATCTCGCCCATACGGATATTACCACCAGCCTTCGCGCGAGGGTCGGCTGCGAGAACCTGGTCGAGAGCTTCCTGGTAGAGCGCAAGCTCCTCCTCTTCAGAGATGGAGGCGTTACCCTTGTCGTAGCGGTTGTCGACTAAGCTTTGGAGAACATCTTCTACACGGTTGGAGGTGTTGAGGGCAAAGTTCATGTTAGAGGCCTTCTTGAACTTTCCACGGCGAACGAATCCTTCATGGTTGTGCTTGGGTCGCGAGACCCATCCGATGTTGTTGTTCTCGTAGAAGCGAAGGAACTTCTCATTGTCCTCCTCAGACCGAACAGCCATACCATCGTCGTTGATGAAGATGCGCGCAGTTCCACCACGAGACTCGTAGTAGGAGATGGCGGCTTGCAAACTGGCGACAGTAGGCTTGACGACACCCTCAAGTGATTCGGTGTAAATTGGCATTTGAATAGTGATGGTGGATGGTGTGAATCCTTGAGCGCGGGCTTGGGTGAGATTAGGCTTGATGGCTGAGTGGAAACGGCTGTTTGATTTGACACCAGTGACAGGTCCGAAAACCTCAAAGATGTTACCCATGACGACAACGACGAAGAAAAGACCCAAAGCGATCCAGAGCGGCTCCGTCAAGATGAGAAGAATACGAGGGTAAAAGTGGTCAGTCATGGTCTGAAGGATGATGGCTTTGTTACCAAGACCGATGACGAGAATGATGATCAAGACCATGGCAAGACCAACGAAGATGGAACTGGTGAAGATGAGGGGGCGTGCAAGCGACTCCTTGGGGCCATCAGCCTTCTCGAGATCGCCATCGACCTCTTCAGCGTTGACCTCAACATCATCCTTCTTGCCGTCGATAGCGAAGTCGACAGTGGATCCTCCAAGGGTAGAGTTGGCGCTGGACTGGATGGCGCTGTCGAAACCACTGAAGGGGTTCTTGGAAGTACCCCAGACCAAGGCCAGGATCCTGGATTCAATCTCCATTGCCTGGGAAAGAATAGCACCAAGGTCGTCGTGCCACACGAGGAGGAGCCTCTCCTGACGAATGAGAGCTGCATATTGGAATTTGCGGATGGTACTGGAGGTGGCTACCTCTGCCATGGATTCAAAGATTTGGATCTGAGAGCCGTTCTGGAACATCAACTCCGTCTCGAAGGGCTCGAGCACGTCGAAGATGGCTTGGGTGCCGTCCGTGCTCATAGTGAGAGCAACACCTGGATTGATCCTCTTCACTGCCGAGAGGAGGTCCTTGTTGGCCGCTACAGGTTCTGTGACGTATTCTCCTTGACCCTTTCGGATCAACACACCTTCGCAGGAGCCGGGCGATAGGGCACTGGAAGTCATCCATCGCATGGAGCAGGCCTTAGCGTAGAGGTGCTTGATGATCTGTGAAGTGTGAGATGGGTTTCCTAAGATTGCTGATGATTGTACTCACAGCGCGGTATCTTGAATCTTCATCGATCTTCATGGTCAACGGCCGCGACATCGGAGGGCGGCCTGTGGGTGTCTGAGGTGTGGAGTAGCGCGAATCGTTGACACTGCCACTGAACGATTGCCGGCTGGAGGGGATGAAGGGCCTGTCCCCATCGTGGGAAGGTGTTGCGGAGGACATGTCTGGGATGTCACAGGGATTAAGATGGGTGGTATGGATAGTTAAGGGATGTTGCTAAGCGATTGTATGAAGCAGACAAGTCTGCTAAGAGATGGGTGTTGTGGTCTGAGCCAAGAAACGAAGGAATGGGCAAGGAGCCCTGCGAAGATCAGTAAAAGCGCAAGAGTGTAGAGACGGGAAAGAGATCTGAAGCGGTCGACGAGCAGAGGTTATCAACGCGGCACAGTTGGTAGTGTCTACACAATTCTCTCCGACTACGCGAAACAAGGCCCCGCCACAATCATTAGCGACCAGGTCAAAGATACACTCATGCTACGCACTATCGAATGTTCGGCATACCCCTTGTCTAGCACGTTCGAGTCTCAACAAGACTTCCTACGCGAATGTCCCGATTGAGGTCACTGCGTCTGTCACAAACGCTATCTCGCATACCTCACCATCCAGAACCGGCGGCACCGCCAGGCCACCGACTGCACCTAGCGATCCTGTCATCTATCGATATTCTTGCCAGCGCACGCCCCGGTCGCTCTCCCGCCTGCTGGGCCTTGGTGGGCCGCGATGTTGGGACGGTGGCAATGTTACTAGCAGCGACGAACATCTGTTTCGCCGGTGCAACACCATAAGTCTACGGGTCATGATCGAGATCGATGTCAAAAGGGGATGTGAAATCATGTGTCGCATTCGGATACCTTGCATTTCTCACGCTTGTGCCTGAGCTAAGTGGAACAGCTTAGCTTAGCCGCTGCTATACTGGGCGTGCGCCAGTTTTGACGTCTGGGCCGGAGGAGAATTTACTTTTGTCGAACGTTCGGTGACCTCCTCGGCTTCGCGTAGCGGGATTGTCCAGCCAGCCTCGTGCGCTGTAGTGAGTGGGAGTCAGGTCGAAAGTGGAGACGCCTAAAGTCCTAGTCCTCCACGGAACCGGGCACTTGGTGTCATGGACCGACCGAAGTGGTCGGTATGCTACGCCGCAATTCCTCTGACTTTCAGGTCTATACACGCGCCACTCCGAGATGTTGTGAACAAGCGACATACATCTTGGGAAGGGGTACAGGACCCTGCAAATTGCTTTTACGACAAGTCCCCGTCCCGCGAGCGGTTGAATCCCACGTCGCCAACCAAGGCAACGATCAAAGCGTGCCGTCATGCACGTCGCCCTTGATAAGCACCCTTGCAGACTATCCTATTGTTAAGATTAGGACGTTGTTCCGCGTCTATTGACCTGCAACACCGCCTATCGAACAACACATAAAGCAGCTCGCCACTGTCCAGCCACACGTCACAGATTTTCTGCCTCAACTCTTTGACTTTGCATGACGCCATGCCCAGCTGGGTCGTATCGAGTCAGCAAAATTACTAGTCGACAGAGTTTCGATTGCAGCGGTTGAGCTACTGAATGTGCGACGCACCATCGAGGATTAGCGCGTTTAACCGGTCCGCCGATAAGTCAACCGACGACAATGGGGGTCAGCACGCCGAGGTGCAGGATTTAGCCACCAACGTGCAGATACGGAGGGAAGGATACAATATCGATAGCATGCACACTGGGAAGCCATCTATGGGCTAATCCACCGATGCATCGAGTGCTCTAGACGGGACTACAGGTGCGCGACTTTAGGTTCTCCCTTTGCCTGGGTACATGCGTGGAAAATCCAAGTGAAGATCGCGTGGGTTTTGAAAGGCGATCGGCCGGGCGCTAATCTGGGAAGGAACCATAGAAAGATGTGCCGTGGCGTCCGACTCCCAAATCATCCTTTCAAACGTCAAGCCCAATCCAAATACGGCCGGTCAAATCCTTCCGTATCGCTAGCGGCATGTGGCGCTGCCCCCCTGGCACTCTGACTGCAAGGCTGTCACACTAGCTCTGCGCTTATCTCATGGCTTTTGACGTACCTGCGTCTCAAAGAACGCTAGCAACTTCGACACTACTGTGCGCTATCTTCAAGACGTAGCTGGCGACTGGTTTGAAACTGCCATGGGCACTACCCGCCCCTTGCACTTGCAGCAGCCATTGCGTCGAGAACGGTAGATACGTCTAATGCCTGTTGATTGTTCTAAATCTAGGCTGTCGCATCCGAGAATCTCGCGCTTCCCGACGACGGTTCAGTCTACTATCGATTTATCGGTGCCGCACAAGTCAGCGCGGCGTTCGCCTGGCTTGTGGTATCGATACTTCAGCTCTCAACAACGTCCCCTGCATCGTTTTTGTGTACTCTTCTAATCTCCTTAGACGAGGTCGCGTACGGCAATAAACTACCTTGCCCATCGCTGAACACGCTGCCATTTTTGTATCCTGCATTTGATACTTCCACTTATCTCAGATTATCACAATGCCTTCTTTCTTCAAGCGTAACAAGAAGGTGAACCCTGAGGAGGAAACACAGCCTCAGGCTCACTCCCAAGATGTCCCAGACCTTCCTACCGGCATGTCGCAAAGGATGCGTCCTGAGTCCTCATCACAGGGAACCTACATGGCCAGGAACCCCTCCAACCTTTCATTTGGAGGTCCTGTTTACGGAAGTCAGTTCGGAAACGCTTCTGAGATACGCAAACAACCACGACCTTTCAAGAGCTACCGACTGCGGGGAGAGTAAGTACAATGCATTTCACACGTCAATAGCATTGAGCTGATGAGACATTTAGACGCGAGCAACCATGGGTCGACGATCCAAGGATGAAGAAGACCAAGGTCGGCAACTGGATCACCCTTGGGTTCATCTTCATCGGTTTTGCCGTCAGTGGATACATCATGTACACCGGTGTACAGGAGGCGCAAATACCTGACGTACGATCAATCCGCAGCAGTCCGTGCATTGGCTAACATCTTGACAGCAATGTCTTATCATGGAAGACAACTTCGAGAAGATTGACCCCGCCAACTGGGGTTACGAGATCCAGACTGGCGGATACGGAAACGGAGAGTTCGACTGGACCACCGACGACCCAAAGAACAGCTTCGTTGATTCGGAGGGTCTCCACATCGTGCCAACTCTCACCACCGAATCCACTAGCATCACTGCCGAGCAGATCCTCAACGGCTATACCCTAAACATCACCAAGGCAGACGGTGATGGCTCATGCACATCTACCGATTACAAGTCGTGCGGTGTCCGATCCAACTCGACCACCGGAACTATCATTCCCCCTGTTCGCTCAGCACGCATGACTACCAAGGGCAAGAAGTCGATCAAGTACGGCCGCGTTGAAGTTGTTGCAAAGACAGCCAAGGGTGACTGGCTCTGGCCCGCCATCTGGATGATGCCCGAAGACAACGTATATGGCGACTGGCCTCGTAGCGGAGAAATCGACATTGCCGAATTCCGTGGTAACAGCTACAAGTACCCCGAAGGTCGCGACTTCGTCTCTTCCACGCTCCACTGGGGTCCCGACTACCAACACGACGGTTACATCAACACGCACGGTACCTCGTTCTTCCGCCGCACAGACTTCGCCTCGAGCTGGCACACATTTGGTCTCGAATGGACTGAGAACTACCTGTTCCTCTACCTTGATAGCCGTCTCAAGCAAGTTATGTACTTCAAGTTTAACGAGAAGAACGAGCTATGGAAGAAGGGTGGCTTCAACGGTCTGACTACCAGCAACGGTACCCTTTTCGAAGACCCATGGAAGCAGGGCGGCAAGAACGCGCCATTTGACGAGAAATTCTACCTTATTCTCAACGTTGCCGTTGGTGCGCAGAATGGTTGGTTCTTCGATGGAGAGGGTAACAAGCCGTGGGTCGATGGCAGCGACTTTGCCGTGCGTGATTTCTGGAATGGTACGTTGATTTACAACCTGCAATCTGCTCATGGACTTCCTGCTGACTTTTGCAACAGCCAAAGATGAATGGCTCCCAACTTGGGGCGAGGGTAACGAGCGCGGTATGACAGTCAAGTCTGTCAAGATGTGGCAGGCCGGCAAGTGCTAGACTCACCCACGCCTGACTGCCGAGTGCATTTTCCTTTTTTCTACTTTCGGGGACCCACTCCTACGTGTATGACCTACCTTTTCTTTTCCAAACCGATTCGGGGACCAAGGGCATATTAGATGAACGTTTTCTCATTTCTTTTCCTCGCTGGCATAGTTGAGGCGCCGAGGCGTCCCTGGGCATCTAACGTCTACATCGTACACTTCACGGATAAGGACTTGCAATAGTGTAGTATCTAATAGATTTTTTTTTTCGATGAATCATTTGCATAGCATCACAGTATCTTGACTGCAGCTTGCTTGCAGCCGGGATTGACCAGCCTTGCGCACTGTGCACTTCAGCCTCGTAGCGAGGCAAATTGGCAGCTGTGCGACCATTACTTGCATATCGCATCCTGCCCTCTGGTCCCTCCAGCTAGCAAGCAGCCGAACAAGTCACCCACGCTGTCCAGCGCCGCCTATTCTCGCCCACGTACGTACCCACATCATCGCACCCCTGAGAAAATCATGCTCGATAGCGATGCCAAAGCTTATTAAACTTTCTGTTGAGCCATTGCACTAATCCATATATTGCGTAGCTCAAGATCCATCACGCTGATCCGAATGCGGTAGTCGAAACGCTATCCCTACCGAATCACGAGGCGTAGATACGAGCGCGACGGAGCTTGTTCGAGTTGCTGCTGCAGGGGGGGCATGCACATGCCGGAGACGCTTCCGCTTATCTGGCTACGGGAGACCGCGAACTGCGCCGCACTCAGGCATCGTCCCATTTCCACTTTTCTTGGTTCAAGCTGGCACACTTGAATTAGTTGGCATTTTGGGGGGTTTGAAACAAACACGGAGATAGGCTCAGGGATAGGGTACCGTTGTTCACTGAATTGATGATGCAAGAGGGGTCATCTTGATTACAAGAGGGGCAGGAGTTAGACAGCACACCGTCTCTCAATTACTGTGCCGCAATGTCTAACATTCCCAACTACAGCACAAGTCTTCCTGCTTTCAGGTTTTCTGCTCATCCATGAACCGCGGCAGAAATACGGGCTTCGTGACCTAAACGAGGGATTTACCGGTGGCAACCCATCTGGTCCATAGCCTTGCATACATGCATGCACGCATATATACATGGCGACGCGGACTGAAAAACAACGTGGGACGGCACATTTCGCGGAGTGACAGCCAGGCGCTGTGAGATTCCAGAATGTGCAGATTGAATTCGAGAACGCCACCACGGCATGTTCCAATGGATTCCGTCTATGCATCATCATGCTCGCTAAGGTATTGTTGGTACGGCAACAACAGGGTATGTTATGTACGATCGGGCTGTTATCTGCTATCATGCATCGGTCCTACCATAGTACCCTGTATTTCTACCCTACTACTGCACGTTACAGTGCCAATCGATACCTCAATTGCTCAACCACTCGATCAATCACTCCAAGTATAGCAACATACAAATTGCAGTCGCACCCAGAACCGGGTGCTCAGCTACCCGGCGGACCGTCGCTGCTACTTGCTCCTCAACATCAGATCAGCGGCCCTGCTGTCGTATCATGACCTTGACCTGGAAGTCCCTCGGTTTTACAAACCAGTAATTAGTCGTTTGCCAGTCTGCAGCCTGCAGGTGGGGGGCGAGAGAAAAATCAAAGTCGCGCACCAGCATGGGTATCAGCTTGGACATTTCCAGCTGTGAAATATGTCGTCCAATGCAGGTTCGGGAGCCTAGACCAAACTATTGCCAGGCTGTTAGCTGCTGTCCACCAAGGGAAGTAGAATGAAAAAAAAGGTATGGATGATGAGTGGCGTTACGGGTGTGGAAACGAAGGATAAGGCAGTGGCGGCATGTGCCGAACAAGGTGACATACCGGCATCCAACTTCGCTCCATTAGACTCAGCTTCTCTTTGTCTGCGTCGAGCCAGCGCTCAGGCCTGAACATGTTGGCATCGGGCCCGAAAACTGACGTGTCGCGATGGGCGACCCAGGAGTTGACTCCGACGATTGTCTATCCAAGCTGTTAGCACGGGATACGCGAATTTGACATACACGGCAACTTACGCCCTCGGGAAAGAATCGATCACATATTGTCGCTCCTTCAGCGGGTACTACGCGCTCGAGCGGTAAGCCCGTGGCGGGATGCATCCGCAGCGCTTCCTTCATGACGGCTTGCAGGTAGGGCATATCCTGACTTTCCTTGAAGGTAATATAATGGCCAATCCTGCCCTCGCGTTGACGCTCGTCAACCTCTTGGCGCAATGCCTCAAAGGTCTGTGGATTCTTGAGCATGTAGTAGAGGATTGCAGAGAGGCTGATGGCGGTAGTGTCTGAACCGGCGGTCATATTTGATACACAACCCATGGTAAGATGGTACATGCTGAAAGACTTGGGGTTATCTGCGTTCTTCTTGAAGAATTTTGTGAGGAAGTCCATGCTCGTCGTACCCTGTTCAGCTCGGAGTTCATCGACGGGTATGGCCTTGGTCTGCTCCTGCTGATGCTCCGCAATACACTCTTGTGTGAATTTCATCACATACGCCCTTCCTGTTCCTTTGGGCCCAGCAAGAAAGTTCCTAATAGGAGCTAGGTATTTGTGTAGCCAGGAGTAAATGCCTGTAAGAGTGGCATACCACAAGAGATCCTCGAGTGCCACGAGAATACCGCGGATATCCTCGCCTTTGTCCAAGAACCCGAGTCGTTTCGAAAACGTTATCATGCCAATGACATCGAAGGCATAACACTGAAGCCAATGTCCCATGTCAGCATACGCGCCCGCACTCGCTACCTCCTGGAGGCGCTGACTGAACAAATCCGCACATTCATCAACGTAAGATTCGTAACTGACAAGCGAGGACATGGTATAGGCGCTCTGGTATTGGCGCCGGTTTTCGCTGTGTCGTGATATAGACTGGTCGGCAAACAGTGACCATTGGTCAGGATGTGGGTTCTGCCACGTCGCGTACCACGAGGATTTGGGGAATTTGGCGCCATGGCCATAAATGATCTTTTGCGCGCTCGGTGAAGAGAAGGAGTAGCGGTTTTTACCGTAGCGAACTATCTCGCCTATGGTGGAAGTATAAGTATGAGTCTCTAAGGAGCAGAAATATTAATGGAAGGGTGAAGCTCACCATGCTTCCTATGAAGCTCAAGGTTATCGTATTCAAACGAACCTCTTTTCACTCGCCAAAGATACCATAAGTTCGTGAAACGCGCTACAACTGGACCAGGTACATCTCGCAATGGTGAGGAGACAGCTCTCAAGAACGGAAAGAGAATACGCGCAACAAGAGCTACAGCAGCTGCCCAAGCAAGGACCGTGAGATGCATTCTAGGAAACAATGTCGAGAGCAAACTATCGATAACGTCTTCCTCGCAATGGCGCGACGCATCTTGTGCGATTTGCTACACGTTTAAGTCCTTCCGAAAGTTCGATGTGCGGGGAAGCGATGACGCGCCGGAAGGCGGGTGCGGGATGTGGAGTGGAGCTTAGCATTGAATTGTAGGCAATTAGTTTCGTGCGAACACCTCGTACGAACCCTCAAACCTTGTATTCATGCCTCTCCATATATCTCATTTGTTTCGTAGTCGAAAGAAGGCATACCGAGTCTCAATGCCGCGTGCGTAGGATCATCGTACAGAAAGTCGGGGTCGTACAGCCGAGGTGCAACGCGCACTTTGTATCCGTCGTGCATCGCGTATGAATCGGATTGCCAATCAATCAGATGGATAACAAAATTACGTCCGAATATGCATTCATAGATTCTACACGAGTTAACAGTACGGGAAAGGACAGGATGCCGATTAGGTAGAGTAGGATCTCGATCATCGAAGATCTACGCGTCGTCTTACAATCTGGAACACCAAAATACACAATACTGCACTGACGGACTTGTCGCATCGCGTATTCACGTGGACCTACAGCTACCTCCTGGTCGAAACTTACAAATGAAGACTGTCGTACTCGAGAAACACAAAATATCACACTATTTGCACTACACACGTCCCCACATTCCGACGACGGGATTTTGACAAGCCAGCCAAAACTTCGTAGAAACGATCTTTCGCGGCGGTACTCGGGTCAAACGAGACCGAACAGTTCGGTCCCTTCTTTGATTTATCACTGAGAAGAGGTGGAAAGTCTCACAGTGCACGTTGCTTGTTACTTTATGGTGCTTTGAATTTAGAAGACAAGTTGCCAAAGGTCGGTCAGTCGCTCGTTGTTCTCGCCTAGGCCACCATGAATGATGACACTGTCGTTGCCGGTCTCAGCCTTGACGACATCAGCATCGAACCAGCCGCGGGGGTCAGGAAAACCATGACTGCCCTCAGGATGTAGCTGTGTCCACCATTTCTCGCTGATATCATATACCCAGACGTCCTTCAACATCTTGCCTGCGCCAGCGTGACCAAGCGACGAAGGATCATGTTCACCAAAGAGAGTGAGAAGCTTGTCCTTTCTAGCAAGCTTAACTGGTAGAAGCACGCAAACACTACGAGCCTCAGGTCCATCATTCCCATCGGCCTTGAACGTCTCGGTTGACCAGGTGTTGTTGGCTATATCAAATATATCGATACTACCACCCTGCTCGGTAGTGCCATCAAATCCGTTCATTCTGTAAAGTTTGCCCCCACTGTAAGCGATGGAAGTTCCTCCTCTATGGGGTGCTGGAGCATCAGGAGCTTGTGACCATGTACAATCATGGACGTTGAACATCCACAGATCTGAAAGGCGGCCACTCGCTGGACATCCGGCGTGGAGGAACAAAGTGTCCTTTCCATCACTAGTGGAACAGTGATAGCTGCGAGCTGGTGGATATGGGGCAGATGAATCAGCGGGCGTGATCTTGGACCATGATGAGCTTGCTGGGTCGAAGCACCACACTGCACCGTGCTCTTCTATAGGGGCCATGTCGATGCCACCTCGACCGGAGAAAAGATACATGCTACCATTCAGTACAGCTGACGCACTTCCAACGCGGGGAGTGGGTGCTGAGGATATGGCTTTAGTTTCTAACCTCTTTGCATCTGTGGCGTTGTTAGTGGTGCACCTTGATGGCCAACTAGCAGCGAAAAAAAGGCCTACCAGGCTTGAGCGAAACGATGTCGATTTTATCATCTATAGGCTCCCTTGGTTTCACCTCACCACCAAAGATGCAGACATGCTGATCGATAACGGACAGGACTTGGGATGATCGGCGTAGTCGCTCGTCGTCGAGGAGGCGCTTCCAGGAGCCCTTGAGCGTACTGATGGGCATACTCACGGGCATGTTTGGCAGATGGTGTGATATTCGCACTAGAATTGCAGTGGCTGCTGCTGGTATATATGCGAATCTAGAGCTAGATATTGCGTCATGCGCGGGTGGTAATAGACTTGGTGTTTGCATTGCCTGGGCTCTAGACTGGAGGGCACGCTAGACTGGAGGGCACGCTAGACTGGGAGGGCACTAGTGTCGGATGCACGAGTGGATCGTCATGGCCTGGCTCCTTCCAAAAGTTGGCGACGCCTCGACGGCATTGTACACGCGAACCAATGCGACTCGACACGCCAACATGAGGCTTCGACTGACGGTGCAGAGAAACGGCCTGCCTGCGGCCAACGTCGTGTGGAGTGTGCCCGAGACCAACAGCACACAGGCATACACCGTCACGCGTCTGCTCGAAGACGTCAACCTCATCATACCGCTCGAGGCAGAGCACTGGGGGCTGGAGCACTATGTCGTCGAGGTGGGCGGCTTCGAGTGTCTGCACTTTATGCCCGTCGCCCATGCGCTCAAGGAAGACGACCATGTCTCGTATGTGCTTCTTCATTCTGCATCTTGGTCGATACTAACACGTTGCCAGCATCCGCCCACTCATGACTGCCGAAGTACGCGCGCGTACCCTCACCGGCCGTGACCAAATCTCAGATGGAGGCCAGCACCTCGTCGACGGCGTTCCCTTTGGCCGGCCCTACCTGCGACAGCCCAACCGACCCGCCGTTCGCATACCGCCGCGCAAACGACGCCGACTGGACGACGTCCAGGCCGACGACGACACCCAAGCTGTCGGCCTGCTCACAGAACACGGAGACACCATGCTCAACAACCAACAGCGGCCAGCCAAGTCAGTGCAGTTCAAGCAGCCAGAGATAGAAGCATCTGATGACAGCGAGGAAGACGATGACGACTTTGCCCCTGACGAGGCACAGGGCGAGACTTCGTCTTCTGATGCGTCGGATTCCGACTCAGAATCAGAATCAGACGTAGACGTAGGCGCAGTCACAAAGTCGCATGGCTCATCTAGCGGTTCAGACACTTCAGATTCAGATTCAGATTCAGATACTTCGAGCGACGCAAGCTCCCCACCCGATGTCTTGTCATCCAAGGACGGTCGCAAGACCAGTCCAGGTACACAGCATGTACCCCCTGGACAAGGTCTAAAAGCTACCAAGCTGAGGAACGCGCGACGTACAAAGGCTAACCGTCTGCGCAGCCTCAAAGCCTCGGGTAAGCTTCCTGAGAATGCAACACTCGCGCATCTGGTCGACTATGAACAAGGAAGATATGGTCAAACCGAAGAAGCGGATCAAACACGGCCCTTCGCCAAGTCTCAAGGCAAGAGAAAACGGCTAGATGAAGACGAGCCGACAGAGGAGGTTGCCGACGATACAACAGAGCTTGAGCGAAGGAAACAAGATCTGATGGCCAAGGTTGGACAAAGTTCAGATGCGACAACACCGGCAGACGAGCCTATACAGTCAACGACTCCGGCTATAGAAGAGGCAGAAGTATCACTTACCGCTCTAGCTGAAGAGACACAGCCAGCAAAGAAAGAGGCACTCTCAAGAAGGTTGCGACCAGATACTCGTGCCATTGGTCGAATACTTGCTCGGCAGGCTGCACCTGTTCTCAGGAAGACCAGGGCCAAGGCAGCACCTGAAGAACCTTTGGAGCCCGAGGGTGCCTCTGATCCCGACTTTTGGAAGACACGGGTCAATCTCTCTGCATTCGAATGTTGGGAGGAAGATTTTGAGCTGAGCGCTCCGCCGTTCCCATTCCAGCAGCACTGGGACCCAGCCAGCAAGCTTATGCGCGACAAAGCTGCAAAGAAGAAGCAGAAGAGGCGAAACTACGTGCTGCAGGAAGCAACGCCTGAGGAAGAGGAAGAGGAGGGAGAAAAGATCATATTAGACTATGACGATGCGCCTGCAACTAACCCCGACTCCGAGACCATACATGCAGCACTAGAAGACCAGTTACGTCAGGATCTTGCCATGGCTGCGCAGTCTGATCTACCACCGCTGCCTCAAGACATGAGCACGTTACCAGATCTCACCTCGTCCGACATGAAAGCCGGCGCCATTATCGCATGCAAATTCTTCACCGTCAATCCTGTCACCGTCACACCAGAGATTAGTAATTACAAAACAGCTATTGTTGAGCAAGAAGGCGATTCGGGACCTGGTGCTGGAACGATACAGCTAAAAATTGCTTTGCGCGACCTCCCGAAAAGGGAGAAGAAGTTCGATAGCAAAGGTAACCGCATCTACAACGCTGCCGACGCGCTTTTGATGGAAGAAGACGAAGAGGAAGAAGACTTGTGGGAAGGCCAATTCGGCGAGCTTCTAGAAGCGAAGCTTGTGAAGGCTGCGTAGACAAAAGACGACACCAGGTATCAAAAGATGCTTGTTTGACCATCTGCCTAGTACCACACATATAGTTTCTACTTCATATCACCTTAACATGTTTCAATATACCCGGTTTCAGTTACTCTCGATGCTCAATCATGTGAAGGGCCTGTGAACACGAAGAGGCGGATCGGTCTTCGGTCTCAGGCCGGGGTGGCGCGATCTACAGTACCCCGCCAAACGTCATTCCCAACCCCTCTAGAAGCTGCAGGAGCTTCCAGCACCCGGCCCTACTCAAGTACTACGGGGCAAGTCACCAATACTGAACTTCTCGTATACACAAGGTCTTGGCCTGCAATTCCCATGTCTCACAAGCCTTCATTCGCGGTACAGCTACCATTGCGAGCGGGTTCTCCGTGCAGGGTTTTCCTCGGCACCACGAATCCAGGGTTTTAGTTTGCCCCTAAACAAACTTAACAACTGCCGCTGTGGGGTAGCTTCAGGATTAGGTGCGAATGGGTACATCATGCGATTATGGAGCGAACAAGCCGTGTACAAATTTTCGGCAGATGCATTTCAGCTTTTCTGCTTACTGCTGAGCCTTTAGTCAAACTGCGATATTCTTGTGTTTGACAGACAAACCATTCGTTGTACAACAACTTCCATAACATACCATCCCATGTAAGCGTTGATGGAACAACAGTGCCGCAATACCCTGACCATTGCACAGAACTATACACAATGCCTCTTCCCACTGGTGTATACCGTGCCGACCACGTTGGCTCCTTCCTCCGCCCCAAAGCCGTCCTTGAAGCACGTACAAAAGCCGCCAACGGAGAGATTACCGCGGACGAACTCCGCAAAGTCGAAGACGAACATATCAACAACGTCGCAAAGCAGCAGATAGAAAATGGACTCCAATCTGTAACCGACGGCGAGTTCCGTCGCGCCTACTTCCACCTCGACTTCCTCAAGCACCTCGCTGGCATCGAGGAGAAGGGTCAGGTAGGAAACATCAGGCACAAGGATGGCTTTTCGCCCCCAACACTGGTGGTCAAAGGAAAGCTGGGTCACCCCGAGGCGATTCAAGTCAAGGACTTCGAGTTCCTCGAGCAAGCGATCAAGAACAATGGCGGAAACGCGAGCACAAAAGTGTGCATCCCATCTCCAACCATGGTACACTTCCGCGGCGGTCGCGCTTCAATCGACATCTCCGCATACCCCGACCTAGACGTCTTCTTCGAAGATCTCGCGCGCGTATACCAAGAAGAGCTAGACAGCTTGTACAAGGCTGGCTGCCGCTTCGTCCAACTCGACGACACCAACCTCGCCTATCTCTGCGACCCCGACATGCGCAAAGCCGCCGAGCAAGAACGCAACGAAGACCTTAGCACCCTGCCCCGCAAATACGCTGAGCTTATCAACAAAGCCATCGAGAAGCGACCTTCAGACATGAAGATCGGCATCCATCTCTGCCGCGGCAACTATCGCTCCAAGTGGTTTGCCTCCGGTGGCTACGAGCCCGTCTCCGAGGTTCTCTTCAAGGAACTGAACGTCGACGCGTATTTCCTCGAGTACGACGATGCGCGATCTGGCGACTTCTCTCCATTGCGCCATCTGCCGGAACATAAGGTTGTGGTGCTCGGTGTTATGAGTAGTAAGAAGAATACTCTGGATGACAAGGATGAAATCATCCAGAGGCTACATGAGGCGGCGAAGATTGCGCCAAAGGGTCTGGACCAGCTGTGTGTGAGCCACCAGTGTGGTTTCAGCTCCACGGCTGAGGGCAACGAGTTGACAGAAGAAGAGCAGTGGGCCAAGGTTAGACTGAGTGTCGAGATCGCTAAGCAGGTCTGGGGTGATGATATCAGCAAGTAATGTGTAAACTTAGGGCTAATAGATAGCTTCCACAGATTGGCTCAAGGGAAGGAGGTGTATTTGAGAGGTGCTGGTACTTGCTAGGGATATATCCGAGAGGAGTTGAGGCGAAAGCATGAACATGGGATTCATGTAGAGGTAGTCTGATCTGGTCTCAACGACCTGTCCATGTATGTATTACGAAGTAACGGTTCAACCCAACAATATCCAATGTACCGAAGATAAGTGCATCTCTATATAGTCTCCACCATCAGAAATATGGGAGAGCATGAACGCAAAGACAGCAGGATTCTTGCTAGTTCTGCCGACGACATCAACAAGGTTGTCGATGCGGGTGCCGTTGTAGAGCTCTCCTGCCAACTATAAAGGCCCAATCAGTAAAGGTATTACCACAGTTATCGCTAAGCATCTTACGGTTACCTATTCAGAGAAGACCGTTGAGATCGTCTCTACTCTGAGTTCCATTGTCTTTCCAGCTCTCTAGCATATCTCTGCAGAGAATCCTTCTTGGCAACAAGGACACCCGCTACTTTGACCCCGGTTATATTCCCTGACACTTGCCATATAAGCCCAAGGCAAAGTTATTGAAAGTATCTTGGTCCGACATACTACGAAGTCTGTCTTTCCAAAGGTCCGTATTTTTTGAGCCCCTGGCGTGCCCCGCCCGAATACCCCATGGGAGGTTTCAAATAGGGCGTTAATCCACAATCAATCATATTTTTGAGTTAGTTTGGGAGATCCCAAGACATCAGATTCCAGGTAATCTTCCCAGTGTCTGATAGGTCGATTGCAGTGATTCATTCGTTAGATTTCCGGGTATTCCCCCAAAGGGGTTACTGTATTCTTCCTATGGTCGACAGACCTCCAGAGTGGGTTCTCGCTTGTATACAGTTCGAAAAGCTTCAGCGATCGTAGAAGTTTGTTTGAGTGGGATATATTATGCGTAGAGACGACACCTTCGCAGCTGTGACATATCAGAAGCTCAGATATGCGTTTACATTCATGTATTTCGATATCGATAGTGGTAGAATGGCTTCCGACAGATCAGAATGGTTCTGGTTCATGTTTTGGACGTGAGTTCAATCTTAAGGTTCTCCGTAGTCTTTGCCCCAAGATTTGGGGTTCATGAAGACGACTTTGCTGATAAAATATTAGATCTCTGATAGCGGCTCCTAGAACCGCATCTGCCTCGCGTTTTGAAAGTCTTCCATTCAGAGATGGATGGATGTTACACTATCGGGAAGACCAGACAACTCCAATGCTTTTAAAATGCTAGTCTATTCACTGATGACGAATGTCCTGTAACAGAACCATCATTCCGATCGAACAATCAGCATCTGGTGATGAAAAGAATACTGAGCTATCATATATGCGGCATCTCCCGATCTCACAGTGCTATGTTTGTCCTCGCAGTATATGAATCATTTGCGATCGTCCACCATATTTGGTTTTGTGAAATAGCACAAATGTATAGTCGCTATTCGCTTACGGGAGGCAAAGAGGGTAGACTGGTGTCGAAATAGCTCGAGCAATAATTGAGTAAGCTCAGACTCTAGTTCATGGACATCATATCAAACACTTGCAGCCAAATTAGGCCGAGGCAGATCTGTCTGCAAATAGACCGCAGCGATACAGTTTCTGTTATTATATGAATACTTTCTGTCCCTGAGGGTACTCCATGTCCGTCCAAGGAAGCGACATACCTGACTGAGAAGCTCTACAAGAAGCTCTACAGGAAGCTAGATCAATTCCACTCCCAAGTTTGCTGTCATGGTCTTATTTGAGCGGTTTTCGTATACATATTGTTAGAGGACTAGTAAAGCGATCTTAACCGCGGAGAACCCTGCGAAAGTGATGCTAGGACTGAGTAAAACGCCATATAGATATAGTTAAAGGCTATAGCAGAAGCCTAAGGCAACAAGCCCGTCTTTGCAAATGAAACAACAGTTCAGCTACATGAGACGTACTGTACTTACCTATTAAGCCATTGCGCTTACTTCAAGGTTGCTGACCAGTCAATCACGTAACACAAGGATGAGATCTCTAGACTCACTTATTTGCAGCACATTGATGTCCATTCATATCTTAACAAATGTTTATAAATATGAGGTAATGATTAGAACAAGTAACATGTTTTGGTAGTGGAAATGGGGGTGTGGAAGAGTAGAAGAAGAAGCGGAACGAACATCTTTGATGACTTCATTGCACTACGTTGGACGGGTGAAATAGTCAATCTGCATGAATCAGTCCTACATTCTTCACATGAGACGAGGAGGTTACGTGTCGTTGTATTCTATCCTTGAAGCACATTCCAGTATCGAAAAGTGTGCATGAGGAACTTAGACAGTAGCCTGACTGGCTGCAAAGTATGCTTAAAAGATCAGGCAACAGAAGATCTGTTGTAACCATGCTAGTATATGTTGCGACAGACATTGCTTTACATTGACTATATGACTGACTGTCTAAGAGTGCAGTGCTCAAACAAAAATGTACAAGTAAGCGGTAATGACCGTCTGAGACTTTGTAGACCCCACATCATATGACGACAGTCTTCCACACCCCCATCGTCACCTTGTTCACAGCTACCTCCCCTGTTGTGTACCGTCTGAACTGCTTGTTTCTGATGTAGCACCTGTTTAAGCGGCCGCGGCGATCTCGCGGCGTGCGAACCTGAGGCTGCGCTTTGCCTTTAGGTCGTTGGTAACACCACTGTAGCTGTTGATGCAGATGGTCAAGGTTCCGTCGAGACTATTCGCTTGGTTCTGCAAGTCAGTAGCACGTGACTGGACGGTATCGATCAACATAAATGCGATAGTCTGTAGATAGTCGTTAGCAAGTGCTGATATAATCGTTGGGGATAGTATCCAGAGAAACATGGGAGTTTCCGAAAAGGACTCACATCAACAACAGCCTCGATTTGTCTGAGCACAGCTGCTACGGGCTGGCCAACGATTGGAACAGTTTGGAACAATCCAGCCTTCCCGATGAGTATGTTGAGCAGGGCCTGGTGGACACGGACAAACTGTTTCTAATTGTCAGTCACTTTACAATCCAGGGGGCGCTTGTGGTACTTACTTCGCGGAAGGCGTCGAAGATAGCATCAGAATCCGCACCGGCTGGAACGGGAGGCATTCCTTGCATCTGGCTGATAGCAGTGGTGGCTGTGGACACAATGTCGGTAAAGCCCGCGATGATCTGGGGAAACGGTCCCTGGCCAATGACAATCAAAGGACCATTAACGATAGTGATGCTCTGAGCTGGTGCCTGGAGCGCCTGGCTCTTCTGTGTCACCATCCGGAGGTTGGAGACAACTTGAGCAGGCGAAATCTGAGCAGCGATAGGGACAGAGAGAGCCACAGCGGCAGTAAAGAAGTTGCGGAATGAGACCATGTTTGCGGTGATTGATGGCTAGAAGACCGGTATTTGTTGCTTGAACGATGAGGATCGAGGAGTAGTGATTGCAGAGATGAAGCTGTGCGATGACTTCTAACGATGGAGGGCGGCAGCATCTTTATACACGGAGCAAGATGCAGCTAAGCTCAAACTCTCAGAGTGAATACTTTCCACCATCCTGTGAGGTGACTAGATCTGCTGATCCTCCTGTACAGGACATTGTGATGCCAATCAGACCTATTGCCCAAAGGCTAGGCGATGCAGAGTGCGCTACTGTCGAAAAGAACAAAGTTCAGTGATAGATGAAGTCATGTACTAAAATCCACCTTGGCTTGACCGCTTTCACCCCAATCTCCAGTGCATTGCACCTTTTTCCTTTCCATTGTTGGAGCTCCGTGGCAGTGTCACAGCCTATGCCGATATATCGAGCGTACCATATCAAGATTCCTTTACGCCATCTCCAATACGTATTCTTCTCTTCAGTATCGTAGTTGGTGTCAGTTCACAGTGATCAGTATAAAGGCTGACCAGACTAGTCCCTGTTAGAGAGATCTACCAGAATCCATCACCGAGTGGAGCTTCTGCGGCTGAATCGATACAAGGGATTGAGATCTTCGAGCTCCACTTTCCTTGTCCAGTCCATGAGCAACACCCGGTTGCGAACATAGAGAGAACGCATGCTGGTTATACAGCACTAACGCATCCTAGGGCTCGTAATGGCAATTGGCGTCCAAGTTCACAGTGGAGGCTTAAGGCTTGCCAATCATTTTCCAGATGTCTTTTGCCAAGATATTTGTATTGCCGTAGTACAGTAGATCACTACTCTGTATGTGCGAGTTTCGCTTATAGACCTGCGTCAGTTCAGCTGAGGTGGCCCGTTTGGTGCCGCTTTGTTGTCAAATGCCGCTAAAAAGGGTGTGGTAGTGCCGTAGCGGTGCGGCTCGTCGATCTCACCCGTGGACCGGGTACTGCCGCTGAATATGCATGATCAGGCACGCAGTCCCTCCATTCACAAATGCCGGCGCACAAAGCTAGCGATAGAGCAAACCTGCCAAGCCATAATCACGTCTTCTTTTTCGCTGTTCGGGGCGGCCGGGGCCGATGTCGGGACCACGTGTATACCGGGGTAGTAACTCACCCGTATTTATTAGTCTCACGGCGTGCACCGGTATACATACAACTACTCCGAAAAAGGAGAATGCGACATGTTCACTTGCGTGCACGCGGTCCGCCAGAAGCAATAACAAAAGGTCCGATGAATGTGACGTTTCTTTTGATCCAGTCGAGCCTCGGAAGGCAGCCGAGGTCCCTGGTCGCCTGAGTCGCGCGATAGCCGATCTTGGCCGTGTTTGTGCCATACAACTGCTGATTCACTTCGGCGAAGAAGAAAGAGGAGTCAATGCCTTGGCTCAGACTGCTACCTAGAGGTATTCACGGTTGTCATTGAACCCTTAATTCGGCAACTCCGCTTCGCTCGGCGCTGATTATTTGTTGCAATGCCACGACGTCTATCAGAATACCCAAGTAGTGACTTACGAAGAGGATCTGTATGACACATTGACAAAGAACCTCAATAGGTGGGCGCTGGCTGACCTGTTCTTGCGCTAAACTGAGCAATACTAGTATCATAGCTCTGGCACATTACCCGGGCTTCTGGTGGGCCTAGTAATCATCTCTAGGACGCAACAATAGCGGAGAAGCCTAACAGCTGGTAGCTAGCAAGTAGCCGAGTGGTTGGGCACCTACTATTCGCCGCCGGGTATTTGGCCCGTGGTTTCCTACCTGTCTGCCGCTGTAACCAACCTTGTATGCTACCAAACTTCCCTTCATTAGCAAAGAAACCAAAGGGAAAAAGCATATCGTGACAATCTCCACCAGTGAAAATAAAGACGCCGGCTATTCGGTACGATCTGCACTGTAACGCAGTGCAACATACACGTGCCTAAGCGAAGGGTCTTCTTACTTGACGCTAGACTCCAGGTTCTGGCACTATGGAGAACCTGGCATCGTGAGCTTCATGTTGTCTTGGATCAAGCGGAACGCTCTGATCACTATCTAGCCACGTACAACATATTTTAGTAGCTTCATGTCAGAGATGACGCCAATACAGCCTCGGGGTCGTCCCATTCTACTAAGCTCTTCTCGTGATCCTTCCACCGATCACCCCATTTGACCTGAGTATGAGTACTCTCCGCGGGTTTCAGTTATTAGCTATACGCATAAACCGTCACCACTGTCTGCTTCAAGCTAGAACTCCACCTCACCATTAGTGCCTCAACAAGACTCAAGCGAAGACCAGAGACAAAGCATTCCTCAAGCGACGACGCCACAGCGTCATCACATGTTCACGCCCGCGAACAGCAATGTAACAGTGTGACTTATCCTAAATGCTTAAGAGTGAGACATTTTCTGTGTAACGACATATACCACTATGGGTGCTTTTACCTATCCAAAGAATTAGCAAGCCACCACGTATGGATGCTTGACCTAGGCTAGTTTCCTAGCCAACCAAATGTACAGGTTGTCACCTTCTACATATAGTCTCGTGGCTTACTCCCCTCCTTTGCTTTTTCTGCTTCCTACTATCGGAGGATGAGGTTACATAGCTCCAGTGAGTACCACAATACGATCTGAGACGACCGAGCAGCTTTTCGCAGGGACGACAAAGTGGCAACTTGCAGAAGGGTGTTGCTTAAGCACCTCATTTGAGGGCGTCTTAGAAGCTGCATGGAGCAATAGTATAATCTAGTCACCTTTGACTGCGGTCGGTAGCTATATGGGAAAGCTCACCAGACCAAGTGGAAAAATGAATATGGGCAGGTATGAGCAGGAAGCGCCATACGAGGGTGATAGCATACTGTTGGGCATCTGCAAGCGTCACCGTCAACGAGCTATGACACTACCTGCCTCTCATAGCTAGGTCATGATTACATATACATACTCTCTTAGTCAGTTGAACTTCCCTAATTTCCACACAATATCACATGGCATAATCTACATAAGATTGCAGCTATCGAGAGGAAAGAACCGTACGGTCAAGGACACCTCCATCTCATGGTGTCGGCACCGATGCTAACAACGGTAAAACGTCCTTGAATCTCACCGGCTTAAGTAGGAACTCATCAAATCCGCTACTCCTCGCTTGTCTGCGCGCCTTCTCACTACCAAGACCTGTGAGCGCGAAGATGTATGCTCGTGGCGCACCTCTGTTATCCCAAGTGGCGCCGTCTAGAGTTTGCTTAGACGCGTCGTTAGAATGTGACTGGATGATTTTTTCCATCAAATCATCTTCGAGTTTTCGAATCTTGGATACAGCTTGAAAGCCGTCCATGACTGGCATGCTGATGTCCATGAAGATGCAATCATACGCGATTTGTGGCCCTTGTTGTTCAATAGCAGTTTGATAAAGACGTACTGCTTCTGCGCCGTCAGTAGCGCTGGAGTAGGGGACATGAAGGCGTTTAGCAAAGGCGCATAACATTTTGAGGTTTATCGGGTTATCATCCACAAGGAGTAGCCGGTGAAACCTACAAGCAGGGTTGGGCTTAAGAAGGACAGTTGGCTGTGCTGATAATTGCGGCTGAGGGGCAGGAAGTGTCACAGCGTCGGATAGTGACTTGTTCTGCGATGGTAGGTTACGATGCGGAAATGCCACAGTCTCCATGCACGTATCTGCTTTTTGAAAAGTCTCGTGTTGACCTAGTTGCTCCGATGGGTCTGTCTCGGCTTCGCGTTCGACTTCCGCAGGTGGCAATGGGGCTTCCGTTCCATTGGCGTTCACGTCATTCAGAGCTGATATTATGGCAGATCCGAGCGACTTCCCTGTAATTAACATTGTGTGCATGGAACTCCAGGTGCCGATCTTGTGAAGTGTAGCCTTGGTATTGCCCAGTTCGATCACGACTGGACAGACGTTTGCCGCATACACAGGAAACAGAGTTTTCAAATCGTAAGCATGCGTCGTGTCCAGCGCATGCGTGTCAATGAGGACTATATCCATGGTTGGAAGTGCGCTTGTCGAAACATTGATGACGCTCATGCCAAAGCGGCCCTCACAAATATTGCGAACAGAACGCTCAAGTGCTTTGGGTGGCGAAACGATGCATGGGGAAGATTTTTTGCCTGAATCCCGATGCGAGGACAGACTGAGCAGACCGACCGTCTTTCCACGCAGAAGGCTTTCCTGCGTGCTTGGTACGCTCGGCTTCTGTATCTTTTGGCTGGTTGGGATGTTGATGGTAATCTTCGTGCCTTCTCCTAAACGACTGGAGACGGAGATGTTGCCCTGTAGTGACTCTACAATACTTTTCACTAGGCTCAATCCTAGACCAGTTCCTGGGCTAAATATATTCTCTTGCGTGAAGGGCGTGAAGAGATGATATTTGAGAAAGTCGTCACTCATACCCACTCCGGTGTCTGTCACGGACAGACAGATGTGAGCCTGTCTGCCGTCTGCAGCTTGCACTCCATCTGCGGCCTCCACAAATTCCAAGTCTACATGGATGTAACCGGACCTGGTATACTTTAACGCGTTGCTAACGACGTTGAGCAGAATTCGTTTCCAGGCGCCCTTCTCGACAACTACTGTCCAATCGCAGTGTCTATCGAAGTGTGTAGTGAGGATGACAGGTTCAGCTGGAGTCGTTTCTCGCGGTTCGGCTAAAGTATCCTGGCGCTCCTTGTTGAGTCCGGATACGAGTCGCGAAGCATGGTCATGGCCCACTGAGACCGTCTCGATGACATCCTCAACCAAACGCTCCAAGTCGACGGCCACTGCACCATTATGAACATGGTGACCAGAACGAATGGAATGGTTTCCACCTTTCCCGACGCCGACACGACTATTAACTTTAGAATATCCTAAGAGATGATCGAAGGTATCAAGAAGAGTGAAGGCACATGATTCGATCATAGTGATCTCCGGCATTAAGCTTGATCCCTGCATGTTTTCTTGGATCAGCTCAATACTCGCCAATATGCCATGCAATGGACTACGTAGCTCGTGGCTGATAGTCGAAACAAAGTCCGACTTGGATAGAGTATTTGCCGAAGCTTCTAATCGGAAGACTTCGGCCATGAGCGAGTTTCCGAAAGCTGTTAAAGAATTGACGTCACCAGTATCGAGGGTTTTTCCAGTGTCAGATACCCATGCTAGACATGTAGCATAGCAGGCTTCTCTTTGGTAATGCCACATCGGCAGGAAAATTGCATATCGCGTCTTTGGCAAAGACTCGAAGAGATCAGTCCATTCGTTATCCTCAACGGAATTGGAACTGTAGTCTGGCTCGCTGCCATCTCCATGTTGGATAACGCCGTGTTCGTCTACAGCGAAGACATGCCCTCGAGTGTACCTTGTAGTTAGGCGTTGGATGAGGGACTGAGACAGCCCCAAACTTGATTGCTGGCCGACTGCGGTGCTTCTCTGATAGCAGGAGAGCGGTGTCGCAAAGGAGTCGTTTGGAGACGATGATGTCTCTGTATCTTTCGACTGACCACCTCTATGTTTACCGGCTGAAACAGTGTCAAAGAAGACAAGGCCATCCAAATCCATGGCATGGCCAATGTCATTTGCAGCTCTTACAAAGAGATCTTCGACTTGAATGGACAAGTCAGGTTTGACCATCCTCGAATCAGTGTCTTGCGGAGAAATAACGATGGAAGCCGGCTCGTACATTGAACCAGCGACGCGTGTCGTTGCACTGCCAGATGATAGCGGACTGGATTCTCTTTGGGTAGTAGCACTAAAGACATCAAGATCGAATGGATCTGTATGAGGCTCGGGACGTTCAGGAGCAACAGATTTTGGAACCACATTGCGTGCATCGCGCTCGTCTGGAGCTACGAATCGGCGAAGACCTTGCATCATGTTTGCTGCTCGCGATTTACAGGCTTCGACGCGTCTCATGTTTAAGTATGCACTGATGGCCGAAGTGACTTCCCGCATAGTACTCAACGACTTTGGATGGAGGAAATCTCTTTCCTTGTTGTCCACCACGCAATAGCTTCCCAGTATATGTCCAGACATTGCAAATAGTGGTATCTCAAGGTAAGACACCATGTATGGATGCCCAGCCACAAACGGACGGTCTGCGAAAGTGGGAATCCGGCGAAAGTCTTTTATATAAAAGTAAGACCTGTCGGCAACAATATACGGACTATCCGGCAAAGATACCGCTCGTCCATGGAAGATGGACATGGTGTGAGGACATACTCCCCAATCGAGGGGGATTCGAGAAGTACCCAGCAACAGCGGATCGGTCGGGTCTGCGCTGGAAAGAGACTGGTGTCTCGTCATCTCTGCGCATATGAATTGGGTTTGGTTATCAATGAGGGAGATGAATGCGCGGTCGCAATCCATCTTGTGCACGCCATGCTGGACGAGAGCATTGAGGGTTATGTCGCTGCTAGGGACTGGATCGGAGGGCGGCCCTTCTGGGATTTGGAACGGAAACGATGCGGCAGAGAGATATCTAGGGCTATTTGTTAGCAATGAGAGACGCGTTTCATGACGTAGAATGGCAATTCTCACGCGGCGATCTCGTATGCGCGTGCCCGTTCATGTTTATCGATAACTTCGGGTGGTGGCGCCGTAGTCGAGAGTGGGGTGGTGGCCATAGTCCATATTACGTCACTCACATTGAGGGCGCTCGGTAACTCGACTGAAGACTGCTGGTGCTGTTTGCAACGATTCCGCGGGCCCGCAGCCGTCTTCTGCTTCTTTCCAAGGTTGGCAAGCGGTCTTGGCGTTAGTCAGCCAATTTCCAAACGGCCCGTATGTCAAGGGCAGAAGCACGGCTTAATTTCTCGTCAACTTCATCGAATAGTGATTTGACGCTAGCTAGACACGCATTCTTCTACAACCACAAGAGAAAGTGCCCGACCAACAACTCCTCGCTGCTCACAGCTAGACGCTCAGTTTCGCATACTCGTCGCACACTTCGGTTAGCTTCTTCCTGGTCCCAGGCTCCATAGCACTATGTCCGGCATCGTCTACAAAATGCAGCTTACTCTCCGGCCACTCCTTGTGCAAGTTCCACGCCGTGATCGGCGGGCAGACGACATCGTATCTCCCCTGCACGATTGTTGTCGGAATGTTCCTGATACGATCAACATTCTCCTTCTTCAGTAATTGCCCGTCTTCTAGCCACGCTTTGTTGGTGAAGTAATGGATCTCGAGCCTTGCGTGCGCTAGCAGATAAGCTGGGTCTTGAAGTTTCTTGAATGCACTGGGGTCCGGGTATCTAAGGTTTGGCGTACAAGGTCAGCGCATGTCTCCTATGCAGTTCGCTAATAGTAATCACGTACAGAGTGCTGATTGAAAGCTCCCATTTGTTCCATGCAGTGGCTGCCGGGTGACTTATCGAAGGGTCAGAAGACATAAGGCGTTTATGGTAATTGCCAATATGATCCGAGCGTTCCTCCTCTGGAAGGAAGTTGATGAATTCGTCCCAACAGTCAGGGAACAGCATTTGAACGCCGCCCGGGTGATTCGTCCAGTAGAGCTCGATATCGCGCACAGTGAATATGCCGCGCAAAACTAAACTACCTACACTCTCGGGGTGTGTTTGTGCATAGGCCAGAGCGAGAGTGGAGCCCCAAGAGCCACCGAAGACTGTGTGCCATTTGGAGATGCTGAGATGTTTACGCAGGACTTCAACGTCGGCGACGAGGTGCCAGGTAGTGTTGTTTGTGGTATTGGCGTTAGGGCGCGATTGACCACAGCCTCGCTGGTCGAGCAAAATCACTCGATATTCAGAGGGGTTGAAGAAGACGGTGTTGGATTTGGAACAGTTGCCACCTGGCCCCCCATGGAGGAAAATGACTGGATGGGATTAGAAGTCAACGAATGCGGCTGGGAGAGATGATGCACCCACCAGGCTTTCCATCCTTCTTGCCGAACTGTTGATAGTGTAGTTCGTGGATATCGTCGACGCGCAGCCAATCCACATCCCAGGCGTCTTCGTGTTCATAGCCGGTGACATGAGGTGCTTGAGCCATGCTTGTGGTGTAGTAACTAGCAACTCCAAATACTATACACAAAAGTATGACCAAGCTTTGTAGTTTTGTCAAGCCAGGCAACCATAGTGGTGCAGTCAGACATGTAGGTGTAGCTACCCCGCTTTCAGCATAGTGGACCCCGCTAAATGAAGAACACCTTCCTGTTTGGCTAGAAGAATATAATTTTTTGAGCGGCTTATGTGCAGACAAAATCAAAATAACGTATTAAGAGATGGACCCCAACTCTGAAACGCCCTACAAAGGACTGACGCTGACGACAAGAACCTAGTACTTGAAGCCACCTGCCCTAGTACTCCATAATCCGTTCGGGTCTACACTCTTCTGCAATGTCTTGAACTTCTCATAGTCCTTGTAACTCTGCATGACTGGCTGATCCCACATAGCATCGTTGAGGAATAACGGCATGTACATGTCGCTTGGCATTCCCGCCTCTGCTATCCATTGAGGCACAACCTTGTCCAACCAAGCCGTCAGCTCTCTGGCGATACCGAAAGCAAGAGGATCGTCCGTGGGCAAGTTCCAGGCGCCTTGGTAAATAAGGATAATGCGGTTAGGGTCGGAAGACGAAAGACCCATGGCATTTCCGCCCTTGGATTCGGAAATCTTGCCAAAGCGAGACGGAAGTGGCTGGAAGTCAACGCTGAACTGGACGGCGCGAACGACGGGGAGTGTGTTGAGGAAGACACCAGTGAGCTCAGCGAGCTTATCACGAATCTCCCTGTACATCTGGGGACGGGATGGGATATATGGAACGGTGTAAGTTCGGAAGAATGAACGGGAGTTCAAAAGTCGGACGGGTTCGCCGTTCGCCCTCAGCTAGCAATCGTCAGTTCCTGTATATCACGTCACGGTCGGTTCATGGACTTACCAGCTCAGAGTACTTTTGTTTCTTGGGCAGACATAGCGGGTTGAGGATCTTGAAGAAGTCGGCAAAAGGGCCCGACGTAGGCGGCGTGGGGCTGTCGTAAAAGTAGAAGACAAGTTTCGTCTTGAGCCCGGCTGCGAGCACAAGGTCCGAAAAGATAATGGCGGCCTTGGGATCTTCGGCACCGTGGGCTATGAAGTTGTGCAAAGCAACGTAAAGTGCTTCGGATTTTGACTCGTCATATATGCAAGAACCGCCCCATACGTCGCCCATGTGATGGACCTTGGCCTTGAACTGGGTGACAATACCAAATTGGCTTCCGGAACCACGCATGGCTTGCGCAAGATCAGGATGTTTCGCAGCGTTGACGTTAACAATGGATCCGTTGGCCATGACAGTCTCCCATTCGACGATGTTCTAAGGCCAGTCAGTATGAGTCTCATCAAGACATTGTGCGCAAACTGACATCAGCAGCGAGGCCTTCTTGAGCACCAAGGAACGATAAACCTCCACCCAAAAGCAACCCGCCGACACCGACGAGACCTTTGTTGTATCAGTCGGGGTTCTTAATCATCTGTAATATCTCAAACTTACCAAGCCTTCCTCCAGCAATAGCCACTCCACTCTTCTCTAGATCACCAATAACATCGTTCCACTCACCACCAGGGCGAACATAGGCAACATCCTCTGCTGCATCGTACGTCGCTCCAACTAGACTGGTCATAGTGATGAGAACGCCGTCTTGAACAGCAGCATGGTTCGTGTTTGGGTCGTGCCCTCCACTTCGAGTTGCAAGCTTAACAGTAGGGTACTTGTTCAGGATTTTGATAGCGATGGATACATCCTGAGCAGACTCTGGCTGAACAATACATGCAGGGTCGACTTCGCGGAGATTTGTAGCCCAGTACTGCTGCGTCTCATGCTCATATTCAAGCTTGAGAAGCCCAGGGGTCAAGACTTTGCCAGGAAGAGCGTTATTGATATCTTTACACGCTTTGGTAGTGGCCTCGGTAGGGATGGCAAGAGCAGATTGGGCTCCTAGAAGCAGGCTCGCAAGCACAAAAGACGCGAGTTTGTCCATGTTGGAAGTCAACGAAAGTGATAAATGAGCGAAAGATCAATAACAGCAATGGAAAAACAATGAAGCCTACAAAAACAACCTTCCCAGGGCACGGTGCATTAAGTACTATCTTCTGAGTCTCCCCGATGTTGAATCGAGATGCCTCCGGTCTTCCCTCCGGACGTCACGGCGGCCATGCAGAGATGCAGCGCATCTACTCAAGCTGGGTACGCCCTTGACCAGGGCAGGTCGCGTGGAAGAATCGTGGAATACGGTAATCCCCTCCAATGGCGATCCATGACTAAGGGAACAAATGCAGATCGTGTGTGAGGGCCTGCAAAGCTTACAGACTTGAGCCGGATTCGAGCCCGATATTTGAGGGGAATAGACGCACGTCGTACTCGTGCTATATCGTCTGCTAAAATGAGCATTTAGCCTGGATGGGACAGGACACATGCAACCCTGAGGAAGGTTCTCGGCTGCTGATTTGCAGTCCCGTTACCCGGAGGCTTCGTGGGATAAGCAGAGGGTGTGATGATGGTCATGGTGGAGACACTGGTGGTGGGCCCGAACTCAGGGGAATAGAACTTTTGTGGCATTAAACTTCTGGGCCATCTGACTGATATGCACGCACAGGCACACTAAAGAAGGATATGGCGCTGGCGAGCACGATAATTGATGAGTCGACAGTGGAGGTGGACACGAAAACGAACGGCAGCGATTATCGCAACAATGACAACATGGCTGTATGCAGGGCTGGTATAGACGGGCATGGTGGTCGCGATGGTCGCAGTGGCACCATGTCCACGTCGGATGGGGTCGTGGCGGAAGGTACGGAACGTTTTGGGGTCCGAGCTTGGTCGGTTGCTCCTTCTACCTGGGCGCCGGAACCCTGGGATAAACAAACATTGGACGAGAAGCTCAAGCTCAACGACGCCGCTACATCCGCCGCCGGCAGCCGACCACGACGGCTGCGACGACCATGGACTCATACAATCTCAAAACCGCATCGACTTACATCAACAATCTACTGCTTGCCCGGGGCTTGTTGCGCAATGGCAAGCCGATTGAGTTTGCGCATCCATCGAGGGGAGAAGGGGGGAAAGAGGCCACCATGGCCCAGATTATCAACCTGGTGCACGACTTGATACTGAAGCGCGACGTAGGCAACCATGCATATTCCACGGAAGAGAGGATCCTAATGAACAGATAGCGCGACCAAGAATACCGCGAATCCATCGCCGACACGTTGCGAAACTTGCGCTCAGAATCGACGCGCCAGACGGCCGCCCTCGAGAAGCAGCACAACCGCAATGCAGACCTATCGAGGCAGCTCTCGCTCGCCCAGGCGCAGGAGCAATCCGCGCGCAAAGCCCTGCACACTGCCGAATCGTCGGCGCGAAAGTTGCGCGCAGAGATGCAGCGACTCAAGACGACCGTCGACCAAGTACGCACCAGCTGCACCAACGATGTGCGAAAGCGCGACAAGGAGATCGCAAGGCTTAAGAGCCACTTGACGAGCCAGCAGCGGGGCAACAAGACGGGCTTGGTAGGCGCCAGCATCACCATTAATCCCGGCAGTACAGGCTTGAGCGCTGCCACAGGCCATGTGCGCGAAGAGACACCCAATGTAGACGATCCCGAATACAGCCTGAAGCAGGAGACGACCGAGTTCCTGACACACTTGAGTCAGAGCCTGAGCGACGAGAATGACAACCTCATCGGACTCGTGCGAAGCACTCTATTGACACTGAGGGAGCTACAAGGCATGCCGGAAGTCAATCGCAAACAAGACACAGAAGAGAGTTCGGTTGTAGGCGATGACCAAGACGATGCGCGACAGGACATGCTGCACGCGCTACCCACCGATTACGAGACGTTGGCCGATGACATGGACACAGTGCTGGACAACCTGAAGAACCTCCTCACAAACCCCAACTTTGTGGCAGTGGACGAAGTCGAGATGCGTGAAGAGGAGATACACAGGCTGCGGGCAGGCTGGGAGAAGATGGAGGCCCGACTACGAGAATCATTTATACTCATGGACTCCTGGCGAAAGCGCATGACCAACGGCGACGCCATCAACCTCGATGAACTCAGAATGGGATTGGGGTTCGGTGATGGATTCGAGATGGTCGACAGAGAAGGCTTCTCTACAATTCAGGAAGAAAGTGAGGCCGACGATGCCGCAAGTTCAGCCTTGGAAGAAGATGTGGATGATACTGAGGAGCGGGAACAGGAAGACCAACTTCCCTCACCTCCACCGCACGAACAACCAGACAAAACAACTGGGCCTGACATATTCAGGATTAAGCTGCAACCTAGTCAGACAGCGCTTAGAGAGAGCAACGGTAATAAGCCACCTATCCGGTCGCCTCGCAAGGTAGCCTTTTCAGCTTCCATTCCGAACACACCGTCTCAACTTGACGAGGAAAATGCAGGCGCGTCTGAGATAGATCTAGTGGAAGTGGAGAAGACTAGTCGTCCGACCTCTGCAGCCAAACAACCAAGATCTGAAGAACGAGCATCTAGACGAACGAGTCAAGACAGACCACGCCATGTACGTTATGACCCCCCACAAACCAGGTCAGAAAGGTGGACAGCAAAGTGGTCCTCTCATTCCCATCACCTTCCTCCCTCTTAATGGGCACACCTCCAATATTAACCCTCGTCGTTCCATAAATCTAACAACTTGCGACAGAATAAAAAGCGCCTGTCGAGCCCACATGCGCACCCCGACGAACGATCGCCGAAGCTATCGGTCCAAGACAAATTACGAGAGGCCGCGGAAGCAGCCGCTGTAACCGACGGAGACATCTCCACCAAGAAGACGGACGAGAGCAGCGAAGTGCCCGAAGAAAACCCTAAGAAGCGGGCACCCAGGTCTCCAGTCAAGACGCGAGTCGGTGGAAGGCCAAAGAGGAGGAAGAGCACATTGACGCCAGAAGAATTGGCAAACCTCCTGGGCTGCTAGACCGGGTCGAAGCATACATTGTACTGATAATGGCAACATTAAGTTGGACTTGATGATTCCTTATGGCTGCATCAGCGTCTGGTCATGCAAGATCGTACGATCACGCCGCTTCCTGTCGAGATGCGAGCTTTGCATGTTGAGGAACCAGTCGGTGGAGTGGCTGTTCTGCGTGACCATCATTCTGCGCTAACGGGCAGGCCATGAATGCCAGTGTGCCCGTAGCCTCCATGTACTGGTTGCGGCGCGTATGCTGAGATTTGTGCTCAGCTGGTCTATCAGACCTCGCTGGGTCCACCCGTGCACTCGCATAATTTTGACCAAATAACAGGTGTGGAAGGCCATGGTTTTGAAGGACGTCAAGGAGAGACGCCCTATCTCATCATGCAGATGGTCGATGGCACAGCAGCAGCTCAGCGTCTCCCCTGCTTCTCGTGTACCCAGGGGACCGAGCACCCGATAGCAATGACATTTACTTAGTAGAGATGCCCGTCGTCGGGCAACGAGAATGTCACGTCTGCTGTCGCTTCCCGTACCTGATGCCGAAGTGTTGTGCCTCTTCTGTTCCGCCGCGTTTCCACCTCATTCCCTTTTCCCCTAACAGACCAATTTCTTCTAAAGACCATGCCGTTGCATGCACATTATGCACATCATTACTATCGACTCCGGTTTTCTCCCACATGGTGGACATTGTGACCGGAATGTGGCCGGAGAAATGGCTTATGCTGCATTCAAGTGAAGTTGGCGATAGGATGTTGTGGTTGGTCGGCATTGCAAGCCACTAAGTTTATTAGCCGCCCATTGTCCCCGTTCGGGACATTTGGTGATAGACGGTATGGAGCTGCGCTCAGACGATTGGACAGAAGCTGAGATGCGGGTACGAAAAGACTGTAAATAGGTTTATATGCGGCAGGGAGGATGGCTGCAGCGCCATCAAGGTAGTAGCCTTGGAAAGTAAATTTCTCTGCATCTGTCGTCAGCCCTCGAGCCACAATCCACCGTTGAATCTGCAGTGTGACAGAAACTTATCTGCACCTTGCACATCCCGACATCACATGGCTCACCCAGCTTCTGCCTCTCATTGGTTTGGTGTTTTCACCCCAAGCCAGTGCGCTGCGTGACGGCCCACTTATGTATTCCCCGCCCGCATCAACGAATGAGGGCACAGAAGCAAGACGCCCGGCTACACACGACAAGGCCGCCCACCACTCCCACTTCACCATCAAGCGCTCGCCGTACATTCGATAGACTGCTCTCCACACCCGCTACCAGCTTGCACCCTGCGAACATGGCGTGTGTACGCAGCCCAGGTAATCAATCGCTACCGGGAGCTGCGGGACCTGGCCCATAGGCAGCGTAGTGCAATACGCCGGTTTGCCAGCCCCTCGCTAACGCCCAATTGTCGCTCAGCAGATGTGCGATGGAGTTTCTATAGATAAGTAGGCCTGGAGCCGCTCACATCTCGTCTTTTTTTCTTCAGCAAGTGTGTCAAGTTCAGAGCTGTTGTGTTCGTCTTTTGTCTATTCTTTTTACCCCTCCCCTTCTCCCTCTTTACTCTCTCCCCAGGCCTGGTGCCATCTAATAATCACTACTCCATCGTCGACCTTTATACCCACCCTTTTTTACAGTAATCCAATTCTTTGTGGCCGGTCCACTTCAACGTAATACACAGTTCTACTTGCTCGAAACGAACTCTCGAACTCACAACGACAACGCAATACTCGCAAACCTCGACGAAACTCTCAACACACACAGCTTCATCAGCAATCTTGACGTCTATCCATTAGCTTGGCATTGGACGAATTGAAAGAAACGATTACATCATAATATCAATCTTCAAAACAGAAAGAAAGAAACAAAATCACAATGGCCGCTATCCAGCTCAATTTCACTCTCCGCACCTCCTCCAACTGCAAAACCGTGCACTTGCTCGGCTCCTGGGATGGCTATCAGGGTCAGCTCCCACTTTCCAAGGACCCCAAGAAGTCCGGTGGCTGGGTCGGATCATTCAAGTTCCAAGGACAGACTCTGAAGCAGGGACAGCGTTACTGGTACTACGTACGTATTCAATCTCATGTATCATGCGATAAGCTGGAAGCTTACAATTACCCAGTACATCATCGACGGCTACCACGTCTCGCACGACCCCGCCAAGGATCACACCACTGAGCCCACAACTGGCCGCAAGCTTAACATCATCGATATCCCGGCTGCCAAATCGACCTCAAAGACAACTACATCCAGCTCAGACCGCAAATCACGCCGTGTCTCGACCGCTTCCATTCCCAAGGGCCGCGGTCTTAGCCCAGAGCGTATCGTCGCACCGAAGCCACAACGCCCACACGAGACGCGCCAGGTCATCAACACTCAGTACGACAAGACAACACTTGAGGATCTCAACCGCCGCTTCGCCAAGCAGCAAATCGCAGAGTCGTCCGACGAATCAGACTACGACTCTGACGAAGGCTCCGATGTTCCCTCGCTCACCAGCCGCTCCACAAACAGCTCCAGCCCATCCAGTGTGAGCTCTGGTAGTTCATGCTGCACTTGTGAGGTAAGCTGTGACTGTACAGAATGCACTCAAGACATACGCTAACTTCATATCACAGCGCTACGGCATTACGCGCGCTGGTGACCGTGTCAAACTCGACTGTGGCGGAGCTCGCTGCGGATACTCCGACGATTCATCTGACTGCTCCTCTGAGGACGAGTACGTGTACGAGGAGAAGACCACCCGCCGCCAGGGTGTCGTCATCCGCACCTAAGTGCATCACGGTGTCTATCTGGATACCATTGTGCCGACGACGTCACCTGCACCCCTACATTCTTCTTTGCAGTGTGCCGTTGCGTCATTTTCAACATTTTTCTTCTGTGCATATTATGACTACGAATCTTCTTTCTTACCTTGTCTATCAACGACAATCAGCCTCGTATTTGCAGGCTGGTCTTCCGCTCTTTTGGGTATTTATGACGGGTTATTGCTGCTGGTACTGGGGCTTCCCACGGGTTTACGGATGGGTATAACGAGGCAATTGCCTGCACCTTATGACAATAGCTTAACAAGCTGATCAAGGACTATCACGACGCTGATGTCCACATTGTGCCAATGCACGCTCATGTAGGAACACTATAGTTTATCGAATCTACAAATTCGCATGGGCTCGTGCGCGGAAAAGATACCCTAGCATTCGAGATACTTGCCATGAGTGATCACCCGGTTTGAGAGTAGTGAAGTCGTTGTGCCGTCATCCTACATCGATTTGTCACAAATAATGGTACAAAAAATTCGTCTTTTCAGATTTGTGCGCTGAGGATCAAGACCTATCCTAAAGATGTACACACTGGCTCACTTGATAGCTTTCGAAAGTCGATAAGCATGCATAGCATGGAGATTGGACTTGGTTTCTATGGGACAGCTTAATTGAAACGAACTTTTTCACAACTGTGACCAGGTTATCTGAGGTGGTCATGGCGTCCACAGTTCTCTGATCTAGGTGCCTTTTCACTAATTTCAACCCAGAGAATAACCATGTCCATCGTCTCAAAATGGAAACAACAATCGCTATCAGCGCAGTATGATACGAATACGTAAGCGAGACGAATGCAACCCATCCGACATGTTTAGAGCACATGACCCCACCTCGCTGCAAGGCATCCCACAATCCTAGTGTAAGACATCTCAGCCCATCATCGGCCTCCACCCAGCTGCATCGCGAGATCTGGATTCGGTATCACGCGAGGATAATTAAGATGAGTCGGATTTGACCCGCCCCAATAAGGATACCCACTAAGCACTAAGCATTACTATACGTTTGACGGCAACAAATTCACATTGAGGCTGTGATTTTGCGATGCAGGACAAGGTATTGATAGTGCTAGTGGTGGAAATGGAAGTGTACACTAGTGAGGACACTTCTATGGGTAGGCTCACGTAAGGCGGGATCCTAATGTCAAGCCGATTGGCTTTAGGGCATATGATTGGAGTGGCTTCAACGACTAATTTGCCGAGGTTCCTGATATCTTCTTGATAGCTTGGTCCAGCCAATTGACATGTCTTATCCTGTAGCCGTCTAGGATGTGTTTCTTGCTTTACGCTGTGCGATTTGGAGTACTGCTGATTGGGTAACCAAAACCTACACTGGCTTGATGAGACTATGAACGACAGGGCAAACTTGAACGAATGAAGATACAGGAACGCTTCATATCTACATGAGGCAGTGTAAGCATTGCCATCGCCTGTCAAAGTATTTGTTCAATGTCCAATCAAATTTACTGAGTCGACTTCTTATCCGTAGAATCTCCTTTGAACTTTGAGCTAATGCAGGGGTCCTTTGGAGCACCAGCATATCGGTGACGGTAAATTCTGGCCGACCATGGGCCCACGACCCGTCTTGCCGTTGTGGATACAACGGCTGAACACCCAGCGTCTTTACGAGCGGCCCACAAGGCTGAATGAGGGTCCCGGCAGCGACCGTTCGGGAAGCCTTCGGCTGGGACGCATGTATTACTAGATCTAGAGTGTAACGATCCGAATTCAATTCTTATAGGCCAGCGAATGAAGCATGAGATGCGCTAAGTGTTCTCGAAGTATCATGGAAGCCTAACTTGAGATATTAGCTTCAAACAGACAGCCCTGGTTAAACAGACTACGCATAACAATAATCCAAGTACGGATAGTCTTAGTGACTATCTTGTCCGCTCGAGTCTGAATAATGGGCTCCTCCAAATCTGATCGATACACCGACGTGCTAGAAACATCGAGTATCGCCAAGGGCACAACTTCGATGTGTTCCGAGTCTAGTGAGCAGATGAGAGCGCAGGGAGAATCTGGCCAACCGATAGCAAGAAGCAATGGATGCCTAGCTCTCAAGCTATGACCGTAGGATAGCCACGCAAGCCGCAGATACGAAAATGAAAGAACTAAATTTCTCCAGCGGCAGTCGCGGTATCCCTGAATATGGAAACGTGACCTCCTCGCCCTGCGCCCGAAGCTACGCGTGGTCGATTACAGCGTGGATTCGTGAGCTTGCAGCGGAAGCAACGGCCCTCGTAGTGCCATGACGAGGCGCATCGTATCCACGGGGTCGTAAGGATTCGAGAGACTGTGGCGCAATCAGCCGAACCGCCGAGATCGTAGGTGCCGAATGTTGTTCACCGGCGACGTCGGAAACGGCCGGAGTATGAGTCGACCTGCAGTGTGGTCGGAGTATGTTCGAGATCTGTGATAGTGCAGAGAAGCATGATGCGATGACAAGTGGAATGGAAAGTGGCGGTTCTCACACCGACGGATATGGTGAGTATTGGGTATGTACTGGGAGGTTTGTAAGGTGAAGAAGCGGTAAAGTAGCAACCCGCTAAAAGTGGGCCCCCTTGGCGAAGATGACGTCGCACTGAACTCTTCAACACGCTACGATGCTTCACTCCAGCACCTGAACACGAATTGAGCTAAGAGTATACCATCTTGTCGGGTTGAGTCAGATAAAAGTATGGGAGAAAAGTGGGGCATGATTCTCCGTCTTGGAAGAATAGGCTTCGTTGCTGTAGCGCCTTGCGCAAGGCAGACTCAAACGTGTTCGTAAAAATAGCACAAAGATGTTGAAGATTAACGCTACGAACGGTAAGTAAGAAGATCAAATGATCTAGACTGATAACACTACTCCCAGTTCTACCGGAGATGGGAATATTCGTAACTCCCAAGTCCTCGTGATCGTACAATGTGGACCGAAACAAACGCCGCCATCCGTTACTTCCGTCTTCCATGCATGTAGCCCATCATGACAAACCCGAGACCACTTGAACTCCATGGTAATGCGTATATTTTCGAAATTGTGAAAAGGTGCGAACGTAAAATTGCTGAATTGACAGCACCGAGGAACCAGCTCAGGAAGATAAAGTGCGTAGTGATGAGCAAGTAGGCGTTATGAGAAAGGCGATAGTCCAGTCTTCGCAGCTGAATTCGAGTCTCCATACACAGCTCCGTGGGTTTATCGTAGGTATGCCGGAGAGTATCCACCGCTTCCATAACCGGAGTCTGGTAGGACGCCTGTATGGTAGGCTTGAGGTCGATGGTTGCTATGAGTACTGCAAGCGTAGCCAACAAGAACCGTCTTCTCTTGGATGCCATGTCCCCGTTGACCATGGGCGGCGCATGGATCAATTGCGTGTTTGTAGTACAAGCATCGGCAGACTGAATAGCGTTCAATGACTTGGTAGCACATGTTGACGGGTACTCGTGCGTGTGCGTGTGTGTGTGTTGGTATCCGATAGTAAAAAGGTGGTAGAGAGATTGTGAATATTTGATATAGCTTGAATGCAACGATATGAAGCAGCAGAGAAATGTGATAGGCGTGGAATGAGACGTGTAGTGATGAATTCTGACTCAACCTGACAAGCCGTAGCATATATACCGACAGGAGTGAAGACAGTCAGAACGCATAGGCTAGTGTGGGCCACATCCGGTAGGCATCGTTGACTATCCGCAGGTCCGTCAGGCAACGGGGACCAAGCGTAGGGATGAGTGCACAGTCAGCCGGTCGCTGCTAAGATGGGATTCTCAGAGGTAACCAACACAGCCATCGCGGCCGTTAGCTTGTCGACGATAGTAAAAGAGGCATGGTCCTGATACTCGGCAGGGGTTCGTAGTTGGCTTCTTGGAGGCTCTTTAGCTGCCGTAGATGGTGCGTAACATGTTCTGATTGGTCCCTGGTCGGTACCATGTAATATGCCCTGATCGCTGAGCACATCAGTAAAGCTGTGGACAAGGCGCGCAGCAGAGCAAAGATGCATAACAAGTCTTTGCGCGGAGGGAGCTAACCGGGGACGCAAAACCCCTGTAGCGCGCGGACCATGTGAGCGTGCCATGATACTGCACAATAGCTCATGCGCAAATCGGTGCGGACGTTAGCAAAGTAGGTGTCACGATACCTGCGTGAATCTAAATCGTATCTGACAGCTGGCTGGGTTCAGCCACGCTTCCTGATATAGTGATGGCTCGGTGGACACGGAGGGGCAGTGACTTTTCTGACGTCGATTACTCAGGCTCGGGCCTCTTCACGGACCACGGCGCTTTCGCTGGAAGGTACTCGGTTGACCCGTTGCGTCTACCGGGCGCTGTTACCGATCTGAAGGTCTATTGTGGGAAGAAGAACGCGAGTACGACGACGTGGACTTCGAGGTTGGGGATGGAGGGCACGTGCAAGGAGTATCGCTCCAATGGGATTCCGTTGTGGGGCAATTGCCAGCATGAGGTATTCTTGGTCCTTCCGCCCTTCCCCATTGATCACCTCTCAATGGACCCAAGCCATCTAATTGCACAGTTGATGACTTTACATGGCTGCGCGAGCTATCCGTTTTCACCATCATCCTGTTGAACTGCATGGGCCTGTGGAACTGCCTGGAGCTTCAGGCTGACCAGCTGAGTGCTGCCTGGAGACCTACGCGTTGACGCACCAGCGCTACCGTCGATATTTCGAAATAGCTATCTGTTTGCTTCCACTATTGGTCGTGACCACTTATTGAGTAACTTTCTGCATCTGTCGACCATGCAAAGGCCCCTCAATTGCGTCCAGGGTCAAGCACACCGCCAAAATAATCAGATGCGGACAGCTTCAAGATACTTCGCTCGCGCCATAAGTTTATCCATACAGTCTGGTCGATCCAACGGCAAACTTTTGGTTGGTGCGCGCGTGCGCCAGGTCCCCTGTTAGGACTGAATACCCTGCTGCCGGCTCTGGTACGCGGCTCGAGGCTGACTAGCAACGTTCGACAGTCATGCAGCCCTATGCATCCTCCCGTTTCCTGGAAACACGTGGTGGCGGTCAACATGTCTCACGCAGCCCTACCACGATTGCATCTCCGACCACCGGTCACGTCTTTCACGACCACAACCACAGCTCTCTCTCGCATGGTTGGTATCGTTTCGAGAGAGTGTGGGTGTCGCACCCGCCACATAATAGGATTACTTGTTCCAGCGAACGAACACTTTAGGCCCGCAATCTACCAGAGCATTTGGCCCCCTTTCTGCGTCTAGTCTCATCAGAAGACTGTGATGGTGTAACAATCCTTGGCTCGACCCTTGAATCAACCAAGGCTGTTGTGTTTCGTCGTAATGGTGCGTACAATCGAGCAGTGACTTCATGTTTGGGAAGCCCGACGAGCACAACCACAATCCAGCTGGGCCAAGGGCAATAGGCAGCACCACAAAACAATTCCGGAGAGCAAAGACTATACCGGCCGCATCTGCAACCTTCGCATGTAATCGTGTCTACCTCTAGGTGCCAGCCAAAATATAGCAACAGACCGGAATGCGACGCACTGCATCGGGTATCCCTTTTCCTCGGCCTTAAACTTCAACAAACTCGTGATGACGCGCGTACGCGCACACTTTAGTTTGTCATAACTGGAGTGAAGAAAACACAGCATCGATCATGAGATAGGTTAGCCAAGGAATGGAGATGCTATATTGCAAGCGCCACGAAGCTGACAGAGCAGCCTTACCACCGATATATACCCGCGCTTTGTAGTCCTATCATATCCTGCAGAAACGTCTGCATGGGCAAGCGAGCACTGCCTGTTTAGGCCGACTATCGCTTCATATGTTCCCAAGTAGCAATTCCACGATAGTCTACTTCACCGCTTCGACCCCGCGTCAGCTGACTTGCATCAAGCCAAATACCCCACGCACAATCTCGCCCACCCCTTCTGTAGATCTGGGACCGGGCGACTGTCTCGGGTCCTATAACGATGTTGGCACTGCCTAGTTACCACTCACCGGAAATAGGGCAAACGATATGCTCGACGACTCCCCCAGTGTCCGACAGAAATACCGATGATGTTGAGTGCCAAATCACACCTAGGCTCGTCCGTAGATGGCATACACCGCCTTCTCTTTATCTCCGGATGTGTTTGCTGCAGTGGTACCCCACATGTTGGTGCCACAAAAGCGCAACAACATGTGGATCTGCGACGAGGCGGCACGGTCTTGACCGGAATTCCTGCGTTTGGTATAAGCGAACCGTCATTCTCAGTGAGCTAAGGGCGGCTACGAGTGGAGTATATTCGTTCCCAGGTAGCTTAGACAAGATATACATGTACTGTAGCTATACTTATGGCTTTACATTTAGATAGGCTGACGCCAAAGCACAAAGTGGAATCACCAGGTCAATATGGTGCAAATAAAGTAATAGGTAAATCTTTAGTATGGATTGATAACGTATAAATGAAATCCTAAAAGCCGACAGATATCAATAAAGAAATAGACTTGAGGGTATCACCAAATCATCCTCCAGTGCCAACAGGATCAACTATCTCTTTTAGAACAGGATCCTCTAGAGCAAAAACAAAAATCCCCAAGCGCCTCAGTGTTCTTATAAGCAGTCGTAGCATCATAATATTATACATTTCCAAACAACGAAGCCAAGTATTGAGGTGTCTTTACATGAGGACACCAGCAAACACCATCATGCCAAGAGCATAGTACCCGGCGTACTTTCCAACCTTCAAGTTGATAGCTGCGCTGTCATCATCAGAGCCACCAGGCGCAGTAGTACCCTTTTCAAGTGTACCGTTGAGAACGAGAGTCTTGGTACCGTTAACATCTGAGACAGTGACAAGAGTCTTATTGAGCGCAGCGTAGCTGCCGTTGCCAACAAGGTCGTTGAGATACTGCTGATCATCGTTCTCATCGCAACCACACACAAAGCCCTCCTCGCAAACACACATGACAGGAAGAGACTCGTTGCGGCCCTGGGTTTGACGGACCCATAGTTCGCGGCGGTCGTTGTTATTGTTGTTGTCGTCATCGTCGTTGGTGGCGGACTGATTGTAGAAGCGGTAGGGATTGTTGTAATGGTAGGGATAGGTGCTGTACAACCACAAACCGGGCATGATGAGCAGCATGGTAGCAGGCAGGAGCAGGAGACCGGGAGTGAGTCCCTTGGGCGTCCGTGAACCAGCGGTGTAGGGTGTTGCAGCGCCGCCAGCGTAATACCGTCCGCCGGCGAAAGTGCGCGGTCGACCTGAGCCTGCACTTGTGGAACCACCAGCATTCGAGGTTGGCGATGTACGTCCGGGAGCGCCGCCTCCGCTGCTCCCACCTGAGCGACCACCACTGCTGCTTCCTCCTCCTCGTCCTCCTCCTCCTTTGCGACGCTCTAGGGTATGGTCTGGTGAGACAAGTTCAGAGGCAGGAACGACTCGTCGGTCTTCGAGGACATTGACGGCATTTGATTCCGGTATCGATGCGGCGCTGATTGCCTGTGCGGCAACGAGGCCGGTGAGAAATTGTGAGAACTTCATGGTGAAGTTGATGTGTGAGGGTGCTACGAGAGGGTCGCGGATGTAATGCACGACGCCAAGTGTCGGGTCGAGGTGATACCGAGAGAGTTACAAGGATGTTATAGTGGTAGTGGAGTATGCGAGAGAAGAGCGTAAGAAGTTTGCTCTGTGATTGTGTAGCAACTTGCTAGGTATAGGGTTGGATCAATGTACGACTTTGCGGAGAGGCAGGCGTGGGTCTTTAAGTTACGCTGGTCAGAGACATGGGTTGCACTGCCCTGCGTCATGAAAGAAAGCCTGGGGCAAAGGGTAAAGCTTGGTCAGTTGGGACCCGCCACCCTGCCAGCTAAGGCTAACCTTGTAATTTGAACTGGGAGCCTGACAAGCTGCCGGCGATCCTACCAATCTACAGGCTAAATTGTATGGATCTTTTGTGGCTGAACTGTGTTGCTCTTCGGGCGACGGTGAGCAGGTGCCGCAGAAGCGCCGTTGATCTGCTAGAACAAGCGCAGGACTGCACAAGTTGCCAGCCCGAAGTTGAATACCTGCTCACTGTGGACCACAACTTGAGCCTCCCCCTCCCGGAGAATCTTTCTTTGTCCAATATTCATGACGTGCGAAACGATCAAGCGCATCGAATTACTCGGGGGAGATGACCTCATGGTCGTTGATCTGCCGAGGCGCTAGAATGCTTTCCGAACCAGATGTGTGGCCAAACGCATCACAGGACGAGGAACCAACAAACCAGAGGAACAAGCTCAGCCGAATATCCGATTGCGCCTCGATGTTGTTTGCTAGTGAGAGACATTGTAATCGCTATGAATCACTACCATAAAACACCGTCATTGGTGCGCATATGTGCTCGTGCGCATTAGACGTATAGCGCGGAAACAGTAAACGCCAAGAGCGCAATCTTATGTATTGCCGCTGCATGCAGCGTTGGGCACAAATATAACGGATCTTGTACACTGAATGCCTTGGTGTCGAAACACATGGCGCTTTGCTGGCACGACCTGTTAACGGAAAACGGGCAGCATCGTGGCAGAATTGACAACAGGGACCGGAGTGGAAGTCTTGGCAATTGTGACAGAACATGATGTGCTACAACGCAGGGCGCCTGAAAAGTAAACGACGCTTTGTGATTGCTGGATATTTGGTTCCACGACCTTGCTTCTTTCTTCCGCTTGACTGTCTCTCTCTCTCACATAACTTCTTGTTGTGCGTCCAAGCGACTTGGCTATCCGACACGACTAACACCCGTTCTAAATAAGCTTTCCCACGAATGATGCTGATTTGTTCGCGTATGCCGATATGTTGTTTACTCCACATGCCAACCAAATAGCCAGGCCTCGAGCCGTTTATGTTCGCGAGGCTGTGTATACGCCGGTCCCTTGGTCTGGGTTCAACGGGTGGCGCAGCCAGGGCACGTGGTGAGCCTCAGGCTTCGTGACCGCGACTGCGGAATAGCAAGTCTGTTGTGGCAAGGTGCCCACTGTTCACCGGCCTTTGTACAGCGGATATGGTTTACTCGGGGTATCATCGTCCTTGATGTGGTGGTGGTTCGGCGGGGCCTCCATCCGACACTGTCTGATATTTCAGATATTCCTTCTCCAGTTCTCTCTGCATCTCAAAGTCGGCCTGTCGCTCGCGCTTGATTCGCTGCTGTTCGAAATCGCGGATGACGCCCATGTGCATTGCCTGCTACAAGTCAGATATAGTTGCCTGACCATGTCGACTCTAGAACACTCACTGCCTTGTCGGCCTTTTGCGACCAATGTACAAACGCGACGGTGCCAATCGCTGTGACACATGTAGTCGCCAGGGTAATCTGAGACGCTCGAGACATGGTGAGGACCGTGGAGTGATGTCGAGGTAGGTGAAAGAGCCTTGTGTAAATTGGAGCGGGACCATGGCGGGAAGGAGCTTGGGCCTTGGAGCACCTGCCGCCAAGTCCACGGCTGCATCATGCCTCTCCACAACTCAACCCTGTGATAACCAACATCCCCACGATACCATACTCAAGATGGCGAGTCTACATGTAGCTGTAGGCTGGAATCTTCGCTGACAGCACTAGTCCGCCCAAAACTCCCAGGGTATCCAGACCCTGCTCGACGTAAGGCAGCGCAGCCCAGTTCAACCTCCGCATAGCTCACATAGCACCTAGGCCGAGCGCGAAGCTCAGAAGATTGTCCAGCAAGGTATTTCGCGTTCCAAACTGCTGTGCCGACGCAGCTGCTAACTTCTCAACAGCCAGAGAATGTAAATAACGCCCGTCATGCCCTGCCGAAGCAGCGCTCTAACCTATCCAGACCGTACCAAGCGAGTCAAGGACGCCCGAAGCGAAGCACAGAAGGAGATCGAGGACTACAGAAAAGAGAAGGAGTCTGAATACCAGAAATTCGAAAAGGAGGTGCGTTGGTGGACATGATGCTCTGTACACGTAACGGACGTTCGAGGCTGACTATGGCGCAGCACAGCTCAGGCAACCAGAAGGCTGAAGAGGATGCGAAGAAAGACACAGATGCTAAGGTCAAGGAGATTGACGAGATTGGCAACAAGTCCGGCACCAAGGTTGTCGATCAACTTATCGAGGCAGTCGTGAATGCGCACCCCAAGCCACCAGGCAAGCAGGATTAGAGCGCCGACATGGCGAGTCTGGATGGAGAACAGAGTCAGACGAGTGAGATACGGGACAGACCTATGGCGAAGAGCGTTCCTTATACATGACCTTTGATGGACCTAAGACAGCCAAGGTCGATGTACCACCTCGAAATACAAGCAACAGGATATTTACCGCAAGTACAGTGGATGTAATCAAATTCAGCATGCATACTTCCTAAGCTTTCCTAGTCAAGACGGTTATCAGGTCCTCAAATGCATCTAGGTCTTACTCGCACCGTTGAGTTGCAGACACTATTAGATTCTGAACACATTCCCTTTCTACTGCGCTTGTCGTATCATACGTATGAATCTCTGCTTTTATCTGTCGGGGACATCCTAGGCAGGCTCACGTCTCGATCCATCACATGCATCTACATCTCTCTCGTTACGGACCCTGGCCCACGTCGATGGATCGTCGCTAGTTTCCCGAGGTCAGGCCTACGTCACTGCTGTGGAACTTTGTAGTCTGAGTCTCAACGCGCCTCCAAACTGCAACACAATGCGCTACACCCAATGATACGAATTTGTGCTCGAGTGACGACTCGCTCGTCTGCGTATACAGCCACGCCATTTCGAAGCTCACCGACATACACGGCTCGCCAATTTAGCAGCTCGCAATGGCGCAAAGAAGACCCGCGCATCTCAGACTTTGGTCGCGAGATCGTAGATGAGTTTGCCGTGATGCGCGAGAAATACGGTACATCCACGCCAAGTTCGCACTCATGTCATGACAACAGCTAAAGTTCTGTAGATACGCCTGTATGCGACGTCGTCCTTTCCAATCCGCAGCTCCTGACACCCGTAGAAACACACCATAGTCCTTGCCCACGGTTTACTAGGCTTCGATGAACTACGAATTGCCGGGCAGTTTATACCGGGCATACAATACTGGCGCGGAATAACAGACGCACTGGCGCACAAGGGCATTGAGGTCATCGTGGCTGCAGTTCCGCCTAGTGGAAGCATCGAGGCGCGGTCTGCAAAACTGGCTGAGAGTATTGCAGTCAAGGCAAAAGGTAAACAGGTCAACATTATTGCGTAAGTTACGAGACTGCAATACAACGTACTGGTGACAGTTCACTAATCGCGCGCAGACATAGCATGGTACGAGCTACACTATCATGGCGTAACACGTAGTGGCTGACATTTGCATAGGGGTAATGATCATCTGCACCTGACCACAACGAGTACTAAGCATGCGCAGAGGCCTCGATTCGCGTTACATGATTAGCCAGCTCCGACCGACCGACTTTAAGATACTTTCCTTGACCACCATAGCCACTCCACATAGGGGCTCTGCTTTTGCAGACTACATGTTTCAGACGATCGGGCGTACGTCAAGGACACATTCTTGGAAGAAACACACTAAACCATTCCCAGCTCGTCGGATTAAACGTGTCTACAGTGTTATGGAGTACTTTGGCTTTGAGACTGGTGCCTTCTCGCAACTTACACAAGAGTATATGCAGAACAGCTTCAACCCTAAGACGCCAGACATACCAGATGTCAGATATTTCTCGTATGGTGCGTCTCTCGAACCGACTCGATGGTCCGTCTTCGCACCTTCGCATGCCATTATCAAACAGAAAGAGGGTGTGAACGATGGACTAGTCAGGTGTGTACACAGCTCGCATTCATTATTCTCAATACCAACTAAGCACCTCAATAGTGTCCAGTCCAGTCGCTGGGGCGATTACAAAGGCACTCTGATTGGTGTAAGCCATCTCGACCTGATTAATTGGACCAACCGTCTCAAGTGGTTCTTTTGGGAGCTCACAGGCAGCAAGCGCAAGTATGAAGTCGCGGTTCATAACCTAGTCTGAATTAAGGCTGACAAGAAACAGTTTCAATGCTATTGCATTTTATCTTGATATCTGCGGTCAGTGACGACCCTTCCAACCATGTACAATTGATTTCTAATAAAGTTTACAGATATGCTAGCGAAGGAGAACCTGTAGTCCTGCCAGATGCGACAATAGCTAGCCATCAGTTTTGAACCATTCGAAGCCTAGCAATTTCGACGGCAAAGCACTCGTGGCTTGATTGTCTTACATGTACTTTTCGGATTCAGCGAATATTCTGTGTGTAAGGCATGCTTCGAACAACCTCATCTCAGGGAGGTTTGCGCCTGGTCACACCATGCTCATGTAAGACAGGGGCATGCTTCAGCCCGGAAAAGCGGCTATGGCCGTGGCTGTGTACAGCCAAGTGTCCGAATTGGGGGTATGACATGCTGGGCATGCAAACTCAAACTTAGGTGGAGACGCAAAAGATGTAAATTCATGGAAAAGCCTCAAATATCGCATCAAATTGAGCTAGAGAGTGTCATGGTGGTTGATATCATGAAACGGTCTGGCATCTAGTTATGACGTTATTAGACCCTGGCCCGATGGGGAACTGGAGAACCCCGCGCGCATCCGTTTTTGCGATGCGCAGCCCGCATCACAATCACTCTCACCACATGACACGCGTTCTCCTGGCTTAGCCGCTGCATCACCGACATACTTTCTGTGCTAAATTGTACTTCTACTCCCAGCCGCAACCTTAATCCTTGACCAGATGTCGACTCGCCTTCACAAGCTTCGCGACTACCCGTTTATCTAGGTGTGACCTGGAAGCCAGATACCAGCCACAGATTCTGAGCGCGAACCGCTAACATGATCGTCAACATAGTGCTTGAGCATCCTCACGAGCACTACACCAATCTCGATGTCATACAAGGGAGGGTCTTCTTGCGCGTGCCGAATCCGACCAACATTAGCAGCATTGTTGTGAAGCTTGAAGGCGAGAGCAGGACCAGGCTACTGGCACCCATACATCCAAACAGGCCAGACAAGCAGAGACCAGTCCTAGAAGTGCACAAGTTCTTGTACAAGACACAAGTGGTATGGCCGACGAATGTGCGTCCCGAAGACATCGCCCAGAACTCGAAAGCGGCCTTCACTATCAATGCTGGGTCCTTTGAGTATCCGTTTCAGTTCAAGGTATGAGATACAATACAGGTAGAGAACTTTGTGCATGACTGACCAAGCTTGCAGCTGCCTCTGAACACGCAATGTCAGCAGACAAACAATCCCATCTCTAATGTTTCCTTCTCAAATGCGATCCCCGAATTCGCAAAGACACCAACACAACACGTCAAGGCGACACTTCCTCCTACACTAAGTGGTTTCCCAGGGGAGGCCGAGATACGATACTATGTCAAGGTCACAGTGAATAGGCCGCAGTTCTTCAAAGAGAACCCGAGAGCGATAGCGAACTTCACTTTCCTCCCAATCGAACCTCCGAGACCAGACAAGACAGATGGAGAGGCATATGCAAGGCGACAACACGAGTTTCTGGAGAATGCACCGAGCGTGGCAGCGGGCAAAAGGCTGAGCTTCTTCGATAGAAAGAACTCGACGGGGAGTATCCCGCCATCGCCGACATCAGGCAGTGTACCACCTCGGGTAGCGATCGATGCGCGATTGCCCAATCCTGCGATCCTTACTAGTAACCAAGACGTGCCACTAAGACTGCTCGTGAAGAATGTCAGCGCGCGTACAAAGAACATTTACCTACAGATGCTCCAGATTGAGCTGATAGGATACACTAAGGTACGTGCGCACGAAGTGTCGCGTACGGAGTCGAATAGTTGGATATTGTGTTCCTTCAGTAATATGGCTATCCCAATTGGATCTCCGGAAGACCCTGTAGATACGGAGGTTCCCATCAATGCGGAGTACTGGTCTGGAAAGCCGGTGCCCAACACCGTATCGCCCAGCTTCACATCATGCAACCTTGCGCGTTTCTACGAATTGGAGATACGCGTTGGCATCGGTTATGGAAGCTACAAGCACGGTGAAGATCAGCTCATCGTTCTACCACTTAGACTACCAGTCAAGGTCTATTCAGGCATCGCTCCGCCCAAAGCTCTTTTGGAAGCTGGTTTCAATGCAGGGAAGCCCGGAACTCTTGCCCCGCCACCCCACGCGGCCCCTCGTCCTCACACTCCAACGACGCCAACCCATGGAGGCTTTGATAGTGCCAATGCCTTCTCTGGACAACCAATACAACCCCAGCATGCTCCTGCGTATGACGATGCCCCACCGAGCTACGAGGACGCGATTGGACAGGATCTTCCTCCGATCAATGGGTACAGAGGCAGTTACCAGCCTCCTCCTATGCCCGAAGGCGCGCCAAGATTTTCCGATGAGAAGAGACGATGAGGAGTCGTGCTACAGGGGAGCTCGTTTTGACGGATTATATCTTAGCAATTGTGTACTCTTGGTAGTTGTGAAGCTGTTTACACAAAGACGCGACGGATATTCTTAGGGTGCATGATAGGCAAAGCTGAAGCGTTGATGGTCGGTCCAGATGTGTCAAGAAGTGGCGATGTGGGCTGTTGGTAAACGAGGGGGTTTGGGCCGCAACAAACAAACAAAGAGGCACGCGCATTGCAGCCGAAGCGGGGGAATGCAGCATTTCTGAAGAAGAGGCGGGACGTTGTTCTGTTCAATGAGTATAATTACTAATAGCATTTCTGGAAACATGGGGGGCTTTCAGTATCCAACCAGTATCATGTTTGATGCAGTCGTCCCAAACATGTGTATCCAGGTGCGGGGCATCTTGCACACGCGCAAACAGACGCGCATAGCCGGCACCAATGCAAGCACGGCAATTGTTGTTGTTGTGGTCCTCGAATCGCGACTCACCAGAGCAACGTTCAAAGCCCACTATGCGCACTAATAGACGCGTCGTGCCTGACTTGCGGGATGGCCAACAGCCCTGCACGCGACTGGAGTGCTGACCGCCAGTCGTGTGTGTCCAGCCACAAGTTCCAAGACCAAGGCACAGACACGATGCGAGACTACTGCAAGAGCCGCATACACTATCCCGTGCATGCTAGCATCTGGTTGGCTGGAGACAGTGAAACGTTTCAAGCCGGCTCTAGGCTGCAGCCCCACTCAGACACTTGGTCGAATCGTCGCGTCCAACACCATATATACACGTCCTCCCACCGCGAGATGGTCGCGTTTTCTGATCAATTCTTCGGCTGCTTTGCGTTAAGAGTTGGGAATCCGGTGGCCGGCTCGTTGGCATCTAGGGGAACAATGTTTGACTCACACTTGCAGCTCACGTGTAGTAGCGTTGGGCCCCGCTTTGCGACCATGCACCACGCTGTGGTAAATACGGCTGGCTATGAGGCCGTGGCTGTTCCCGTTGGATTCTGGTTTCCTGAGGTTCGCTTTTCTCTCTCGAATGCTGCATGTTTGAACCGACTATTACAATTTACTTGAGATTTACTACGAGATTGATTCCTTGAACAAGACACGCCTGCTGTATCACACAACACCATTGCATGCGACCAACGCGACCATCACGACATGTACTCACAGCGATCTTCGCCACCGCCACTGAAGCGCTCACATTCATCTGAGAGCCAAAACAGTTATGCCAGCGCTGCGACAACCGTGTCACGCGCAAGCTCTAAGCTACTGTTTGGAGAGATCCCACTAACGCCTGCGACAACCGTAGATGGACGCTGTAAGTCGCTCCTTCGTAATGCGCGGAGCCTCTACTGATCTCATCAAGCAATTCGTTCCAATGGATCCATCTGCAACCTGGTCCTTTCAACAAGCTCCGTCTTTTTGCGCTTTTGGCTGAACGATACTTGCCGCGACAATGTACTGGACCACATGGAGCCCGAGGACCTCTCCAACTTTCGCCTTGTATGCCATGACTTCTCCTCCAAAGCTGCCCCACGACTCTTTGAGAAGATGACTGTGACATTCAAGACCTCTACCTTCTCGAAACCTGCGCGTCTCGAAGCGCTATCAAGAATAGGCCGTCACGTCAAGACTTTCACCTTCCACATGCCACATGGTCCAGACACCTGCTTGCCGCCCATCATTGATCCTTGTACTGGCACAGAGAAACAATTCATCTACGAGCCGCAAGTTCAGATACCGCAACATGGTCCAGCCAAGGACAAGGCACCCAAGTATGGAAGCTGGGAGATGCAAGATCTACTCATCAAGCAGTATCCGCCGCTTTTCCATGCCGCAACAAATGTGCCTGCATTTTGCGCTGCCTTCTCTGAACTGATCAACCTCACACATCTCAAGGTCTCGTGTCCAGGATCTACCGGCTCACTTCGACATCGACGGGGTGTAGTCGACTATGCGCTCATCTCTCTTCGCATCGCCGTCGAGCGCGCTCCACTGTACAGTCTCTCTGCCCTCTCCCTTCATCCAATTCACCCTGGCGGCCTCTTGTACCTTCACCCCATGCACGGCTTCGGCAGCACACCCTCCTCGGCCAAGCGCTGGTCTCAAATACGTCGCCTCTCAATCTGCATGGAAAGTATACCCTTCACCTCCAGCTCCTCACGTACACGCGCGCAATCCGTAGAACACCTACGCATCTTACATGCCTACCTCTCAACCCTCTCCCGTGGTCTAACCCGGCTCTTCTTCCGCTGGAAAGGCGAGCGCGGACCCTCTCCCTTATCCCTGGACCGGGAGCCCTGCATGCTTCCTAGCCAAGAAGAAAGCACTCACCCCTCTCTCCGCGGTCAAACTCATGGTCCCCGTCCTCTCAAGTTCCCCCGCCTCCGAGTCATGGAACTGGAAAACGGGCTCATGGACTCAGCACAGATCAGTGACTTCATCACAAAGCATAAGCGCAGCCTGCGCGAATTCAACTTTGAAGATGTCAAATTACGCGAAGGGGATTGGGATCTCGCTCTCGAACCTCTGACCATGATCACCGGTAGTGAAAGCTGGAAACAGTATCAAGAAGAGGTCATGGATGTTCCCATCATGCTGTCGCCTGTTGATGCTGAACCTAGGGTCATGGGCCCATTACTCGAGGAAGTTGAACAGGCGATTGAGGAAGTGAGTGGCAAGGAGAGGAGGGAACATGCGCTGAGCAGGTGGTTGGGAAGACCAAGACAGTCGAAGAAAGATAGCTTTTGGGGTGGGGGAAAGCGCTTTTTGCATCTTTCGTCATGGAAGGGGAGTTCACCTGTCATGGTAAGGTAAGCCTTACGTTGCTATTCAAGTTTTTTACGGGTGTACGACACCTTTGGTTTGGGTACTTGGGAGTTTTGCTGTGGGACGTCACGGTTGATACCCATCGGGAATGGTTTCTTGCGTTCAGTCTCCTTGCCTCTTTTCTTGACATTGTCCTGGCATTTGAGGTTTATGGCCTGTTCTCTCTTTCCATCATTTTCTTATTTTGTCTTTCCTACGCTCATTACGACTTCTACGTCTTTATGACCTTTACGACTATACCACTGAAATCATGCTTACGGGGGTTTTCACGATGATACGAGTAGCATAGCACAGCCTGACAATCTTTAAATGACAATCTCCTTCTGTTCCTTACCTCAATTCCAGCCATGCTATACTACGTGCGTCTTCCGAGAGGAACACGGTGCTTGTATGATTTTGAGACATCGTCGTCTTCGCTGCAAATTATGAACTGTGTTTATGGTCCAGTATGCTCAGAAGGCATTTGCATGTTTCTCTATACGAACAAGGCGTTGAGGATAGTACACTTCTCGATGCACCTGTAGTGAGAGAGAGTAGTTGCAAATGCATCAAATTCCAAGTACGGCAGAAGCCTCATGAATAACAGATGTTGCTCTAGTGCGGCTGCAGTAGCAGCGTCGGACGGGAAGGACGATGCATGGCCAAAAGCGGATAAAGCTGATAAGGCAATCGAACTCAGTAATAGATATACAATTGCAATATTGTGGTAAAAATGCGCTATGTGTTTCGATTGATATTTGAGTGCGGCTGTGCTCCATCTGAAGTGCGAGCTTATAGCTTAGCCTTCGTCTGCGCCTTCTTGAGAACCGGTTCCACTGGTTGGAAAATGTCAGTAAATCTTTCCCCTTTGAAAATAGGAACCAAACTTACATTTCGTCGCGCCCATGATGTTTCCTTTCACCTTGAGCTTCCCACTCATGAAGAGTTTCTGCGCATTTGCGTTACCAGAGACTAGTTTTCCAAAGTCCTCATCGCTCAACACCAGCGTGGTGCCAGCCTTCTTGCCCTCGGGCGCAGTACCCTTGCCAACAGTGCCAGTCTCTTTCAGATCAATATACCATGACTCTTGTGTACCGGCTTTGTTCTTGAGTGTGAACGCAAAGATGGCCTTGCCGTTCTTGACGGCGTCTTTACGGTCGGCGTCGGAAGCGGAGAGGGCTCGCGAGATCTCGTCAAAGGCAGCGGAAGAGGGGAAGTCGTCTAACATGGTTAGTTGAACAGATTCGAAATGTCGCGGAGCACACATGTGCGTACCGTTCTTGAGAGACATGGTGGCTATGTGTTGCTAGGACGGTGGTGCGGTTCGAGGCGATGCTTCAGACAAATGTATACGTAGGTTCAGTTGAAGATGTTTGTTGGGCTCAGATCGCGAATGCTAAAGACTGTGGGGTATATAACGACGTTCGGAAGCTTGTGACAGCAATGATGATGCATGCAGCCTTGATGTGAATCCTGGGGAAGCATGTGATGGAGCGAGCGGGCCAAGACCCTGAATCGATTATGCCGAGGCACTTTGGGGCTGAGCACGTGGAAAGAATGTGCCGCTAACTTTATCGACAGCCCTGCAGAACTCGCATCTCTTGCCTAAAATCACTACAAAGTTTAGCCATTCCTAACTGAGACGAGCAGTGACAGCATGTCATAAGGTAGTCGATGACTATTCACAGTGCCATACTTCGTGCGACAAATATACGCATCTGAACAATTCAAGCTACTGGCCATGTGCCGTGGTGTATGTAATTGGCCTGAACGCTTCTGCATCATTGAAGTAAGACCGAGACGTCTCCGGCATACTCGATCAAGAGTTACCGTACGTTCTCTACAGACAGTGCTACATCATTTCATCTTTACAGGCAGACGCCTTCTCCAGAGCACCTCCACTCCGCAGCCCGATTCCATGTTTGCACTTTTCTGATGACGTACCTAGACAATCCACGTGAGGACGCGCTACTACGCGTTTCGGCTCGGCGCGTTTCCCCTTTTGTCTCATCCTAGCAATCCATATGCTCAACTTCATTTCCAGAGCTCCGTTGTACCTACCTACGCTATGAAAAATGACCTTAGCAAGACGTTCGGCGAAATCTTCGATGGCGACATCTCTGCTTTCCGCAACCAGTTGCTAGAGATCCAACAAATCCAAGCTGATCGTCAGAAAGCTGAAGAATGGGTATCCAACCTCCGCTTCTTGGATATATCAAAAGTGCCCAACTTAGAGGTGGAAAAGAAGAAGCAAGATCGACGCTTCGCTTTAGCCCAGATCCGCGATTCGTTACACGAGCGAGTGGTCCCATCGCGCGAAATACCCATCACGCAACCCGAAGACGATGACGGCAAAACTCCATATATTGCTGTCTCCTGGAAGTGGACCGAAATTAAACGCGAGGCTCTTTACGAAGACCCCAACTCCCCGATTTTCGACTACCGGATCAAGAGACCAGGTGCGAAGTCTCATAAGAGTAGTTTTCCTGACTCCTACATGGATCGGGTGATCCGGTTCGCACAGAGCATCAACGTATCGAAGCTATGGATCGATAAAGAGTGTATATACCAAAGGCCCGGAGACGAGCGTATGTGGCCAGAAGACAAGCAGCATGGAGTTCAAATCATGGATGTAGTCTATGGTGACAGCAACTGCTCGGTGGGGTTACTTACCGTGGAGCTTGCACACCAACAGGATATCGACCTTCTGTCAAAACTGCTTCAGGGCCACATCTTCATTGATCCTAAGAATAAAGATTCCCCTAAACTAAGACCCGAAGTCAACATAAAGGCAGTACAGACGCTTATTCTTCGTATCCTCAGTGATCCTCGCTGGTCACGCGGCTGGATCTTCCAGGAAGACCATTTGGCTTCCGATAGGATGGTCTTGCTCATGCCATACCCTAAACATGGCCGTGTAAACTACGACTACGAATTCGGGGACATCACTGGAGAGCTGCAGATCAATCTTAAGGATCTTCGACAGAACGTGACGTTGTTCTGCTTGGCTTGCCCCGAAGAACGACAGCGACAGCCCAATACTGATATTATAGGGAAGCTCAAGCAGTATAACATCTGGAACAGAATCTTCATATCGCCTAGAGACAAGTATCCGTTGCGCCCCCGAAGTGGTAGCAACGATAGTCGTACTGATGGCAGTGAGATCAAACGACAAAATATCGAATTCAGGACTCCAGCTTTTTTGAATACTACCAACAGCGTACTGGACGACATTTGTACCCGGTCATTGGAGAACGAGGAGGACAGGATTGCCATTCTCGCAAACGCTCTGAGGTTTAGCAAGCGTATAAACATTTCCGAAGGGTCTACCATACATGAGCCAGGCAAATACAGCCTCTCGGTAGCTCTCCTTGCACTTATACTTATGAATGGGGAGATCTTGACGAGTAGACCATGGGAGCAATATGACTCAATATATCTCCCCAGCGAGAGTAACTTGATGCGGTACACCTTACGGTCTTATCTAACGGCATGCCGACACCCTTTCATTGTCCCTAACATGAAACTTCAGCAGAGGTTTGTCGACCGCTGTCGTCTCAAATCTCCGAAAATCACATCTCGTGGTCTTGAGACAAAAGGCTACCTTTTCGATTTATTTCCCCACGAGCAATTGGAGCGTCGAGCAAAACAGCATAGCACGCTTTGCTTGACTGAAGCAGACCGGGACGCTTTGTCGGACTTAGGTCAGGGTCCCGTGTTTCGGGGTAGAAAGCTCGATAAGAATGCACATATAGCGTTGGACCTTGTCATTCAGAGATTGGAGGAGCAGTGGCCAGGTAGTAAGCTTGCCAATTACATGCGCAGGCACTTAGTGCTCGATCAACATCCACTACGGCCGAAGGACGTGCGGCCATCTACACCATACGTATTAGATATGATGTTAGCACTCTACCAAGCTCTTCTCGAGAAACGAGAGCTCCGATTTGCGCGCCTAGTTTCAGCGCCACAAGATACAGAACCTGCTGCCATCTTCATCAAACCGGCGCCAAATGGTTGGAAGACTGAGCATGCACTTGACATAAATCCCGACGGAGAGCCTATCATTGCGAAGGTTTTCACAAGCTGGGATAAGGGTCGTAATTTTTATGACAAGGAACGATTGGCAAGTTTGGAAGTCGGCGTGACATCCGACTTGGAACATCAAGGGGATGAGCAGGAGCGAGGTTGCTTCCTTCACAGCTACGGATGGGTGAATGGGGTTTGGTATGCGGAAGGTGATGCAATGGAGACATTTTTCTTTCCCCTCGCAGGAATCACTGGACAAAAACAGCCTACAGATCGTTCGTCGAGCAATGGGGAAAAGAAGAGGAAGAGAGGAATCGACACCTAAAATAGGACTGCTTGTAAACGAAGATTGAGGCAGGGTTTTTAGCACCTGCAACACACGTCATGAACACGGCATGAACACGGCATTTTTGAGTCTGGGGTCGAAAGCAACTGATCGTCTTGTTGTATCATGCTGTATAGCAGCAACGACACTAGCAATGGCGTCATGCCCGATTCCCGAGGTCTGCCCAAACGCCACGGTCAGGGGACGCGCTAAGCCTTTCTCGCCACCTCTTCAATTCCGCCAACCACCACATCCTTGTATGCATAGAGATGTGATAGCATCCTGCAAAATGTCAATCTTTTGCGGGAGTTCTGATGACCTGATATTTTGACGATTTTCTATCCCCGCTCTTTCCCGCATCGCCATGCCAGCGCCTACAGCAACAAAACAACGTAAAGCGACTACTGACAAGCTGGCACCACGGAAACGCGCGCCTGTCGCCTGCCAATTTTGTCGACTCCGCAAGACGAGATGTGACGGTGTCAAGCCTGTTTGTGGCTTCTGTAAACATCACGAAGCACAATGCGTCTGGGGCGTAGCAACCGAAGAAATCGCGAGCACACCTGCTGAAAAGGAAATACTTCAACGCCTGGATGAGCTGAGAGACCTGTTGTCGGATGCAAAAGAAACTACTTCGTCTGCAGCCGAACCCCGAAACAGTACCTCAATACTACAAACACAAGAACAACCAGCTACGCCCATCACTGCAGCTTCGCAAAACACCACACTAGATCCACTGGCGAATCTAGCTTCACCCTTCACTCACACGCGTTGCGAGAACGTCCTGGCGTGGCCTATCTTCCGCAGCGTGGTTGACCCAAATGATGTCGCTGTCGAGTCATTTGTTTTAGAGTGTGACAACTCCGTGATGCTTGGCGATGCCATGCCAATGTCACCCAGAATTTCCTCGAACGCTCCGGTCTCTGGCTTGAATCTTCAGACTGATCAATTTTTACCGCTTTGCCATAAGTTTTTGGACCACGTACATCCTAGAAACCCGATGCTTGATGAGGAACAGCTTATCGGATACGCTAAGCATGTTACTAAGTACGGCCTGGACTGGGACGGCCCTTCGTGTCTGGTCGTATGTGGATTGGCATGTGCCATGTTTTAACTCGGACTGACCAACTGTACAGCTAATTTCATGCGCCCTGGCTTGTTACACTGCGCCTTGGGAACGCGGCGATATTGGTTATCATCCATCTGGCGACTCAGTGACCGAAGATGATGTATCTGCTCAAGCATATTACTTTGCCGCCAAGCAACGGATTGGTCTGCTCGGATGGTCTTTGGTGGACATCCACTGCCTTTTCTTCGCGTCGGTATACGAGAAGTACGCACTGAATCCTCTTCAAGCGTGGTTTTACATTCAGCAAGCCTCAACACGCTTGCAGGCGCATTTAAAGCGTCAGACAAAGACTTCATGTTCTGATGGTTGCACTGTGGGGTCAGATGGACTAATGCAGCGTGTTTTCTGGTCGGTTTACAAAGCCGAGCACGAATTGCTTCCTGAGCTGCCGTTCAGGTCCAGTGGCATTGAGGTTTTTACGCGAACCGACTCCATGTTTCCCTCACCTCCAGCCTTCGAAGAGGAAAGCAATGATGCCTCCGCGTTCAACGAGCAAGATCCTAGGTCTAAAGAAAGAAGCTGGGCATTTTACCTAGCCGAAATCTCCATTCGGCGCACAATCACCGACACTATATTTACCCTTTATCGTAGGGGCGAGAGGTACTGGCTAAATCATGTTGAGTCGCTAGTGCGCCAATGTGAAGATTCGGAAGAGCAGATCCAGCTGTGGCACTCGCACCTTCCGCTGTCAGTCCAATTTGATCCCGACGGGAATCCTGACAACGAGCTTGCATTCTTCCTGAAGGGCCGCTTCTCTTCATGGCGGAGTTACATACTCCGACCCGTCTTATACTATGTCCTTCACCGCCCCTCTCAGCAGGCCTTGTCGCCTCAAATAACGATTTGCGCTCGTGGCCTCGTTGCCCTGTGCGCTGAGAGCATCATTCATTATGATCAACATCACCGCCATGGCGGAATTTGGTTCGTCTGCCGGCTTTCATTTACTTCAGCACTTTTGCTGCTAAGTGTGGTAATTAAAAACGACATCGATGTTCTTCCACCAGCGGACTGGGGGTCACTGGTTGTCATGTCCATCTCAACTCAGCGGAAATGGGAAGCTCAGTCCGCCGATATTCGGAGATTACGAATGACTTTAGAGCGGCTTTACACTATAGTTTGTCATCACACCAATACCCCGACATGCCAATCTTAGAACTGTGGCAGAAGTGAAGAGATTCTGTGGTAGATCGATGCCATTCCAGCCTTCTTTCAATCCTCTTAACTGGAGCTTGAGGGCCCTCAATGAACTTGACATTGCGCGCGGCATTTCCAAGTGATCAACCAATCATATCACGTGTAATTAAAAACCGGTTTGACTCAGTGCAACTTGGAGAAAACGGGCTTCTTCGTGTTTAGTTCTAGCTGTCTAGCAGTACTTAACGTACCCAAATTCGTGGCCATAATCGAACATGCCAGTCTCGGCATAGTATGTTTCCCAATGCGCGACCATCTCCTCGAGCTTTTGCGGCTCTTTTTCCGCCAAGTCGTGTATCTCTGCTGGATCCTCCTCAAGATTATACAACTCCCACTGCTCTCGGCCACGAGGCGCCGTCATCCATAGCTAAAGATAGTCAGTACATCTATGTGAGCGAATTCGCTGGTACTCACAGCTTTCCAATTCCCCTTTCGAATTGCCCGAAGACCGAACAGCTCCCAACCAGTAATTTCCTCGGTCTCGTCGTGGAAACCAGGTTGGTTACCCTCTAAGTGCGGCACCCATGTAGCACCCCTAACTGGGACTACTTCTCGACCCCTAAAATTGCTACCTGGTGGTTTGACCCCAGCCAGATCCAGCACAGTTGGCAGGACATCCATAACTGTACAAAAGGAGTCTGTAAACGAGCCAGCGGGCAAAGACTTATCACCATCGTGCGATGGAGGGTATCGTATCAGACATGGACATCGTATACCACCCTCCGTTATCCAAGTTTTGAATCCTCTTGAAGGCGCCATCGATGCTGATGCCCACTCGGAGCCATACCAAATGAAGCTGTTACTAGCACCCATATTCTCCAGACTGTTATCATAGTACTTGTCGATGATTTTGTTAACGGTGCCAACGGTGCCCATCAACGGAAGGGCCTCGAGCATTGCACCTTCGGCACCGTTATCAGACATGAACAGTATGAAAGTGTTATCTAGTTCGCCGTTCCTCTCAAGGTGTTCAACTACCCGACCGATATTCTCGTCGATCGATTCAACCATAGCAGCGTACACCTCCATCTTCCGCGCGGATTCTGTGCGTTCTTCTACGCTCATATTGTCCCAGTCGTGCCTAGGCATAGGTGCAGCATTCACATCGGGCTTGACAATACCTAAGTCGACCAATCTCTGAAGCCGCTTAGTGCGGAGCGCATCCGGGCCGTCAGCGTACGTTCCCTTGTACTTTTCGATGAGATTGCGCGGCGCTTGTAAAGGCCAGTGAGGCGCAGTGAAAGGTAGGTAAGCAAAGAAGGGTTTTTCTTCGCCTTCTTGGTCGTTGAGATAGCTTATCAGTTCGTCGGTGAATGAAGTTGTTGAATAGAAGTCTGCTGGAACGTCGCTCGAGTCGCGGTTGAGGTACTTGTCGTCACGCATCCAAAATTTGTCTGCATACATTGGAGTGAAGATAGCATCCTTGGGATTATCCAGTTGTGGTTCCCAGTTGTAATGGTTGCCGCAACCGGAAAGGAACACGAACGAATCGTCAAAGCCGCGCGCACAGGGAGACGTCTCCTTGGTAAGGCCGAGATGCCTGCATGGTGAGCCAACGTCATCGCCTAGCGCATTCGTCAGACCTACCATTTCCCGCTCATGATTGTTCGGTATCCGGCGTCTTGTAGAATCTCACTCAATGCAGCAACACGGAAGTTGAGATAGCCTTCGTAGCCAGGTTTTCCTTCGTAGTTCTGCTTGACCGCCATGTGTTCCACTAATTGCCCAAGGCCTGCAATATGATTATCGGTGCCTGACAGCAGCATTGACCTTGTTGGCGAGCATGCTGATGCAGTGTGGAAGTTCGTCAAGCGAACTCCTGTTTCCGCGATCTTTTGGAGGTTGGGCGTATTGATCTCACCACCAAAGGGCGAAATATCGCTGTATCCTAGGATATGTCAGCATAACGTGCATGGAGTCGTTAGAATTACACAGACCTAGATCATCTGCGACGATAACGAGGAAATTTGGGCGCTTCTGTGCTGGCATAGAACCCATGATTGATGTGGTGTAGAGTACCTGAGTAGTGGTGAAACGTGCTCTGGATGAGCGACTACAAGATTAAGAGATATTAAGAACATGCTCTACCAATATCCAAAGATTGCACCTAGATTCTATTATGAACTTGATGCGCGTGAACGTAGCCCCGACATTGTAAGCTCTAGCCCGTTGAGGTACCGAGCTGCACATCTCCGTTCTTCCCCGTCGACGACCCTCGGATCCGCTAGCGCGTTTCTCATCTCCGTCCATCCCCGTCACCCTCTCATAGCTACTGACTCATGTGGATGGGACCACAGATTTGGGTTTTCCGTTCGCGTCGAATTCTTTCCCCAGATCGTACCGTGAGACCTGGGGTAACAGCGGGTGGCCCGATGATGCCATCCCAGTCCACTCTGTCGCCAACGCCTGCCGCCGAGGAACGACACGTGCGATATCCCTTAAGCGTTCGCAAACACTATATAAGTAGCGTTGCGCAGAACAGCGATACGAACTCAGCAGGTTCGCTCGCTAATTGATTGTTGCCGACTACACCCAATCCGACGTTTACTATCTTGTTAATATGCAGGTCACCGATGGCAAAGACGGCGTCTTCACGAAGATGTCACGATGTTTCAATGGTCGACTCACATACTCTGTTGGGATTATCGCTCTTAGCCAGATCAATTTTGGTCTTGATCAAGGCGTATTTAATAATACACAGGCAATGACACCATTTGCTCGAAGATTTGGGGTATTCAATGCAAAAATTCAAACGTATGTTCTCCAAGCAATTTCCCGACCTTGCACTAAGGAAAGAAAAGCTATGAGCTCGAAACATATTATCTATCCCTCTTGAGCAGTCTCACTTATATCGGCTTCACGTTTGGTCTTGTAACGGGCAATATCCTCAGCGCGAAAATCGGACGGAAGAAGTGCTTCATGGTGATGTGCTTCTGGGCCATCCTGGGCGCGATCATCTGCATAACCACGACAACAAACAAATGGCAGATGGTAGTCGGACGTATCGTATCGTACATATACATCGGTATGGAACTGGCTCTTGTGCCTGTAACGCAGTCCGAGTTAGTCCCAGCACCAGTACGAGGCGCCACCGTCGGTACATATCAGTCTGCACTACTTATCGGTCAGCTCATTGCGTCACTGATATGCCGAGGTACCGGCAATATCGACGACGATAGATCCTGGCGCATACCTCTTGGCATACTATTCATCATCCCGACCATCATGTTGTGCGCCGTGTGGTACATACCTGAAAGTCCGCGCTGGCTGCTCCAAAAGGATCGGCCTGAAGAAGCTATAGCAAACTTGCGCCTATTGCGCCAGGGCAAGTTCACCGAGGAAGAAATTCAACAGGAATATCGCGAAATCCAGGGCACATTAAATGCGACGGCCAAGAAGGGAAGATTCATTGAGCTGTTCCAGGGAAGTATGTACCACCAAGAACGATTACGATGTCTACTCAGCGTCGCTTTTCGCGGGTATCTCGTGTTTTGAACCAGACTGACAGGATTTGCAGCTAATCTAAAGCGCACACTCATCGTCTTAGGGGTGAACATATTCTTGCAGCTGACTGGGCAGAACTTCGTTTCAGTCTACGGCGCCATCTTTATCAAGAGCTTAGGTGTCATCAATCCTTTCACCATGACCTCCATCAATACTGCTGTGAGCATCATATTCGTCTTTATATGTCAGCTCGCAACAGACAAGACTGGTCGAGTGTAAGTTGTGGTCCATCTCCTCCGCTACCCTCATCTACTAATACGATACCGTTAGACCACTGATGTTTGTTGGTGCAATCATCCAATGTGGTGGCCTCATGACGATGGGCGGTCTCGGAACAGTCGCCAGTCCTTCCTACTCAATCAAAGCTACTATCGTGAGTATGGTGACCGTCTTTGGGGTTGGCTTCCAACTCGGCTGGGCTCCTCTTTCGCATGTCGTGGCCGCGGAAATTCCAACTCAGCGTCTCCGCGATACAACTTATGCACTTGGCTCCGTCTTCAACATTGCAATTCAATTCGCTGTTTCTTTTTCAATACCTTACCTACTCAACGAGCCGTATGCAGCGCTAGGAAGCAAGGTTGGATTCATATTTGGCGCGACCGCAGTGGGTGCTGTGTTGTTCACGTGGTTCTGCATTCCTGAATGCAGTGGGAAAACGCTTGAGGAGATCGATGAGTTGTTTCTTGAGGGCGTATCAGTCAGGAAGTTCCGGAAAATTAGAGTGACTGTACCGACAGCCCAGTATACGGGTGATGGAAAGAAGGTTGACATGAAGATCGAATCAGTTGAGGTGTAGAGCCTAAAGGCACGAGTCACAAAGCTTGATATGACCTCGTATTATTTATCGAACAAGAGCCTTGGATGTTTCGCTGTCTGTTGAGCCGTCGTCTAGGCATATCCCTGTCTGTGCGATACTTCTCTTGAATTATATTCTTGAGTCAACGCCAACCATCTAGTCATAGTTTATCGATGCCAGAACTCTCCCGCCTCTCAAATCACTGAAAACCCAGCTGACTTCAGATTCTGGGCTGCTTCAATCATACTATAGGGTACAAAAACATACCGGTGACGTACCACAGATGACGCCCTTGCATCCCTGATCTGTAACCCAACGGAGATCTCTAGAAAGCTCAAGTATTGACACAAAACCTGCGGCGGAAGGCTACCGGTCAAACAATGATCAAACTAAAACAGCTTGAAATAGAAGCAGTGACCTGAACAGATAATGAGAGAACTAGCGATTTACGACTACATTTAGATTCCTTCGTGACTGCTGGAATTGACCATCGGAGCTTGGTAGAATAGCTCCAGCATGATGCGATCACTAATGCCGTTAATCTGAGCTTCTATGAATATTAATGAAAACGTTCGTGCGGTTGGTTTGAAGTTGGTGGGTATTTTGAAAATAACTGACAAGGGGTTCGCTGTCAGGACGATGGCTGTGAAATATGTAATGTGAATCAAGTTGGGCGAAAGAGATATGGAGCCGCTTGGCTGCCTAGATATCGGTAAGAAATTGGTGCATAAACAAGAGTTGTTCCTCATTATGAGTGTGTCTATGTCTATAACGTATCCAAATCGTAAAAGTTGGTATCCATGGCGCTTACTAACCCATTTCTTGCGCTTGCGCGGTCTAGTCTATATTATAACTTGATCTATGCCCATCCGATTCTGTAAAGATTATATCCGCTCTCGTCACCTCGTCCAATACCCCTCCTCTTTTCTACGAACTCTGTCTCTAGTATCTTGAACGTTAAGCCATCGTCTTTCTTTGGACACAACTCAGGGGTGAATGCAGCTTCAACAGTATCGGGAATGCCTTCAAACTTCCCAGTCTTACGTACGGTGACCATTAGCCAGAAAGCCCCATTTTTGGCAAGTAGGTGGGCTGCACAGTCACGGAGCCAGGTGGCGTGTTCGGGAGCGTAGACAACATCCGATGCGATGAGGAGGTTGGATACCGATTCCATGTGTACAGGAGGTTGTGCCCAGTCTAATATGGCAGTGCCCACAGGAGGTGTGTCATATGAATTCGAAGGAAAGTTGGTCTCGATGTTAGCGTTGCAGTTCTCCAGAACAGCGGGGTGATAGTCAGTCGCCGTGATGCTCACAGGGGTAGCACCAATAGCAGGGAGTAATTTTGCGACCGCTAAGCTTACGAGCCCTGTGCCAGCACCAAGCTCAACAATCCTTTTTCCGTCTGTAGCACTCCCTTGAGTCAATCCGAAGCGTTCTGGGTCTGCACACATCATGCTACTGAGTACGATGCTGGCACCCCAGGATTGAAGCCCGACGGCTGTGTGGTCCGTACTAGATAGTGGCGCATCGTTCAGTGTAATCTGGACGGACTCTCCAGTGGATGTAAGGAAAGAAAAGTCTCGTGTTAGCGCCTCTTCCTTCTCCTCAGTGGACTCAAACAGGCTTGAAAGAACGAAGCCTGCATCATCGACGAGTCTTTCCCGCACTTCATCGTGGATGTCCATCTCTTCCGAGCGCGCCAGGAGGGAGTTCAGCCATTGGATGGCAAAAGTGCGTTCGAACGGGTCAGCGCGGAGGGCTGCTGTCACCTCTTCGGGCGTGGCGTCGTTATCGTCATCTTCGCCTTCGTCTTGAGACGCATAACCAGAATCCACAGGTTCTGGGGGTGACGCAATGGAAGTGCGCTCTCGTTTCGACGCTGGATGCGTGATGGCAGTTGGAAGGCGTACAGGACAGTACAAAGCCTGCAAATTCCTGAGTGCGGCGAAAACCTGACCTTCGGATGCCGACAGTAGAGAACGAATAGGTGGTAAACTGCTTGATGGAGGCAGACAACTGCCTGCAAAGCTGACACTCATTTGGGGTTTCGCTAACGAATGAACAGACCAAGAAACGCACACAGGGGAAAGGAACGTGGAGAGAAGAAAGGAAAGAACTGGAGAAGACGCGGAGACAGGGTTCTCCCGTAAAGAAGCGAACGCGAGGGACAATTTGACGATACTTAGTTTAGCCTCACGCCCGGGCAAAGTCGTGACATCTAGAACTTTTCACCGCCTATCGCGTGGCAGCGTGGGCACATTCGTGGGAGTAAATGCAGGTGTAAATGCTGAGCTTGCATTCTGCTCTTTCTTGAGGCTTGGATCAGAACGTCAGCTACATGCAAGATATATAGGTCATGAATCCAGTACGAAGAACTGCGCCTGTGTACATATGCCCTGGGTTCGTGAATTTTGCGTGGGATGGCGATTGCCACGTGGGTCGCTAAGCCGAGCCTCATCGGCGTTACTCGAGAAAGGGCTTAGTGTCAATTTCTGTAGGTTCCATCGTCCACGATCCCATCTTCGGTCAACCCCGGCAAGCTTGAGTCGCGCCAGCAAAAATAACCTTGAAACATCTTGGTATACCCTATCTGGAATTTCCTCAGCGACACGTTGATTGTAGCACTAGTGGCTTGGGATCGCTTTGCGCGATATGGTGCCGAAGCTGCTCAGCCCACTATGCCTAGCACAATCGCTCGCGGCCATGTTTTTTACTTGTTTGGTAAAGCATGGAAGCTGCTCGTGCAATCGTCGCCGACTACTCCCATCTACCACGCCTTAGTCGTCGCGCTAGCTAAATCCCGATAGGCACTTCTTCTCTCAAGTCGCGATCTCAGGTAGCCGTATGCTCAAAACATATGACTAGGTAATGGTGACTATACCTCAGCATACGTTCTAGCAGAAAGATCTCTAGGATTGCCAGATCATCGTTGCGATTGGTCTCTCGCTACAGTCGTCTCGCCCCGAGGCACAAAGACATACTCTTCATAGTGGAAATGAAATCATGATTCATATACACGATTGCAGCACCAGTTCATTAGAATGATAAATTCTTGAAGCTCCTAACCCCGGAAAGCTTCATCGTGCATTCCGTTGTTTACTATGTCAAGACATGAGTGAATGACGCTTCCAGTGAACATAGGCTACCTAGGTACACTTTCCTCGAACTCAAATCGCAAAGCAGAATTCACTTCGGGGCTACGGAACCCAGTTCATAGAATGTCGCTCCTGTTCTGTGCCCATACGTATCTGTACCGATTCGAGCATGTTGTTTGGAATCAGATCGTCATTACTCCTTGCTTCTACTTGTTCGTGCTTCATGTTACTGTCGCTTATATGTATCATCTAGTCTATGATTGGCAATATGGCTCACAAGGCTATGCTGATGGATGGTCGAATATACGAGCCGATTTTACAAACGTCAGGAGGAACTGGTGTAGTTGGGGAAGACAACGATAAGTCGTTTCGTCTTAGCGCTCAGTACCTTAAAAAGAGGGGTACGGCTCACTTCTAGCCTGTCTGGTCCTCAAAGGGCAGTAATCGGCTTTGGTGAGAACTACTCGTAGATAGATACTTCTTTATTAACGGTGGGCAAACTACTGATGATAAGACGACGCGTAACTGGAACTGACTTCAGAAGTGGGGTGTGGGCTAGGGATGGGCAAAGCAGGAAGGAGCTTTCGGGCACCCGATGTCCGGACCTAATCCGCCCCACCAACGAAATCTTATCAGATCCATTTAATCATCAACGTATAGCGGCCAGCAAATACACAATTTGATCAGAGGCCCGCGACTTTCTTGTTTGATGTGTTTGCCGTTACCATGGCTACAGTAAAGAATTTGCGCATAGGCGTTGACGTTGGCGGGCAAGTACTACGAAAATGAGCTACAGGTGTCAAGAGACTAACACTACGTACAGGACGAACACTGATGGAGTCATCATCGATCCTACAAAGTCCAGTGAAGATGGAAGAGGGATTGTTGCTTGGTATGAACGCGATTCTTGCACGTTCATCGACACGTGTCCTTGTTTATCCCCTTATCACGAACTTTAACGAACACATACCGCAAGATTCATCCAAACGGGATACAATTTTGTTGAAGATGAGAGCTCACATCAGGACTTAGGCACAAGGCTCCTACCACTACCAACCCAAGCCATGGCATTGCCGACGCCATCACCACCATGTTCAGATCTGCATCTGTAGACCCATCCTCAGTTGCGAGCGTGACGATAGGAACCACCCATTTCGTCAACGCTGTAGTGACTCGTGATCGGACACGCCTCTCACAAGTCGCTGTACTCCGTCTTTCCGGACCTTTCAGCAAACACGCACCACCATGCGTCGACTGGCCAGCTTCTCTGCGGAACATTATCCTCGGGCATTACGCTCTCATCAAAGGAGGCTTAGAAGTGGATGGCAGTCTGATCTCCGACATCAGACAACAGGAGATTGTGGAGCAATGCAACATTGTCAAAGAGAAAGGAATCAAAAGTATAGTAGTGAATGGTGTCTTCAGTCCAATCGATACAGTCGAGAAGCAAGAAGAGCGTGCCGCCGAAATTATCAGGCGCGAACTAGGAGAAAACGTCGATATCGTCCTTAGCAAGACAGTCGCTAACCTTGGATTTTTGGAGCGCGAAAATGCCGCGATATTGAACGCCTCGATTTTGTCCTTTGCTAGAAAGACGATAGCGTCATTTCACACACCAATCAAGGAACTCGGACTGAGCTGCCCCGTCTTCATCACTCAGAACGATGGTACGATACTGAGTGGTGAAGCAGCAAGCCGGCTGCCTATCCGAACTTTCTCATCTGGTCCAACGAACAGCATGCGTGGCGCTGCTTTCCTTGTTGGGAGGCAGGAGAACGGTGGAGCAGTGATGGTTGTCGACGTCGGTGGAACGACCACTGATGTGGGCTTATTGCTTGCGAACGGCTTTCCCAGGCAGCAAGCCGCATACTCGGAGTTGTCTGGAGTTAGGATGAATTTCTCGTACCCCGATGTGAAAAGCATAGGACTGGGAGGTGGCAGCTTGGTGAGAAAAGTTGGGGAGAGATTGCAAGTAGGACCAGAGTCAGTGGGGTACCAGCTACCAGAAAAGGCGCTCGTCTTCGGTGGAAATGTTCCTACAGCAACTGACTACGTTGTAGCGTCTTCACCTGATGTCACAATAGGCCAACCGGAAAACGTGCGAGGAAAGCTGCAGGCAGACAACGTACAAGCATTTCAAGCTGAGACAAAGATCATGCTTGAAAACATCATTGACAAGATGAAGACATCGCCTGATGATCTCCCGGTTCTGCTCGTCGGTGGTGGTGCGGTGATAGCTCCAGATGAACTGAAGGGAGCGAGTAAAGTGATAAAACCTCAATGGTCGGGTGTAGCCAACGCTATCGGTGCTGCTATGGCGCGTGTCAGTACTCTCATCGATACTGTCAAGTCAACCGAGAAGCAGACTCAGAAAGAGCTACTAGCTGAGATATGTGAGGAAGCTAAACAGAAGACTATCGAAGCAGGCGCCTCGGCGACAACGGTTGCCATTGTTGAGGTAGAAGATCTTCCGTTGCAATATGTCGCCAACAAAACACGTTTTATGGTCAGAGCTGCAGGAGACTTCGACTTCTCAAGGGCAGGGGATTTTGCAGACCTGAATATCACTAAGGAAGAAGATGGCATAGAGACCAGGTCGAGCGCAAGCGATGCCATCGCGGCGCCTTCGAGCGAAGATGCAGCTGACCAGGTCGACATAACACCGGAAGTTGACATCATGGGGTATAAGCCAAAAGTGGCTAACCGAGAGTGGTGGATATCAGAGACTGATCTCGACTGGATCACCATCGGTTGCTACATCCTAGGTACCGGCGGTGGAGGTTCTCCATATTCCACTATGCTCCGAGTACGTGGTATCCTTCGATCTGGTGGAAGCGTCCGCGTCGTAAGTCCAGATGACCTCAAAGACGACGCGCGAGTAGGAAGCGGCGGCGGCGCTGGAAGCCCAACAGTCGGAATCGAGAAGCTGTCTGCCGACGAGTAAGTCTCGTATCGATATGATACTCTGCATTTATTGATGCTTGTGCAGAATGATGGACGCTCAAACCCACCTCTACGATCTCATCAAGGGTGGTTACGCGACACATATCATACCTTTAGAGATTGGCGGTTCGAACGGGTTACAGGGTCTCGTCTTGGGTGCATCGACTAACATGAACATACCATGTGTAGATGGCGATTGGATGGGCCGAGCATATCCTACAAAATGGCAGACAACGCCAGTTGTGTTCGGTGAGCGAGGAATCGTGTTTGCACCAGTCGCAGTGGCTGATGGAAACGGCAACACGCTATATATGCCCACTGCAACGAGCGATCTGAAGGTCGAACAAGTCATTAGAGCAGCATTGAGCCAGATGGGAAGCTCTGTCGGAACAGCCGATGCCCCCGTTACAGGCTCTGAAACACGAAGATGGGCTGTCGAACACACTATCTCGCTGTCGTGGAGGATAGGAAGAGAGGTAGCCCGTGCGCGCAAGGAGAACAGAATTGACAGTGTGGCGCAATCAATCATCGACGCGGTTGGAGGCGCTGAAACAGGCCGCGCGCTTTTCAAAGGCAAGATTGTCGGTGTAGAGCGTAAGCTGTACATGGGCCACGTGTACGGCGAGGTGATCATAGAAGGCACTGGAAGCGAGTATCAAGGCAAGATCAAAATACCCTTCAAGAACGAGAACATTGCCGCGATAAGGATACCGGATGGTGAAGGGAGTAAGACTGGTGAGGAGAAGAACGAAGATGTACTCGCTATCGTTCCTGACCTCATTGCGGTCATTGATGCGCAAAATGGCGAGGCCATTGGGACGCCAGAGTATCGATACGGACTGCTAGTCTCAGTGATCGGTATCACTGCGAGTGATCGCTGGACTAGTCCAAAGGGTATCGAAATTGGTGGGCCGAAGGCTTTTGGGTTGGACCATTTAGAATACAAGCCCCTGGGCAAGTTTGTAAAGCCAGTAAGCGTTATTGATGAGTATGACGGAAAGCAATAAGTGTTAGGTACGGAGGTTGGCAGAATGGTCTCTAATGAAGAGGCCAGTGTCTTAGGTCGTTCTTTGCATCTATGATACTTCGGCTTGCTTCGTGCCGGGATACAATGGTAAAATGAGCTTGACAGCAGCCTCGTAGCTCGTAAATAGTATACCACCACTAAACACCGTGCGCCCTAGTCTCATCGTTGTGCCTTTCCAGAATCCTTTGATACCATAATCCAACAACACACTCTTCACAGCCTCAGCAGTGCTTGTACCTCTTGCGCTCTGCGATCGTGTCTTGATGACATCGAAAGGTTGTGTGGAGAGCGTTGTCACAACGCCTGCTACTGATCCGTTTGCGAAATTGACTGCGGTGTTCTGTTCGATGTTCTTGGTCTTTTCAAAGTCTTTGAGAATATTGTACGTTCCCATCCGGAATGCTGTCGCTGATGCCTGTTTGAGGGTAGTCCCTGCAAAGCCACGGTATAGACCGAGTATACCGTGCTCTTTCCAGATTGTTGCTGTCGCATGAAAACCGGAGCGAAAACGCTTTTCATTTCTGGCGTCATCAATAAGTGCCGTTTTGATGCGTTCTGTAGGTGTGACCGCAGTGATCGATGCGACTACCCCAGCAGTCATGCCAGCCAACAGATTGCGAAGTGGCGAAAGTGTGCCAGTCTCTGGATCTGCGAAGGATAACTTGATTTGATCGAAGAAGAGAAAGCGAACAGCATCTTTGCCTACTGAACCGAAGACCAGCGCTCCGCAGCCTTTGTAAAGCGCTTTGATTCCCTCATTTTGATAAACTTGAGTCACGACGAGGAAAGGGTTTCGTGGTGTCGGTACGCCTTTCTCAGCTCTCAACTGTACACGCGTTTTGGCAAACTCGAGAGGATACTGCAAGTGGAATAAGCTACTAGACCGAGGCCGGAATGCCTCTTTGGGCGTACCGAAAGAAAGCCTTCCACACCGCCAGCAATGCCGCCAGCTGCCAAAGAGACTATTGCGGGTGTGCTTTTGTCCTTGTAATCGTCAATGATGCGCTTGGGAGAGTTGTGGGCGAGCTTACATTGGCGCCTGAAACCATTTGTGTCTAGGGAAATCAGGATAACGATGATGTTGTGATGGAAAGTGATGCGGTCGACGGGAAATATCATAGATGCTTAGGTTAGTAGCCAGCCGATAGCCGAACCAGCGGCTCCGTTCCCGACAGCCTCAGCAACACCGATGCGAAAGCGACACGTCAAAACGGGGGATTACAGCCACAAAACCATGATCGCGAGGTTGAATCAGGGTGCATACACACCCATTGAGTGTTTCAAGATCTCGGAGACGGGGCTGAACAATTCATTTATTGTACCATGTATGATGACATCAGATCATCGGGCAATCCATGAATGGCTTGAGGAAAGATAACTGGATTACGCCTTGAAAGATAAGGACAAATTTGCGAAACTATTTGGAGTTGATCGTCGCATTAGGTCATTCATGTCCCGCGCAACTTGACCTGACTATTTTTGTTCGCTCATAATTCATGCTACCAAGACTGAGCGCCGTTCGCCCGCGAATATACCGAGGACTTTGTCAACATAACGCGCGGCTTTGAACTCGCACTCGATTGATCGTAAGACTGAATAGCCTGCTGTGACTAGGCGGTAGCATCGTCTAACTCGAACAAACTATCGAATCGATTATCCCTTGCCGCAGCATAGGCAACCATCTTCTCATCGCTACTATTGTCACCGCTCTCGTCTTGCGCATTGTTACTTAGCTTGTCCAGTTTCTTGAGAGCTTCGTCCACGTTCCAAGCAATTCTCTCAGCGCCTACTCTTGCCCCGACTAGGTTCGGTGCTCCGGGCCCCAGTTTCAATCCGGCCAGTCGTCCTGTCACAAACAGAGGAACATTGTCGTCCCACATCAAGTCTTCGTTCAGGCATGGTAAACCGCCAATGCACTTGATTGGATATTGTTGTTGGATGCTCTGAAGGTAAGGAATAGTACGGATGTCAGACTGGATACCGGTTGCAAAGACCATATAGTCTACAGGCGGGAGCTTGAGGACTGATTCTGCCGAAGACACCTCACAGGCCCATGTTTTGGATGGTTGCTCCCATTTCGCGGAATGGAGTTTGGTATAGTTACGTAGCTCGATCTTTCGACACGCGACATGCGAATCGAGAATTTTCCGGTAGCGTGGTGTCATACTACCTCCATTGCGGGCTTGTACAATCATATCAAAGCGCTCTACCGGCCATCGTTAGTCAAGATTAACCAAGCACGAACGTCGACTGACCTTCATCTGTGTCTGCCGTCCAGAACTCAGCTTGCTTGAAGTTCCGAAACTTGCCGACCCACTCTAAATCTACGTCGAAATGTTTGACCTTAAGTGGTCCACGCATGAGCATCCACACTTTGTTGACGCCCCGCTTAATCGCCAAATCTGCGAGTTGGATGCTCGTCAAGCCGCCACCGACGATGAGCATACTCGTCAGCTGACGAGCCTGAATTTTAGCCATCACATGAGATGGTGGAAATTGCTTAATCTGCATCGCGTGAGCAAAGCCTTCGTGTGGATGTTGAGTAGGTAGACCAGGAACGAGGGGTATCGATGGCGCATTCCCAGGACCGACAGCCAGCACAACTAGATGTGCAAAGCGTGCGCCTTGGTCTGTTTCGACCCGAAATACTTTTCTCTCATCCGCCACTGCACCATCAGAGATGAAACTTCTGAGCTCTGTCTTGTCAAACTTCGAAACCTTGTCATATTGGATGTCCATGACGCTCTCTTTTCTCAATAGATCCTTGCCAAGTCGATATCTCTTGATAACCTCTTCACAATGCGCATCAAATAGATCGGTACGTGGCACATAGTAATCTTTTCGATCCCTTTCATCCACATCGGGTGTGCGACCCAAAAATCGCCCTTGCGTCTTCAAGTTCTTCTTCTTTTTATGCTTGCTGACTTCCTTTCCGGCAACGCCAGGCAAAGCTTGAATGTCCTTCTCCCTCTCCTTTTCATACGTGTACCCGAGCAGTGCATCACGATCAGCGGGATCAACGTGAAAGAACATCGGACTTCGAAGGTAATCGATGCGAAAGGTTTTGAAGAGGCGTTTCCATTTGGACATCCAGTCTGCGCCATCTGCATCGAGAACCACTATGTCTATGAATTCATCGGTTGGTACATCATGATCGCAGCCACATTCTGAGCTACCGGGGGTGGAGGGTGGCGTTGGTAATGAGTCCTTATTCGTTCGGTAGTTTTTGATGTTCATTTTTCGGCCATGTTTCCGGATCCAGTGGTATCGTTGGTGCTCATCGTCTGTGAAGGTTGCCGATGGTGTGTGTTCACGGAGTCGTGCTGCTACTGCTAGGCCTGATGGCCCGCCACCAATGATAAGGACGTCGTGAATGTGCATTGTGTTGCAATCCTAGAATACTGACTTGGAACCCTGATGAAATGTGTGAATTAAGAAACCTTGAAGTACTTCGAATGTCTTGCCCGTGTGAGTACCTGATGGCTAGCGTTCCAAGTTGGGCGCATCCATCATGGTGCTAAAGGTACCCGATGACGAGGACACGACTTCACTCAGACGACGGGTCGATGTCAGTGTCGGATCCCTTCGAGTGCATCTTCAATAATGCCTTGCTCGGGGACGAGTAGTCAGTCGGGTGTGTGGGCGCAAGTAGAGCTCATCCTTGTTCATGGGAATTTGTCTATTTTTTTTTTCAAACAGCATGATATGGCTCGTGATCCTTAGGGCCCTCAGTCGTTGCAGACGTCCGCCAACTCGCAGGAGTACTCAAACTCGACACCCGCTGTGATCTCGCGTCTTCCATCTCGATCGCACTGGTGATAAATTGTGGATCGTTGTCTTCTCTCTGTTTCCCCAGACCGCCATTCATGTCTTCTTGACTTTCTGTACGTCGGAAGATATCCCGAAAGCCTCTAGGTATTTGTTGTTGTCTGGGTTCTGGCCAATAAGCGTGGGTATGCGAGGACTGTTGCGCTCGCGTGACAGAGCTAGGCCCGTATGGACTATCAGCACTATACGTGTGCGAGTTCCAGTTTCTTAGGCCAAAGACGCGTTGAATGAGTGGATAAGTGAGGGGCAAGTTGGCGCAGAGTATAGCTGTATATGACTCCCGAAGATACCAGATCGTCCACTCAGTCCCGAATGGGTTCGTAAATGAGTAGTACTTATTGAGAACTGCAGCAACAATAGTGAATGCCCCTATGCAGAAGATCACAAACAGTATAGTCTTATTCTTCTTGGGTAGACGAACTTTGAAGAGCAGCGGCATGGGTATGCTTAGGATGATCAAATCGCTGGAAATGTTGAAGACTGCGTTGGTGATGAGATGGTTTGTTGCTGCCGAACATTGTTCTGTTATCGTAAGTATTGTGTGAACACAGGCAGCAAAGTCACTCACTCGAATTGGGAGGTACTGCCCAATATTGATTGAACGGCCTGCACCAAACCCCAAGATATAGTACTTCCATGACCACGAATGCGACAGCGACGTAGATAGAGGTAGCGACGACGATTTTGTGTTGCGGCAGAACGAGCGTCATTCGGTTGTACATTATGAGCAAGCAGGCCTTGACCAACCATATCGTAAGGAGTTGCATCTGCTCTACTACCAAGACGAGCTTGGACCCGTATACACGCATCTTGATCTCAGCCTTGGAGTATTGAGAGACATCGTCTCCAGGCGGTATCAAGTTGCCTAAAGTTTGACACAAGAAATCAGCAGATGTCGCACTTGTAGATCATACATGGAAATTACGTACTACTAGTCTTTGCAATTTGATGCATGATAGCGATAAGCACTGTGTCTGTAGCCTTAGGTATCGATCAGCACCTACAGTCGTTCAACAATGTGAATCACAAACCATAGCTACAAGAATTAGGTAATCATCCAATTGTAATAACTTCCATGATCCACGGTGTATTCTTCGCGAAATAAGTCGAATAATGACAACGACCCAGCAAACGCCATAGAAGATTCCAGCTTCGGGGTCGAGAACTCCCGACATGGGTATTTGGTTGGCTCGAGAGCCAAGGGAGTTGTGAAGTTCAGGAGTTGGGCCAGCAAATGGCGACTAGTCCGGGATTAGGTTGCTCAGGGCTTTGGTGGCTGTTAATTAAACGTAGTTAAAAGTATCGTGTATAGGTTTTGAGGAGCGATAGGGACCACGAGGGGTTGGAAAACAAAATAGATCGTCGAGAAAAAATGCCGAGCGCCCGGTCAGCAGCCGTGTTGTGAACCACGGGTGCAATCTCGTGAAAGGCGGGAGTGAATTCAGCAATCACTCGGCATTACTTTGTGATGTCGGGGGCTTTTCGTCACTGGTAGCTTCATTGACAGTTTGATGGGCGCTCTGGGATGTTGCTTGGAAATGGCGCTCTGGGGTATCGTTGTGGGCGGTCGCTCTAGGGTGGTCGCGTAGTGTTCCAGGTGGAAGTATTTGGGCTGAGGAGACAGCGCTCAGAAAGTGAGATCCCCCGGACCCCAAGATACCAGGCTAGACACCAAAAGTGTCGCAAGCGCCACTTTTAACGGAGCTGTGCGTTCTTAATGATCTGCGCAATCGACTAGAGACGGACGTCGAGCTTCGACACTTGTGGGACTGGCGGTAGCGTTGGATTGGATGACGCGCTCCCGACAGCCTCAACCCAGGGCTGAGTCGACCGATTCAAGTCCACAGTAGTATCGCAATGTTGGTTCCTGACCGGAAACCTTTTGCGACGTTTTGTGGTACGATTGAAGAAGAAATGTTACAGCAAATCAAATTCGTAACGGGGTTTTCGGCGCTGCTTCGGTGATTTTGCAGTGACGCAAAGTGCGACTTCAGGCGACCAGTATTCATATCGTGAGTATCTTAGACCAGCCGTTAACAATGTCTCTGCGGGCTTGACTCGACAAGAATTTCCCTGTGACATTGCAGCGGAAAGGCCAATGCTCCAGGAAACTTTCGCGGCGCGTGTCAGCTCGAATGAGTGACATGTTTACGGGCCGGGCGGCAGCGCTATTTGACGCCTTTTGGGGGGCTTAGGTTAGCCAATTGGCGGGCCGTGGCCGTGAGCGTTCAACTCACCACTCACCACCCGCACAATTATCGGCCTTGCTTCAGGCGTTCAGTAGGAAAAGTAGGAAAAATCGCGCAGTTACAACAAGCTTTCAGAAACCTTGTCGCAGATAAAGACGAAGGAAAAGCGCTGTCATGGGCACGCTTGGCGAAGGCGGTGTCTCCGCCTCACAAGCAGGGGCGAACGGAAGTAGCAGTGCGACGTCGGACACAGTCAGCTTAAAAACCCTGGAATGCAGGCACAGTAACCATGAGGTACGTCCGCACAGCTGATGACTCCTTACTACCATCATTGTCAACTATCAAACTTGCAATGCCCAGCGAAGAGGCAAGAAACTCTCTAGAAAAGTATTCAGAAGAAAATGGGAGAGGCATGCTTGTTTAGCAGCCATGATAGCGAGGCCAACACGCAGATGATCCTGAGAACATTAAAACAAACCTGTGCGGAGAGCACAACGAGGACCAAGACCGCGACCAACAAGATGCAATCCTTGAACGCTTTGAGCGAAGGTGCGGCCGTCATTTAGCGGGCGACATCGCCGTCGCCTTTCTTTATTCACGGAGCAACGCAGTAAAGCGAATCATCGACTCGCGAGTTGGACTTCATACCACCATACCCGTCAGGTCGGGGCCAGTGCTATCTCCATCAAGAAAGGCTTGAACAATCACGACCTCTGCCCAAATCCACGAGATATGGACCGGATTTGATTTAGGCTTCTACAGCTTGACAAAGATCAGAGATCAGTCGGATCAGGCCATGACAGCGCTCTCAGAGATCAGTGCTACAACGCCAACGATAGGGATTTGTTGAATGTACTCCGAGAACGTACACTGATCTACCAATACTAGCGCAGCTGTAGGATAGCAGTGAAGGCAAAGAGGAGGACACGGTTGGAAGAAGATGAAGATGTGGGTCTTGGGAGAACAACACGCACCCGCCTTCTTCGCTGAGGCGTAATCTTCTACCGCCCATACTGCAAAGTCCAAGAATCGACACAATACCGTGGCCTATGGCTTCGTCTTACTACACGGACTAGAGTATGGACTATCCTGTCTGTATTGTCGAACTTGCTGTGTTCCAAACATCTATATTCCTATTGTATACAATTGTGAATACCTGCAGGATACACCTTAGTAGTTGCCAAAGGAGACACAGGTTGGGAAACCCGAGCTTCCTTACACAAGGCTCTTCGGTTATTTGTGTCTGGTCGGCTTTTCAGAGCATGTTCACTTGGCACTGAATATTCAACGTAGCCTTGGTTTACAGCATCGATACGTCCTACGGATAAGCTTTGATCAGCAGCATCTATGGGGTAGGCATTAGCGATGGGATCGACGGGCGGGATAACAGTTCATCGTGTGCTACTTGGCTCAAGATCAGTAATCCGCGATCCAAGCGAAGCAAGCGTATCACTGGAGTCGTCTGCGAAGTAGCAGCTCTTAGAACATTTTGCAAAAGATTGCAATTGAGCATGAGCTGCTGAACTTACAAGGAAGGCATGTTCGTAGCTACGGTAAGCAATTCTCGACTGTTCGGCAGTGTCACCACGGCGATACCAAGGCGGAGCTTATCGCTCCTCCAACGCCATGTGGGAACCCACGGATGAGGCCGTTGTACGGAGGTCTATACCTGATGAAGCATGTCCAGCCGTATCGCAGTGTTGTAGGACGAAAACCTTAGCGCTAGATATCGGAATGATTCCGTCAGAGCACCCGTGGATCCCCAATCTTGGTCAACGCAAACACAAACACAAGCAAGCTGCTTGTCTTCATCACCTACGATTTTAACAGATACTCTTACGCCCGTGTCATGGTACAAGATGCTATCGATTGAACATGCAGTTGCCTGATCTCCTAGGGTCATCAAAGACAGCTTCTTCGCAATGTGTCTTGAGCTCGCGTGCCCCTGCCGGCCCGCGATCTCCTCCACACCTCCTACTGTCTAGGGTAGTCTAGCCGGACGCCGAACCGTGCACTGATAAAGAGATAGCATCCCGCTCGTCGTCATTCGCCGCGCAAACGCCTATCACCCATACTAATGGGTTATGACGCTGCTTTGGGCCGCTGCCCATGTGTTGCAGCATGGCTTCGCGTGTACTCTCCCGCTTGGTGTAGGGACACCCCGCTTACGACCCTGCTGCACAATGGTATGCAGACTAGGGTATGGGCGTATATAGATGAGTTGCTGCACTTTGCGCGTTGCTAGAGTTTTAGTGTACCGGTTCGTGTCGCGATCTTTTCATTAGTCGGGTGCGTTCTTCGACTGCGACTGCGACGACGACAACAACGCGCGTATGCGTTTTCCCTTGCAACAATGACGACTTCTCACCATCGGAACCCCTCCGTCGCGGAAGAACCTGTGACTTCTGTTCTTCCAGACGGCGACATACCTTACGATCCCACGCATTCTTTGAACCCGGATGAAGAGGTTCTGGCGGCACTTGGTTACAAATCCGAGTTCAAGAGAGAATTTTCCCTCTTTACCACATTCTGTGTCAGTTTCGCAGTTCTGGGTCTACTGCCCAGTTTCGCATCTACACTGTATTATGGCATGGGCTATGCAGGGACAGCTGGCATGACCTGGGGTTGGATCGTAGCCATGATAGGAATTCAATGTGTGGCTATGAGTATGGCGGAGCTGTGCAGTAGCATGCCGACGAGTGGAGGGTTATATTATGCTTCTGCCGTCCTAGCACCACCTGGTTGGGGACCTTTTGCTGCGTGGCTCACTGGTTGGAGTAACTGGCTCGCTCAGATTACAGCGGCACCGTCCGGCAAGTACAAAACCGTCATCCCTTGTTGATGATTACGGGCAAAGAGTTGACTGTTCGAGCAGTCAATTATGGAATTGCGGCCATGATACTTGCGGCGGCTAGTATCAACGATCCATCTTACGTCCCCACAGACTATCAGACGTTCTTGCTAACCGTCTTTATCATGATACTGCATGCCATTCTTTCCTCGATGCCGACACGCTGGCTCGCACAATTCAATTCTGCTGGTTCGACATTCAACTTCATCGCGCTCGTTGTCGTCATCATCATGATACCAGCCGGCACAGACCGCACAGAACGTGGCCTTCCTCGTTTTGCTCCTTCAAGCGAAGTTTGGGGCACGATCTATGAGGGAACATCCTTTCCAGCCGGCATCTCAGTTTTGATGTCCTTTATCGGCGTTATCTGGACTATGTCCGGCTACGATTCACCGTTCCATCTTGCAGAAGAATGCTCTAATGCGAACATCGCTTCTCCGCGCGCTATCGTCCTAACGTCGGCCACCGGGGGTATATTTGGCTGGTTCCTGCAGCTGGTTGTTGCATACACTGTCGTTGATATCGACCTAGTCCTTGACTCGGAGCTTGGGCAGCCGTTCGCCGCATACCTGATGCAGTGTATGTCGCAAAAGATGACATTGGCCATCCTTGCCCTAACCATCATCGCGGGGTTCAGCATGGGTCAAGGGTGTATGATTGCCGCAAGCCGAGTCACATTCGCCTATGCTCGTGATGATTGTTTCCCTCTGAGTAAGTACTGGAAGAGAGTCAACCGACATACTCAAACGCCTGCAAACGCCGTGTGGTTCAACTGCGCAGTCGGTATACTGTGCCTGCTGCTCATCTTTGGTGGAGAGTTGGCAGTTGGAGCGCTGTTCTCGATTGGCGCTATTGCAGCTTTTGTGTAGGTTTATGTCATCACAGTAGGATTTCTCTGCTGACAGCGGATAGCGCATTTACTATACCAATCTTCATCCGCGTCTTTCTTGTAGGGAACCGTTTCAGACCGGGTCCCTGGAACCTAGGGAAGTACTCTAGCGCAATTGGCAGCGTCGCATGCGTGTTCGTCTTGCTTATGATACCTATCCTATGTTTCCCCAGCATAACCGGAGCAGACTTGACGTAAGGCCCAACAGAACCTTGGTATTATCCCGAAAAGACTAACATACTCGCAGTGTTGCAGACATGAATTGGACATGTGTTGTCTACGGTGGCCCAATGTTGTTGGTAACGATATGGTGGTTCGTTTCAGCGCACAAATGGTTTAAAGGACCAAAGGTAAACATTGAGCACATGATGCTCGGACGAGAAGAGGCCGTGGTTGTCGGACAGGGGTCGGTAGATGGGAAGGATGGCGATAGCTCGTTGGGGGATGTAAAAGCGCCAGAAAAGATTACCAAATCTTGAGTAGAGGCTTCTCTGTCGGTACATGATGCGTCTGTTGCCTTGTGCGAGAGGCGCAAGAGAAGAGTTTTGCAGAATTCGAGCAAATGGACCTATGTCGCTATCGTGCTATGATCTATTTCATGTCAGCTACGACTATGTATGGAGAACATCCCGTACTGACCCCAGATAGCAGCTAGCGCGACAACGATGAGCGCCACAGCCTGTTCCTGATTGCCTCCTTGCCTACTCTCTACATCGTTGTAGATGTTTTGAGAGTCCCGATATGCTGTTGAACATGGGAGTTATCCGAAGATTGTGTGATAAGGGCACCAAGCGGGCAATTGCTATTACGAGGACTACACTGGGCAACTCGCCAATCACGCTTGGCCGCGTGACGTCGTCAATCTCTGATGGCTGTAGGTCATACAAAGATGGACCTTGGAAACCAGATTTCTCGACAGTTAGGTGACTGCGCACGCCTTACAACAACATGGACGATGCTAAAAAAAAATCGAATACATTTCTAAATAGCAGATCAAGCGGTGTGCTATGCGTCTGTATACAACGGACCTGCACCCTGCTGGAAATCTCTACTTGCGGAAAACCCGACTTGTAAACGCCAACGCTGGATGCCTTACTATACAGTACAGAGAGAACCACGTCCAACCAAAAGTGCCTTTGGTTTCAAGTCCTCTGCCACTTGTACCAACAAAAACCCGTCCCCTTCGTGATCCTAGAAGACTTGATCAGGCAGCGACATCCAGCCCCGCCTTCTTCAAGCCGTGCAGAAACTGCTCTTTAACATCCCCCTCGCCACTCGCACCTTGGTCTACCTTGTCTTTATCATCAACCGGCAGCGCATTGAGCTGCGCCATCATCATCCTCTCCACGGCTTCAATACCAGCTTCCTCCGCTTTGCTCAATCCACCCGTGGCCGCGGCATCGTCCTTCTTCTTTCCCTTGCCCTTCGCCCCGTCGTCCGTATCTTCACCCTGAACCATCTTGTCCAATTCTAGTTTACTCACACCGAGCGCATAAATCTGCTCCTCGACCGTGCCCTTAGTGACTAGTCTGACCACCTCGACCTCTCTCGTCTGACCAACACGATGCGCACGATTCTCTGCTTGGATATCATCCTGGGGATTGAAGCTCGAGTCGAAGATGATGACTTTGTTGGCGCAGGCGAGGTTGATGCCCGCCCCACCGCTCTTAGTGCTGATCATGAAAAGCTGGATGGATTCGTCTTGGTAGAAGACGTCCATGAGAGACTGACGTTCTTGAATTGGGGTAGAGCCATCCATGCGCATGAAATTAATGTCGTGATCGTCAAAGACCCAGCCGAGGATATCCATAACCGAAGTGAATTGGGAGAAAACTAGTGCACGATCACCGTTTTCTTTGTACTTTTTCAACAAAGCAAGCAGTGCAGAAACTTTGCCAGAGTCCATCCATTCGTGGTCCTTGAGCTCATATTTCTTAAGAGCACGATACTTGGAGGCGAGTTGGTGGCATTGGTAGTCTTGATACAGCTCTAGTTCTTCGTAGATGATGTCTGGATTGCTTTCGGCAAACATGTCTTCCTTAAGGCAGGCTTTGGACATCTTTCGAATCTTATCGTTGTTGTATCGATGACGGAAGAGTAGGGGGTGTATGGCTGCTTGCCGGAGCTTCATCATGACGTTGGCGTGGTCCTTGACGGGTATGCCTGCCGCTCGGTCTTCAAGGATCTTGCGCTGCTTGGTCAGTTGCTCGTTGTAGAGCGTCCTCTGTGTATCGGTAAGATCGCAATACTCGACGCGGGAAGTCTTCTTCGGCAGGTGCTTGAGCACCTGTACCTTCTTTCGCCGAAGGATGAAAGGCGTCAGCATTGTACGAGCGCGTTGGATACGCTGCGCAGACAGCAAAGAGCTATGTGAATCGCTCTCCATCGTCTTGGCCTTGTGTTTGAATAAGATTTGCAACATCTCCTGAACCTCCTCCTGTTGATCGCCATAGAATACTTGTGGCATCAGGAAACCCAGGATTGACATGAGCTCTTGGAGACTATTTTGAAGTGGAGTTCCTGTCAACAAAATCCTGCAAGTCGCTTGAATCTTCATCAGACTCTTGTAGCGGATCGTGTTCGCGTTCTTAAGCATATGGCCTTCGTCAAAGATGCAAATTTCGGGCCTGCACTTTCTAAGGAAAGCCAGGTCCTCCTTCCTGAAGGTAAGATCGTACGTCGTAATGATCACGTCGCACGTCCTCTGCTTGATATTATGAAGAATGCTCTCTTGGTGAGAGAACCGCTCCGCCTGTGATCCGTAGTACGGCGTAAAGTTGATCGTCTTGGAAAAGCGCTCAAACTCACGACACCAGTTCTCCAATGTCGAACCAGGAACGACAATAAGCGCAGGCTTCCCCTCGTCTTGCTCTTTAAGGTGTGACAGGAATGCGATGATCTGGCAGGTCTTTCCCAAACCCATATCGTCGGCCAGAATACCCGATGTTTTCGTCTTCCATAGGAGATTCAGCCAGTTGAGGCCTACGACCTGGTAGTCTTTGAGTTCAGTGTCTTCGTTCATATTCGCGGGTTGTGTCAAGAGTTTCGTGCGAGTAGCCGCCTTTCGTATATTCCTAGACTCGGTATCGCTGCCATTGGCACTCCGAGGGGTATGGTAGCCTGAGTCACGAGAAGAATTTGTGTCGCTACTATCGTCCAGACTCGTCAATTCAACACCGTCTTCTGTAGAAGCACCAAAAATATCAATACCCCACCGTGCCATGCCTGCAACCATTGGCTTGCCTAGAGCTTCGCATTGTTGAACAACGGAATCAATCGTGGAGTATGCATTCCACATGCCCTCGGTAGATTCCACAAGGCGTTGGCCAGTCGTTATGCGTGGCTTGCGCGCCTTCTTTTTTCCCTTCTCCACTGGCGTGAGATCCACATGGACCTTGCGAACAGCATCAAGAGAGGTGAATGGACGCTGCTTGAAAATCTCCTTGATGTCATCTTCTTTGTGGCTTGACAAGTCAACCATGGCTTCCAGAGTACAAGTGTTGAAGAAATTCAACAAGGCACTCTCATCAAAGTTATTTTCCACCACTGAACCACCTGCATCCGAGTCATCATCCACAACAAGGTCCGCAGCGATACCCTCATCCTCATCGGAAGAGACAACAATCGGCGCTTCCTTCTTCGGCTGATGTTGTGGTCGTTGGGGTGTGGGCTCAGGTGAGGGCGAGAACACGGCCTTCTTGCGATCCTTGCCGCTCTTGAGTCGGCGCTTCTGTTTCGGTGGCTCCTTTTCAGGACTATCAATCTTGACTGGGCTGTTCTGGGTCGCACCTAGCTTGGAGTACTTGTTCTGTAGTGATTGCACAGGCTGCTTCAACCCGCGTTGTGTTGTCTTCTTCACGACTGGCGCTGAGACCTTACGGGCTACTCCTGGTGGAGGAGAGGAGCGGAGCAGCTCGTCCTCGGACTCTTGGTCCGCCAAATACTCGGAAGCATCGTTGAAATTGCCCTTCCTCTTAGTCAAAGCGTCATGCAGCTGCTTGACAGAGCGGTTAGGGTATATAGCCCTCAGTCGATTGACCTTGGCATACATGCCCAAGTCATGAATGTCCTCCATGGTCATTTCCTTCTCTTCCGTCAAGTCTATAGGTATAGCGCGCGAAGGGCCTCCTTGCTGCATAGGCTTCTGTCGCTTGGGTGGCGTACCCGAACCGTATTGTTCTGCCGACCGTTTACGCGATTGATCGCTGCCGTATTTGAAACTAGACAGATCCCAGGTCGGCTTCTGTGGTGTCTCTTCAATCCGCGATGTCATGGACATCTCAATCTTGGACAAGGGTATGTTGCTCCTGTATTCCGACTCGTCCTCGTCCGGGTCGCGCTCCACAGGTGGATCGTCCGAGGTCAAGTCGACGACTGGCTTGCGAACGGCCTGCGGAGGGAAGAAGCCTGTGCCTGGGGGTGCCATTGGGTTGCTGTAGCCCCCGTATGGGCGTTGCGACTGCGAAGGCGACATAACAGGCGGCGAGGAACGCTGAGGGGCGGGCGAGGAACGCGGGACTTGTAATTGCGACGAGGAAGCCGCGGGCTGGACTGGGTGGGCGCGTGGTGTAACTATAAGCGTGGGTTGCGTGCTATCAGACGGCGCCGCAAAGAAGGGAGAACGCTCCCCGAGGATTTGCGTAGGCTGCGTGACGTAGGTGTCTCGGTCCTCGTCGCTGTGGGGAGAAGCGCGCGATGCGACTGGCGGCGGTGAAGACGAAAGTATGGGATCGCGGCGGTACATTTTGTAGCAGTAACTATGGCAGGCGGTCGAGCTGAACGGCGGACGTGATGGTGGTGGTGGTGGTGGTGGTGATGGTGGTATCGCAATCGACTTTTGCCGCCTCGTTCGCACAAGTAGTAGAGCAGAGCAAAGGAAGACGCAGAAAACAATGGCTCAGGCGAACAAACAAAGGCGAAGGGTACTGAACAAAGCAGAGGGCGTAGCCGTACAGACTAAAACACCTGGTCTCCGGAGCGCAGGGAGGGAAAGAAGGGTTTGCCTTGTGACGGGCATGACCAAAAACAATTCACGCGTTCCGAGAACCACTTTACGCGTTGAGAGATTCTTGAGCTTGGACCTCCCCTGCCCTGAGCCTGTTCAATTACGTTACTCGATTCGGCTCAGGCAGGGCCCTGTCAGTCACTCACAGACAGAACACCACGACACATCAACGACTAGAAAAATGACGACCAGACGCATTGTCAACGAGGAGAAGTCGTCTCTAGACTACGATGGGAAGGGCGCTCCCGAGCCGTCCAACACCTCTCCAGCGGTGCCATCGTGAGTCGCCTTTAGTAGAGACTAGTACTGCGACTTACAAGAACCACAGATCGGTCATCTGGAAGTTGATGAGTTTCACCTTTGCCATGATCACGCTGCCTATCGGCACGTACTTCTTCACTGTCAACTTTGTCTTCCACGGTGAGTTGTTCATGTATGTTGTGAAATAGGACGTATTGACTTTCTCTAGGTAACGCAACATGGGCGGGTGGTTTGGCAGCACTCATGGCAAATGTTGTCTTAATCGCATACGTTGTCATGGCATTCAAGGATGACCAGGAAGAGATGCGGGAGGAAGCGGAAAAGTCCAAGAAGAAGTTGTGATTCTTGCTAGTGCATGGAAACCGGGGTTGCAATGTTGCAATGCGTGCTAGGAGAAGCCATTACAAGAAGCTCGTTCTTGCGAGTTGTACTATGAGTACCAAAATCTACTCTAAAGATACACACAAGCTTCTTTGTCACGACTCATGAAAACAAGCTCCTTGTTATGGAAATACAATAGGAGATCTAGTATGAGATCATCACGGCATCACCACAATCAGATGAAAATATCAATGTTGCTCATCAAACCATTATGATTACCACATTACCAGCCGCTCAAAGAGCGAGCTTCTACTGTAGCGGCACCTTTCAAACCTACAAGGAGTGACAATCGCGGTATATACCCTTCCCGCATCCCTAGAACGCCGTAGAAACGCCATCATGCTGTACACGCAGGGTGGCGTAACAGTGGTTCGACCAGACTCCAGAGCCCATGGTGAAGACATTCATTCATCATCATGGCAAGCCCGCATCCTAGAAGCTAGCCGGTGTATTTCTTCCACTTGGACTTCAACTTCAAGGTCTACTCTTTGCTGAATCGCCTCTTGAACCAGCTCTTGCGCTTGTCGCCTGCATCGCTGCTCTTCTTAGACAGCATGGCCGGCCTCGTGTTCTCCGTGGCCGGTGGCCCACTGCCGCCGCCGAGTTTGATTGGTGCTGCCTGCGTGGCATGTTTGGGAGGTGGTGGTGCCATGCTGTTTTGTGAAGGCATGCCGTGGGCTGGCGGTGGTGGCCCCTGTGCATACTCCTCCATAATGGGGCCTCTTCCGAATCCATTAAATCCGTATTGTGAGCCCATATCTTGTTGTGGTGGTTGCACGGGGATGCCTCTTTCAATGGAACTGTTCTCGCTATTGCTTGGGTCGTTTGAGTATAGGCCGTCGCTGTGGCTTCCATTCGAGCCGTTGGTGTTTACTGTGTCGCGCGACTGTTGGTAGCCGTTCATGGGATAAACACCTTGCTGACTTTGTCTCGTGTTCCATCCCGGGTCAGACTGCATGCGGTTGCCATATCGCAACCGCGGTGGTCCGCCCACAGGTCCACCCTGCCCATAGCCATCGGCGTAGCTGTCACGCTGGGTTTGCCTCTGGGGAAAGTAGCCGCTGGCGGTCGAGAAGCGGTTCTGGTCATTGTATCCGCCGCCGCCGCCGCCGCCGTAATAGCTGCTCCGTCGGCTTCCGTAGCCGCTCATGACATCAGTCTGGTCGGCGCGCATTGATTGGGCGCGTCGTCTGTATTCGCCATCAATGGCAGCCTCGAATGAGCGGATTGTGTCGAGCGGGCGCTCCCATCGCGAACGTGTGGGGTTGGAGAGATCGGGATCGGCTGAGGAGGATTAGACGACGATGGCATGGCATACAACGGGGAGAGGACAACTTACCAATGGGGTTACCGGCCGTGTCGGTATGCTGGAAGGAGCGCAGAGAGGCGAGGGTGGGCTTGGTGAGGGCCTCAGCGACTGGGCAGGCGGTTAGCAGAGTGCATGTGAGGGCGGCGATAAGCATGACCTACTGGGCTGCTGCTCATTCATGGCGGCGTTGGGGTTCGCCTTTGAGTTTGGGTCGTAGTGGTCGCTGGCCTTTCTTTCGTGCTTGGTCTTGGACGGGCTCTTGGGGGTTGCGTTGTCGCGGCTCTTGTTGCTCTTGTTACTATGAAAGCTGAGACCGCGCGGGCGCGATTGCTGCTGTGTCGCTTGCTCCATTGTCACAGCGTCGGACGATACCCAGTTTTTTCTGCGGAGAGTCTAACAAGCTACGGCCAACGAGGCTGGTGAGCGGGTATTGCGGAGCTTGGTGGGAGCGCGATGTGCACGTAGCGCGCAGCGTGGGTACTGCAATGAATAGCTGAGACGACGGGCGCGACGTCGCAAAAGCAAACAGGTAGGGTCAAGAATGCAGTGACGATGCAAGTGATGAAGATGTGGAGTGAGACGGAGAGTTGAGCGGCTTGGAATGGAATAAGCTCGAGTGCGCAGCTCGACGCGCGGTGGCCTCTTTCACGTTGGGCACTCTTCGTCATCAACGGCGCGGGCTGTGCATCCCGATTGGACTCTTAGCCCATGCACGACTTCTGAAACGCGCAAGCTGGAGACCTGCCAGGACACGGTGCAAGCCTATCTCTTATCGCCCTCTCTGCTGCTGTGCATATGCCATCTGTTTCCCACCCTTCACCACCCGCTTCACACGTCAATTGACCTGCCAGGACGTCGACAGCTCCATGTTGCTGCACAGCCTACCTCGCCACCAAACGCCCTCGTATCCAAGCACCTCCCGTTAGCATTAGCAAATTTAGACAGCTTCAATAGTCTTGCTGTTCTATGCGGTCTAGCTCCCCGCCAGCGCCAGCCATCCCCATCATCTCCAACCACAACACAACACAACACAACACAACACTCTGCTGCATCCCAAACACTTCACACAGCCACCTGTCGACTAACAGCACTGCACAGTCTGCCTACGACTGCACCGCATCTGCTTACATTTAATACTCGTTCTGCATCTCGCACCAAGTACAGCTTCCCACGAATGCTAGGTCCGGTACACTAGCTACAAGACTAGCCGTATAACCGGATGCTGCATGAAATCGCATTGGCAAGCCTGCATTCTGCCGCTTTCGAAACGCGTAAAATACCACTCAAGACATGTTAGAGATCTGCATCTATACAAGTGCCACCTCGAATGCAAACATCATTATGACATGGGTGATGCGCGGGTATGTGGCTACTGTCATTGCCCGTTGTTCGGAACCCTGTTCCAAGCCACACGGCGGGTTTTGACCGACATTTCGTCCCGGTTGAGACTCATCAAACATGGCCCTCACGTGCTGACATGCTTCATTCATTCATGATTCCGACTTGGTTTTTGGTGTTCCATGACATTCGCTAATTCATTTCTCTCTGTCCTGTCATCTAGCTGTGTGTAGGCATGTTGACCGACGCCTTCGTCGCGACAGCATCCTCACTCCTCCACAGACTTGTCACAGTCTTCTGTTGTGTGTAGAATTGTAGACCAGGCTTGCCGTAAAACGTGTTTGCGCCACCGCCCGCAACCGACTTCTTGTTACCAGTGAAGGAGAACATGGGGAGCTGGCTAGTATCAGTGTGTGTGCCTAATGGTGCTGATTCAAGAGAAACTTACAGGTACAGGAATGGGCACGTTGATACCCACCTGACCGGCCTCAATCTCACGCTGGAAGCGGCCAGCGGTCGCACCCGAGCGAGTGAAGATGGCGGTACCGTTACCGTACTCGTTGGCATTAATCATGTCAATAGCTTCGTCGATGGTCTCGACGTTCAGGCAGACAAGGACAGGGCCAAAAATCTCCTCAGTGTAGCACTTCATATGCGGCTTGACATTGGCGATGATAGTAGGACCAACCTACAAAGTACTGTCAGTGCAATGTCAGCATCACACTTTCAACAGACTTACCCAGTTGCCGTTGGCGTACTTGTCGGACGGGGGCTTTTGACCACGTCCATCAAGGAGGATAGTTGCACCCTCCTCCTCGGCGCTCGCAATGAGATCTTCAATCCTTTTCTTTGACTGTGGGCTGATAACAGGCCCAAGATCCGCACCCTCCTCAAAGCCACCGTTCATGGAGAGTTCTTTTGCGCGCTCAGCGATTTCAGGGACCCAGTCCTTGGTCTCACCGATCATAACTAGAGTGCTTAGAGCCATGCATCGCTGACCAGCAGCACCAAAGGCGGCTCCGGCAATAGCGTTCAACGCATGGTTCTTGTTGCAGTCGGGAAGGACAGCAGCGTGGTTCTTCGCACCCAAGTTGGCCTGAACACGCTTGCCTTGAGCCGAGGCGCGCGAGTAGATGTACTCTCCAGCCTTGTTGCTACCGACGAAGCTAATCGCCTTGATGCGAGGTTCGTCGATGATGAAATCAACCGTCTTAGCCGCACCATGTACAATGTTGATGACGCCCGGAGGGAAGCCAGCTTTCTCAGCAAGCTCTGCAAGTATCATGCAAGCACCTGGGTCGCGTTCCGAGGGCTTGATAACGACAGTGTTACCGGTAACAGCGGCGATGGGGATGGTCCAGAGGGGAATCATGGCAGGGAAGTCTGTTGTAGCACATTAGTACAAACCTCATCTACCGCCAGTCGTGTACTCACTGAATGGGCATATGGCAGCCACAACGCCCAATGGCTCTCTGTAGCTGCGTGTCTCCATGTCCTTGGCGACCTCGAGGACTTCGCCAGTCATCTGTGTCGTGATACCGCAGGCAGTCTCAGCAACCTGTAACCCACGGAGCACATCACCACGTGCATCCGCAAATGTCTTGCCCTGTTCCAATGTAATGCTAGCAGCCAACCGATCCCAGTTCTCGCGGATCAAGTGTGTGTATTTGAACAAGATCTGCTGCCTGTGAAGCAAGCTAGTCTCCTTCCATGGCTTGAATGCTTTCTCAGCGCTGTCCACGGCGGCCTTGAGCTCCTCATCTGTGCTCTGGGGCACGCGTGTCACCAGATTGTTGGTCGCAGGATCATGCAGATCAATCCATTGTGTCGCTTTTGAAGCCACGAACTTGTTGTCGACAAAGTTTTGTGTGTCTGCAGGCGATTGAATTGGCTCGTGGTTCATGGGGTACGACTCAGTCGCTGCAGACGATGCTGGCTTCAGGTGCTGGGCAGTGGCGTGCAGCCGCCGTGCGGCAACTTTACTTTGGTTGACTGGCGACGACATTCTGGCACATAGAGGAGCTGCGCGAGGAAGAGACGAGCGGGCGGTCAGTCTTGGGAGGCGTGCGAGCGCTGTGCGGGAGAACATGGTGCAAGTCAATTGCCGGGTGTGCGGAGCAACGCAAGACGCAATTGAAGTTGGACAAGTTCTCTGGGTAATCAAGACATGGAAATTGAACGAGATTAGAGAAGAGTCCACGTCGCTTGCGGCTGTTAAGGGAAAGCGATTCCGAGCTGCCTTTTGGGAGCTGTTGCCGGAGCTTTGGAGCTGGGCCCCACTCCCCCTCCCGAGGTCTATGGATATCGAAGGCTTATCCACAACGCCCTCATCCGCGGCGGCGTGTACGGCGTTTGTATGGCCACTTCTCCTATGTCCGGTTATCACGTATATACTCCATCTGGATTAGCTCATATACATGTTGGCACGTAAAAGGCTTGTTGATCAAACTGAGTGTATTCTTATACTCCCATCCTGTACCCCAGGTGCTGCGTATCCCATTTTAAGGAGCAAACGCTCAATACATAGTCATAGCGCCGTGAATCTCAAAATGATATGATACTACAAATCAGGAATCCAATTGCGGAGGGTTGAGGTTATCCTCTGAACCGACCCTCTGGTATTCTGTTCCCAACCCCTACTTTCTTCGTGGGATACTTTACTTCTCACGCCATGGTTGCGACTACCTATGAGGCGTTTGATCGAGTGGTGCGCTTGTTGACCTCAGCCTGAGCCTTCTCAGCTCCAGTAGCGACAGCCTCAGCAGCCTTGTCCTTGGCATCAACGGCAGTCTTCTTAGCCTTGTTTGCCTGTGCCTTGAGCTGTTCTTGCGAAGGTGCAGCGCCAGAGCCAAGAAGGACAGAGGCGAGGATAGCGAAAATGGTGACAGCGATAACACCGATACCGCCAGCGACCTCAGGAACGAACTTGACAGCCTCAACGGGGTCGCGCTTGGCAATCTCGATGAAAAGGTTCAGCTTCTCCTTGACGTAAAGAACTGGGTCATCCTTGAAGACAAGGTCGGAGGGCGACTTGGGTGTGTCCTTGGGCTTGGGCTTGTTGGCCTCCTCTTCAGCCTTCTCGGCGGGGTGCTTGAGGTCGAACGTCTCAGCCTTGAGCTTCTCAGCGTCGTCGATGGAGTGGCCAATGTAGATGTTGTCGAAGAGAATGTCCTTCTGCATGGTCCAGATCTCGAAACCAATCTATGGCATGTTAGCAAAGGTTCTGTGAAATTAGGGTAATATCAACTTACAGCACCAATGGGCTCAAAGTTGGCAGGGGTCTTGTCCTCGAAGTAGTCGGGGTTGGCAATCTTCTTGGGAGCCCAGACACCCTTGTAAGCCGGGTTGTCGATGAAGGGAGCGGTCCACTTGCCCTTGTAGGCAGGGTTCTTCTTCATAGGAGGCTCCCACTTGCCACAGCCAGAAACTTCATCGCACTTGGGGTTGGGAACGGTGGGAGGAACCCAGTCACCGTCTTCCTCGTCATCCCAGTCCTCAGGCTTCTCAGCCTCGGGGTCAGGAATGGTGGTGAGCTCATCCTCAAGCCAGTCCTCAGGCTTGGTGGCCTCCTCGTCGACAATCTCAAATGGCGCGTCCTCGTCCCAATCCTCGGGCTTGGTGGCCTCGGGGTCGGCAATGCGAGCATCGTCAACCCAGTCTTCGGGCTTTGTGTCGTTGGGGTCGTCGATCTCTGCCTCGGGGTTGACAGAAGGGGTAAAGTCCTCCAAGAGAGTACCGTTGCGAACGGACTCGCCGTCGATCTTCATCTCGAAGCTCTGGTCGGGCTTGACGATGAGGGTGTAGAGGCTGGTGGTCTTGACGATACGAGCCATGGGAGGGTTCTTGAGGTGCTTCTCCTCGTACTCGCCGGTCTTGGGGTTCTTGTGGCGGAAGATGAAGTGGACCTAGAGAGTCAGCTTGGTTGGTTGAAATGTCAGAGAAGCCGTACCTTGTTGGTGGCACCGCACTTGTCGGGACCGAACATGATGATGTAGGGAGACGCGTTGGAGAAC